AAAAAAAAAAAAAAAAAAAAAAAAAAAAAAAAAAAAAAAAAAAAAAAAAAAGAGAAGATAACCCTAACCCTAAACCCTAACCCTAACCCTAACCCTAACCCTAACCCTAACCCTAACCCTAACCCTAACCCATGATGTGGCCCATCTGCTGACAGTTGTAGCACTTATATTCCGAGAAGTTCTTTCTCATACCTGGCCTCCAGCTGGTAGGCCTGAAGCTGGTCTCCATTCGCGGCGTTGTGTACATCGCGTGCGCCTGTGTGCCTGCCAAGCTCTTGCGACGCTCCGCCTCACCCATCAAGCTATTGGTGAGGAGGTCGATGTCGGCATTGCCGTTTGCAACGTACCCTTGGCGGAACACTTCCCAATCGTTTGGCAGACTGTTGAGCAAAGCGCTCCGCTTCTCAAAGTCCGTCACGTTGCGCCCGCAGTCCGCCACTCTGGCGATCAGAGTAAGCACGCGATCAATGTGCTCTTGCATGGAGGTGCCAGCCTTGCACTTGTAGGCATACAGTTCCTCCTGGCGGCGTGCTAGTAGCAACTCCTTGCTGCCCTCATTGGACTTGACAAGACCGGTCCAGATCTTGGCAGCCGACTCTGCCAAGTTGACCCTCATCATGACGTTGGCATCGAGGTGTTTGATGAGCAGCCTCTTGGCATCGCCTGCAAAGACTCGATCATAGGCACGGTCATCGACGTCGATGTCGGTGAAGACGTAGTCGTCCAGGGCGTAGGCTTCCACGGTGATCTGAAATACAGCTTTGAAGTTTGCCCACGACTCCTGTTTCCCATCGAAGACCATTTGCGGGACATATCGCATGAGGTCCTCACTGCGCTTCTGCTTGCGGGCAGCGGCCTGGGGATCGGCATCTCCGGCTGCTGGTACGGAGCCTTCGGTGGCATCGACGCCTTCTGGGCGTGTCTTGGGAGGCATTGATTCACTTGGTTGGCGTTGGCGTTGACGTTGGCGTTTGCGTTTGCGTTTGCTTTGACGTTTGCGTTTGCGTTTGCGTTGGCTTTGACGTTTGCGTGATCGGGTTATTCAAGGCTCATAGCCTGATTGACGGTAAGCGGATTGCAGCTAACTGATTGCGATAGTACTTCAACTATGGGGTGTGCTGGCCTTTTAAGGCCTGCGTTGTCAACTCATCGGCACAACTCTCACGCTCTAGAGTTGCCTGCGCACAACAGACATAAGTAGAGCGGCTGCGCTGCCTTTAGTCTAGCAGAGGACTAGTAAACTCAAGAAAGCGCACATGTAAATCCAAATGATCGCTTCGGCACACATAGTGTCCCTATTGTCAGACCTATTCGGGGTTCGCATCGCATTCCCGTTGAGCCAAAAGTGACTACTCCCTAGAGGACACCGCTGCAGCTCTTTAAACTCCGAATCCAAGGCCTCATCCAGGAGTCAGTGCTCATCAGGAGACACCTCCTAGACCAACTTCGAATCCCGCAGAATCTCGAAGCTCATTTTATATCTAACACTTCACCCAGCTTCGAATTCCCGCAACAGCTATCCTGCAACCTCCTTGTGCTGTGATACTGTGCTTCGAAGCCTTTCCCATAAGTTCGTGTTCTGCCATCACTACGCAAGGCCAGCGCAAGGCTCAAAACCTGTCAGACCTATTCGGGGTTCGCATCGCATTCCCGTTGAGCCAAAAGTGACTAGTCCCTAGAGGACACCGCTGCAGCTCTTTAAACCCCGAATCCAAGGCCTCATCCAGGAGTCAGTGCTCATCAGGAGACACCTCCTGGAGCCAACTTCGAATCCCGCAGAATCTCGAAGCTCATTTTATATCTAGCACCTATTTCCTTCGCGCCAAGTATTGTCAGCCGCTGTTGAGGCTCGCATCGCCCTCCATTTACGCACTGGTCGCAGTATGGACCATTAAAGCATACGCAACTTCAACTGCTGGTCGCAGTATGGACCCTTAAAGCATACGCAACCTCGACCGCTGGTCGCCGTATGGAGTATTGAAGCATACACACCGTCACTGTCCCCATTTCCTGCTCGCTCATTGAAGCGGCCGTTGTATTGGCTCCCAAGGCACTTCCTTCTCGCACTGGTCGCAGTATGGACCATCACAGCAAAAACACCGTCAACGTCAACGTCTCCACGTCAACGCCTCTGTTAGTCACGTATATCAACTACGTGTAAGGTCACAGTATGGACCTGCAAAGCATACACACCGTCAACGTCAACACCTCCGTTAGTCACGTATATTTATTACGTGTAGGGTCGCAGTATGGACCACCAAAGCATACACACCGTCAATGTCAACGCCTCCGTTAGTCACGTATATGTATTACGTATAAGGTCGCAGTACGGACCATCAAAGCATACGCAACGTCAACCGCTGGTCGCAGTATGGACCATTAAAGCATACACACCGTCACTGTCCCCATTTCCTGCTCGCTCATTGATTGCGGCCGTTGTATTGGCTCGCAAGACACTTCCTTCTCGCACTGGTCGCAGTATGGACCATCAAAGCATACGCAATGTCATCGACCCCTTTTCCTGCTCGCTCATTGATTGCGACCGTCGTATTGGCTCGCAAGGCACTTCCTTCTCGCACTGGTCGCAGTATGGATCATCAAAGCATACGCAACGCATTCTCTCGCAACTTCTGCACTCATTATCATGGAACCGCGTGTCCTTGTAAACCGTGGCTTACATCCCTTCTTCTCCCCAAGCAATTGCCTCAGTATTTTTCGTTTTATCCAGCAACGCCTCGATTCCTCCAGCAATGTCTCAAAGCGCTTTGCCTCCAGCGACGTTATGCCAGCTACATGCGACCAACTCTATTGCTTGATCTGGAATGGACGATTATTTCTCAATATCTTCGCACCGCCAAACCAGAGCCATACGCTACGCTACGCCCTCTTATGCATCATCCCCATTTCTCCGCAACGGTTTTTTCTGCGATACTCTACACGCTTGCACGCATAATTGCTAACCCTCCGCAACGACATTGTCATCTCACCTGCACTCCAGCGTCATGTCTCGGCATCGCCTATTTCAATGTTGAGTCAAAGCAATGCTGCATCCAGCACGTCTTCATATCTTGTCTTCGTCGTCGTCCGGAACGCTCTGCTTGTAAGTCTCGCACAGAGAGGATACAGAACCAGTGGAAGTGTTGTGCGCTGGGAATTCTGAGCGTGCGACACCGCCAATGCGTGCTCTACAAAGTGCCAGCACAGCATTACCGTAGCAATAACAACAGTAACAACACCCTTTAATACGTTCATGTCTTAGCAGTACAAGCTCTGTACATCAGGTAGTCCCCATGCATTCGCTACCGCTTCACATGCGCTGCCCTTAGTTTAGCAGAGGACTGGTAAACTCAAGAATCCGTAAATGTCCGCCACACCAGCACGATCCCTGGTTCGATTGCACCTTTACGGTATTCTGCGAGCTGCCTCAGCAACAGCAGGTCTGCTCGCAGACCTCAAACAAACCGATGGCCAACTCAACTTAGGCATTACCAAGCTGCATGCCGCGTGTGTCACCGACTACGACGACGAATGGGATGTCTGGACGAGCGCTCTAGCTCTTGCACCAAGTCACAGCCATCTGCACGCATTGCGCGTCAGGTATCACGGCGTAGCAAGAGCCGGCAACGAGCTCCCCTGGTTCGAGATGCAGCAGGAGACTCGACATCGGAATGTGAAGAACTCGCAGACCGCAACAGTGGATGTCACATTTCCACCAAAGCTTTCATTGTCTTTCAACCACAAAGTCTCACACGACAATATCGGCGCAGAGACCATTCACCGCAGGTCTTCTCATAAGGGGCGTTGCGAGGCAGTCATTGTTGTGCCGCTCAGCAAGCACCACCGACATGAAGTACTTGCCAAGAACATGCTCTCCCAAGTCGCTCTAGGTCGGGAACGTGCCATTATGCGAGAACCTGCCATTATGCTCTCGAAGATGGTTCTCGCCATACACATCATCTTCAACGCTGAAGACCAATTTCATGAGCTACAAGCGATGGTCCAACAGACCCTCATAATGATGGTACATGGCGAATGTTTCATGCGAGCGCGAAGGCTTGCCATTTGGACCTCAAAGAAGATAACGTGGACTCGATTCCCAACTTGATACCCCTCGACAATCATGGTACGGTGAAGCTTGCCTGCATCCTTCACCGCATGTATCATCATTAATAATAATAAAATGGACCATAGCTTGCAACTCATAAACTGGTCATCTGCGTTGAAGATAATGTGTATCGCAAAAAGCATCTTCGAGAGCCTGATGGCAGGTTGCCGACGTAAAGCGACTTCGAAGAGCATGTTTTCGGTGGTCAGTTCATGCCGGTGGTGCTTGCTGAGCGGCACAAGCATCACTGCCTCGCACCGCCCCTTGTGAGATGACCTGCGGTGGACGGTTTTTGCGCCGATCGGTCGTGTGAAACCTCGTGGTTTGCAGACACTAAAAGCTTTGGCGGAAAAGTGACATCTACTGATGCGGTCTGCGAGTTCTTGACATTCCGATGTTGACTCTCCCGCTGCATCTCGAACCAAGGGAGCTCGTGGCCAGTTTTTGCTACGCCGCAGCACCTGACGCGCAATGCGTGTAGATGGCTGTGATTGGAAATGGTAGCTAGCGGGCTGCTCCAGACATCACATTCGTCATTGGTTTCGGCCAAATACGCGACGTGCAGCTTCGAGATGCCTATCGTGAGTTGGCCATCAGATTTGTTGAGTCTGCAAGCTGACCTGGCAGGCGCGCCGTGGTTGTCAAGCAAACCTCCTGCTGCTGAGGCAGCTTACTGTATATCGTAAAGGTGCAGTCAAACCAGGGATCCATGCTGGTGTAACGAGTGTAGGTATCGGCGGTCGTGCTGGTGGTCGTGCAGGACAAGAACGAGTGTAGGCAATGAAGAAGGTGTCATGGTGGTGTCGTGGTGAGCGCAATGTACGTTCAGTTCAGGGACACTTTTCAACGCCCTTGCCCAAAAGCTACCTAGACTTGCACATGAGCGCGCCTGGTGCTTACTTCTGGTGCCAAAGGAGCTGAAAGCTTATCGCCAAACAAGCACACCTTCATCAATAATCATAGCACCTCCATGTAGCTGATCTTATGCTAATTGCTTCCAAAATCGCGCTGCTCGATCAGTAGTGCCTTCACTTCCAGCTCAAGATCGGGAATGTAAAAAAGATCGTAGTCTCCAGGATATTGCTTACCGTGTAGTGCAATCTTGTGTGAGAGAGACGCTCGGCAGTCTATCAGCGCATGAGATTGTGCTGTTAGTTCACAGTCCAGGTTGTTGGACACCTCTGCTCTAGGAGAACCCACGATGACGCGACTCGGATCCTGACGTCAATCGAGGAAGCGTCTGTATGTCTCCGGTAAAAGAGCACGCCCTTTTACAGCTGTACTCCGCTGGCCAAGCGCAATATGTGCGCCTCAAATCTACTTTGGAAACATACAGTGACCAGGCATGTCAAAAGCCTCAGCCATAGTTTTAATCGATATCCTGAGAAAAGAACATCAAAAACCTCAAACTTGAAAGAATCTTTTGGTTACCCGTGACGTCTCTTCGGGGTCATTGCGAGAAGCTTAACTCTGAAATGCGCGCCGATATCATGCCTGTCACCGGAAGTCGGCCCGGTGCGTAGATTATCAATCACTTTGACCGTACCAGCGAAATTGCATGTAAGGTCTGCAAAGATCTGAGCACTCTGCTTGTAAAATCAACTTTGATCAACCGATATCGGAATACAATGTACAGCTCACATCGCAGTGCGGCAAGCCACACAACAACTAGAATGGCAATGTTGAAGATCTTGCCGATGACTCAACGCGCAGACTCAAAGGGGTAAAAATCACGTGTTGTATGAACGCGTATCCTAGGTCTTCATGGCGTGTCGACTCGCTTCTCTCGATTGCACGATTCGCAAACCGACTATGCAAAATTGTTTGACTCAAACCCCTGAAGGAGTATGAATCCAGTGCGTGATCACTTTTTCCTGGATCGACGAGACATCAATAGCTTACTGGTGGTCAAAAAAGCCACCAAACGACCCGAGTAGGTGTGCTTCGTTCGACAGTATGTCGAGTGTGTTGTAGTCCAAGTGACTCGCCTCAAGACTAGAATTGGACGCAACATCTTGATAATCAAAATCATTGGCAACACCAGAAGCCAAGATTGATGAAATGATGTTGCCGGCGCTTTGATCAGGCTGATTGTCGTTTGACGGTCGTCGATCTTCTCTTTGAATGTGCCGTTCAATGGTCTCGATACATTTGCTGATGTGAGGCAAAGTCCGCATCAAAAGTCGCAGTACCACCAACACTGTATCTACCATTGAGCGCCATTTGCTTGTCTTTGAACTGTAGGGAAAATTGAGCAAGAGGTAGAGAGGTATTATGCTTGCATGGAACGCGAAGAACATGGCATTGTAAGCGAGACCTCGCGTCACTGGCTGACCAGACTGCCTGCCGAAAAGATGAGCAGAGATCATGCGGATGCTCTCAGACGCTGCTTCTAAGCAATTCTGAGAAGGAGCGTCAAACTGCTCATTGGCGAGTTGGAAGATGGCGGGTCTTTGCAATATGATTTGCATGTTGAGCAGTCGCCAATGAAGTAACAAGCGAGGTACAGTCAACCACCCTGGCTCGGATTCCACCTCCTGGGCGACATACGGCGGCAAACTTTGCTGGAAAAGTTCGAGACGATGATGAAGATCCGCTACTTCAGTATTCGACGGCGCGAAGCTAAGCAGTAGACGGGTGTGTACCTCCATGGCAATCATCGAGAGTTGACCGTGATATATAGAGCAAGTGTACGCCGTCGGGCGATCGACAGAAGGAGGCATCACTTTGCTGTCAAAGGGCAAGTCGAGGTCGCTGAGGTTACCGGGCGGAAGCACATCGAATTGGTCGATGCATAAAGGTCGTCCAAGCATGATGCAAGCAGCCACCTCCATATTAAACAGTGTGCACCATGTCCTACGGCGTATCTCTTTTTCCCAAGGGGCAATAGCAGAATTTGTGTATTCTCGATGTACACCGATCCCGACCGCCATTCGAATGGCCAAACCAAGATACAGATAGCCGGTATTACATTTATTGCGCTTGAATAAGTAGTCGGACATGAGCGCCAGAACGTGCACAGAGGGCAGATCACCTGCACTGAAAATGTCGAGTGAGAGATTCGCTTGTGCGACTCGGAAAAACGCGATATCGTTGACTTCTTCACTGGAATCTGACGAGTACCAGGTCCCCAGAGCTAAAATGATGTTGAGCAACGCAGGCCACGGTTTTGGCTTCGGGATCTTGTTGTGATATTCAGCCTGATGTCAGCATAGACCATGAAGTAATGGAACAGACTCTGAAAATGGGCTCAAAGGTCAAGGGGTAAAGCGGATGATGATGCCAGTAAAATTGCTGTATGAGATGCTCCTCCAGCAATTGTGGAGGACGCGCATGTGGCTTAACACTGACGCTGTACGGGTTGTAGCTGATCACCTCGCCTGCATTTGGCTGGTGTTCTGATGGAAGATTATCTACACCAGTCTTTGTGGAAAGAACTTGTAAAGCCGCTGCAGATGAAGAGGTTCCTAGAAAGCCGGACATGCCAGAGCTGAAGGCCAGGGATCCTACGCCCTTTTCTGTCATGGCAGACAAATGATCAAAGTCAGTCTCATCCCATTCAAAAGCGCGAGCGAATTCTGGCTTGACGTCAAAAAGATTGCGGCTTCGTGAGTAGGGCGCAGACTGGTTTGGTGCTTGCGGGTAGCCAGCGTATGACCTAACAACATGCCTCCTTCGCTTCTGAGGCCGCTCCTCATGCGACGCTCGTATGACGTGGTTGCTTGTCACTTCGGCATTGGCAACAGAATTTGCGCGAGAAAGTCGGTCCAATGCTTCCGCTAGTTTCGCTTCCAGCTCATCGACATACTTGCGAGTCAGCGGCGAACGATCGATGCGCTCGCTATATTGGCACTGCCGCGAATGGCGCACGCACTTTTCACACGGCTGCTCTCCGTTGCACCTTTGATGCCTCTTCTTGCAGTCGTCGCAAGCAGCCGGGACTTTGTTCATGGGTGCAGGGCTGCCGTCGTTCTGCATACTCCTGGCGCCGAGCTGCGCCATTGCGCTCCAGTCAGCTCCGAGGGATTACAAAGAGAGACACACTTTGTAGCGAAAGACAACCTTCGTCGTCGCTGTAGGTCCGGCAGTCGAGATCTCTAGTGTACAAATGCGAGGGTTTAGTGGGCGTGGTGTTGTCACATTTGAATTTTTGTATGGCTACTTCGTGGGGTTACTGACCTACTAGGACTACTGGTTTTGAAATTGCAAGAATAGCGCTCTGGTCCCTACAGGTGAACTACGTAGCTAGACTCTGGTTCAATTGCAGAGGACGCGTCTCAGCGTGTGTGTAGAGACTGACTGAAATTTGCACAAGTCTGGGAGAGCTCTTAGACTTGAATTCTAATTTCTAATGCGCTTGAGACTGTAGAACTAGTCACATTGTATGACTTTGATTGCAACACAAGAGTCTACATAATGAGCGTACGGCAGCTATTCTTCTTCATCGCCATACCAGCGGGCTGAAATTTTCTCACCATTGTAATGGCCTAGCGCGATTTCGTGCACTTGACCTGGCACTAGATCGATACAGTTATCTGCAAAGTCCACGTCATGCTCGCAGCTCAGCACCAGACCCTTCACTGGGCGATCAGCAGATACCCGCACAAGCTTGCCCGACTCGTCAACATCGACAGAAACGCGCCGCTTCGGGAAATGCAGGTACTTGAAAGGCTGAGGCCAATCGTACGATCGTCCAACGACAGTGCCCGAAAGCACACAAGTCAACGTCAAAGCCAAGACGCACGATTCAGCCTGCTCGCTCGAGATAGCAACATCGGCTGAGACATCAGTCGACGAGTTCGCCAACACGGTGATCACCTTTTCAAAGCGAAAGGACTCGTCACGTTGCCCAGACTCGACGTGATAGGCTTCGACAACAATTTTTGCGGAGAACGCCTCGAGCGTATTATTCAGCGCCCAAACATCAACAGTGTCTAACCAGGGGCCGTAGTAGAAGGGAGGGCCTGGCGCCTGCATCTGATCGGCACTGGCGGGCAGTTTCGCCTTCAAAGTCGGAAACTTTTCGTCGCGCCGCCGCTGAAGACCGCCATGGATTGGCCGCAGCTCTCGCTTGATGCCGAAGTATGCTGCTTTGGGTCGTAGGAAGTAGTCGCAGATTGCCCAAGAAGTGCAAGGCCAGCAGTCATTGAGTTGCCAGACGAGCACACCAGCGCAATATTCTCGACGATCACCACGCCATTCTCTGCGCCACATGCGGTAGGCATAGGACAGAGCTTCATGCTGCATAAGCTGGGTGGCGTAGATGTAGTCTTCCAGATTGCCCATATTGTATCGAAAATTCTCGTTCAAGTAGACAGCCAGGCGACGCTCACTTCCATCTGCTTTGTTGTGGTGCACATTCGTTTTCGACTGCGGATGACGCTCGCGAGCATCTGTCGTGTCACGCAGATAGTAGTTGTGAGTTTTGATGTCGGATAAACCTTGCATGCCAAACTCACTTACAAAGCGTCCGCCCAACTTGCCATAGTCTTGATAAGGCTCCTGAGTGCCGTGCCACACGTTCCACTGGTGAACGTCGCCTACAGTTGGGTCGCGCGTTGATGTCCCACCGAAAGGTGAGGAAGGCCAGTAAGGTATCCAAGGCGAGACAGCTGAAACAGCTTCTGGCAACAGATGCTCGTATATTGCGCGAGCCGGAAAATTGCTTTTGGCCACACGCTCCCAGTCAGTGTCGTCTTTGTCCCAAGTCAAGTTGTAGCTCTCGCAGACTTGGTAGTCTTCATTGCCGCCAGAAAAAAGTGCTAGGCATGGATGGTGACGGAGCCTGGTCAAGTTGTCGATGGCCTCCTTCTTCACAGAAAGCATGAACTCATGGCCTGCTGGGTACTGCCCACAACCGAACATCATGTCTTGCCAGACGAGAATGCCATACTCATCGCAAGCATCGTAGAAGTCATCAGACTCGTAAATACCACCACCCCAAACGCGCAACATATTCTGACCACCATCGACAGCTCTCTTTACCCAAGCGAAGTAGTCTTTTCGCGTGAGTCTGCAGTGGAAATTGTCGGCCGGTATCCAATTGGAGCCACCGGCGAAGATGGGTACGCCGTTGACGCGAAAGAAGAAGGATGTGCCAGGTTGACCCTCAAGACTGTGCTGAACCAGTTCAATTACGCGGAGGCCGAGTCGGGCCATTAATGTGTGTCTTCCAAGTGAAGCAGAGACGGTGTAGAGCGGCTGAGCGCCATAGCCCACAGGGTACCACAGCTCTGGTGCAGAGATGGTGAATACATGCTTCGCTTTGCCGTTACGTGCAGAAACAGTAGCTCGAAGTGATGTGCCGTCTGGTGTGACACATTCGACTTGAAAGTCACCACAAAAAGAGGCTGGGTGGACAGCAATGTCAAGCTTGATGTCGGCAGGCTCCTTCTTGTAGATGGAGGTTTCGACGCGCAAGTCGCTGATTCGAGTATTGTACTGTTCAAGCATGACTGGTTTCCAAGGGCCACACGTCATCAAAACAGGCCCCCAGTCCCAGCCATAATGATACTGAGGCTTTCGTACATGCAGCCTAGAAGGGTCGCCATTCCAGACGATACCCTCACCATTCCTCTTGTATAACTTGTGGCCTTCCACGATTGCGGATGCAAAATGAAGCCGCAAGATATTGATGCCGACGCGAAGATTAGCCTTGACATTGACACGGTGAGTGTGGAAGGCATTGTCGCTGCTAAGAATATGCGATCCGTTGAGAGAGACAGTAGCAAATGTATCCAGGCCTTCAAAGACAAGATCAGCAAACTCGCAAGCATCCAAACTTGCCACATGAAAGCAGCTCTTGTACTCCCAGTCTCGCTCTCCGATCCACTGCAGTCCAGTCTCATTCATACCAATATTGGGATCTGCGATGACCTTAGCATCAAGCAGCTCAAGGTGAATTTGACTCGGGTTGTACTTGCACTGTGTCCATGACTCTTTGTCGGGCGACGCCTCCTGCCACTGCCAGTCTTTGATGAGTGTGACAACGCGAGAGTCTTGTTTGAAGATGTGCATGTTGAGTTGTTGGGTCACTGCAATGAGAGTGGGAGTTCCAGAGTCGCCATCTTATCGGATTGGGGCTGCTGGATGAAGCCGACCCTGTCTTGCCTCTCTATGCGCAAACAAACTGAAATGATTGATCTCCGTGATGCTTGTCGCGATCGGAAGACCGTGTTCCAACATTGACCAAGGCCCCCACATTTGGAAATTGTAAAGACGCAGGCACTGAGGCACAAACAGCACAACGCAAGGTGGTCACAGACGGTGACAAAACCTCCCTGAGTCTCAGCCTCTCAGGTTGAGCTTCGGCATGATATGCGCCGCGTTCGCTCAGCCGCCAATTGGAGGCTTCCCAGCCATTTTAAAACCACTGTCTTCATCGTAATCTGTGCCAACCGTCAGTGCTTCAAGTGAAAGACACCTCAACTTCCTCAACCCTCACAAGCTACAATAAAATGAGCGACAACTTCCTCTGGGGCTACGCAACCGCGTCCTTTCAAGTGGAAGGCGCCGTTGACGCTGACGGTCGTGGTCCTTCCATTTGGGATACATTCACCCACATCCCGGGTAACATCGCCGATGGCTCAAATGCAGATGTAAGCGTCGACCAGTATCATCGCGCAGAGGAGGATATCATGCTTCTCAAAACACTTGGGGCAAGGGCCTATCGATTTTCGATTTCCTGGTCTCGCGTCATCCCCCTCGGCGGCAAAGATGATCCGGTCAATGAGGCAGGCGTCGAATACTACGCAAAGTTGATTGAACTTTGCCATGCTCACGGCATTGTGCCCTTTGTTACTTTGCATCACTGGGACACGCCTCAGGCTTTGGTCGATCGATATGGAGGCATGCTCAACACTCAAAAATTTGTACCAGATTTTGAGCGATATGCCACGGTGTGCTTCGATCGTTTCGGCAGGGACGTTCGACACTGGCTGACATTTAATGAGCCTTGGGTCATCTCTATCCTTGGCTATGGGATTGGCGCATTTGCGCCTGGGCGCAGCTCGAACAGATCACATCGAGCTGTTGGCGACTCGAGCACTGAGCCTTGGATTGTACACATCTTGACTCCACACTGTTGATGAGCTAACAGTAGGTTGGCCACAGCTGCATTCTCGCCCATGCCTCCGCAGTACGAGTGTATCGTACATGCTTCCAAGCTCATCAGCGTGGTCAGATTGGTATCACCTTGAACGGAGACTGGGCCGAGCCTCTCGAGCCAGATAATGCAGAGCATGTGGCGGCTGCTCAACGACATCTCGAATTTTGGATCGGATGGTTCGCAGATCCTATCTATCTGGGCGATTATCCAGCAAGTATGCGAGCGAAGCTGGGCGATCGGCTGCCATGTTTCACTGATGAAGAGAAGGACTTGGTCAAGGGCTCCAGTGACTTTTACGGTATGAACCACTACACATCTAACTACATTGTGCCTGATGAATGCTCTGGCGTAACGGAGTATATGGGCGATGCAAAGTATGTATACGAAAAGGATGGTATTCCCATTGGCCCGCAAGCAGAGAGCACTTGGCTGAGAGTCGTTCCATGGGGCTTTCGAAAGCTACTGAATTGGATCCATCTCCGGTATGCTATGCCGATTTATGTGACGGAGTTTGGCTGCTCTGTACCTGGCGAGTGTCAGATGTCCCTAGATCAGATTGTGCAAGACGACTTTCGAATCAATTATTATCACGGCTACCTGGATTCTATGCTGGAGGCGAAAGAGGTCGATGGGGTTGACGTTCGAGCCGCCTTCCCTTGGTCGCTGCTGGACAACTTCGAATGGGCGTCGGGCCTCAGTGTACGATTTGGAGTCGTCCACGTCGACTATGACACGCTTGTACGCACGCCAAAGGCCTCATCTGCCTTTGTCAAAAAGTGGTTCGAAGACCACCATGAACGTTTGCAGCGCTAATGAGTGGACCAATGGATTAGCTTTGTGAAAAGGTTTCAATGTGGTGTTCACGTCTACTACAGTCATACTACCGGTTATTGGATATTTGTGATCGTTCCCAGTATAGTTCCCGAACAGTGTGACATAATCGCATAAGCTAGGCTGAAGGGCAAGCGGCAGAGCTCGGCGGAGGCAAGCGTCCCGCAACTTATAGGTCATAGCCTGTCTGTCGACGAGGCACCTGAGGCTCGGACTGCGAGTAACGGATCAATGTATTCTCTTGCCCTTGATACGACTCATACGAGTCATGCGACCCGCAATTGAATGGTCGTCTGTCTATCACACTAGTCAGAACCATGGTCATGGCCCTGGTCGTATGGCACCACTAGACGAGACTCGAGAGGCCCTTGTTGACGGCTTGAAGCCGCTGGGCCCACAATGCGGAAGACCAACCCCCGCGCCGTCAAGCGTCACTCATACGCGCGGGCCTGGTGCGGTTCATGGCCCCTTGGACGAAGTCAGGCCAAGAGGCTAAAGAGCCCTTGCTGCCATGCAAACAATGCATAGCACTCGCATTGAATCTCGCAGTCATGTGCAGAATCTGGGGAAGTTCCCTCACTTTTTCTCACTCGAACTACTGCATCTTCTTGATCGCTGCCAAGAGGCTCAGGGTCCTCCGGCTTCCGATACCTGCCCACTTCTAGAATAGAAGTAATTGCAGTCTAGTGCCATCCGTACTCATGATCAATTTCACAAACAATCAGATTTAGCCTGATTTGGCCAAGTGGTCTCGGGCTTCGATCGGGATAGTCTCTCCCGTACCGGGCCCGTACGTAAGACCATCCGCCTACGCGTTCCGTTCAGCGTCTCAATTGACAGCTGTCTTAATTTGTCGACCCCAGATTTCTCCCACACGTCAAAATGTCGCTTGCGCGAGAATCAGTTGCGAGGCGACAAACATCGGAGGGGCTTCTCCGAAGTTGCCTCAGACATGCGCCGTGTGCAATGATTTTGCGACTCTGAGCGGGACCATCTCTCGCGACTCCTGCCTGATGCTTGATTGCCATGCGAAAGAATACCCCAGACTAGAAGCACAATACATAAATACTCTCATCTGCTCAGCCAAGATCACACAGAAAGGTCGCTCCTCCAAGTATGTCCAACAAGGAAGCCTTCACCCACGTTGAGAGCTTGGGCACCCAAGACGTCGCTCAAGAAACGATTGTACAAGGTTCTGCAGAGCTCAATGCTGCCGCGCTCCTTGAGAAACCCATGCCTGGGTCCCCGATGATGCTCAAGCTCTACGCCATCTGCTTTGTCGCATTCTTGTGTTCAAGCATCAATGGTTTCGACGGCTCATTGATGACAAGTTTGATTGGACTACAGCCATTCAAGTCGTTCTTTGGCGCAGAGTCAGTCGGAGCAAAGACTGGTATGTTGTACGAAGATCTTCGACATTCGACAAACTAACTGTGTGCAGGTCTCATTTTTGGCATGTACCAGATCGGAGGTGTCGCAGCACTTCCCTTTGTCGGTCCAGCATGTGACACCTTCGGCCGAAGGGCAGGCATGGTCATTGGATGCCTCATTGTCATCATCGGCACTGTTGTCTCTGGCACATCACACAACTTGCAAACTTTCCTTGCTGGACGATTCCTCCTAGGCTTTGGCAACAGCATCAGTTCCAGTGCAGCTCCAGCATATGTTGTCGAGATTGCCTTCCCAACATACAGAGGAACGCTCACGGGGCTCTAGTAAGTGCAAGCGTGTATATTAAATTTGACTAACAGTCAGCAACTGTTGCTACTTTCTCGGATCGATTCTTGCAGGTCTCGTCACATTTTCTATCGCTGTTGTCGATGTCAAGACAAACTTAGCTTGGCGCCTGCCGCTGTTCCTCCAGCTGGTCATGCCAGCAATCGTTTGCATGTTCGCCTATTTCTTGCCAGAGTCCCCTCGGTGGCTTGTCTCCAATCACAAGACACAAGAGGCCAAGGAAATCATTACGAAGTACCATGGCAGTGGCAACCCGGAGTCTGTCTGGGTCCGTCTTCAAATGGAAGAAATTGAGCGCGACATCTCTACGGAAGGCTCCAACAAGCGCGCTTGGGACTACAGGGAGCTCTTCGCTGGAAGCAATGCTCGTTGGCGTCTCACCTGCATGCTCATCGTCAGTCTATTTGGACAACTTTCCGGTAATGGTCTAGTTGGATACTATCTTGTCCCTGTTCTTGAGCAGAGTGGACTTAAGGACGCCAAAGAGCAACTCGGCATCAACCTCGGTAACCAAATGGCAAGTGCAATCGCTGCTGTTACTGGAGCGCGCATCGTTGACAAGGCTGGACGTCGTCGAACGCTCATTATTGTTTGCTTCTTGATGGCAGGTTGCTTTGCTTGCATCACTGCATGTACCGCTGTATTTGCAAAGGATGCCTCCAACGGCGCCTCCATTGCCTCCATCTTCTTCATCTTTGTCTTCTCGATCGTTTACTCATTCGGTCTGACCCCTCTGCAGGCTCTCTACCCAGTCGAGACCCTCAAGTTTGAGTCGCGTGCGAAGGGCATGGCATTTTCCTCCCTGGCAGTCAATGCGGCATCGCTGATGAACCAATTTGCGTTTCCAGTTGCCCTCAAGAACATTCAGTGGAAGGTTTACTTTGTGTTCATCGCCTGGAACTGTATTCAAGGTGTCATTGCGTACTTCTTCGTTGTGGAGACCAAGGGTCGAACACTTGAAGAGCTCGATGTGATCTTTTCCGCCAAGAATCCGCCCAGGGAGTCGATCCGCCCGACAAAGTTAGTGGTGACTGACGAGAAGATCGTCAAGGCCGAGTCTCTGTAGTGTTGAGTTGCGCTATAGCTGTTTCAAAGTTTGTATAGTACGCAGTTTTTTCGCTGCCATCTCGTAAGTTCAGGTCGTGGTAAAGCTACGGATCTAAATGTGCTATAAAGCCGCGCCGTGCGAATTGCGAAATGTCCAGGCGCGCGGGAAGTTGCAGTCTGCATGTCGATGACACTTGCTCTGTCAGACTACTTCTCGTTTCTGTTGCCATGAGGCAAACGGCATCCTGCTAGTCAATCGCCTTCTAGGGCTTCTTGGGTCGCTTCTCGACATTGTTGATAGTGCCTGTCGATCATGGTTCGCAAAAAGACACATGAGCAAGCTGCGATCAGCTCCAAGACTGCGTCGCTCGCAGCTAGTGCGACACAGAAGCAAAGGACTAAGCAAACTTGTGTCACGGATGCAGGCGAGGTCAAAGCGACCGCGAAGCAAATTGTAGGGGGCAGCAGTTGGACAGGCAAAATCCCAACGACTTTATTACAGGAATACTGTCAAAAACAAGGATGGGCTCGTTGCGATTACGTCGTCACCAAGTCCGGACAGCAGTTCGCTGTGCGGCATGTCTTGATATCGAAGAAGAATCCCAAAAACAATGAATTGACGAATGTCTTGCTTCGACCGACTGTCGAGACGGCTGCCATCTTGCCGACAAAAGCCACACCGCTTGAAGCCAGGAATGTCTCAGCAATCTTTGCTCTACATCGAGTGGCTTCGGATCGGAGCTGGCTGATGCAATTGCCTCCAGAGTACAGGGACATTTGGAAAGCTTTAGTGGAGTGCAAAGCTGCTGACGACAAATCCAACAAATCTTGGATGTATGCGTCGGACCCATTCAAAGCTGCAAAAGAGCACGAATTTCAAAAACAGCAGTGGGCCAAGGAAGCAGAGAAGAAGGACGAGGCGATCCGCAAAGCTGGATTCCTGCCAGCGAGGCAGAGTTTTGATTGGCAGCATGCGGCTGTCGTTGACATGTCCCGAGAGTATCGTCAACGTATTGAGACAATGGTGCGGGGTACACAGCTTGTTCTGTCGCAAAAGATCGAACTTGAGCCTGCACAGACCCAGGCCATCAGCAGCTCTCTAGCGGAATATGGCTTTCGCAAGTCTCATACACTAGAAGCACTTGAGCACTGCAGCTCGCAAGGCGATGCTTTAGAATGGTGAGTGTCAAGCTGTCCTTTCAAATACTGACCAACAGGCTTTTGCTTCACGTACCGGAAGACGATTTACCCCCACGCTTCCTTCCCCCGTCATATTCTGTTGGTATCAGTGCATCTCAACATGATTCTGACTCATTGCGTATCGACTATGCTGCTCGCCGACTTGCTTACGCTGGCTATCCAATTGACAGTGCAAAGGCTTGTATGGTCCAATATAATAGCGAACTTCTAGCAGCTGAAGTATTACAAGCTGAGCTTCTCGAGTTTCCGTTCGACGCGCCAGCGACTTTGGTGGAAGAGCAACCCGAGTGGGCTATCGAGATAGAAGGTATTGCTGCTACATTCATCGATACGTTCCGCTCCGACGAGGCCGCAGGACAATGCAGCGTGCAGATTCCCGGGCACAAGATGTATCAATTACATTTAAGACCTCCAGTCTCTGGAGTATACCCAGACTCGCTTCCAACCTTTTATGTGGCGTACCAGTCATCCTCTATGCCCGCGTATGTCAGGCTGGCCATTGTGCGACAACTTGGTCAGTATGCGAGCACGTTGAAGGGTGAGCCTATGATTTTCAGTTTGGTGGACTGGCTTGAATCTAATCTGGAACGAATACTTCAAAACCCCGGAAAGCTTCAGTCCCTTTCTAGCATCACTACTGGCTCATCCTCGACTTCTTCTACCCGGAAGCATCCTCGGCCTGTTCCGCGCAACACAAAGCTTATTCAATGGGATTCCTCCTCTGCCGAGTCTGCTTCGCTGAGAGCTCAAAGAGATGCCTGGTTCGAAGACAGAATCCATCAGAGAAAGATGAAGAATCGCGAGTCCCTGCCAGCCTGGAGAAGCCGTGCAGAAATTCTAGATGCACTCAAAAGTCACGCCGCCTTAATTATTTCTGGCGAAACCGGATCTGGCAAGTCTACGCAAGTGGTACAATTCGTGTTGGACGAGCTCATCACAGCCGGCCATGGTGATGTGGCCTCAATAGTGTGCACACAGCCGCGGCGAATTTCCGCTATCGGCCTCGCAGATCGAGTAGCCGACGAGCGATCTTGCCTTGTCGGTACTGAAGTTGGATACCAAATCCGCGGAGAGAGCAAGATGTCTGCAAAGACCAAAATTGCCTTCGTCACCACCGGTGTTTTACTCCGAAAGTTATCGACCCAAGGAGATGCAGGTCTCTCTCAAGTGACGCACGTTTTTGTGGACGAAGTCCATGAGCGTTCTGTAGACTCGGATTTTTTGCTAATCCTCCTCAAAGACCTGATGAAACGTCGCAAAGATCTCAAAGTCATCCTCATGAGTGCCACTGTCGATGCTAATTTTTTTGCCGAATACTTGGGTGCAAAGCAGCTCGTGATCGAAGGTCGGACTTTTCCCGTCACGGACTTCTACGTGGAGGATATGGTATTTTTGTCCTCGGACTCGAGTCCTCGAGAAAAGTCCAAAAATGGTGTCAACTTCGACATGATAGTTGATATAGTGCGACACATTGACAAGGTCAGTGGGTCAGACCTCAGCGGGATTCTTGTTTTTCTACCGGGTGTCCTCGAAATTTCGAGATGCATGCAAGCCATCAAAGGTGCTGGCCTAGCGAGAGTGCTCTGTCTACCCCTTCATGCGTCCCTTGATGGAACTGAGCAGCGAAAGGTGTTCTTGCACACAGCAGGTATGCGCAAAGTCGTACTCGCTACCAATATAGCCGAGACATCCATCACGATCGATGACATCGGATCCGTTATCGATACTGGGCGGGTCAAGCAGATGGCATTTGATTCAGAGGCGAATGCGTACAAGTTTGAAGAGGTCTGGTGTTCCAAAGCAGCGTGCCGTCAGCGGCGTGGGCGAGCTGGTCGTGTCAAAGCTGGTGTCTGCTACAAGATCTTCTCCCGCTCGCTTGAGTCCGCCAAGATGTTGGAAAGCACACCACCTGAAATATTGAGGGTTCCCCTGGAACAGGTGTCGTTATCTGTCCTGGCCATGAATAAGCCTGTACGGGTCTTTCTCGGTCAGGCAATTACTCCGCCCCCGCTTGCTTCATTGGAAGCTTCTATGAACACTCTACGAGAGATTGGTGCAATCGAGAGTGGTGAAAAGGATGTCCTGACTCCTCTTGGTCGGCATTTGTCTCTCATCGCAGCTGATGTACGATGTGCGAAATTGCTGGTCCTCAGTACCATCTTTGGCTGTGTCGACGAGGCACTCACCATTGCCTCTGCATTGTCTTCCAAGCCCGTATTTTCTTCCAAGCCAGAGGCCCGGGATTCTAGGCTGGCCTTTGGTTCCGCCGACGGCGATGTGATATCTATTCTGAACGCTTACAACGCCTGGAAAAGGCATGATAATGGCCGTCAGCGACGATTATGGTGCGACGAGAACTATGTATCCGACATGGCCATGCAGGAAGTTGCATCCACTCGAACGCAGCTATGGGCTTGTCTACGTGAGGCTGGATTGATTCAACGAGAATCGCACCACCGAAAGGATAGCACTGTGGCGACGGCAGTCCTCAGATCCCTGATAGGTGCCTCGCTTTCACCAAACATCGCCCGCATTGCCATGCCAAATACCAAGTATGCGCAGCATCAGTCAGGTTCAATTGCCAAAGATCATGTCAGTCGTGAGATCAAATATTTCACAAACGACGGCCGTGTGTTTCTCCATCCGACCTCTGTGCTCTTCTCGGAGATTGAGTACAAACAGTCGGCATTTCTGGCGTTTCACCAACAAGTTGAAACGTCCAAGAAGTTCATCAAGCAAAATACTCCCGTTTCAACGTACAGTCAATTGCTTCTTGGGCACAGCTTACAGCTCGACGGGCAAGGAAGGGGTCTCATTGTCAATGATTGGGTCAAACTACGTGCGTTTCCGAAAATTGGGGTATTGTGCAAGCTTCTTCGAATCATGCTAGATGATATCCTCCTCAACAAATTTGAATTTCCTCAGGAAACGGCCTCGCCAGCAGTTCTTTCTCTAATTACAGATTTGCTAGCCTCGAATGGGATAAATATGTAGATTCTATTCATTACTGATTGTTTCGTCCTCTTTTTCGGCAGGCAATGTGCCTTGCGCTCGGAGGGTCTCGAGACACTTTTCCAATGCGAGCTCGTCTTTCAGATAGTAGGCGTCCTTCCAAGCGTGCTTGAGTTTGATGTGCATGAGATCGTGTGCACAAACAATGTTTCGCCCTGCTAAAACTGTTGACTCATCATCCTCCAGTACCGGCAGCTTTGGATAGCGTTGGCTGAAGTGGGTGAGAATGGTCACATGTGCTTGCATTTCTTGACTGACAAACAATGCTTCGTTGACGGTACTGTGCTTCTTCTTGATGGCCTCGTCTGATTTGCTATTCTGAAAGGTCGCTTCATGAATTAGACAGGTGACTCCGTGACCTAGCTTCATGAATTGGCTTGAAGGCCTCGTGTCTCCTGAGAATGCAACACTCCATCCGTCTCGATGGTCAAGCCTAAGGCAAGTACTTCTCTCAGAATGGATAGCCGGCACAGTCTCAATGCGATCAAGTTGAGGCACAATCTCCAGCATTTGTCGATAAGTGCTCGTGTTGGGCGGAGTCTGCTGGCTGTTATACAGTTCGGCTGTTGATTGAAGGCACAGCCGGTGCAGCTGAAGGCCTTCCATGGCATCGTATTCGCGGATACTTCTTAGCAGCTTGACAGGCGCGAGAATCACAAGCTTATCCTCGTTCCGTGCGTTGACTTGCATCCATTGTCGAACCACTCCGATAAGGCCCAGATGGTGATCGGCATGTAGATGCGAGATGTAAATCATCTTGATTTTCCTCATTTCAGACGCTTGCTGCGCTCCAAAAGCCCTGTGCAATTGATTCAATGTGCCCTCACCGCAGTCCAGTAAGACATTCAAGCCGTCTGGACTTCTTATGAGCGTGGCAGCGACATTGCGGTAAATAGACGGTCCTGCTGAACCTGTTCCGAGCGTGACGACCTCCACATCACAACCCGGAAAATCCTCGGCTTGAATATTTACCAAGGACTGTACCGTCGTCGCCGTTCGCTTGATCGCTTCCTCGTATGCTTTCAGTGCATCAGAGACTTCAGGCTTACTCCTTTGAGCGGCGTCAACGTCGATTTTATGATGAGCTGAGCTTCTGCGTGAAGTCTGTTTAGTCTGGTCCACTACACTTGTGTCCAGCAGGAAACTTTGGTCACCTTTGAGCGGTCGTACATCTGCAACTGCACCAAAGAGGCGTGCAAAAACGACTTGACTATCGTCTCTGACCAGCTGCTTGACATGTGGGTATTGATCGGCATCCAGTGACTGTAGAGACAAATAGTGGGCCTCGGATCGGTCAATGATCGGTCTCTCGTTGGTGAGCAACGGATGCGAGAGGATATGCATCGTTCCCGAATGGAAAGAAGCCATCCATGCAATGTAACACGGATCAGACAAGACAGCGGGATCTCCCGTGTGCACGATGATCCCGCATGTGTCCTTGAAATTGTCATCATCCCAATAATTGTGCTTCAAAAAGGTGGAAATATAGTCGACCGAGGGGCAATTTGCGATGAGTGCAGGTGCAGATAGACGCCGTGGCCCGAGTACTTCGTGAGGATGGACGACCGTGCCATTAGGCAAATAGACTGACTGGCCTTGCTGCAACTTCCCATAGAGTGGCCCTTTTGGGACCCCAAGTGCCATCGCACGAGCAACATCGAACTTTCCCGGCCGTGGTTGTCCCTCTATACAGTAGGAGACAGTTGCTGGGAACGGCGTCGCAGTTGGCAGGTCTTTATGCATCAATTTGATGAAAGCGGTATACTTGTCCCGGTCAAGTCCTGTTCGACCATAGAACGACTCCCTTCGATCAGCTTCTGAAGATTCTTGCTGCATTTCTTCAAACGTCCTCTTCTTTTGCGTTGCTGTGGTATCCTGGTTTGGGTCCGCCAGAGCGGTCCAATCACCCTGGGCGTTGAGTCCACTGATCTCTCCTGTCCAGACAGACCGCGCGACAGACTGCATGAGCTTAAGTTCCGCTTCCGATGTTGAGGCTGGCCGGTCAATCTCGCCAAAACCCTTTGGTTGGGTCAAAATTGCTTGTATTTTTACATTGGCGTCTTCAAATGGCTGAGGCAATAACTGTGTGTACTCCTCAATTTGAAAGTCTGCGCCATCTGTGTAGCGGTGAAACCGTTGCAGGCCCGCACGAAGAGTTGCGAGATAGTAGGCCAGATTCTGTGGGCCATGGAGCGCTATCTGCGGATAGCCATTCTCGGTCGCGAGACCGAGGAGAAGCCCAGCTAATCCGCCAAAACTATCCCAGCTGGACGATAGAAATACGTTTGTAAATTTCTTGATAGATAAGCCCTTTGACAGAAGCTGGCGCTGTGTTCCTTCGCCGCAATTAAAGAGATACCGCTTGTCGTCGTATATCACTGCGAGCACTGGCTCTGCTCTGATTCCTGGCGAAGGGAGAGACACGACTTTGAATGACTGAGGCATGTCGCGTCTGCTAGTGCTAGCCAAACGGTAACGAGCTGAAGAAGATACGCCGTCACTGACAAGGGCTCGCAACCTTGCCACCAGCTTTATACCAGCAATGCTGCGGAGAATGGCCGTGGCCAAATTTGAGACGAGCTCGCTATCCCTGCAGCTGCAGACAGCTCGGAACTCAAGGCAGCACAGTTTCAGTAGCCTATAGCAAACAATGCCTGATTCAAGCAATTAGGTAGGCGACGAGACCCGAAGACCCGAGTCTGAGCACTCTTCCAGCAATAGTCAAATCGCCGCAGACGGAAACACTGGGTTTGTCCGTTATTTTTTCTCTGGGCCACCTGGCAAATCTACTTCATCTACTGCACGGCAGGTCAACGTTGACCGCTCAATTTGTTTCTCGTCCAAGCCGCACGGGTGGCGCAGGCAGGGAAAAGCCAACACAGCGCGCGGGAGACGGCTACTTACGCACATACAAGAGACCATGAGCGCAAAGCCGGAGGCCGTTGTAGAGGTGAAGCCGCTCTTCACATTTACCAACGTAATTCTCATTGCTGTCTTACTCTACTTCCTCTATGCTCGTTTCAAGGGCAAGTCTGGTCTACCAAGTCTTCAAAAGCCAATAGAGCCGCTTCCGCGACAAGACTACACGCCGCAGGAGCTCACTCGCTACAATGGAGTCGGTGACCCGCATATCTTGATAGCGATCAAGGGAAAAGTCTATGATGTGACGACTGGCTACATGTTTTACGGACCTAAGGGTCCTTACAAGAACTTTGGAGGGCACGACGCAAGCAGAGCCCTTGCTTGTGGTTCCTTCGAGCCAGAGATGTTTGTCAGCATTGATGGTCCCATCGATAAGCTTGAGGACCTTGATGATGAGCAGAAGCAATCCCTTGAAGACTGGGTGAGCCACTTTGATGTAAGTCGCGTGCATTGGTCCATGCAATTTGCTAATGATCCAGATGAAGTACATTGATGCCGGTAGACTACTGGAAAACGGCAGCAAGAAGTCGGATTAGACTACTTGACCACCAGCTTGAGGAGTCAAAATGCTCTCATGCATCCTACATCATAGTCACATTTGAGAGTATAGTACAATCTCGACGATGTCACGGCCAAAATCCAATTTATAGCGGCATTCTGCAAGAGCACTGAACCACCTCGAGCTCTAGATCTCTGCGCCCAAACCGTTTCCGTAACTCCCAAGATACTTGGATCATTGCTTCGAGGCAGCTGAGCTTCGAGTCTGCTCTCTCTTCATGTCTCTGCATCCTGACGTACACATTACGACCTATAATGATGCGAAATTAGCTGAACTCTATCCCGAGCACTTGAGCCTTCGTTTAGTGTATGCTGTCGTCCCATCTGTCCTTCATTTCTAACATGGTAGGCAGATCCTTTTCCGGCACGGAGAAAGAACGCCCGTCAGGCAGAGGCTACCATCAGCTGGTCTGCCGCTACAATACAGGATGTGCTTCAATGCAGAACGTTTTCGAGCAGCGGTCAAGATGACCAATGGCTGGAACGAGCTGCCCTATGCCAGACGATTAGAAGTCCCTGCAAATACTAGATCTGGTTCAGGGCTCAGCACGGCTGCGGCGTTGCCTGGCACTTGTCTGCTGGGCGAATTGACAGATCGCGGACGCCAAAGTACGTTCTACCTGGGTGAGCGTCTAAAAGAGCTTTATGTTGACCGACTGGGTTTCGCCAAAATCAGTCACGAGTCTGAGCTATACTTGAGGGCTTCGCCAATTCCTCGTGCTCTAGAATCTTTGCAGCACGTCTTCTCCGGGATGTTTCCGCGTAGCAGTCTTCCGAAGCAGTTTGAACTGATCATCCATCAAAGAGACTGGACTCAAGAGAATCTTTACCCGAACGAGGGTGCTTGCAAGCGACTCCAGCAATTGGCGAAAGAATATGCAAAGCGGGCTGCACTCACATGGAATCCCATACTGGCCGGCCACGCTTCAGAATTGCTCTCCGAGAAGTACCTAGACGGGAAACCCTTGCAAGTCGACGGCAATCCTCGGGTCACTGGGCTGGCTGATACAATCAATGCTGCAATTGGCAATGGCTTAGACATCCCCGCAGAGTTTCGAGACAAAGACATGCTAAAGCAAGTTGAAGCCGCTGCTGTTGAAGAATGGTTTGGGGGGTACTTGGCTGACGAGGCCTACAGACGTCTGGGTGCTGGCCGGTTGCTCGGAGACTTTCGAGATAGAATGGTCATGTGTGCCGGCAGGGAGAGTTCTCTCAAAGTGGCCCTCTATGGAGCGCATGACACGACTATTGGGGCAGTCCTGGCTTCGCTCGGCGTCTTTGACCGAAGATGGCCGCCATTCTCAAGTCATATTGCTATCGAGCTTTTCGAGGATGCCAGAGCCTCATCTGATTCCATCACAGGTGAGAGTCATCTCGTGAGATTGCGTTACAACGATAAGGTATTGCATATTCCTGGCTGCACGGAGGCGGTGCACGGCTTTTGTACATTGAAGGAGTTCAACAAGGTCATAGATGAGCTGGTCCCAGAAGACTGGGAGGCGGAGTGTCGTGCAAAGCCTGATCTTTCAGCATGATCACGTACATTATCTATGTAGAAGGTAAAGATCGCATTGAAACAGTCTCAAGTACGTTTCCTTCTGACATGTATACTCAGGGTACTCTGCAGTGTGGTGTGTAGTTGTAGTCTGGCTGGCAGTGACAGCCTGTGATGTGGATTAGTCGCCAATTGCCGCAACATCAAAACAAACAAATACGACCACGACACCCGACACTAGACAAGGTCATTCAGGGCATCATGGACTTTACTCCGCTCGTACCGGCAAGCAGCATACAGTCGAGCGCATGCGACCTTTTTGTTGCCTCAGTCATTTTCCCGTCGAGTCTCGTCGTTCGCTCCGTCGCTACACTTGGCATAGCTCGAGTTATCTCCCTGGAACCCAATTTCACGCGCAACATTATCGCTATGCGCTGGTCACCCTCGACAACGGGAAGTTCTCGCATTCTTCTTGTTCACAGTGACAAGATTGTACATATTTACGATGTCATGAATCAAGAGCGGTGTTGGACTATTGACGAGAGCGAATCGGGTATCAGGCACGTTGAGTGGTCTGCCGACGGCCTCGATGTGCTCACATGGTCAGATCATCACCTGTATCTGTCAATCTGGTCTCTCAGTGGTCAAGGTTTTGTTGTTCCTCACCCAAAAGCAGGCAGCCACAGCCACAGCAGCCGTCCCGGACAACCACAACAGGTCGCCGTCCTGCAGAGGGAAGCTCAGGATCAAGTCTCTCTCGCCTCAAAAGCATCCGATGGCGAATGGACCATCGCGCACACCTTCTCAATTGACACGACAGATGCATGTGGGCTCGCTTGGAGCCCAAGTGGCAAGTGGCTGGCTGTATGGGACCATCCGATCGAATATCGCATCCTAATCTACACCGCTAGTGGTCTGCTTGTGCGAAAATATGAAGCGTATGATCTTGGCCTAGGTATCCTCTCGGTTGTCTGGTCGACCGATGGAGAATACTTGGCTGTAGGGTCTTATGATGGCAGAGTCCGCCTGCTCAATACTTTCACATTCGCACCCACCACAGAGATACTTCACAATGAATTGGTACGTGACCCAAGCATACAGGCTTGGCGGGAGGTTTTCGGAGCGACAGAGCGTCGTTATGATTCAGCACAGGCGCCAATGTCACTACCAACTGCCAAAGCCCTCCCAACGGAGCTGCCAAAAACAGGTGTATCCCTATTGCTCTTCAGTCCGGATGGCAGACATCTGGTAACGCGCTCCGATGCTATGCCCACGACTCTATGGATTTGGTCGCTAGCTGAAATGATCCCATTGGCGCTTCTGGTGCAACTGAATGCAGTCAAGACTGTTCGATGGCACCCGGATGAGTCTGGCCTCCTTGTATTCAGCTGTCAAGCGACCGACAAAACGAGCAATAACTCAGTGTACTTGTGGTGTTGCGACTGGGATACACCGCGTATTGTTGAAATTCCCCAGCCAGATTTTAACATGCAATGGTTCGAGGTCTTCGCAGACAAGCACACTCTTGAGGCAGGCATGCTTTTTGGTGGTCAAGGCGTTGTCACGATGGGGTACCTAGTGGATGAGACGATGACTTGCATTGGCACTATTGAGGAGGCTGAGTCCGAGGGCGAAGTGGATCGGCAGGAGCCAGCGTCCTTGAACACTTTCAACGGTACCTCATCCCTGATTATTCACGACACACTTCCTGCTGCTGTTCGGGTATAGAGAAAAGACAAGGCGGCGCTGAGCTGGATATCAGAAGGCAGCAACACCACCCACATCTTGCACTAAGCGGTACCAACCCTCCAATCTTCGATTCAAGCCGCCGTAGTAGGCCCACCACACTGCAGATGGGATTAATGATCTTGATCTTCAAAGACGTTTGATAGCGAAACAGCTTGATCTGGCTCAGCCCATCCTCGGCCTTTGACTTTGGTCAGATCCTCCGCTGTGACAGTACGTGAGCTGAAGTAGCCAGAGTTGATCTTTGCCTCAATCTCGACCTTGGAATCTTCTAATCACTTGTTAGCTCGTCAATCAGTGATGGAAGGACTGCACCTGGAATGAGATGGTCGGGGAGCTCTACGCGCTCGTGGATGGGAATGCCTGCCGAAACAATGGCATCGTATTTCATGTTAGACATGGAGAGCATTTTGTCGATCTTTTTGACGCCCAACCAGCAAAGGATGTCTGGCATCAGGGCCTGGAATCTGAAAGTCAGCAGTTGGACTTGGGACAGACTCCACTCCTCAGTGCACATACCGCATATCCTTGACGCCCGCGATTCGCTCAGTGGCGCTGAAGTACTTGTCTGCGCTGTCACCTTCGCGTTTGCGCAGGTTGTAAACGAGGTACCTAGCGTGTTAGCCTGGACACAAGATCGATTGGATGCCTTACTTCAGAACCTCACCTAGTGCCCGTCCTTCCTTGCGAAAGTAAATCACCAGGCCGGAACCGCCGTTCTGAGCTTCTTTCGCACACTCTTCAATGCCGTAAAGCAGATAAGGCCGGCACGTACAGATATCTGAACTGAAAACGTCACTGCCATTACACTCATCATGTACACGGCATGCTAGGCGCACAGAAGCATCCGAAACTTTGGCTGGATCTCCAAAGATGTAGACAGTCAGGCCACCAATTGGAGGTAGGAAGACTTTCATATCTGGGCGTGTGATGAGTTCCGGGTACCTGATTCATTAGCAAATTGGCCATTGCTAGGAGTACATGAACTTACATGCCACCAGTGTACTCAAACAGCGAGCGTCTGAGAATCTGCTCAGTCACACCAAACCGTTTTGCAATTTGAGGCAGATACCAGACTGGATCGACGGCTACCTTGGTCACAGCCATTTCACCTTTGTCATTCAGCACGACTTTGCCATCTGGCACGAGTCGTCCGGCCTTGACAGCAAGCTCCATCTCAATAAGGCTCAATTTTGCCCTCGTGATGGAGATCGTGGGTCTGATGTCGAGTCCAACCTTTCCAGCCATCAGATCTTTGTACACAGTCTGTACCTGGTGACCAAAGGGGTCCATGGACGCGATAGCCTCTGGATCAGACCATGTGGGTTGAGCCTTGAAGTCAACAGGCGGCTCTGTGTTTGTGAAGTCCGGCTTGTGATTGAAGGGCATCTGGTTGGTAGCATTGGCAAGCGCAAAGTAGACACTGTAACTGCCTCCGTGTGCGCCGATTGCATTGCGGCTGCTGAGTGTACTTTCTTGACGCGAGACAATGATGGGGCCTCGTTCTAAAGGGTCTGTTGCGCCCCAATTGAGAGGAAACGGGTTCACATTGGACTGGCCTGGATATGCTAAGGGGTTAGCTGATGGAACGCCGTCATTGATGCCTTGTGCTGAGCAGCCTTACTTGTGAGAATGACACGAGAAGAGAACTTGTCCCTGGGCTTATCGGTAGATTCATCAGAGGCGACCATGAATGAAGTATGCGCCTAGTCGTTCGAGAGGTAGGCCGGACACTAGACGCGGTGCGAGCTGGTTTTGTGCTGATTCTTGGTGGTGCGTGTTTGTGGGGAGATTCCGATGCGCTGTCGGGAGGACGCGATCCCTGATCTATGCCATGGATTAGAGCGAATTAAGGCCAGCACATGAGCTGCAATAGTCAGAAGCAAGACTGCTCGAAGAAACGCGATGGGCGAAACTGTTTCCAGGTTTGGCTCGATTGTGACTGCTGAACATCTTCTACGTCTATGGTCTGCCGACAACTTCAACAATTTGATACAAGTGCTTAGTACTTCTGCTCTCTGCTATCAAAGGAGCTCTCGTCATGGGCAAGCGCAAGAGCTCCTCCAAGCCTCAAGCCAAGAAGACGGCAGGGAAGCTGGCCACCACATTTGATTGTCTCTTTTGCAACCACGAAAAGTCTGTCATTGTCGATATGTAAGTTAGACGCTGCTGCGATTGAGTGCGACTAAACACTGACCAACCAGCGACAAGAAGGGTCTCATTGGATCGCTCAAGTGCAAAGTTTGCGGCCAGTCTCATCAATGCAGGACAGACGCGCTTTCTGCGCCCATCGACGTCTTTTCAGATTGGGTAGATGCTTGCGATGCGGTCGCACAGCAGGATGGCGCCGGCTCCAAACCACAAGCCAGGAGGGACGACTATGACGACGACGATGATGAACTGGAGTATGACTAGAAGGATGATTGGCCTGACTGGCATTGTAACATCCGTGTATATTATCGTTATGAACGGCATCCAACCCCTTGGCTTCAACGACTTCTATCATCGCATGCATCTGCCTTGACAAGCAATCCTATTCTGAGTAGTAACGGTCGCCGAAGTCGCCCAGTCCAGGTACAATGTAATTGTTCTTATCGAGGCATTTGTCGATGAAGGCTGTCACGACACGCAGCTTTGGGAAGTTCTTCTTGAATGTCGCGATACCTTCTGGCGCTGAGATGAGGTTGAGGAAGATAATGTGCTCCTCAGGAACGCCGCGTTCCAGAAGTACCTCCACTGCCTTGATGGCAGAACCGCCTGTAGCCAACCTGCCGTGTCAGCACGCTTCCTTGATGAGGTCAAATCTTACATGGGGTCGAGCAAAAAGACCCAGCGATGAGCAATATCCTCTGGCAGCTTGGAGTAGTACAACTTGGCCTGTGCAGTCTCTTCATCCCGTTGAATCAAGATCTTGCCGATGCGAACTGAGCGGCAGCAGTCGCGGAGACCTTGCTCCATAGACTCGCCTGCACGCATGATACTGACACCACATATCTGTCCGTGAGCAATGAAGACCTTGTAACCTTGCCCAGCTAACCTTGCCCTGGAACTGCACACCATTATAGTCGTTCCCGGTGGCCGTTGCAACAGTCTGCTCCACCACGGGAAGGTAGTTGAGCCCCTCCTCCACGAGCAGTCTGATGATTCTGTTGCTGTAGAAGATAAAGTCCCCGCGCTGAGTCGTCTTGTCTCGGATAATGGTGAGCAGTGCTATCAGCTGGTGCGTCTGGCGCAAGACAGCAACATTAGCGTGCTCCACCTGAGTAGACACAGTGGCCCCGTCTGACATGGCTGCTCACAGGCTCAGGAAAGAAATGACAAATGTCCAAAGAGCAGCTGGGCCCTGGCAAAAGGCGCAAGTTGTCGACCTCTTAAGCGTCTATCTGCTCCGCCTGCTCGTCGTCGCGTGAAGCCGAAATCCGCGAAACGAGCAAACAGGCGCTGAAGGGACGTCACCCGGCCTGCGACTTGCTGCTCCCGGTGGCCCTTGTCGAAGCCTGTCTTCATTGGCTCTCATTCACCATCGCACGAGTATGGCGATGCAGACGTGAGTGACTCAGCTATCTGGACCATGAAGCGCACGCCTGGACGCACCTATGGCAGCGGGCGCAAGTTTGGCGCATCGACCTCAAGCCAGGCACAGTGGGATGAAGGCATCGACAACCCAAACGCTTCTCATGCAGTGGATCATTCTCCTGTAACTTATTCGTCCATCAGCGCCGACTTGCCCGAGCGGTCGAGAGTGACTAAGGCCAAACGACCAGCGGAGGTCGACATCTATGACTTTGATGCAGAGGAGCAGAAGCGCCTCAAGCCAAGTAAGCCAAGCAGTAAAGCGGTCATCGATCACAGCAAAAACGTTTCCAGGCGTCCCGTCAGTATACTTAAAGCTCAGGCAAAGAAGATTAATGCGGGAAAGACATCCAATGGAAGCCCAGTCAACGCAAATAAGGATGTTGCTAGTCCTTCGAGTCGTAAGACGCAACGTACCATCGCTTCTACAGAATCTCCAGCTCCATCCAGGTCACCAAGGAAGCGAACGATTGCCTCTCCGGTGAAAGCTGCACAGAGTCCATCCAAGGCAAAACTTCCTCAAAACGAGCCGACCGCGAAATCTCCAGTAGCCATCCATACGCCAGAGAAACGGACGAGAACCCCCTCTGCCAAGATCCGCTCTGCAATCAAACAGACATTGGCCGAACCTTCCACGAGATCTTCAGAACCAGTTGCTTCACCGGGAAAACGCCTGCGCACACTTTCTGCTGCAACTAGTCCAGTCGTTCCTTCAGCCGCTAAGCCCAAGTCAAGCACGACTCCGAAACCAAAGGACAAAACTCCAACACGAAGAAGTCTCAGGTCTGCCCAAAAGGCAGAGGTGTTGCCAGCAGATACTCAAACACCAGCAGCACCAGCGGAGGAAAGCATGCCGACGCGATTGACCACGCCTCCTCCATTACAGCAGTCAGTGTTCTCGCCAAATTCACCTCGTCTCTCTCCGCAGCAAAAAGCTATGTACGATGCATTCGGGAAATCGGCTAGCGGTGCAAAACTCGATGCTCGCCCACGCCGCTTGATGGAGGCACTGGCACACTCAAAAGTCGAACGGCGTCAGGCTTCGCAAGAGGATCAAAGAAGCCATGAGTCACCTCACAAGAACATGGTTGAGATGGCAGAATCAAATCTCGAACAGCAACCTCTCATCGCCATTGAGTCGGAAACACAGAGTCAAGAGGCCCCAGAAGCTATGGCCTCTGCAGCTGAGAGTCCTCTGGAACAGCCGGCTCCTTCCGCACGTGCGACCTACTCAAAGCAAAGGACATATCTTGCAGAAGACAACCAAATCGACAATTACATCAATGGCTCACAAGCAAGAGCGCCAGAGTCGAGCGAGAGCGACAATGACGCTGAGGCCCAGTCTAATATCAGGAATTTGCATGATTTACGCCAAAGTGGCGAGACAAAACGACTGATTGACGACATTGAATATCTCTTGGAAGGTCTCGAGAAGGAAAAGACAATGCTTGCCACTCTACTGGAGCTGAGTGACAAACTCATTTCCAAAGACTTCAGTCGCACGTTTCGGGCCATGCATTACGACGCCAGAGTTTTGGAGGTCTGCAAGGATGTGACCCACCCCTTACTGCTGGCTTGTTGTATGTTGCTCTTGGTTGCTTGTCGTGCGCAAGACAATGGACGCGACCGAAGTCGCAAAGCCTGCGACACAGAGCTTGTGCGCCGCGCATTGGCCGACGATCGTGATATTGCCGTTCTCTGCAAGGATCGCAAGCTGAAGGTGAGCAAGCTTAATCAAGGTGCTGTCGAAGACCTCAGGCAGAAGCTCTCGAAAACCGAAGCATTCTCCGGAGCTGCAGCAGAGCTAGCAATCTCGCCAAGAATTCTTGCGCTAATGGTCTGCAATGTCTCTTCGTTCCCTTCCCAATTTTCTCGGACCAATTTGTGGCCATTGTTTGCTTCGCTCGATTTGTGCTCCTCATCAATTCTTCTTGAGGCGCAATTACTTTTCGCCGCTGTGGAACAGTCGCCCCTCGATGTGAATGAAGACATTCCTTCAGACTCTATTGGGCCACTCATGTCGCTTGGTTCTCATCTGCTAGAGTGTGCAAGCGATCCCACAACTCATGTGCCTCTTGGCAGCACGCTGCGAGCTCTGATTCATGCGTTACAAGGCAGTACACCTTGTGCCCATTTGTTCACCTCGCAATTTGTTGGTAAGACAATGCTCGTCTTATCAGAAAAGGTGCCAGAGGCTGCAGAGACGGATGACGAGATAATTTTATGTCTCGGAGTACTCATTGCGCTTGCAGATGGCTCTGAGCAGGGCAAGAAGTTAATCCGTGACAACAGCAAGACTGGCATGTCGTCGTTGTTGTCGCAGCTGTCGACCAGGCTGAACAATCAGGTAAGGACATCTCGTGTTTTCATTTAAACTAACAGTAGCGCATGGATGCAATCAGTGGCTACATGGCACTGCTCGCGTACCACCTTGGCCTTCACCTGGAGCCTGGAGCCGATGTGCAAAGTATCCGCCAGGGACTCCGAATTCTGGTCGATGCTCCAGAAATCAACACACTGCTCTCTGAAACAATCAGAGCATATGTGAACGCTCTGTGACATTGCCTCTAGTACTCTATAGCCTGGCAAATAGGATCCACCGCAAGTAGCTTGACTCCATCTGAAGCCTCACGTGTGATCGCAAGACTCGAGCACAAAGCGAAGCGACAAACATACAAGCGCTCGCTGTGTCTAGGCCTAGTTTGTGTTGCAAGCTCTTCGATCGCTAGTCTAGTCGCTCAATCATGGTCAACCCAGCGCCAATGAAATCACGCCGAGTGGCCGTCCTCGGGAGCAGATCAGTTGGTAAATCATCGTACGCGGTGCTCCCACTTGTCTTGAAACACACTGCTGATGCGCCTCCTTTTAGCTTGACTGTCCAGTTTGTTGAGAACCACTTTGTCGAGTCGTACTATCCGACGATCGAAAACACCTTCTCCAAGATCATCAAGTACAAAGGCGCCGAGTTTGCGACTGAGATTATTGATACGGCAGGACAGGTTCGCGATCGAGGTCCCTTCGGGCAAGGCTAACTTCAGGATGAATACAGTATCCTCAACTCGAAGCACTCTGTGGGCATTCACGGTTATGTCTTGGTGTACTCGGTCGCGAGCAAGAGCTCGTTTGAGATGGTCAAGATCATTCGCGACAAAATCCTTGACCATACTGTAAGGCGTGCGCTTTGATGGTTGCATGAACTAACGAGCAGGGCACAGACTGGGTTCCCATTGTCGTCGTTGGCAACAAGAGCGACCTCCACATACAGCGTCAGGTCAGCGTGGAGGACGGCAAGGCGCTTGCGGCCGAATGGAAGTGTTCCTGGACTGAAGCATCAGCGCGCCACAACGAGAACGTCGCAAGAGCATTTGAGCTCATCATTGCAGAAGTCGAGAAGCAGGAGAACCCGACGCCGCCCGGTGGACAGGGCAAGAGCTGCATCGTCTCCTAGAGCACATCTCCAAAAATCAATACATGCTTGTGTTCGTATATCATGCGTTTCCTACGATGGCTTTAGCTGCTGCTGCGACGTCTTTGGCTGCAGAGAGCTCTTTGAGACTTGTGACGGCGGGGTCTGACGAGTCCTTGCTGTTAGTGATATGACTGAATGCCTTGAGAGTGTGTACCGTGAACTCCTCCAGCTCTTCCAATGCCTTGGCGAGGCGCTTCTTGTAGTCAGGAATCATCTGCTCAGCATCTGCGACAACCTTCTGTTGTGCTCTGAGCTCGTACTCGTCGCCGCCATTGGCTTTGAGCTTCTCGTAACGTTCTTGCTCTGTCGTGACCTCCTTCTTGCTATATTCATAGTCTGGCATGAGCGTTGCGGCTTCTCAAAATATACAGACCTTTGGTGAGACGCTTGACTGTGCCAGTCTTGATGGACACGATCTTTGCAATGTCGCTCATGTCTGCTTCTACGATGTAGCGGTGCAGCAACTTTGTCTGTTCGTCGCGTCCAAGACTTCAGTGGACGACATCCATGGCCAGCGCGACTGCTCCCAATCCTCAGCCAATGAGTGTGACAAAATATCGCTGTCACGCTTGTCCATCAGTTGTCATACGTGCTGCAGAGCTACAGGTTCTCGAACGTAATCAAGCACTCCCCGGTCTTGCTTCGAAACAGTTCTTCGTCGTCAAGGACAAATGTATATAACAGCGTTCCCTCCAACAACCGCTAACATCAGTTGATTTTGATAATATTGGCGTCTCCCGTGCTCACGAGGGACAAGTCTATCTGTGCTGCGCCGACTGTGACACACTGCTGGGATACGTTGCAGAAGAAATATACTATCTCGCGACCGATTTAGTGAAAACATGAGTCGAGTGATTGAGGCACCCTCGCACAACATCTTGTCAACTCTTGGCCTGCTTCCACTCAATCGCGGAAGACTTTGTGCTGCGGCCACGCCGCTGCTCAAGCAACGAATCAATCTACTGGGTGATGATGAAGACTGGCCTTCTTACCTCACTTGGGACAAGTCGGCTATGCGAGCTTTTGCGGTGTGCATCAAAGAGGTGGCGAATGGGTCTCTTGCTTCCGAGACTCTCGAAGGGTTTGCCCGCCTCGATGAAGAGACTATCCTTGCAGTCAAGCAGATCACTGTACATGGTTCAGAATGTCCCTTGTGGGTAACCCTGGCGCTGTGTGTCGACAGCAATACGTTTGCACTCGAATGGCGCATACGAGAACTTTCTTGTCAGTCCCCGCCAGATCGTGGGCTAGTTCTCTGTGACACCCTTGGTGATTTGCTCAACAGTGCCCAGGTACCATCCAAGCCTCTCGCATCCAAAGAAGGGCCAGTCGCTGAGGATGACGACTACTGGGCGCAGTACGACCAGGATTCGGATGGAAGTACGGGCGAGCCAACTCCAGCTACCAAGACAGCTCAAGGCGAGTCGGAAGAGGACTACTACAGTCGGTACGAGCAAGTTGAGACGATGATACCAGAGAAAGACCAGTCCTCGTCAGATGGTGCGCCGCAAGACAGTACCAGAAATGCTATGAGTGCAGCCCAGGTCGCCGTGCTTCAGCATTGTGCATCGACTGTGCAGAGCTTGAAGACGCTTCTAGAGGCAAGCGATATTCCCATTTCTGAGTTGAGGGTCATGCTTGAGCACATTCTATGAGTCGATTTGGTACAATTTGAGGTCAGGTTAGGTCGACACTAGGGCGCGACGGAGCGAGCCCTTCGGTCAACTCTGTCTGTGAGCCTGTGACACTCGCAGTGATGAACTGAGCAGACCTGTCTGTTGGTCGCAGCCGGGAAGCCACTGACACCGAACCAACACATCATAAAGTCACTTTTTGGTGGAAACGTGCTCTGAGGATGACGCTACAGAGCAGGGGGTTCGGTCAGTCAGCGTTAAGACAAGGAGACTCGCGCTGGACGGCAGCGCCTCCTTGCAAGCACGGTAGAACAGGCACCTGTCCGCTGTATTCGTGCAAAATTGGCGGGTGAAAATTTTTTTTCGCCCTGTTTTTGAGACCGACTTGTCGTCTTGAAGAGCCTGGTCACTCCTGCTCGGGTCCAAACATCAATCAAACAGGTAAGAGAGTTCCCTTCCACTCTCTTGGAGCGTCTGTCGTCTCCAAACAACAAATGGCAGCAACTAGGTCAACACCAAAGGCAACCTGGGGCCCCGGAGGTCTCATCTGAGCTTATTGTACCTTTGCCGCATGCGGTCAAAGCGTACAGCTCCCTCCAGTTTACTTTATGGCATATAATGACCACCTACTGCATCATTGCCGGCCCTTGCGGCATTGATTATCAAATCGGTCGGGGTTCTGCCTGGTCCCCGATTGGAGCCCTCGTTCTTCTTGTGCCGGTCCCGATACGCTGTTTCTCGACCGCGTAGTCTAGCATGCCCACTTTGGGAGTGTCCCCTTCTCGCTCTCACTATGAGTGGATCTCACCATACTAGTCGAAACGGCTTGCTTCGAAGCTTTTTTCGGGGTTTTTTCGAAAAAGCATTGCGCTGGCCAGCCTGTCTGGTCTTGTGGTAGGCTTGCTACGGCAATCCTTACTACAAATACGCTGGGGAACAGCATCACTATTGAGACTAGCACTGGGAGTGACGAGATATGCTGTGTCTTTTATGACCAGCCAATTTGCCTTACGGCACTAAAGCGTTGTTCTGCGTGGAGAGCTGGAGGCACCTTGTGCGGAAGGTTCTCTGTTTTGCTTCCTTCTCATAATGGAGGACAGTAGTTGAGCTGAATACGACGTAGCTTTTTTTTAGCTAAATCCCACCACTAATTTTGCCCAGGACTGTCTGATGGGCTTACAGTCACGAAGGATTTGTCACTGTCAGGGAGTAACATGTGATCCGCGGCTTGGATAATCCTGTTGAGGCTTGAGCATATCACAATCAGTGCACGGTCGTTGTTAGCAGACCCAGCACGTCCAAGCATGATGAGGTTGAACTCAGGATATGCCCAATGTCCCTGGCTCGTGATTCGTGAAGGAGTGAATCAGCGATACACTGATAGCCAGTGATAGGGAGGAACACTGGCGTCAAGTCAAGACTCAAGAGTCAAGAGTCAAGACGCGTTCCATTCATTGAAGTTCATTCGCGTCACGCGCTGCATATAGTGGCGCCCAGGAATGCAGGGGGAGATGCACGGTGAAGCCATGTCGTCATGGGATCATGATAGCAGTCACGTCTATAGGTCAGATCAACCACAGAATGTGTGTGAGTATAGAGACAGCAAGCAAAAGCATAGACAGGGCTAGTGCATGACACAACTTCACAAGGCTCTCAGCAGTTTCGAAGCATGGGCGCCATCTGAGTCCGGCGTGTTGATGTGACGCGAAAAACGCGAGACAGGAGAAGGGAGGACGCGTTCGAGGGGTCACGTCGCTGCTCATTTTGCTCATTCCTCCTCTCTTCCTCGTCCTCCGCTTGTCTCTACGCTGCTTCCCATCTCACCAGACTCAGCTGCTTAATACTGCTTATCCCTGTCGCTGACTCCTGCTCCAGTCTGCTCCTGCTGCTGTTGCCGCTGTCCTGCCCGCTGCTGCTGCTCAACGCGCGCTATCCTCTTCCCTGCAAAAAGGAGCCAAAACCCCCCGCCAGCCCGCGACAGGCTTCACTTCCTTCTCACAACTCATCCCCTTCCCAGCGACCCTTATCCTGCAAAACCCAAGCGCACGCCCATTCGACTCTTGTCTCTGCACCAGGCAGCAGGCCAACGCCGTCGTGACCTTGTACAATCAATAAAATCGCTGCACAAAGAGCGACTGACGCGACAATGCTCTCTCCCTCTGTTCAACTGATGCGCGATCCAGCCCAACCACTCGCCGTCAACTCCCCGGCAAAGAGTTTTCGCGCGCCAATGCAAGGCGCAGCGAGACGTCTGCCTCAGACAGCAACGACACTGCTTGCGCCGCCGAATAGGACGAGCGCAAAGCTTCTGCCTGACGCAGGAGGCGGCTCGCCCGTCAAGAGCAGCAAGTTACAGCCGCCCAAGTTCACCTCAGATGAACTGAGTGAGCAGTTCCTTGCCATGCGCAATAGTAAGCCTGCTTCAACACCCAAGACGCCCGCGACGCGCCTCGAGACATCTCCACTGCTGCCAACACTTGAGAGTGCGGACGAAGATGCCGAACCAGAGATGGCAATGGATGATGGCACAAAGCCAGCCTATTCCTATGCGACACTCATTGGCATGAGCATCTTGCGCGCACCAGAGCAGCGATTGACCCTCAGTGCCATCTATGCATGGATTTCGCACACTTTCAGCTACTACTCTACCTCAGAAGCCGGCTGGCAAAACTCTATTCGCCACAATCTCAGTCTCAACAAGGCCTTCGTCAAGGTGGAGAGGCCAAAAGACGAACCTGGCAAGGGCCATTACTGGACCATTGAACCTGGCTGTGAGGACCAATTCAAGAAGACGCGCGGTGGCAAGAAGGTGCTCATCCCTATTCCCAGGAGCAATCCGGCCATCACGCAAAAGGTCCTCTCCTCGAGCGCCCTCAAGAAGGAAAGCAAGAAGCGCCATGTCGAATTTGAAGGAGATGCGCCCTCTTCAAAGAAGGCCGCCAAGGCCAATGAGCGTATACGTCAAGCTGCCGCGAATGGTGCCCCCGTCTCGCCACCGCCAACAGGAGCACAACGCAAGAAGAACTCCATCTGGGATTATGAAGACAGTGGCTACTTCTCCCCCTCTGGTGAGACATCAAAGGATTCCGATAAGGATCTTTTTGACGGTGCACATGCCAAGGATGTGTATTCGCGCGCTCTTTCATACTCTGCCAACGCACTTGATTTGGTGCTGTCGCCCCCACCATCCTCGCCGCAGCGCAGGCTGCAGAGACCATCAAGTATCAACAACACGCTCCTCACGCCAGCTGTCGCGAAAAAGTCATTACTCGCGAGTCCAGGTACTAGCTTACGAGAGCATCGTCAGACCATGCTGAGGTTGTTGGCAAGCCCAGACACCGACGCCTTCCAACACGACCTTGATGACCCCTGGCTCACCAACACGCCCAAAGCAAAGGAGAAGGTGGATTCCATGATTGACAGTCATTGGGATGAGGTGGCCGAGCGTGCTGCGTTTGGCTCTCCAGACAAGCGCGAGTCAAGACGAAGAGAATCACGCAGAAGTCTCGTTTGTGGTCTACATGCACAGGAACTCTATGAAGTTGGCTTTGAGTCCTCCAACATGCCAGGTGTTGATATCATGGGTATCATGAAACGAGAGGTTGATCGCGTCAAGATCAATGGACCGCGACCATCACTTATGGAGCGTTCGCAATCGAGCTTGTTCTGAGGTGGTCTTTCAGTGGCGAAGGGCGTGTGTTTCTTGAAGCGCTTGGCAATGGTTTATATGTGTGTTTTGTTCTGCTATCTTGCAGTGTGGTATTCCTTTTGTACATTTATCGTTTTTACCAATAACCTCCACGGCAAATTCCTACTACTGCTGCTATTGTTGCTGCTGCTGCTGTTGTTGCTGCAGCTCTGCCTCCTTCTCAAGCAGCTCCAATGTCAAGGCTGCAAGCATACCCGGAATGCTCTTCCTTTCTCCAGACCAGTATTTAATAAGGTTGTCGACCATCTGCATGAACGCTTCGTTGCCCTGCACCTCCCCTGCTATTTTCATCGTGTCTTCTTCGCCGTCAAAGATGAAAGCGTGGTCATTGTGCTCAGCATACATGGAAGTCAGTCGGACGCGACCATTGGGCAGGAAGTCCAGCTTGTACCCCAACAAGGCGTAGACTGCCTCACGAAACTCGCTCGACTTTGCTTGAAAGACTTCTTTGAGACGCTTAATCATTTTTTCCTTTTGAGCAATGGCCTGTTCGAGTCTTTGTGCCGTCGTTTCTGCATTTCGAAGAGACTGGACAGGCACAGTCACCTCACCTTTGCCCTCAAGCTGCCGTCGCAATGCAGCGTTCTCTGTCTCCAGGTCCTTGAGAGTCTGTGCCTTGATAGCTTGGAATCGCGTGGTGGGATTTCCCTTGAATTCGAGTACCCTCTCGGGCCGTTGAGAAGCGGTGCTTTGTCGTAGTGCATCGAGGTCTTTGCGAAGCAATTCATCTTGCTTCCGTGTAATCTCGAGTTCTGCATTCAAGCTGCGAATCTTACGCAAATATTCGCCTCGTTCGATGTGGTTGAAATCGGTCTCATCTTCGCGCGGCCGCTTGGTCCCAAGCTTGATCTTCTCCTCCTCTTTAGTCTCTTCCTTGACTTGCAGAAGTTCGGCTCGGCAAGAATCGAGCATCGCCTCCAATTCTGTCAGACGTTTCGATTTCAACGCATCATAGTTTGGCTGATCCATGCGTTCCTCGAGGTCGTATGAAGCAAGCTGTGCACGTAAGAAAGACACTTCGCGTGCAACCATGGACCTTGCACGTTCCAACCGCAATGCGTTTCGCTTTTCGAGCGTGAGCTCAGCCTTGGCAGCCTCGTAGCCAGCTTTGTTGGTATTCAGCTCTGCTTGTAGTGAGCTGACAAGGGTATTGGTCTCTTCGAGCTGATTTTCTAGCAGGGTCAGTTGGCTTGTGAGAGTATCCGCAACCAGTTTCTGCCGCTCCAAGGCCTTGCCAACATCTGCAACAGTCTCCCCATCATGCAGAAATTGCGCGTACGTCTCCCGCTCAGTTGCAAGCGCCTCCAGGTCAACTTGAGCTTTGGCCAAGGACTCTTGTAAAGCGTCCATGTGTGCCAACTTTGTCTGAAGAGTTGTGTTTTCCTCAGCAACGATAGTTAATGAGCGGTTGACCTCTTTCAAGTGGTTGAGGTCCGCCGTCTGTTCACCACAGGTGATTTCAAGCTTCCTTACGCGCTCATTACTGTCGCGCAGCTGTTCAGTCAGGAAGGACAGCTCCTCCGACGATGGTCCTGTAGAAATCGCAGCCTTGCTGGCGAGTTCGTCCTCAAGTTCCTGGATCTTTGCGTTACGCAAAGCAAGAACATCATTTTTGCTCGTCAAGTCAGCCTTCAGCGTGTCCATAGCTCGGCGTTGATTGTTGAGGGCCGACTCGATGCGTTCAATCTCCCTAGCCTGTTCACGCGTCTCTGTCCTATGAGTCTCTTCCATATCGAGTTTCGCATCTTGCAGAACGCTGAATGACTTTCGAAGCTCACTGATGGTCGCTTCTGTAGTAGACTTAGATTCCGCAAGCTCTTCCCGAACTGAAGATAATTCTGCAGCTTGCTTTGCTTGTAAATCAAAAAGAAATCGTTTATCAGCTTCAGCTTTGTCGTTCTTTTTGCCTTCACTCAGCAGTTTTTGCTCTAGTTCATTGATGCGAGCAGCTGTGACGACCTTCTCCCGCTCTGCAGCATCTTTGAAGGCTTTGAGCTGATACTCGAGCTTGAAGACTTCCTGCTGTGGTGTCTTGCTTGGTGTTGCGATGCGTGCTGGGACGGTTGTAGCTGGTGTCGCCGGGGTGTAGTTTTCGTCCACGGACAAGAAGGGCCTCGTCTGCTTTATTCGAGCAAATGGATTGCCGGGCGAGTGCGTCACCACCATCCCTAGCCCGGGCCTCTACAAACTGCGGGCTGTAGCAGCCTCGTGTGGTCTACTGGTCGCATCCGTTCATATAGGTTCAGTCGCGCTGTAAACAATTCCCAGCTGTCACAAATGCTGGATTACATAAATCAGTATACATGTACTAGACAAATCTAAGATACAGAAGCAGACGGCACGGTCACAGAGTAACGCGCGGCAGAGAGGGTGTAGGCATGACTGACCATGACATTCTCAACGACTGATTCGTCGCTAAATGGATTGGCTCGAGACCGGGTGGCAGTGACACCGAAGCCGGAGCCTCGAGATAAGTTCGATGGTGCGGTCTTCCAGCGAAGCTCGAGTGAGCCAGGTGAGGCGAGACCATCCGTCTTGAAACGTGCAAGCAGGCTCTGTTCCTGGCCAGCCTCTAGAGTGAACTCATTCAACTTCCAAACCAGCTTGTTGGACTTTTTGACAAATGAGCCAGCTGGCTTTGCGACGCAGGAGTTTGCAACGCCGTTGATACCAAGACTGATTTCGACATCCTGTAGTGTCAGGTTGCGAGCACCAAAAGCCGGGTTTAGCCGATACGTCAGCTTGACACTTGTTTGGGCATCTTCGGGGGACCATTTCTGCGAAAGAAGGATGGGCAAGAAGCGGTTGGCTCGTGCTTGATCGGGCTGGACTTGATATTTGAACAAAGTCGTCATGGAGTTGGCTGACTGACCGGAGATCTGGTACGTGCTTTCATCTTGACTTTGCAGAATATTTGTGTTGGCAACAAGACGACTGATGGCATCCGGTGATTGCACCTTGAGCAAAACAGGACTTGGATCAAGCATTCCCTTCATTGCAAGAGCTGCTTCACCAGTGACACGCACGTCTGTGGCTCCAGAGCCTTCCACATCCAGGACCACGCTCACTGTTTCAACGACAGAAAGATGTACACCATCCTCCAAAGGTTCAGTGTGCCTCGTGACATTGCCCATGCCAGACATCCCAGATCGCCCGGAACGGATAGAATCGGTGTCTCCAGCTTGGGTCTGCAGACCGTTCCCTTGAACGGTTCGTGAAAGGGCTGATCCGGCAGAGACTGGGGCGCTGCCAAGAAACGGATCTTCACGGTGTATTGGTGATCCAAGGACATCTCGCACCACTGCTTGATCGCCTCCACCCACTTGACCATAGATGGTGTTGCGCAAATCACGTCGCCCACGAGCTTTCCGAGAGATTGTACTTTGAGCGCGCAGGTCTGAGGATACCTTGTCTAGCGCGGCGTCAGCTTCAGGACCTCCTTCCACAATGGCATCATTCGTTATGCTGACATTGCGCAGCGAAGCATCTGTCGTCTGCATAGCTGCACTTTGTGGAGATTGGACAGTGACAGCCTGCGGGGAAAGTTCAAAGTCCGTACTTGGCAAGAAGGTTTCCTGGGTCTGCAAAGCAGGCAAAGCCGGCGCTTGAGAGGCCGATGGGACCACTACTGGGTCACTAGTCGTACTTGTCGTAACAGGCCTGTCATTGGCCGTCACTGGAGCAGACTCGTAGCTCGTAGAGCCACGCTGATAGCCCTGGCCACTACTATAAGAAGAAGTAGGCTGGAGTGTCTGTCGCTTCGTAGGCGATGAGGCCCTTTTATTTCTGCCAAGAAGGGTGCCGAACTTTGACTTGAGAGAACTTGCCGCGCCGCCTGATGAGCGCATACTGCCTCCATCATCATGGCTGATGCGACGACTCGAGGATGCCATGGGTCGGACAGGTGTTGATGTAGCAGCAGCAGGGACCATAGATCCTTGTGCAAGTTTCTGGGTGACAAAGTGCATCGCCTCGTCTGCTGGGTTGATGTCCAGTATGGAGGCCATTGACGCCTCAGACGACTTGACGCGAGCTTGGCAGAGATCGATTGTATTGGATTCGAAGCGAACGAGTGCATCCTTAAAGAACGTGACGCGCGCTTCGTCCACTTGCTGCAGCTTTTCGAATCCAAATGGCGCTTCTGCGTCCCATGTGGCCCGCGCACTAGTGTGTTCCTTTTGCGCTTCTGCCATCTTGGCAGATTTGTTTTTAGACTTGCTCGACTCCGCCTTGTGTACTTGAGCTTCCGCATTCTCAAGTGTTTTGGCAATGGCAGAGAGATTGCGCTCTACTATTCCCATCTGGCTCGACTCGGAAGTGCGCTCATAGTTGATCAACGGGGTAACGAGATCCTCGCCAATCTTGGCTGCGTATCGCGAGTGCTGCGTTGCCGCGGCGTTTAGATTATCTAGGAACCTGCGCCAAGGTTGTTCCATGATGCTGTCAGGTCAGTCTGCTTCCAGGATGCTTGATGCGACGTTACCCCATATTGCTGACATCAACAGATGGCGACTTGGCGGCGACTTTGGCCAGCGCTCGGTAATAGACCTGCTCTATGTTTTGAATCTCCTTGAAGAACTCAATCAGGTCCTCATTGACGGACTTGTTGCATGTCACGCGTTCCCTGAGCACAACGGCGGCTTGCGCTGGGGAGAGTGCGGTCTAGCTATTAGCAGTGTTTCCATCTCTGAGAGGAAGCCTGCCAAAAAGGTTGATCCATAGGCTGAATCCATTGTGAGAAATCAATAGGTATACAAGCCGATGCGTTGAATAGTGGAGGGCCCCTCAGAAGATGGTCAAGATCCCGGCTGGTACGCTGCTGCTGCGTGTCGTCGTCGCTTCGGAGTTTTGGGCCGCACGTCATCCGATTCAGGAGAGCAACAACCATCAAGCTGCTGCTCAACACGGAGGCCTGGCCCTCAAATGGACAATGGACAAGCTCAATCTGCTCACTGTATCTAGCAGCCCGTGGTCAACTATTCTAAAAGACGAGAAGGCGCGGGTCTGCGTCAAAGTCTGTCACCATGATGTCCCACCGCACAGTGGCAGCAGAGAGCTTGCGATCCTGGCTTCACTGAAGAATGCCCATCCTAATATCTTACACTTGCTATCTCACGACAGAAAAGATGGTGCTATTCGTATGGAGCTTCCTCTATATGATGATACTTTGCTGCCCTTCCTCAAGGCTTCGCCTCAGTCAATCCGTTCTACAGCCCAGCTGCTTGCAGGCGTGGCTGATGGTCTTGCCTTCCTGCACGACTCTGGCATCCTTCATCGGTAAGAGAATTGACGACGTAACACTGCTTACGACAGCGACATCAACCCAAGCAACATCTTGATTCAGAATGGAGAGCGCCCGCAAGCAGTCATCTGCGACTTTGGCGTGTCATGGCAGCCTTCTCAGCCTGGTTGTGAAAGCAAAGGTCAATTGCTTTGCGAAGTGGGTACAGGGTAAGATCACTATCTATGGGAAAATATATTCATGACAGCCCCTTTCGAGCGCCAGAGCTGCTCTTTGGTATGCAAGACTACGACCAATCCATCGATCTTTGGGCCCTCGGTACTACTATCGCACAGGCCTTCCACCCAAACCAAGGGACGCTCTTCAATCCAGATCCGTCCGCGAGCGATTTGCAGCTGATTGCCTCCATCTTCAAGACCCTTGGAACGCCAAGTGTCAGTACATGGAAGGATGCAAAGCGGTGTCCAAGTTTCACGCGATTCCAATTTGTCGAATTTCCAGCCAAACCTTGGTTAGATCTTCTTCCTGATGTATCAGACACAGTCGTCGACATTGTTGCTAAGCTTGTTCAGTTCAACACCGCCGATAGAATATCTGCACGTTCGACCAGCAGGCTCTTGAGCTCAATCTAGATATCCATCTCATCGTCATCGAAAAAGTCCTCGGCTGATAGTTAGCTTGGTCAAGAGGTGAGCAGTTGCACTCACGTATGTCCGACTCTCCAACCCCGGCATCATGCTGTGGCTTACTGAATGGCTGTGGCTTGTTCTTCTCCTGGAACGCCCTGACTTGGTCCTTGTCCCACCAAGAAATACCCTCCTGGTCCTTTGCGCCGAATGGCTGAGCCATGGTGCGCAGAAACTTCTTGGCATTGACCACAGCCATATCTGTGCTGAGGTTACTGTTTGGTTCAGTGACATACTGCTGAATCCACTTTGGCAGCTTTGCTCGTTTATCTGTACGACCAAATCGCTTGTCAGCCAAAACCATGATGCCGTAGTCATCCTTGCCACGCAAAACGCGCCCCAGACACTGTGCTGCATGACGCATGGCATCAAACGTCAAAAAGTCATTCTCCCTGATCTGATAGTTGTCGCGAAGGAACTCAAGACGAGCCTTGAGGATACGTGATTCAGTGTACTGATAAGGGATGCCAAACATGAGCACGGTGCGGCCATAATGATGATCAAAATCAATACCCTCAGACACCTTGCCTCGAGCAACACACAGGAAGATGGCTCCTCGCCCATTCTCGCACGCTGTGCGGTAGGTTTCCAGCGCAAGACTGGTTTCCTGTGCATCGGGCGTCTCGACCAAGATGAGCTTGTACTTCCAAACCTCATCCAAGATGCCCATACTTTGCCACATGGCAATGATGGATTCCATGTAGAGATAACTTGGGAAGAAGGCGACCACTCCATCAGGTGTGATGCGCGAAAACTCAATCAGAATGTTGCCATAATTGCGTACAACACTCGGATCGTTTCGTACCTCGAACTTGGAGCTGATGGCGACCTGATCCCCACCTCGTGTAATGACCATTGGCAGGAAACAATTGCGCGCCAGAGTCATGGAGTACGACTCTTGGACAACGGTGTTGAAGGCCAGCATCTTTGGATACATGTCGAGTGGAGACAGCGTTCCTGAAGTGATGACGACCGAGCTAAATCGCTCAAAGACCGGCTTTATTGCAATAGAGGCATCTAAGCAGGTGAAATGAAAGACTGGATTCGGCACAGTGGCAGCCTCTGATTCGAAAGGCTCGAGAATGAGCAGGAAGCCTTTTTCGTACGTGGCAACTAGTGTAGCAAAACTCGCTACTTCTTGCAAGGACTGCACTTCCTCAATGTTTGTGAGTTCCAGTGTGCGAATGAGTGATGTGAGTCGCTCTGCACAGAACTTGAGCGGCTTGCGTTCAATAAATGTCAGGTCTTTGAGGTGCTGCAGGAAGGAGGCCGGAGTTTCCGCGATGACATGCAGTACCTTCATGCGCGTTTTGAGATACTCAATGAAGCGCTTCAAAAAAGCGACAAAGTGTTCTGCACGGCGGATGTTACCAGGCACGGCCTCTTTGAGAAGATCATCTGGCAATGCGGGGTTTGCCATGAATGCATCTTCCTCTCGTGCTGCATCCGCATCCCGTAAACCTTCGACCAGGCGCTGATACTCGTTTTGTAGCTTGTCGGCGTCAGTTTCTTTCATGCTGATGTTAGCCCACATACTGGAAGACTGGAAGACAAATTCGTACTCGGTGATCTTTTGGTCTAGGCTGTTGACACTCCGCGTTGCTTTGCGCAGAGAATCGTCCGTCAAGTCAATACTGAGCGATTCGATGCAGACATTGTCAATGTTGTGAGCCTCGTCAAACACAACGATGCAGTCCTTTGACAGCTCTTTCGAGACTCGATCAGCAATCTTAGGATCGAGCAAATAGTGATAGGAGTAGATGATGATATTGCACAAGGGCATCATTCGTCGCGCTGTAAAGTAAGGACATTGCTTGTGCGTCTCTCCATACCGGAGAATATCATCAAACGTCCAAACACCGTTGGGGATGAGATTGTGCGCTTCGAGCAAGTCGAGGTTCTCATGGTAGATGCACAAGTCGACATCCTCTCCAGCACGCTTCTTTTCCTTGACAAAACCAGCAGTCAAAGAGCGACAGCGCGCATCGACAACGTTGCCCTTCTTTTCACGCTTTACTGAAGGATGCAAGCAGAGATTCTTTCGACTGGTCAAGCCAAGGCCGCGGAACTCTTCTTCATATCCAAGCTCAACAGCGCGAAATTTCATCAGTGCTTTGAGCTCGAGCAACGCCTTTTCTATTTCAGACATTGTACGCGAGCAGTAGATGAGCTTCCGGTGCTCGGGATAGAATTGCTGGTAGGCCACAATGAGAGAGAGGAGAGACACTGTTTTGCCTGTACCTGACGGCATTTCTAGCACACAGTGTCCTCCAGCATCGAGAGTGCGCTTCAAGTCTGTCATATACTGCAGCTGCTCAGGGTAAATTCGTGGATAGGGCCACAGGATGGGCAGTCCATCGATCTCGAACTTCATATTTGCCACTTGGTTTGAGTGGTGCAGCACACAATATCAGATATTCAAGCTATACTGCCAACTTAAATAGCATAGTACGTTCAATCAGCCTATATCAAGCAGCTGGTAGACTCGCAAATGGTGCAAGTAGATTGAGTGTGGTCGTTCGTGAGATGATCGCAAAGTTTAGCGTCGTTGACAGACGTCATCTGTATTTTCTGTGTACATGTACTTCGCGACACGCCGGCAGAGATACATCTATCAAGGCTCTGGACTTATATAAACTTTGTCTACACATGGTCAGCAGTGGATCAAGTACACCGCAACGTCCCTTTGGCGGCTTCCAATTTGGAGCACAGTTGACCAGCTCCCCGACTATTGGCGCTGACCTTTCCCCGCGTGCTGCTGTCATCTTCAAGGGTCTCAACAAACGGGACTCAACGACAAGAGCAAAAGCCGCAGATGAATTGATCGAATACTTGGGTTCTGCAGATTATAACGAAGATGAGAGCGAAGCATTGATTGCAAATTGGGTATCGGTCTATCAGTCTCTCGCCCTCGATATTGACCGCCGCGTGCGCTCATCTGCGCATACTGTCACGGGCAAGCTAGTACTGAAGTACGGTAGAAAGACTGCGCGCTTCATGAAATCCGATATCTCTGGCTTGTGGATGCTGGGACAGTATGACGGTGACCGGCCTGTGGCGAGAGCGGCGACTGATGCATTCGAGGCAGCTTTTGCCTCTGCAGAGAAGCGAACAAATTTCACCAAAGTGTTTGCTTCCAGTATCTGGCACAAGGCATATGAGCTTGCCTTTGAGGAGACTGCCGACAGCTTGAGTGATGCGCGTTTTACCAAGCCAGCAGAGGCAGACGCCAAGTACGACAATACTGCAGCATCTGCCATGGCTGTCATGACCCGATTGATATCGGCGTCTGCAGTGGAAACTGATGTATTGCACACGTTGTTGGCCGACGCCTCGATTTGGACGGTCAGTCTCAAGTCTTCTGCCGTGCAAAGGTCGGCGCTCACTCTGATCAAGGCTGCTCTGGATGCGACGAAGAGGAGTGATGCAGAATCTGAAGCGTGTTCCAAGCAGATATCAAAGATGCTCCCAAAAGTAGAAGTTGGCAACAGTATCGCTGCTCTCGCTTTGCTCGAGTGCCTCAGAAGTTGTAAGTTGATCATTCCTCCGTGCTCTGCTAATCGAAGCTTCGGCACAAAGTTTATTCATGGCAGGTATCAGCAAGGGCACTCTGGCTCAGCGCCTGCCACTTTTTATCGAACGCATCACAGGTTCTGGCGTTCCAGATTCCTATTGGGCCAAGTTACAAGTGCTTCTCGAAGCAGAACACGCCTCACTAGAAGAAAATACAGCCCTCCGGCAATCTCTACGGATAGCGCTGTCAAAAGCCGCGAGTGGCGCTACGAGGATGCAAGCAGAGCAAGCTGCGCTGGCGTATGCTTTTATGATTGTCGAATTCCAGGAAGACCAAGTTGACGAAGAGATAATCTCAATCATCACACGTCTGGTAGATCAAGGTCAACTCAAGTCAGACGATGCTTGGGCGAGGCATCTGAAGAAGATAGCTGAGCCTGCGCGATGTGATGCATTCATCGCTATTACCACAAGCATTCTCAAATCTACCGCAAAACTGAGCGCGGCACAGCAGCGCTCTGTCAAGAGTTGGTTTCACGTCATTCACGCTTCCACAGAGTGGCTCGATACAACGCGCTTGGCCCAGGAATTAGCGACACCCGCTGCATCCGCTATTCAGAAATTCGATGATGCCCCTGATTCGAGATTGCTTGTTTTGACTGAGCTTTTCACTGTTTTACCTGCATTGAAACAAGGCCCTATTGCCGATGACCTTGATGAACTGCTGCGGGTGTTGAACTTAAGTGGAAGCATCAATGGCTCCCAGCTTCTGCGCGTCGCCCACTCTGACGACACAGCGTACATACAAAGTGTACAACTCACGTTGACCAAAATGGGTTCTGATCAAGACCGAAAGATTGCTTGGCTTATGCCTTTATTTGACACCAATCAGGCCGCGGTGGGACCAGTACTCGCAGAAACCTTGCAGCAGACTCGACCGTCAGTTAACGGCACCAATCTGCAGCGATTCATGGAAGCTACAAGACTACTTGTTGAGCATAAGTTTGTCGTTTCAGCTGAGTTGTGTGAAGTGGTGATGCAAGTGTGGCTCCACGCAATCAAGAGCGACCTGATGCTTGTTGCCGAGGCTATGGAGCACTTTGCTGCACACGGACTTGTGCAACCGTTGCAACTTGCTTGGTCAAGTAAAGACTTTTTGTCTTCTCTTTTCCTGCAAGAAGAGGAACATGACGGCACTTCAAAACGCATTCTGAGTTGCATATCTCAAGTCGTTGAAAAGGAACAGCTGGCACAAACCTTTAGAGACTGTTTCCTTGATGCGCATAGTACAATACCGATCAGGGCTCTTCTGCAAGCATTCTCCACGTTGTCACTGACTTGGACAGATCTGGATCTCGACAATGAACTCGAACATGCGCTGGAGGAGGCCGCTCCCTCTGCTTTCCCGGATGAGATGCTGATCTTGGGCCCTACTAGTCCTGCCCGGCAATTCACAAGAGGGTCAGACCAGACGAGTCAATTGAATCTAGTCGAGGGCTTCAATGCAGCATACCGATTAGGTCTTCTGCTTGACAAAAGCAATCAAAACCTTGATGCCACTCAGTCAGAACTTTTAGCGACCTGGACCGAAATGGTTGAAGATGGCGCCCTTCACCCACAAGCAAATCATATGTACAATGATCATGCACAGCTGACGCTTTTGCAAGATCATGATGCTCTTCGCTCACCAGACAACATATCAAATCGCATCCAAGCGTCAAGAGGATCTAGACCGATGAACTTTTACAAGGCAAACCTACTCTACAAGGAACTCTGTCGCTTGAGAGAACAGGGAATATCGACAGAAGACGCTGAAAGAGTCTACATCGAATGTTCTGAAGGTGACGACTCCTTCTTGCCAGTCTTCGCATGCTCTGTTGCCCTCAACGAAGTATTGTTCAAGTCACAAAAGGCATCGTACGCGCGCAACAAGCTTGCGAGTGATTTGACGCGCGACGCACAATCACCAGAGGCCCTACGTCAAATGTGGCTGCTATATGCGCTTCTGCCCGAACCATCTGAAGTGAGTGGCCCGCTATTGCCCCGACAGCGTGCAGTATTCTTGCTGCAAGCCTTGCTGAAAGCCAACGTGGACGACGCCCTGCATACGTATGCTCGACTAACGCTTCTCTTGCGATTTTTCGAGGAGCTCAAGACTGAATATGGTTCGTTCTGGGTGTTAGCTGTTGAGCTAGTTCAACATTCTCTGCAAAAAGCACAAGATGGAAGTGTTCCGTTACAATACGCGGCCAGCAAAGCCTACAGCTGGCTGAAAAGTAACTCCGAATCCAACGACGATCTGAGTGAGGCCTACCAGTATGCGAAGAAAGACTTGGAATTCTGTGTAGCCAAGCTCTTCGTGGCGATATTAGAAACACATCTACAAGGCCAGGCAAGTACACTTGTTACGCTGCTAGTTGCGCGGCTTGCTAGAGGTGTGTCAAATGCGGTATTGCAGTCTGAAGACGTCTCTTCCCGAATGCCGGTCGCTTTGCTCTCGCCCTTTGTGCACATACAGCTTACGGCTGCTCACATACAAGCTGCTGCCCTCGTCAGTGAACGCGACAGCATGATTTTGGCAACTACCCTGACGAAAGAATACGAACAGCTCGACGTAGGCGTGTCTCCCGCTCTTTTGTCCATTGTCCTTGACTCGCCGGTCATGGATGAGGAGGGTGTAGATGTGATCCCCGATCCCCTACCTACAAACTTACGAGGCTACCTCTTGGCATGGAAGTGTCTCTATGGCTACTTCGAAAACGTCCCACTGCGAATGAAGGTCAAACTCGTCAAGGACTTGGAGGATGCCGATGTTCTCGAACCTCTGCTTGCACTCATCTTTGTTGCTCTTGGCGTCGATACGCCGAAGCCTAAGGACATCTCCAAGATTGAGAAACTGACGCTGGACCACGGTTTTAACAACGGGCAAGGCGAATTGCAGGCATACGCAGCACATCTGTACTGCCTCTGTCTGATACATACACCGAATCTGGTGCGGTCCTGGTGGATCGCATGCAAGGATAGGGTGTTGACTGCGAATATTGAAACATTCACTGAAAAGTACTACTCGAATCTTCTGATTCAGTCAGAGCTGGCTTCAGTGCACAGTGACAATATACGAAAAGCAATCCAAGACGACAATTTGGAAGTACGCCTCAGCAATCTCGGCCGAGATGTCATTGTTGAGTACACTGTGGACGATCAGACTATGCAGATGGCCATTAAACTACCTGCCAATTTTCCACTCAGGAAGGTGACGGTGGAGGGCCTGCAAAAGATTGGAGTCAAGGATGCACAGTGGCGCGGCTGGCTGCTGTCATCACAAGCAGTCTTGACTGCTCACAACGGCACCATCTTGGACGCCATTGTCCAGTTTCAGAAGAATGTCTCGCTACACTTTGAGGGCATCGAGGACTGTTCGATTTGTTTCAGTGTGTTGGCGGTGGAGGACAGGTCTCTACCGACGAAGCGGTGTGCTACTTGCAAGCATCTCTTTCACGGCTCATGCCTGTACAAGTGGTTCAAATCTAGTGCCCAAGCTACTTGTGCACTGTGTCGGAGCTCATTTTACAGCACTGATTAGAGCAACTATATTCGCCTTTGCCATTAGCTGTCAGGCCTTCTAGCGAGCCTCGTCAAGGTCAAGCTAAGGCATCAAGCTATTGAAGAGCAGTAGCCGTAACTATGCATTTTCACGACTGCCCATAATAGACGGCCGCAGAATCTTGAGGCTCTGTGCTTGTCATAGACTATGTCATCTCTACTTCTAGGGTGCTCTTGAAAGTTGATACATGGTCTTGTCAACTTTGACAAGACAAGGCCGTCGCATACTCGCAGCCCTACCGCTATATATATTGAAGAGTCAATGAAGACATATCTGCGTCACTAAAGGTCAATGACTCATGCATATCAACTACCTTCGATGCAGCCGTCTTGCACTGTCTACATTCTTCTTGAAACTTCTTCTTGTTTCCGAGATTAATAGAATGACTGAGCAATGAGCATCATCAGATTCATCACTGGAATGATCGTCCGGACAGGCCGGTCCGAAGCAAATTGGTTCAACGGCTTTGCTGCCTAAAGCCTTTTAAGTCTCTGGAATTGAGGCCGCTCATTGGCTGTGTGTGGTATTTGATGGCCCAGTTGAGCGCGAATTGCTGAGCGCGATTTCGGTTGCCCAACTCGGAGATTGCCATCTCGGGAGTGACTGTCGTTTAGGGCTTAAACATGCGCTTTGGCAGCTGACGGCCAGTGGCATGCTTCCAAAGTGGTAGAGGCCCCAGAGGGATGTCTTGGAATGGGTGTGACTGTCACGCAAGAGTCTACATGCTGGTGGTCTTTTGTGCTGGCTCATCATCCGCTCATGTATTCCGGCCCATGCTGAAGAGTGAAGATTGAACAATGGCCGTCGATATCAGCTGATGACGACGGTTCTTTGGAATGCATCTCTTCTGTCATCAGCATAAATGAGCATGATCCAGCTTTGGGCGCCTTTGTGGTGGGCGCTGGCTGGTGGCGCATTCTTGTTGACCTTAAACTGCGGCGGGCTGGATTCAGATGGCACAGGGGAAGATAAACATAAACAAGCACAGGCAACAGCCGACACACCGCAGCAGCAGCATCACAGCACCGGGCCTTTTCCTTCTTCACCTTGCCTGCATCCCCGTCTGTCACCTTTCAATCACTATACCACGACATCAATTGTACAACCACACTCTCTCGACCAGTGTCTCCACCAGCAACAGGCCTTGTGTGACCAGGAGGACAACAAGGTACTGACAACAAACAACCACCGACAGCATCTTCCGCCATGTTTGTCACCACGTCCCCGCTGCAGGCCTATGCAGCTGCCATTCTCTTTTCCTCTACACTCATTTTGCAAGCACACGCCAATCCAGGCCATGCAGGACATGCTCTCAGGCATTCCCACCATCACCAGAAGCGACAGCAGGTGCAGCTCCAGTCACCCTCCGACCCAATCGAAGCACTCTTCAATGACACAAGCAGTCCACTCGACAAACGCGACGGTACTTGCGCCTTCCCCTATGCAGACGGCATGGTCGCCGTAACGCCAAACTTTCAGAACGCAGGATGGGCCATGAGTCCGGATCAGCCATGCACATTCGGCAAGTACTGCCCGTATGCATGCAAGCCAGGGTATGTCATGAACCAGTGGGATCCCTCAGCAACAACATACGCCTACCCGTCTTCCATGAACGGCGGCCTCTTTTGCAATGGCGATGGCAGTCTCTCAAAGCCCTTCCCTGACCGAGCCTACTGCATACCCGGCACAGGCAGCATCCGCGCCAAGAACAACATGGGCAGCATGGTCTCCTTCTGCCAAACAGTCTTGCCAGGAAACGAAGCCATGCTGATTCCAACTGCCGTCAACCCTGGCTCATCCGTCATTGTTGCCGTGCCGGATCCGTCCTACTACGCCTCCTCTGCTGCACACTACTACATCAACCCAGCTGGTGTTGGTATTGAAGGGTGCATCTGGGGTGATGTGTCCAAGGATGTTGGTAATTGGGCTCCGTACGTTGCTGGTGCCAACACGGTCGCCAACGGCGAGACTTTTGTCAAGGTTGGTCGCAACCCTATTGCCCTCGAGACTGACAAGTGGACCAACGCTGCTCCCAACATTGCTGTGGCCATTGAATGCCCCGATGGTGGCTGCAATGGTCTACCCTGTCGATGCGACTTTTCAGACGGCGCCAACTCTTGCACGGGCGGTGTCTCGGGCGCTGGTGGTGCTCAGTTTTGTGTTGTCACAGTGGCACCTGGTTACAAGGCCAATATCGTCGTGTATGATCCGTCGTTGGGTCAGAGTGCAGCACCAGCCAAGGGCAATGCCATCAAGGCCTTTGAGGCTGCTCCTCTCGTTGCGCCTACCACAGCTGCTCCACCACCCGCACCGACAACGACATCGACGACACCGCCTCCACCACCTCCTACAACGACGCAACAGCCCACCACGCCAAGCACGACCTCCACCACGTCTGTCGCACCCACCACATCATCGTCTTCTGTGGTCGTGACGGCGAGTATCTTGCCTATCTTTGTCAAGCCAAGCTCTCGCATGGCCACGTCTACACGTGCCAACTCGACCACCTCTGCTCTGTTCCCTTTGCCTACTGCCTTTTTCAACATTAGCAGTGTCGTCAAGGTCCAGCCTGTTATTGCTGTTGCTCCACAAATCACGACTTTTCTGCGTGGTGGTGCTGGGATGGATAACCTGCAAGCTTCCTCGGCACCTGTTGCGAGTGCGAGTGCGTCAGCCACTGCGAGGTCTGCTGGAAGTCTTGTACGTCCAGACTTGTTGCTTGCATCAGCGAGTCTGTTGTTGGTTGTCTTGTTGCGAGTGTAATTGGACGACCGCTATGTCTGGTTGACCTTGTACCTGACTACCCCTGTAACACTAGTGCATCCGCATCTGGAGTTTGTGCAACACATGTACTGCAACATTGGAAGCTGCCAGATTACTTGTAAATATGGGATAGCTAATTTTCGATCTGTTTAAACGTGCATCTTGCTAGTTGTCGTAAACGTTTGCATCTTGCTCGTACTAGACTACTAGTTCTCCTTGATGGCGGCAAGAAGCAGCTCTGCCGTCTTTTCAGCAGAAGCTGGGTTCTGTCCCGTAATGAGCTGACCATCACGCACGGTATGCACACCCCAAGCTTCTGTGTTCTCAAACTTGGCACCGAGCTCCTTGAGTTTCGTCTCTACCAAGAATGGAATCTCCTCCACCTTTTGTGCTTGACGCTCTTCCTCGTCTGTGAAGCAGGTGATTTTCTTACCCTGCACGAAGGGTGTGCCATCGGGGTTCTTGACATTGACAAAGACAACGGGTCCATGGCAGACTGCAGAAACGGGTTTACCGGCAGCGATGAATTTCTCCGTGAGTTCAATGAAATTGACATCCTTGTACAGGTCAAAGCAAGGACCATGACCACCGACGGTGAAGATGGCAGCGTACGCGGTATGCTGGATCTCAAAGAGTGGCGTTGTATTGTCAATCAGTTTTTTGACGTCGTCGTTTTCGAGGTAGTATTCCTTGCACGCGGCATCGTCCTTGAATCCATCGATGGAGCTTGGGTCCAAGGGTGCTTTGCCTCCTTTGGGGCTAGCAATGTCGATGGCATACCCGGCCTTTTTGAAGACGGCATAGGGGTGGCAGAATTCCGGCAAGTACCAACCGGTGGGTTTGCCGGAGAGCAGTTGGTCGTGCGAGGTCAACACGAATAGAACCTTCTTGCCGGTGACGGATGCGACTTTGTTCTTGATGGCTTCCATTGTGATGTGTGGTAGGATGGACAGTGCCGGGCACAGTCTCTTTGAGCTTTTGACCCTCGTGGGATGGCTTGGTGCAGCCTGCAGGTGACGTCGTTGATCGGTTCACAGTCACAAAATCAGCTCATCGACTCCAGTCTGGCACTCGACGATCTGCATTAAAGGCCGTCATGAGGAGTGCTGGACCTTCCACCTGTATGCTTGCCGCAAGACTCGCACCCGCCCACGCGACTTCATTGCCATACACTGAATCAGCCACATTGTATTGTGTTTCTTTTGCAAGGCGTTGTGGGAGACCTCGTATTTGACTTGCTGAACCTGTCAGAACGAGGGTGGTGAGTTGTGCACGCACATCAATGGGACATGCGCGATAGGCTTGCTGGATGAGTTGGGGGAGGGCGGTCTCGTCAAAATCGGCATACCTGCTACGTCCCTCAAAGAGGACCTCAACGCACGCAAAGCGGATCCATTGAGGGATCGTGCAGCGATGTTGGGAGGAAGGTTGTGTCCAGGCGAGTGAGGTGGGTGGCGCATGCTGTTTGTAGAGACGTTCGAGGTCGTTGTGTGCGATGATGTCTGGGAGGTCTGCAGTGATGGGCGACGCAGCCAGACACACTGCCGCACGGGCAAGAAAGTCGGCGATGTCTGCAGCTGTTGGGTCACTGCAGTCGCTGTAGGTTTGTAAGAGGTAGCGCGCGCGTTGGGCCAGCGCATCCCCTGCCAGGATGGTGGTACGCACGTACTTGTTGAGAGGACGACTGTCAAAGACCGGGACGACGGTGACTTCTCGTGCATCCAGCGATACAACAAGTGCTTGTTGCAGTCCGAGTGCCAAGCAGCTGCAGACGCTTCCACTCATGAATTGAAGCTCGCGTGCTTGCTGGTAGGTGAAGAGGACGCGGGCAATCACTTGCTTGAGCTTGATGCAGAGGAAATGCTGTTCCACGAGCATAACGCGTTTATTTTTGAGCTCGATGTAGAGGAAGCGGTTGAGTGCTTGTCTGAGTGCACGTTCAAGCATATCCTCGCAGAGACCTAAGTCTGCAGTGCTTAGAGATGGCAGTGGTATACGGCAGCGGGGTGCATGTTCGCCAGAGAAGCCGGCGAGGAGGGTGTCGTCTGTGATTTCTAGCACAACACAGGCGTCTGCTTCATGGAGATAGCTGCTGCGTTTGCTCGTGGCTGCTATGCGCTTTGACATGAAGCATCGGTGTCAGTTCTTGTCAGGTGTACTTGTAGTTCTACAATTGAAAACACGACGACAAACACACCACAGAGACACAGACTCACAGTGAGCCTGAGTGAGGTGAGATGCCGAGAATAAGAACGAACAGAGCGAAGCGCCCGCCAGCAGGGTTTGAGGATGTGGAGCCCATGCTGGAGGACTTTGCACAAAAGATGAAGGACGGTAGGTGGCAGCGCATGAGCAAATGGAGCTAACGCATTGTTGCAGTGGAGAATGCGCCGCATGAGAACAAGTCGAAGACTGGGACACTGGCTCCGATCTTCCAAATACACCATCAGCGGTCCCGGTATATCTATGACTTGTACTACAAGCGAGAGACGATTTCGAAGGAGCTGTATGAGTACCTGCTGAAGCAAGGGTACGGGGATGGGAATTTGATTGCGAAGTGGAAGAAGCCTGGGTATGAGAAGCTGTGCTGCCTGCGGTGTATCCAGACGAAGGAGACGAACTTCAACACGACGTGCATCTGCCGTGTGCCTAAGGTGAAGCTGGGTGAGGGCGAGTTGATTGAGTGCCATCAGTGTGGGTGCCGTGGGTGTGGGAGCAGCGACTGAGCTCTTGTTCTGATGATACTCTGATGCTTTCCCCTGATGACTGTCTCTCTCTTTTTCTCTCCAATGTATTCTCTCTACTGTCCTCTCCTTCCCTCTCTCTCACTGTCCTTCTCTCCCTCTCTACTCTTCTTTCCTCTCACCTCTCTTTACTCTCTTCTGTACTCTGCTCTCCCTCTGCTTCTGTTCTGTATGCTGCCCATGACGAAATTGACATGTGATTGCCGGGAATACGATGCAATAGAAGGCAGTAGACAGAGTAGAGTGGTATAGAAGGGATAGACAGTACAGAGTATAGTCTTGACTTTGATACTCCATTCTCTTCCATCCAGCTGCTATCCAGTACTCTACTCTACTCTGCTCTGTCTACTACTAATGCCTCTGTCACATGCTAATCCCATACAAGACCAACCACACCCAACTCCCTCCCTCCCCTCAACCAACACACCCAATCACCCATACACCATACGACCATGGCACAGGTCCAACAGCCTCACCAAGACCAGCAGCCTCATGCAAAGTACAACTTCGTCCACCATGTCACCTCCCTCCCCCTCGTCCACGACACGCTCGACCAGGCAAAACGCATCCCCATGGCAAAAGGCGCAGGCAAACTCGTCAGCAACGTCTCAAAGACCGCTCTCGCCTACGCTAAACCCATCGAACCCTACCTAGAGCGCGCAGACCACTACGCAGACCAACAGCTCAGCAACCTCGAGCAGAAATACCCACTCGTCAAGGCACCCACCCAAGAAATCAGGGACAAGACAAGTGGCGCCGCAAAGACAACCGTCGATACCTACGTCGGTGCAGTCACAGACAAGTTCTCAGGCGTCAATGGACACCACCTCAAGCAGCAAGCCAAGGAAGGCAAAGACGCAGCCATTCCTGCCCTCAATGCGCGCGTCGATGCAGTGTGCAAGCCAGTCCTCGATCTCGTCGAAGACCTCCTCGATACCTACCTCCCAAAACAAAAGCGCCAGGCAAAAGAAGCAGCCGAGAAGACTGAGGGAAAAGTAAGCGAGGCACAAGAACAAGCCAAATCCACCGTGCTTCGCGTGTATGACTTGTCCACCAGCTTGATGGACCGATCCCTCAACAAGGCAAAACAGACTGCCCATGCTGCTGGACACACCGTCCACACAGCCGCTGACTATGCACGCTGGAGTGTGCAACACCCAACGCAAGTCCCAGGCGCTGCCTACGAGACTGCTAGTGCGCGTGTCCATGACTTGCGTGAACGTGTGGATGGAACCTTGGATGTCACGCGATCGCGCGTCCACCACGTCTCGGAACTCGTTCAGCAAGCCAAGCAAGAGACGGTGCGTGTGTACCAAGACACACAGAAGCATGCACCTGAAGGACAACCGAAACGACTCGTCTGGACCACCATCAGTACTTCGCTCACCCTCATGAATGAAGCCATCTCCTATGCTGCACAAGTCATCAAGGAACAAGCAGACGAAGCACGCAAACAGAGTGATGTCCTGGACAAAGCTGCAAAGAAGACAGAACACGCTGCAGACAAGGCAGGAGAGCATGTGGACACGGCAAAGGACAAGGCAAAGGAGGTCGGCGAGCAGGCACACGAACAGGTCGGCAAGCCAGCAAAGAAGCAAGGACACAAGGCCAAGGAGCACGCTGAGGAGCAAGTCAGTCAGTCTGCTGATCAAGTCAAGCATGCTGCCGACCAAGCCAAGCAGTGATTGCTTGTTGACCCTCTTTTTCATCTCTCTTCACGCAGTTTTAGCAGTACAGACGTCGCGATTACACCGTATAGATATAGAACCTTACTACAATTGTTTAAACCTATCTTGCGTTTATGTCTATGCGAGGCACCTATCTATCTTGCGTCTATGTCTTTGCGGGTTGGTCAATCGCTCGCAACACATCCCTCAGCCCTTGACCTCCGAGGTGCCCAGCATTCAACAACTTGCCGTGCGCATGATCATGATAATACCGTACCTTGACACCCTCTGCTTGCTCCAAGTACCCTCGAATCGCACGCGCATCAATAATCTCATCCCGACCACCGAGGTACACCACCAAGTCATTCATCATGCCTCCTGCCCGTCCAGTACTCCGCAACTCCTCCGGCAAGAGTAGATTGTCATACCAAAAAAAGGCACGGTGCAAGGTATAACTAATACCGAGCTCCTTCCCAACAAAGTAAGACATGATGAGCTGCATGGCATTGCGTGGTCGTCGATAAAGAAAATTATAGCAGACGTCTGATTCCCAAAGTCGAAAACAGATGGGATCCACCATGACGTGTGCTTTTGCCTGTTGAGCAAGGCACGGACTCTGCTTCAATAACCAAGCATGTGGAATCGATCCAAATGAATGACTCAATACGGTCCATCCGCCCTTCCCATTGATGCTATGCACATCGGCCATTTCCTCAAATAAACGTACAGTCGCTTGACTCGACGGTGGACGCAGCCAGTGTCGGTGTGTGGGCAACATACTAATCTGTCCCTGAGCAAGTAGGAACAATTCACGACCAGGAAATCGTCGTTCCAAGGCAAGAATGAAGCGCAGGTACTGCGCAACGCCCATGCCGAGTCCATGCAGAAATAACAGCGGCGTTTGTGTGGAATCCTTGCTGCCTGGTCGATGAAAGTACTCGAAACGGTAGTCTTGCACAGGTCGCTTGATGAGCGTGAAACCAAGCCTGCTGAGCTTGTATCGAGCATGCAGGTTGAGCATACCAACCACCAAGTAAAACAGCAACGGCCGTGGTACAAAGGGTATCGGATCCAGCGTCAATCGAATGCTCTTCACTTTTTTGCTGTATCCAGGGGTCAATGGACATCGTGCACGCTCTTCAAGGTACACCAACAAAGATTCCACCACCTGCTTTTGTTCTTCACTCAACTGACGAGCATGCTTGTTGAAGGCCGACCACGCTAGCCAATCTGCAACGTTTCCCCGAGGAATCCGCTCAAAGGGCCGCTTAAAGAACCATCCGGTGAACTTCCGTCTAAAACGCGCCGCTTCCTCGTCTGCATCGTCTTCCTCACAGCCGGACGACAGACCCCCATCTTCTTCCATGCGAAAGGACATGACTTTCATGATTGTCTCACAGAGCTGCTGACTGTGCTGCTGCTCCTCTGGACTTGCTAGAACGCGCCGGCTACGCAGCCATGCACACCATAAAATCAAAAATGTGAAGGTCTCGCACGCAGCGTAAAAGCCAAGCAATGCATGCGCCCACCACGGTAAATGGCGATGCGACCAGCGTTTCGCAGCACTGATGCAGATGTAGAATACATAGAGCACTGCTAGCGGTGTGATACTGATGATTGGGAGGACAAGGCAAAGGGCGAGCCAATAGTCTACACCGTCAGCGAGTTGAGCGAGAAAATTGTCTTGGTTGTGGCACCTTTTTGGACTTTTCGAGGATTGCCATGGTATAGAGATCTTAATGCAAACATTTCCGTCTATTGTCTTACAACATACAAGCTGTGCATCAGCTGCTCTGTCGCCGAATGCTCATAGTCCTGAACATGTCGTCGGCCGCGGGACGGTTGCTGCAGCTGTCAGACTCGAAATTTGAAATTTGCATTTTGGCCGACACATTCAGAGTTTCAACTCCCATGGACGTCATGGTCTGTGTACTGCTGCTGACCTGTCTAGCTTGCTCTGACTCCCATGACTTATAGCTCAACGCAAACTATGCTACATGGTCGGCAATCATCGCTTCTCTGCTCATGATGAACTGCAGCTGCATTGATGATCGCGGCATACGCTTGAGTTGCCCTCATGTACACGTCTACATCTGTCCGGCGCATGCACGGGCTGTCCTCTATCAGATGAAAGGTCAAAGCTCGGCACTTACTACTCTAGTATCAATCAACAAAATACGGTGCGGATGGGTCTCCATTGCTGCAGTAACAACTGTGCTCCAACGGCGCTGTACCTGATCAATGAGTATAAACCTACGGTGATGCTCAAGCTACACGAACACGATGTCCATGATATCAATATCGCAAGGACCGATGACCTGCAGCTTATGCTTCCAAGATTGTCTCAAACCCAGCAAAATCGGCAAGACGAGCCGATGCGGCCCCTCATCGTGGTTGGCACAATTTTAAGAGTCAAACACTCAAAATGGTCGTCAGGATGGTTGCCCACCACGCTTGCGCGGTGAATGTTCCGCCAACAACAAGCAGCCTTGATTGCAATGAGGAGATTTCCTGCACACGAGCTGTGCACGCACCATGCACTGGCAGCACAGCAGATGCCACGGCTGAGGCGCATACTGAGTTTGCTGCGAACGCACGGTCAGTGCCAACTAGTATTGGTCGTAACGCTCGCTCAGACTTGGCAAAATCTGCTACCCGAATCTCGTTTCATACTTCAGCAGCTTATCGTCCTTGTAAGTTGTAAGTTGTAAGGGTCAGGCTAAGGTTGTCAGGTGGTGCTGCCCAACAGTGCCCGTGCCCCAGCTTGACCCTTCACGCTGGACGAAACCTTATTCTGCTCGCCAAAGGTCTCACCCTTCCCGTCCTGCACATATCCGTTGCCACTATCGCTGATCAATTGCTCGTTGGCACTGTGTGCCGGCACGACGTCTATACCGTAGCTCACAAGCAGGCTGATGGCTTTCGTGCTACCCACAGCTTTTCAACAGAATCATCTCCTCAATGGGATAGTCGCCAAGCCTTTCACCCGTTTGACGCCAAGCTCCTCACGGAGTCCTCACCAAGCAACAAGACCTAGTCGTAGATTCAGTTGCAGAGCGGGGAACAGCTCACTCAGAGCCAAGACTGTAGCCTGGCACGGGCGTGTCGCTTGTAACATTGCGGATGTTGCGCTAAACGACATCCGTGAGCTTTGTGGCCATGGCATAGGCGAACGGTTCACAGACTCTCACGCGAGCGCTACCTGTAACAGTGTATCGATGCGTTGCCGTGAGCTCTGCGGCAAAATATTGAGTGATCACAGTCAGGTACCGACCTGCGACCATAAATGTCGCTTCGGATGTGTACGACCATTCAAGCTGTCCAAGCAAAGCCCCGCCTCATCTCCTTTCAGTCACATGTGTAGTTGACGGAACGCGCGTCTACCGCGCGTCTACAGGGCGCGGCAGCGTGTGCACAGAGAAGTGCCCAGTGGTAACAGTCCTTTTGGCGCCTGGGATTTTGCGCCACCCTTAAAATCTACTCAAAGCTTGAGCCTACTGTCCACAAAGCACTGAACATAGCACAGCTACTCCGGGCCACGAAGGTCATTGCTCAATGGGAGTCGGCAAGCTCGTACCGTGCGTGAACACACATGTACGCGTCGCAATTTGAATACAATCGCACTCTGAGTGGGGCTTTGGCTTTGTGTATGGAATCTCTGGGAGCTAGCTTGCGAAAGTACAAGAAGAGCTTGGATCGCACTTGTACATGTTGTCAATCATCAGATACTTCAGTATGCAATTCTCATTCGCACTCATCGCCACGCTTGCCAGCATCATCTCTGCCAACCCTCTCGAAAGGCGCGACACTGATCCTAACGGCTCTTACCCTGTGTGTACCACTACCAGCACGGCCAAGAGGGGTCCTTTCTACCTCAAGTGTGGACCTACTGGTGGCTACGTTCAGCAGGTTGAAGATGGTCAGGCCTTCTGCGGTCCCGACAACGGCCTTGGTCCTACGTGCGAGTCGGACGCCAAGCCTTTCTTCTACTTGACCTGCAACGGTCTCCTCCGCGACAGCAATGGCCGCATCTTTGAGGTTGCCAATGGTCAGCTGCAGGCCAACTACGGTGGTGGTAGCTACTTCACCTTTGGTCTCTGCCAGGCACCGAGCGCACAAATGAACCAGCTCACGGTCAACGGCATCAACACCATCTACATTTGCAAGGCCAACCCTCAGGGCACCAGCTACCGCATCTACACTGGCTCTCAGGTCCCAGCGAGCAACAACGCCAACTGCAATGCCATCAACTTGATCGCAGAGTTCCTTCAGTAGGCCCAGCCCCTGACGTTGACGATACCCATCTGAATCGGGTCCTTTGTCTTCCAAGGGTCTTTCACCACGCTGCCCTTTCAGCATTTACTCATGTCATGCTCTTTGTAGTCTGTGGCCACTGGCCATGCCTTGTTCTACTTTCTAGTCCTCTATATCTTAATCCTACTATTCATTCTTCGGCAGCCATGTTGAGACGAGACCGCAGATTGGGATCACAGAGAAATGGTGGCAGACAGGCAGCTCATGGCAAGTAAAAGTCGGCCGGCAGGCAGGCAAACAGACAGTGGTAGCTCCAAATACAAGACTAGATTGAAATGCACATCTCGATTTACTACATAGAGCGCACTGTAAGCACACGCTATTTAGAAAGAAGGGACGGGCGCAACAGAGTCAGAATGCATCACTGTCCTACTCAGACATCGTCCGAAGAGTCAAGAACTGAGCAAGAGATCATCGTAGCAGCTCGAGAGCCGCGGTGATAGAGCCCTATCCGACGAATAAACGCCAGACGGGAGCTCAAAAAAGTCTCACTCTGATGGACAGTGATGGTTCAGATCATCTTCCTCTGTTTGCGATTGTAGCTTGTTTGTGAAAACAAAACTGGACACATACTATCAACAGATTCTGTGAAGTGTGGTCGTTAGGGGAAAGGAAGAAGCGCGGGCGAGCTGCTTAAGTAGACGCGCCCAGCCAAGCCACACCAGAAAAAAAAAGAAATGCGGCGCAAATATCTCACGCTCAAGATGACAGCTCGAGACGCGACGAGCTTGGGCTTGCCAACATTGACGCAATCTGACAGCCCAGGAGCAGTCTGTGCAGGAGGCCCGGCTATCAACATCTGCTACATATGTACCGAACGACTATCGCATAGTTTGCTGTTATGAGGGACGACGAGTCCGACAGCAGTGATAATGCTCTGCCGCCAACTCCACGTAAAGATCGTCTGCTCGTGCCGCCCACCTCTGCCAATGCCAAAAAGCAGGCCCTGAGCGGTGCGTTGCGCATTCAATCTCCAAATGCCTCACCCCTGACATCGCCCATCAAACAAGAGGCTCGAGTGGCAGTTTTGCCGTCTCCCAAAAAGACTCTATTCAGCCGTCCAAAGCTCAATCTCAAGGAGAAGACCAGGGAGAATATGCCATCTGAGGAGGAGCCCGTGACACCATCTTATTTTCAAGACTCGAGTGCGCCGTCCACATTCTCTAGCTTTCTCAAGAGCGCGGGCAATCACGTATCGCATCCTTTGCACGGCTCAAGACAGCCAACGCCTGGCGCAAATGGCGTTCGTGGACGCTCCCTAGACCTGCTGCGTGGCGATCAAGGCCAAAACTCGCCTTCGTTCTTCTCTGCAGCTCGCCAAGTAAGTCAAGCAGAGCGCTTATCAGAGACAACAGACGATACGTGGTCTCTCTTGTGTGCGCGCGTCCTGCCATTGTTTTGCGGCGAAGGCTTACGCCAACCAGTCGAAGACCTCAATCGTCTAGTCAGCACCTATCTACGTTACTGTATTGACAACAAGGAGCAAAGTCATTTGGTGGAAGACTTGGTTGAGCTATTCGAGACTGGTACTGCAAGCTTGGACAACAACCTGGCAGCCATGAATGACGAAAAGCTCATTCACCGACTGGTCGAAATTTGGGTCTTTTACTTTTCTTCAGTCTTGCCATATCTCGAGGCCACCTTTCTACCACTGACGGTCGAATTCAGCAGCAACGCGTCCCCGTACTTGGCAGACTCAGGCAACGTCGACTCTCTCTCGATTCATCTACTCGCACTACAGGCGTACCGCGATGTGATCGTCCTTCCACTTAAAACACGCCTGGCAGGACTTTTGCAACAATTGCCGTTTCTAGTCAACGTATCGGGCTCTGCAGATGATGCGAGCGAGACATTTAGCAGAATGCTGCAGTGCATCTCCATCCTCCGGCGCGTACAAAGCGGCGACAAGAGCCAAGAATGCATGGACGAGCTTGGCAAGGCAGTCTTGATTCGTCGAGTCAAGAATCGTGGTGATCGACGCGGCTTTGTCGCTGGTAAGAAAATAGTTGTTGATGATACACCAGTCTGAAACAATCGTGTTTCCACAAGGTATGTCTTGCACGGACCTGCTTTTTGAAGAACATGCGTTTCCTTCTACTATCTGGTGTCGTCGCTGCTTCGCTTGATGGCCTCTCTATACCAATCAAGTCAACGTCAGGCTACCTGCATGGGCCTCCCATTTTTTACTCTACCTTCACCCTGGCTCAAAACGGTCAGCAAATCAATCTTGTCATGGATACTGGATCCTCCGATACCTGGGCTGTTGCGGATGACTTTGAGTGTACGGATCGCGAGCATCTGCTGAGGGGTCAAGTAAGGCGACAAGAAGACTGTCACATGGGTCAGCCAATCAAGGAGGGCAGCTTTGCTACCGTTCCTGTCAAGCAAAGTCACATCAAGATGTCCTATGCAGACGGCGAATTTTTGATGGGCGCCATGGCCAACACGACTCTGGACCTCAATCCGCTCAAAGTAGGCAATCAGCGCATCGCCGTCAACCAGCGTGTTGGTTTGCCAGACAAAGTTGCCTTCAATGGGGATGGCATCACGAGTGGCTTGGCTGGGCTTGGCTTCTCAGCCTTGACAAGTCAGTATCGAGGCAGCAACGAATCGAGTACACAATTCACAGAACTCTACTCACCTTTTGTACAGACTGTTTTGGATGCTGGCAACTTTACAAGACGTATGATCTCGGTAGTGCTTGGCAATGAGAAGCTGCCAGGGTCTCTCATTTTCAACGGTTACCCCCAGCGATTCGATCACAAGAAGGCCCAATGGGCAAGGAAGCGTCTGCTGCAAGAACGCAATGAAGAAGGTGTCTTCGTTCACAGAGAATACCTCTTTGCAGTCGACGAATTTGTCTTTGAAGGCGCGGACCAGCTCGAATCAAAGGCGCCACGAAAGACAGACGGTACACGCTACCGTGCAATCGCCGACACTGGTACCAACGGCATCCTTGTCCCAAGGCACATTGCGCAAGCGTACAACAGCCTTTGGACTCCGGATTGTAATGCGACTGCGCCTGCCTTCACTGTCGTCATTGATGGTGTGCGACTAGCGGTAGACCACAAGGAGTTGTTGCTGAAGGGTGGCTTTGATGATGCGGGCCTGCCTTCTTGCCATTCAGCCGTTATGGCCACCAGTTCGACGACGCTGATTCTCGGGCATTCCTTCATGGTGTCTGCTGTGACAGTCGTTGACTTTGAAGACATGACAATCTCGTTTGCAGCCCGGGAGCTGGCATTGTGATGTGCGAGCCCTCAGTCAATGGTGTTTTTGCAAATACTTGAAAGACTTAGTGTTGTAAGTTGTAACTTGTCAGACACCTGCATCTGATTGCTCGCCGCATTTTTTACCTAGATCTAGATCCGCCGTGCACAGACAGCATCGTGTTCTCGCTGCTCAGCCGTAATCTGCTATCTACTCCGCAATTTCCAGGGTTCTGATTCTGAACATGAGGCCTAGGGGGTTGGGAGGCAGCCTGGAAATTAGGAGTCTGCTGACTCTGCACTGACTGCACAGTCTGTCAGTCTGGCAGTGACTGTTGCAAACCCGCCGAATCGCGAAGCGAACAAACCGCGGGTCTAGCCTCTGAGTCGAGACGTACTTGAAATTGCGACTGCGCATCGTTTCAGTGCTAGATGTCAGTGGTCGCCGGTCGGCCTTTTGTCCGAAGCGCGCAGACAACGCCGACACTTTTACCCCGGATTCCGGGCCGCACTTTGCAGTCACATCAAGAGGCTTGCGAAGTTGCGAGGTGTGACGTGGTCAAAGTCTCAGCTGCCTTCACAACTTCACAAGCTGACAACAAGCGCACCTGTTCATAGTTCCATGCATATCAGGCCATGGCCGACGCACTCGAGGGCGTGGTAAAATAAGCCATCTGAAGACGTCTGGTGGTCGGTCATCTGAACTGTGCCCGCAGCGGCACCTAGAAATGCACTCTTGCGCTGTGATCCTGCGACTTGCCTGTGCTATGCAGGCTCGGGAATCGGGATGCTTCGAGTCCTGGACTCCTGGCTCCTGGGTCATGTTTCGTGGAGTCAGTTTCCCTTGCGTGCGCTGTTGTCAGCATGTCACTGTAATTGCCCAAGTTATCCCTGGGCAAAATTTCTGACAAGATTGTGGCTGTGAACTTATGTCTGGACTGTCTGGTATCGGCCAGTCGAGCCTTGTGCAGCCGGGTCGACATGCCAGTGTCACTGTCAGTCTGTCCCAAACTCCCAGTGAACAGTGAGTTGATTACAGTCTTACAGACCCAAAAGCCGAGCCACGACAAATCAGTAGCGCTATACCCTTGAGCTTCAATTACACTATTCTACAAGACATTATTAAATGGATCCGTCAAGCAGTATGCAAACAAGCTCGAGAAGGCTGAAGATTTGCTTTGTGCTGTGATGCATTACTCTGGCAGTCAACAAGTACACATAGCAAAGGCAGACCGTGTTCAGGCGCACGGATGATGACTTCCACTGTACTACCACGGAATTAGAGGCCGAAGAATCGAAGATGTTGCACTCTTTATCGAATGCCGCCAGTCTGATTGTGCATGCAAGCCGGATCTGTTCCCATCGACGGCATCCCACGATCGCGCTTAATTTGTAAACGCGGGGCCGACGCGGATATCTCGTGCCAGCAAAATATGTGAGCACGTCTTTCTACGAATCTACCATAGACTGACGGTTCTAGTCTTCCGGTACGGAGGCGCGGAAGCATCTCAGTGTTGACCGTGCCCGGTGTTTTGTGCCAGGTCATCTCAAGCAGCTGTGTCGGTATTCGACGGCCCCATTAGCTGTCAAAGACAATGCACACAGCCTTGCCCAACGAGCACAGCCTCCTTTTGTGACACCTTTGTCGCCTTTACCCCAGACCGTACTCGCTTATGCTACACTTGGGCGACACGACGCTCAGTCAGCACGCGCAGCGCTGCTGCTCTGGGCCCATACCCGCCCAACTCCGGGGAGAAAAGTTGAGGAACAGACGTGTTCTTTATAAAAGGTAGCTGTTCGCCCCAGTCCTGCTACTCCACAAGTCAATTGGGATCGCTCGACATGCAGCCCCTTCAGCAAGTCGACACTGGTAAGCAGGACCGCGAGGAGTTTGTTGAAAACATCTCCGATGGCAAATTGTCCAACCCAGACCTCCACTCCGGCAATGAGGACTACTACAAGAGCTACAATATCAGCAAGATCATCCGCAAGATGGACTTGCGCATCTTGCCAGTGATGTCGGCTCTCTACCTCATGTCCTTCCTTGACAGAACCAACATTGGTAATGCCCGCATTGCGGGCATGGTTACAGACCTCAAGCTGCGTCCTGCGCAGTACAACTGGGCAGTGACGTCCTTCTTCTTCACATACTTCATTATTGAAGCACCATCTAACTTGATGTTGAAGAAATTCGGTGCCAAGATCTGGCTGCCTTTCATCATGGTTCTGTGGGCAGCTTGCTGTCTTGGCCTCGGTTTCGTCACCAATTACACAACCTTGCTCATCACTCGTTTGGCTCTTGGTCTTGCCGAGGGAGGTCTCTTCCCCGGTGTTGCTTACTACCTCACTACATGGTACCCGCGCTCCATGATTGCTTTCCGCATTGCCATTTTCTTCAGCGCAGCGACCATTGCAGGAGGCTTCGGTGGTCTATTGGCTTATGGCTTCCAGAACATGAACGGCCTTGGTGGCAAGACCGGATGGGAGTGGATCTTGTAAGTTTCAACTTCTTTGAGGGGTAAACCGGTATGAATTGTCGGGGATATCCCACGCAACTTCACATCGACTACTCAGCAAGTATATCTACGTTGAACAACGCTAATGACAGTATCATGGAAGGCCTGATCACCTTCGCTGTTGCGATCCTTGGGTATTTCCTCATCCCCGAGTCACCGAGCAAGGTCAAATGGCTCAACCAAGAGGAACGAGATGTTATGTCTTGGCGTATCGCTCACGATGGTGACCTTCGCGTACCTATGGACGACTCATTCAGGTGGGCTTACGTTGGTGATGCCCTCACCGACTGGAAGTTGTGGCTCAACTTGATTACATACTGGGGTGCTGCAGTGCCACTTTACTCTGTTGCTTTGACACTTCCCTCCATCGTCCGCGGTATGGGTTACACATCGATCGACTCAGCACAACTACACACTGTCCCTGTCTACATTGTTGGCTGCGTTTTCGTTGTTCTTGCTGCTTGGGTTTCTGACAGGTGGAAGCGATCGCCCGTTGTCATCATCATGCTCTGTATCGCAGTCCTCGGATGGGGCCTTGCCCTCGGCTTGCCAGCTCGCAACAACGCTGCTCGTTACACGTCCATGTTCTTTGCTTGCATTGGTTCCTACGGATCGTTCGTTCCTCAACTCGTCACATTGACCTCCAACGTTGGTGGCAAGACCAAGCGTGCCACGGCCATCGGTATCCAAGTCGGTGTCGGTGGTCTTGCTGGTGGTGTTCCTCCTTGGCTCTTCCGTGCCAGCGAGGCACCCAACTACCCATTCGGCTGCAAGATCTCCATGGTCTTTGCCATTATTGGTATCGTCTCCACGTCCATTAACTGGTTCCTCTTGACGATTGCCAACAAGCGCAAGGATGAAATGATCAGCTCTGGCCGTGCTGCTGAGCTCAGTGACAAGGAGCTTTCCGAGATGGGCGACAGGTCGCCTTACTTCCGTTACAGCTACTAGACTGTGGATCTGCTTTTATTCAATCTTTATATATTCAAGAATCTAGGTAGACGGAATCTATTGCTACAATGAATGATATGTAGCTTGAGAGCTAGCCGCATCATCTCCTCACCTCCCAGGATGCTGCACCTGTACTCTATGAAGCCGGATGCCCAACTTAGCCCGTGTCCAGCCGCCTGATTAATTCAGATGGTCAAAAGACCAAGAATTGGAGTACACGTGCACATCAAGATGGCTCAACTTGGCTGCAGGGTGAGCTGCGATCTTACCCGACATCACTTCAGCTGCAGAAAGATGCGCATGATTAAGTGCGCAACTATTGAAATTATTTAAAAGGCTCAAGATCCTGAAGGGATGTTAAATCTTGCATCGCCGTCGAATTAGAGCGCTGCGCTGATGATAACGACCTTGCGTCTACACAGCTGCTGGCGCCGCGTGCATCTGCGGTACAGCGCAACAGGCTACGAGCTCGAGTAGGAAACGGCTTGAACATCTGTCAATGTGTCTTGCTCGAATAGCTGTATGTTCAAAGCTCAGATCAGGGCCCTTACATGCATTCTTAAGCAAAGCCTCGCTTCAACTGACTGACAAGCATGTGGCTGAAGCTCTTTTCTGGCTACAGGTCAAAGCTCAACCATGGATTGAGGTTCTGCCGACAGTGATTTTAAGGCTTGATTCATGCTCTCGATTGGTGTCAATGTTGCAAGCATCAAGGCTCTGCAGAAAGTGTGCGCGTCTCCTTTTCTGTCGCCCCAGGGCGTTTTGCCGCAGAGAGCTTACTCCGCAGCAGCGTCCATCATAGCTCATTCGTCATCTTGGGAATCGATACGCTCTTGACAATGATGCAATCTGATTCGCACTGCTCATGCTGCTCATACTCAATGCTAACAACACGCCACAATCGCCACAGACCGGGGAAGTACATCAAGGACTGGCAGGTGAACTCAATATTCTTGCACTCTACGCACTGTCTACGCACAAACACACTAAATCAAACGCCAGAACAAAACAGCAACCAATGCAACAGAAAGCACAAGCACCAAGCAATAACCGATGCACAACAAATGTGTCTCCCGCCGAATCGTCTCTCTTATGCAGCTGCCAACAATGAGGACCTGAAAAATCCGACTCACCACTCTGCGCTGCGTCTGGAGGGCGATACGACTCTGCATGGCCATTCTGTTTACCTTTCAAGCGTACCAGGCTCAAGCGTCTGCCGACCGCCTTAATTTGCTTTTAAAGAGCGACACGACTTTGCGTGTCAGCTCTGTTCGCCTCTTGGGCTGGCTAGAATCGTTCCCATTCTGCTGCTCAATCTCAGGCACAGCTATGGGAGCCTTGTTCATCGAGCAATTTGTGTGATATGCTCCGTCTACTGCGCAACCATTGGCGTCCGTCTTTTTATGATTGAACTTGGCGCAGACCTTACTGGCCGCCTTCTTCAGTGCCCTCCTCCAGACACGCTTTCTTGAAATGGGCTCGGGCAACGCTTCTGCTGGAAGCATCTTGAGTGGATCCCCGTTTTCATCGAGCATAAACTTGGATGCCTCATACAGCTCAATCAAATCATCCAGTGCAACATCTGGCTGGGCTATGCGGGCTACTGCAATATACTGGCCAAGCCAGACTGGCACGGGGTGGCGGAATGCAGGGCCACTAGGCTGTTGGGTGGATGCGGTATCGGTAGTGCTATGGTTGGATCTTACGCTGGGCTCGTATGGTTGGAGAAGCGATAGGTAGCTGTCCACCCAAGGCCGAGTGCGTAGAGCAGGGGCAGGAAGTGCCGAGATGCTAGTCATCGTGGTGAGATCATCCAAATCGCTATAGAGTAGGGAGTCGTCATTGTAGACAGATAGGTCGTCGTCCTCATCATCTTCAGCTTCCTCTGAGGCGTTTACAACGGCGATGGTGGACGCTGAGCGCCAGAGACCGTTGTATGGATTTACGATCGCTTCAGGCTCGATCGGCAGCTTCTCGTTAATATGGAACAAGGAAAGGAAACGCTCAGCCCACGAACGACGGCGAGACGGCTCTTCAACCCGCGTGATAGCAGACTGGAATGGTGTAGCATCGTTGCCACTTGCCAAGGAATAAAACGAGAGCATGCTGTCGCCGAGCAAAATGGAGCTGTATGGCGTCACGGGGAACTGGGTGGAAGCGGAACTAGAGGTGATAGTGGAACTGAAAGGTAGGACATCCTCTTGACCAGATAGAAGAGAGGCGATGGAGGAGATAGAGAAGGTAGATGGGCATGCCAGTCGGTAGAGGGGAAAGGTAGGAATAGCCTTGCTTTGCAGGCGTGGATCCATGTCTTGGGGAGCTCCTCCCGAGCTTTCAGCAGTCGCACCTTCGGTATCAAAGAGCTTCTGGCGACGAGAGGAGGGTGAGTCCTCGCGAGCCAGGCCGTGGTTAACAGCAATCTCATACAGTGCGTTCATCTTGTGGGAATAGGCAAAGTAGAAGATCAAGACCTTTTGAAGGTGTGGTGATAGGGAAGAAGAAAATGACAAAAGGGCAGACTCTGGGTTCCTTATATGTTTTCTGTGTCACCAGAATGGCCGGTGTTGGTGAGTCATTTGCATACAGGAGACAGCGGGCTGTGTTTGAGCCGGTATGACTCATTTTCATCTTATCATAGTGTGAAGCTATCTTGCCTCGAGCTCATATTCGCGCACGGCTCAAGCTCACTGTCTACAGCTCAGCACGCATCGCTCTGTACAGATTGACAAAATCTTGTGGTGTTGTTGACAACCTTGTTACACTCGAGCACTGTCGACGACCGTTGCGGTGCTGTGCAGTCTCAGCCAATCATTTCGTCACACTTCGCCAATCTAATCTGACCGGGCCTGCTTCCGAGATCTGCAGCAACTCAACCGTTGAAGAGGCTCTTGTACTGTATATAAAGAGGGCAGTCGTTCTTTCACCTCTTGCAAAACTGCTTCTTGCCAATCTCTTTCATCTGTCTTTGTCTTCTGGTGCAGGTGTGTGAAGAGCGCTTCCTGGTATCCCTCTTCAAACATCAACGAGTGCAGTACTGCTTTCTGACATGCTCTTTCTTCTTGCACTTTTGCTCACGTCCGCTACGTTTGCATGCGAAGACCATGACTGGGCAACACCACATGAGCTTACGTTCGAGCAATCTGTGCAACACCACTTATTCAAACGAATTCAGCCAGACGCTTTTGCGGCAAGGGACGAGCCTGTTGCCCCGCTCCCCTGGGGCCAAATCAACTTCTTGCACACTACAGACACCCATGGCTACCTTGCCGGCTCTCTAGCGGAGAGTGCAAAGTCTTATTCGGCAGACTTTGGCGACATGAGCGCTTTTGTGAGTAGGAGCAAAGCAATTGCAGATAGGCTCGGAGTCGACCTTTTGCTTCTGGACAGCGGCGACTTGCACGATGGCACAGCGCTTGGGGACAACAGTTCGCCCAATGGCGCGTTGACCCTGCCATTATTTGCCAATTTACCGTACGATGTCCTGAGTATAGGCAACCATGAATTGTACACGACCGAGATTGCTACCAACACATACAACACCTTCGCACCAAAGTGGGGAGGACGCTATCTCACTTCAAATGTCGATATTTACATCAATGGCACGCGTCGACCTTTCTCCGACCGATATGCATACTTCACAACCAAGTTCGGCTTACGAATTTTGTCTTTTGGTTTTCTTTTCAACTTCACAGGCAATAGCAATGCTAGCGTCGTTACACCCGTTGGTACAGCTGTCAACCAAACTTGGTTTCAAGCGCAAGCACGACGCTCAGACATTGACTTGTTCGTCGTGGTCGGCCACGTCACCATGCGGGACTCACCCGAATGGGACTCTGTCTATAAAGCCATCCGGGCGCACCACCCAGCAACGCCGATTGCCTTCTTTGGTGGACATCGTCACATTAGAGATTTTGTTGTGTATGATTCGAGCGCTGTGGGCTTAGCATCAGGCCGCTACTGCGAAACTATCGGGTTCATGTCCATCAGTGGCTTTGGCAACAAGACCAGAGCAAATACCCCGACTGGACTTGGACGAAGCATCAAGCCCGGCCAAGGTCGGAACGTCACTGGTGCTAAACGTAACGTCAACTCGAGCTTGACATTTGCTCGTTCGTACCTGGACTTTAACCGCAACACATTCATCAAGTTGACAACTAATGGCTCGTCACCCTTCAATACGTCGCTTGGTCTTGAGATTACTCGCAACATCACTGATGCTCGTCTGGCCCTGAATTTGACTGCTGTGTTTGGTTGTTCTCCTGGGGACTACTACCAGTCGAGATATCCTGTTTCGAGCAACATGAGCATCTTCAACTACCTCACCAACGAAGTTTTTCCACGCGTTATGGTCGCCCCTGGGCGTGAAGATCAACCGCGCATTGCACTCATCAATACTGGAGCTGTTCGATACGATCTGTACAAGGGCAAATTTGGCCTTGACAACGCCTACCAGATTATCCCCTTTACGAATACCATCCTTCGCAAGGAGGTACCGTGGGGTGTGGCTAAGAATCTTCTCAAGAACATGCAGACAGACCGTGTTTACAAACGTCAAGAGCAGATTGACTTGTCGCTTGGCTACGCTACGAATGACGACTTTGGACGTGATGGTGATAATCCGCAGCACATTCCTCTACCATTTGCTTCGTCACCTCGTTATGTTCAGAGCAACAGTTCGTTGCCAGAGGATATCAGCGATGAGACTATCGTCGATGTATATGCTGCGTCTTTCTTCACTGATGCTGCTAGCGCCTACTTGACGGGCAACCTGACGGACTGGGTCCAAGCAGATGAAGGCCTCACGACACTTGACTTGTTGCCACGCATGGCCAAGAATTATTGGAGCAAGGACTGCTGATATCTACGATTATATAGAATGGTTTAGTCAAGTCTGACTTGTACACTATTTCTGTGAGCGTCCAAGCCTTCCACTTCAGCCAATTGCATGACGACTTTGCCAAGATCAACGAGTCCGGCACGCGTAATTTCCTGGGACGTGATGGCCTTGAGGAAAGATCCCGTGTTGACACCAGAGTATTGCCGTGCGTATCCATATGTCGGAAGTGTGTGGTTCGTACCTGATGCATAGTCTCCGCAAGCAACAGGCGAATACGGGCCAACAAAGATACTGCCAGCATTGAAAATCTTTTTCGCATCGGCTGCCGAGTTTGATGTATAGACAATGAGATGCTCTGGTGCGTAGGCATTCGAAAATTGGATGGCCTCATCCACAGACGGCGCATTGTAGATGAAGGAGTGAGCGATCGACTTTTTTAGAATGTCGACACGTGGAAGCAGGTTCGCTTGACGGACCACTTCCTTCTTGATGGCATCAATCTCTTCCGTGGTGAGATTTGCACCTACCAGGACAGATTGGGAGTCGGCGCCGTGCTCTGCTTGACTGAGCATGTCGCTTGCAATGAATGCTGGATTCGCGCTACCATCGCAAATAATGAGCACTTCAGAGGGACCGGCAGGCATATCGATACTGACGAGTGCCTCTGCATCTCCGGCGACAATGGACTTGGCCGCCGTAACGAATTGGTTGCCTGGACCCAAAATCTTGTCGCACTTGCGAACCGTATCTGTCCCGTAGGCCAGCGCTGCAACAGCTTGAGCACCGCCAGCAAGTAAGATTGCTTCAGCACCCACTTTGTGAGCAATATACACAATCTCTGGGCTAAGCGAGCCGTCTTTGCGAGGTGGACTAGCGAAGAGAATGTGAGGACAGCCTGCCACCATGGCTGGGACACCAAGCATCATGGCCGTGGATGGCAGTACTGCAGTACCGCCTGGAACATAACAAGCAACACTCTCAATTGGCCGGTTGAAGCGAGAACATACGACGCCAGGCATAGTCTCCACTGAGATGGGCTGGTCATTGTCGAGCTGAGCCTGGTGAAATTTGCGAATATTGGAGAAGGCCTGGTCAATGCTGGTCTTGACATTGCCGCTGAGCTTCATGAGGGATGAATCGAACGGCGCGCGCAAGACCGGACTATTCAGCGCAGCTCCATCAAAGCGTTTGGTGAATTCAAGTACGGCTGCATCGCCACGTTCCTTGACTGCTTCAAGAATAGGCTTCACCAGCTTATTAATTTCGTCATTGCTTTTGATCGGCCGTCGAAGGAGAGCTTTGTGCTCATCTGGAGAGACGTCTGCAGCTTGGTGCACTTTGAGGTTGAGAGATTCTTGATCGTCGACTGGTGGATCATCGCCCAATTCCTTGACCTTGGCCACTGTTTTCGCCTCCTTCTCCGTAATCTTGTCTGCGTATGGCTTCTTCGCATTGCCAGGCCGGCGAGCGGATGGCAGCTTGAGTGCTTTGGCATCCAGTGCACCTTCGACGTCATTCAGAGATACTCCCTTTGCAATACATTGAGTCATTGCAAAATAGATGAGGTCGGCAGCCTCAAATGCAACCTCTTCCTTGGTCGTTGCATCACAAAGCTCTTCTGCCTCTTCCAGAATCTTGGCTCTCAATAGTTTCGAGTCTTCAAATAGCCGCTTGGTGTAGCTACCTTCTGGTGCAGATGCCTTGCGTTCAACGAGCGTCTTTTCAAGTGCAGAGAGCCCCTTGAGCTGACCAAAGCAGGAGGATTGAGGCAGGTGACAAAAGCCACGTCCAGTTTGCTCGACTTGAAACAGGATGCAGTCGGCATCGCAATCGTAGCTGAGTCTGAGAAGGCGTTGTGTGTCTCCAGAGGTAGCTCCTTTATACCATAGTCCACGCTTTCGAGACTCGTAGACGCCTGTACCGGTGCGTAATGTTTCGGCAATCGAGCGCTTTGACGAGTAGACTAGGCCAAGTGTTTGATTGCGATTGTTGCAGACAACTGTGGGAATCAGGTTGTCTGCGCGATCTGATTGTGTGCCTATGCAAAAGACTTGGGCAATGTCGAGTGAGCCTGATGACTGGCCGAGCGACGCAGGTGCATTCTCGTTTTCTTGTTCAGGTAATTTAAGGTTGGCCGCGGACGTAACGAGTGTCGCAGATGCTGGAAGTTCCTGTAAGGCTTCGAGTGTCGGTGTCTCCTCAAAATAGTACGCCTCTTGCTCCTCCTTCAGCGACGTCAGGTCAGCCTTTTGCACAATAGATGTGATGCGTCTGGGTTTGGGAACAGCAGCAGCTTCCGCTTGCTCATCAGAACAGAAGACAGCGCTCGCTCCACCATTGAGAACTGAAGCAACTTGCTCGGCGTCAAGGGCCTTGACATCTGCAAGCACAGAGACCAGCGTGAAGTGTGCTTTGATGAAGCCAAGAACTCTTCCGAAATTGCTCGGTGTCACTACGATCAGAATCTGTCCAAGATGCTGTAATGTCGCTCTTGGCAAGCCCTGATCAGCCTCAAGGTCAACAATCGGCAGCAACTTCATGATGTTCTGTATTGTAGATGTCGTCGTGCTAGCGCTGGCTGATAAAATTTTGGTAGATGCCGGATTAGATAAGCTTCTTGCGCACAAAAACAGCAATAGAAGGCTTTGGAGAGATGGATAGGATCCGAGACTACTAGAGACATCTATCGTATCATTTGCGAGACTGCCTAAGGGGTTTTTGAAGGCAAAAGCGCGATATTTCAGGTTTTGACTATTTATATACGTCCTGCACTCTTCCCGAGTTAGTTGCGATTATGTAAGGCCCCTTTGGCCCAGCGGTAAGGCGTGTCTTTCCTAAGGACGAGATCGCGGGTTCAATCCCCGCAGGGGGTTTATTTTTTCTGTTCTTTGGGGTCATTGCCCTGACTCGAATCACGGATAGCTCCTGCAACCACCAGTGTGTGCTTGCCTGAGGGCCTGATTGGACCTGCGAGTCCTTTGTGTACTCTCTCGATTTGGGGCTTGTTGTCAGCAATGAGTATGAGCCATGATGAACGTCATTGCCCTAACTCGAATCACGGATAGCTCCTGCAACCACCAGTGTGTGCTTGCCTGAGGGCCTGATTGGACCTGCGAGTCCTTTGTGTACTCTCTCGATTTGGGGCTTGTTGTCAGCAATGAGTATGAGCCATGATGAACGCTCCTGCAAATACGCTCTCTGCGGCAAAACGCCCTGGGGTGACACAAAAGGAGACGCGCACACCTTTGGCAGAGCCTTATTGCTTGCAATATTGACACCAATTGAAAGCATGACTCAAGCCTTGAAATCGCTGTCGGCAGAACCTCAATTCATGATTGAGACTCGAAATGTAGCCAGAGAAGAGCTTCAATTGCCACATGCTTGTCATTAAGATGAAATAAGGCTTTCCTCAAAATTCTTGGCTGCACAAAGACATAGCAAAGCTCCTGAAATCTATCAAAGCAGGACATCACTCGGATTATCCTGGCGTCTGTTTGCGTCACCAATGTGGAGTGAGTTAAGATCTCCCATATGATGATCGGTAAGGGGAATGCTCAATTGAAATGCTCAATTGAAATATAAAGCCAAGAAGTTCAATCTTTCGTATGAGCTACCAATATGGGGTCTCTTGGTTGACGCTGCAACGTTCTCGCTACAATTTGCGTGTCGGTATGCGCTGGCGCCACGGCATAATTTGGAAAGGTGGATACAATCTTGATCTTTTAGATCAGCTCAAAATGCTCCATATCGAACTCGGTATACCTGTTCCAGAGGCACTGCATCACTGGGTTGTGGTGGATGAATATGCTGATCGCGAGGTCCGATATCTCGACCAACGTTTTGGAATAGCACGCCTCTCCCTGGAGCTCTGCACATCTCACGGTTTTGAACCGTATGCAAAAGACGAACAGGTCCACGGCTATCTAGCCAGCCAGTTCGGAACAAAGTTCGCGGTTGCTCCCGTGACGACCAAAGCAGAAAGGAACTTGTGCAGATCCGCTCTGGACGAATAGCAAAGGTCAAGTGGGCGTCAAAACATATTGCCTTCGGCTGAGGGCTATATGCACATCACCAGAGCTGTCAACGAAAAGGCTGATGGGCAGACCATGCAATACAAGCTCGTCGACCATGTCAGGAAATTCTTGGAGAGTGACGAGAAGAAAAAAATGAACGACACGCTGACAAACTTCCTGCCTTCGTCCTCGATCAGGATGCACAGAATGCGTCAGATTGAAAGAAGCCGAGCAGCTTGCTTGATCTGCTCTCCACATCAGATTGGAGCTTGTCTGAAAGTGTCATGCGACTCGTAGTGCAAGCTGTAGGCCATAATGATCCTGCACTCCTCTTGCATTCGTACTGCAAAACATGCCAGCAATTCCATAAGCTCAAAACATCTGGCCTTTTCCCTGACCAGGAGCGCTCAGCACGACTCAAATGTGGGGCATGAATCACACAATGTGCTTCTTGATATGCACCTGATGTGTAGAGACTGCACATTTTGCCGACTCAGTGCACATCACTTGAGTGCCTTTCCTTTCCAATAAAAAGTGTGAGCGCACAGGAAGCAGCAGGCCGTGTTGCTTGTGTAGAAGCGGCGATATTCATGAGCTTGACAGGCTGTTCAGGCGGTCTAGGTGGCCCAAGGTTGCGCACAACAGGATCGCCTGAGCTGGTGAAAGGCACCTCGATAGATGACCTGGCCCAGTGACCAGCAGCCATTCGCCGCATCGCGGACGAAGGCGGTAGATTGGTCAGCGTGTCGTTCGTTCGTTTCTTCTCGTCATTCTCGAAGAATCTTCTGACACGGTCGATGTGCTTATAATGAATGATCTGCCGATCAGCCTTTTCGTTGACTGTTCTGGTGGTTTGCATATAGCCCTCAGCCGAGGGCAATGTGTTTTGACGTCCACTTGACCTTTGCCATTCGTCCAGAGCGGATCTGCATAAATCCCTTTCTGCTTTGGTCGTCACGGGAGGAACTGCGAACTTCGTTCCAAATTGGCTGGCGAGATAGTCGTGGACCTGTTCGTCTTTTGCATATGGTCTGGGACCGTGAGCTCTACAAAGCTCAGGAGGGAGGCGTGGTACTCCGAATCGTTGGTCGAGGTATCGAAATTCGCGTTCTGTGAATTCATCACCACAAACCAGAGATGCAACACGCATGGTATAGATGTATTAAGTTCAATGTGGAGCATTTTGAGCTGATCTTAGAGATCAAAGTTGTATTTCCTCTTCCAAAGGATGTCATGACACCAGTGCAAACCAACACCCAATTTGCATCGAGAACATTGCAGCGTCATCCAAGAGATCTCATATTGGTAGATCCCGTTTATCATAGAATTTCTTTGCTTTGGATACTGATGGAAGAATCCAATCCTCGAGGTTCTCATGCCGATATCCATATGGGAGGACCTTGACACGATTCAACATGGAAACAGCCACCAGGTCGTTTCCAGAGATGTCCTGCTTTGATAGATTCCAGGAATTTGACCGAGTCTTTGTGCATGTGAGAGGTGATGAAGGGCTTCTTGACAGCAGCACATTCGATACCAGCGACATAGTCAAGCAGGGCCTTTACTCGTATGTAGGGCTCGTTCGGCTTAGGCACAACCCTCTCACATGTCCTCTGATATCTAGGGTCGTAATGGCGAGCGTCTTGCCAAGTGCTGTCTTCCTTCGACAAGAAAGCTTCTTGTCTTCGCTATTGATGGCAAAAAATGCTTTGAATAATTCTCAACGATACGCTGCGTGATTTGCTCCAGTCATGGTTGATGGCATCGCAAATTCGACGTTGGTCAGAGTTGCATTGCCATCTCTTGTAGGTATCATGGCATCATGCAGAGCTGCAGATGCTGTTCCATATTCATTCGAGCGTGTCACCTTGGGAGCTATGGTCAGTCCTGTTGACAGTATCGACTCAAGATGGCTTACATTTTTAGACCTGGAGCTTTGGCAGCTCTTTCCGCTGCGGATGGACGACCAGATTTTCAGCAGACAACGTGGGTTGCTGGAACCTCAGACGAGAGCCTACATGTGACAAATGAGGGTAGCCACATGTGCTTTTATGACAAAGTCCAGGCATCGAGAGTCAAAGGGATGTTGCCCGTTGCGGCCGCGGTCTCGTCTTTCAGCTCCTCGCGCGCAGACAAGGAACGCTTCTCTAATCTCCTTCGCATGGCGTCCGCGGTTAGAAGCCGTACATCACGTTGTGCGAGGCGGGAAACCAAAGCCTCAAGAGCATGTGATTCGACAATTTCAAAGGGCAGCTTACGTTCGACAATCATGTCTAGCAGCAGGTCGTGCATCTTGGAAATATCAAAACCTGAATAGACGCGTTGTCCACGAGGAGCTCGAATTCCAAGTGATTCGACAATACCCCTTTGACCATCGGGGAACTTGGGTTTCGTGCCCGGAGCCGGAGTGAGTCCCGGCGTTCTAGGGTGGTGCTTGCGCAAATGGCGCAAACGCGAGCTAGTGCTCCCAGCATCATAATGACACGAACGCGTTTGAATTGGGAGCTTCTCGGGACACAGTTTGCAAATCCACCTTTGATGTCGTTTTCGAGCCTGTCCTCTCAATGCAATCATGCCTTCATGGGGTTTCAAGCCGAAGAAGCGGGCATAGTCGAGGTTGGCAGTCCTCCGAGTGTCTGCTTCCTCCTGATCTGGCTTACCTCCATCCGAGGTAGGCGTATTCAGAAGAGAATCGCTCGTGGACGCCCGAGACATGAGAGCCGCGAGTCAGTTCAGTCTTGTATGTCGTGACCTGACGCACTGGTCTCGAGTCAGGCCCTGTCAGGGTCGATGTATGCCATTGTGACCCGGTGTCTGGCTCAGTCACTGAATCTGAGTGGTGCCATTTGGGACACATGGGTGCATGCTGGACGGGCTCGCGAGTTGCTTCACAAACCAAGGAGTCAAGGAGTCAAGGACACGTCGGTCTGTGCAGAGCAAGGCACGCTGAGCTTCGAACATGAGTATGCGCTGAGCAGGGAATAGTCACCTCGTGATTGCCTTCAAATTTGATGATAGTCGTGCCACTGCCATAAGCAGTTTGATAGCATCCTAGCGCAATGCTCGAGGCAAATTGACATTTTACCAGCTATATAGTGATCAACTAGTCCCTGTCCACTCAGTGAAACTGCTTCAGCGAGTCCACGGTGTCAATGACAGACTTCTCAAGGCCAATGTACTTGGTGCCGAGAATCTTCTTCGATTTGGAATTGTCGCTCGTGAATTGCACCTCCTTGACCCCTGCACCAGGTCCACCTGAAGCTTGCTTCCTGTCTGGGTAATTCTTTGCAAGAATGTCGACAACTTGCTGCCAGGTGAACCAGTCAGAGACACAAATGAAACGCTGATTGTTCACCTTGTCGCCTGCTTCCATGGCATCGAGGTGCATCGTGGCCACATCACGGACGTCCACGAACGACTGGGTCGGGCCGTTGGCGGAGATCTCCCCGGGCGACAAGTAGTAGTTCATGAGTATAGCCACAGAGGTGTTGATGCTATCCGTGTCCTTGATGAAGTGGATAGCAGGACCAAAGACAAAGGCCGGATTAACCCAGCTCACGGCGAAGGTGGGCTTCTCCTCGTTGACAAATTGCTGTCCAAAACGCTCAGCTGCCGTCTTGGATGCGCGGTAAGCGGTTTGTTTGTTGAAGTCATCGCTGCCCTTTGTCTTTTCAATCTCCTTGACGGAGGCATCATTCCAGTCGGCCTCTGTGTAGACGTGTCCCTTGTCCTGTGGACCGTAGATTGCAGCCACCGAAGAGGTGATGACTACACTTTTGACTTTCTTTCCCTTGTTCTTTGCAGAAAACAAGAGAGACTTGGTGCCGCTAACGGCAGGATTGATGAGGTCCTTGTATGGATCCTCGACCTTGAAGTGAAATGGACTAGCAATGTGCAGCACAGCATCGACATCCTGCACTGCATCATCAAAGACTCCGTCAATCTCGAGATCCTCTGCCTGGACAAGCTCAAACTTGTCGCCATGCTGCTTGAAGAGGTCCTTGAGGTGCGTTGACTTTTCCGAGGTCAAATCACGAGCAGTTCCCCGGACCTTGTAGCCCTTTTCGAGCAGCTGTTGACAGACATGAGCGGCAATGTAGCCGGTAGCACCAGTCACGAGCACGAGAGATCCTGGTTGCACAGACATGATTGTTTGGTTATTGATTGTACAGATCGTCATTCATGAAATGCGGAGGTTTCCAAGGCGGAATTTGCCGACAGTCTCACGCCACATCGAGATGGGAGACCGCTTCCAGGAACGCACTCTCGGGCTGGGTAAAGAGGGACGCTTGTTGCTCCACAACAACATGCAAGTCTAGCATGCAGTGGACAGCTTCCTGATCCTGAGCACGCCATGTGTCCTGCAAGTGCTGCTCCAAAGCCCGGCACACGGCTGCTGGGGGTTGCACTGCTACCTGGGGTTTTCGGATAGCTTCACGGAATTCAACCACGACTTCCTTGCATTGCGTCCGAAGAGAATGCCCAAGCAGACGCATAAATAGTGTCGTCAGACTTGATGAGCGTTGCAAGTCAAAGGCTAGTTGGCAGATTTCATGAGCAAGATGTAGTTGAGTTGCTTCGTCGGCTTGAAGGCATTCAGCAGTCAATTGCTCATAGGTCTTTTGCAGCTCTTGAGACAGCACCGCAGCATAAAGAACCGCTTGCGGCAATGTGTTTGAAAGCTGCGACAAAGCCGTGTAGATGCCGACGACAATGAAACGGCGCAGTGAAGCAACTTCGTGATTCCAGGATCTGCCTTCGAGCGTACCGAATGCTTGGCAAAGGATAGACAGAGCAGCAGACGGAGGATCTGTGATTTGCTCCTCACAATACTCGGCAATAGTCACAGCAAAAGATCCCCAAATGCTGGCAATATCGACATGTGCGAATGAGCGTAGTTGTGCAACAGCGTACATGCGAGCAGGCTGTTGGAGATTGCTTTCGTCCAGGAGCCAAGCAAGCGCTGGGATGTCATCGAGGGCAAGCGCTGTGCCGCAATATTCGTGGATGACACGAATGATTGCCTGTGCAAAAGAAGTGTAGAATGCCTTGTCTGCTTCGTCTGTGATACCCTGGAAATATGCTTTGATCACATCCGCCAAGCTTGCCACACAATTTCTGGCCAATTCAAGATTGCTGTCCCTGATCAAGACTCGCAGCGAGATGTCGATATAACTCAACCTGTATTGATCCAACAAGTCAGCAGTCATCTCGCCGACATTGACAAGGTCGGTGTTGTGCTTGACCAGCTCATTTGTGAGTGTCGCTTGACTTGCACGGACATCAGGATTTGCCATGTTTCCGAGCCAGACAGCAATCACATAGTGGCTCATTTCGTCATAAAATGTGGCCTCGCGTCGCAAGAGAAGAGCGAGATAGAATGGGAGTACACGAGCGCTTATAGCTGCCTCGGGTAGTTTCCACCATGTCAGCAACCCTTGACGATCAAAGAGTGAAGACCACGGGGCTTTCTCAATCTTGCGCAAGGCGCGCACACACCGGTACAGCGCTTCGATGCCCATTTTGCATTGCTGAATGAGCAGAGCCGTGATGGGAACTTCCTTAGGCACGTATTCGCCAGAAGAGTCTCGCTCATACCGCCAGCAGCTGCTAAATACATCCGACAAGAAGCGATGGACAAGCTGTGCAGTCTCGAGCAGATCTTGCTTGACAAATGTCTTCATATCGACCAAAGCATTCCCGTCTTCATCTTGGGAAAAATCAAATCCAAAGTCTTGCGATTCTTCCTCGCTACCAAAAGCCGCTGCAGCCTCCACTAAGGGCGCAGTCAAATCAAGCGCTTGCTGCAGTACCGCCAGACGGCCATTTGCTGAGCTGGCTGATTGGCATTGGAAGATTGCTTGATTGTGCAAGATTGCCGTGAATATGTCCATAAACCAAAATTGATGAACACGGGATGGAGAAGCCTTGACGCCAGGGAGGGCGAGAACAGCACTGTATGCAGAGATGCATTCCAAGACAATGCGGTGACAACGTCCAACATTCTCTTGGAGTGCTTTGAACCGGCCCGAAGATTGCTGTTGGCTCATCTCGACAGTGAAGCGTTTGATATCATCCACCGTCGTTGAAAAGATGCGTCTAAACCACGCAATGGTTGCTGGTAAGCGGACTTCCTCGCCTCTAGAGAGCTGCAGACGAACAACGATTCCCCAGGCTTCAATATTGACCCGTCGTAATTCCAGATGCGAACCAGCTATGTGTGCAGCACTTGTCTCGAGCAATCGAGATATGTCCTGGTGTTTGTACTGGCCAGCGGCCCAATAGATGGCAATCTCGACAGCAAAGCGATTCCGCATCTGCCCTAGCTGTGTGATCGATAGATCCGCATCTGCTTGTGCATTCATTGGTCCGAATGTCTGGAATTTGTCAACGATTGTTCTCATCTGATTGATGCCACGGCGATCATCGGATTCCAAGTCATCCTGTAGCTGGTGAAGGCAGAGACAGAGCAACTTGAGAAAAGTACTGAACGTGCCTGCCATGTCGCCCGGCTCATACTCAAGACAAGCCAGCTCATCTCCCAAATGATGGAGAAACGGAGGAAATGCGCCATAAAGAGATTGTTCGTGTTGCAGATTGGCAAGACTGAGTTGACGCCAGAAAAAGTCGTGCAACACACCGCCAACTTTGCCCTGAAGCAGCTTTCCACAGTTTTGCCACTGAAAGATGGTTGCAAGACGATGGCAGCGACGTAAGCTAAGATAGATGTAAGCGTCATGACTACCACTAGAGGGCAATGCACTTTGCTGATCATAGCCAGTCAATACCTTGCCGAGAAGTGCCAGGACACAATCCCAATTCTCTACTGGCAATGCAGCATGACCAAACAGGTCAAAGGATGTGATGCTACTGAGCAGCATGATTGTCTTCCAGGCACGTTCAGACAAGGCGTGATTTCCGCAACGAGGCAAGTCGAGCCACTTATTGATGCGTGTCCAAAAGCTAGGCAGGGTGGCATCCGCACTCGCACTGGCTTGGGTGACATGAAATAAGACTGTCCAGCACTCGAGCATGCTCCCATCCGAGGCGGATATACCCTGTGATCGTGCCATTTGGTCTCTTTGGCGTCGAAGCATACTTTCCACAGACTCGAGCGTTGAGGAAAGGAGAAATCCAAGAACTGACTCAACAACCTGCGAGAATTGATTCCACTGGTTTTGCTGTTGCGCCATCTGAAAGGAAAAAATGAGGCAAAACGTACAGAGCCAGCTTCGTGATAAAATATGCTCGCTGAGTAGTGCAAGTTGCCGCAGCTCGTTTGTCTTGCCAAAGATGTCGGCTTTGGTCTGAAGGTCCGTATCGTTGATCAAAAAGCGAAAGACATCATATTCGTCGCGCTGCACGGGCTTTCCTGCGCGAATAGCATACTCCAAAGCAGGAAAGAAGCGATTGATGAGCTGAGGCAGGTGTCCAACATCATATCTCGCATGCTCGTAGAAGCAAATTGACAAGAAGGTACCGTCAGCAAGAACCGCAGCAAGTTCAGCACCGGCGACCGTATCTTGCGCAAAGAAGCAACCGGGAGAGAGTGGTTCGCAACCAAGGGAGACATCTGTAAGGATGGCATCAGAGACAAACATTGTACTAACATTTGCTTCAGTGCGACCTTCGTCTGCTTCAATCAAGAATGGAACGAGCGATTGTTGTAAAGGTACTTTACGTTGAGCTGCGTTTTTCCGCTGTAGTTTTTGCTTACGGTGCGGTGCAGCCAAGTTGGCATCGTCCGGACGAATCGATTCGTCATGTTGCTGAGTTGGAGCTTGTGCCTGCCAAAGCGACACCTTTGCTGCGAAATCGTCTTCCTCGAAAAGATTGGTAATCTCCACGAGGTTGCGAAGATATGCTGGACGCTTGGCAGTTCTTTGTGGCGCTGTTGTATGTGGTGCTATCGCAATTTGACCAGTTTCTTTTTCAAGAGTCGTTTGAAACGTTCGCGAAGCAAAGAAGCGGACTTGCTTTGCCTTTTTTTGTTGCTTGGGTACTGCCGGTGGTCTTTGCTGGTGCAGACTGAGCGGGAGTCCTTCTTCATCCGTAGCTTCTTCTGCTTCGTCAAGATAGAAGCCACCTGAACGCACGGTAGACGCCTTTTTCCGCTTCCGCACTTGTTTCGGCTCGCTAGGTTGTAATGCAAGTCGTTGCTGCTTCAAAACCTGCCGTTGCTGGTGTTGCTTGGCCCGCTGGCCTTCAACAGGAAGCACACCTTTTGCCCAACGCCTGAATACACGCTGTATGCCTTCTTCAGCATCGGTAGCATCTGGCTCTGATCTGACTGTAGGATCATAAAAGCTGAATTGTTTGCGAGAGAGTTGCGTTCCTGCATCACCACCACGTTGCCGTACCGCGCGCGATGCGAGCCTGACATCGCGGGGTGCTTGTGAACGGTTTTCGAATTGGTCCAGCAAGTCACCAATGAATAAAGGTGGTGCAGCCCTGCGACGTCTTGTTTGTTTCGCGCGATCATGTCGACTCGGCGGCTTTGCAGAAGATGATTGACGCGGTTTCGCAAACCCATCTGGTAATTTCTGCTGTCGTTTGCGTTTTGCTTGACCAGGGCCTATCCTAGAAACTCTTGGTCGAGGGGTAGCTCTATCCACCATTCGATCAATTTGCTCCTCTTGCTCCATATCACTATCATCATCAATAAAGATGGGCCCACTGGCAGTACTTTGTAGCTGAGGTGTTGACAGTGCATGCACGCCGCCCACAGAACTGCGTACGCTACCCCTCGGCACTGTCGGCATCGTCGCCTCCTCCTCTGAAGCAGAACTAAACGCTTCAATCTGCCAAGCACTGCGATGTGGTAGGACTTGTCCCGTCTTATCCTTTCGAACTGCCTTGCCACGAACTTTGATGCCAGATGCGTCAATGTTGTTTGGTCGTGCGAGACGGTTGAGTGCCGCTGCTGGTGTTTCGGCAAAGAACTTGAAGGAAGCAGGCAAGACGCCTCGTGTCTTCTTCCTGATTTGCTTGACGAGATGTGCAGTGGCGGCAGTAGTGTCTTCCTCTGACGAGGAGAGAGGTGTGGGTGACCGACGCTGCGAGGGCATATGTAGCGGCGACAAACCTGGCGTGACATTCAATGCGAATTCGGCTTCTTCTTGTGCATCAGCCTCTTCCAAATCACTCGCCTCCGGACTCGCAGCATTCCAATTTTCGAGGGCGAGGAGCGGTTCAGTGGATCGTAGGGGCTTGTCTGGCTGCAAGAGATTATCGAAACGGTTGATCTCGCGCCATCGTTTGATTCTGCGCTTTAGTTGTTTTGCAGGGACATTGTCCACTGCATTGGGCCGAGAAAGGATACCTGACGGCGGTGAACGAGAACGTGAAGGTTTCCGAGCAAGTCGGACAGGTGGCAAAAACTCTGCATCTGCTTCAGGTCCTAGTACATTACCAGGCAACAATAACGGTTCAGGCAATCCTCTGAATCGCATAGGTTTAAACCCAGCTGCTTGAAATTCACGAGCATGTTGAGCCATATCGTATGAGAAGGGCTTGAGTTGTGCTGCTTTTCTAGGACGGAAACGACGTTCATTGGCGATGCGTGACGGTGTCATTGCAGGTTCGATTGCTGACGGGCTGGATGGTTGCTGTGGCGATTCGCGAGTCTGCGAACTTTGAATCATGACTGTTGAGTGAACGGCTGGCTCTGGGATGGGTGAGTTTGCTTGTGAGGAGAAGACGAGTGTTTGTGTGGGCGTTCTTGTCACAGAAGGCTTCACAACGAGATCGTCCATGGCTCCGTCACCAACATCAGCAGTAGGCACATCGCTGAGACTATCATCCGAGTCTGCCAGTAAGGAAAGCGGAAATGGTATTTGTTGGCCAGCTGGTGGCGGTTGTGTCTCGACTGGCTGGGCCTGCTGGTCAGTCATGCAGGGAACAGATGAAGCACTTGCCAGTTCATCAGGACTTAGACTTCTCTCATGGTCATAAACGGCAGAAGCAAGGGAAAGAGCTGGAGCTTCATCAATTATCAAATCATTCGAGGCTGTCGTTCTCTTTGTAGCAATAATAGCTGTTCTCGGTGGCTGCCATAGCTCATCCTCGCTGTCTGGCACTTCATCCATCTGTGCATCTGCTTCTTAGCCAGAGCCCTTCTTCTATAGCTTTCTCGATGAGCGGATGCGCATCTCTGCTTGTGTATGTAGCTTGTCGCGCTCGCGTCTCCTTTCGCTGCAGTGAAATTCGCGCTCTGGACTCAAACGCAACGACACAGAAGCGTCATCCAGCAAGCCAACCATGGTGCGTTCTTCATTTATGAGCAGTGAAACATTGCTAACAAGGAGGCCGACCCACTGGATGCAGCACTTGACCTTCTACGTCGCTTGAAACCACAAGACATTGCAAGCAACCTCAAAACGCTCTGTGAGACGTGTCCCGAGATTGCCGAAGACTTGCTAGGCACTGTTGATCAACCACTTCTCATCAAGACCTGCAAGCAAACAGCCAAGGATTTCCTTGCTTGTGACTTCAACAGGGAAGAAGACAGTTATCGTTCACCGTGGAGTAACCAGCTTGATCCACCCATTCAAGACGCGTCTGTGCCGGCTGCCGGATTACGACAATTGGAAGTTGCGCTGAATGAGGCATTTGACGTGTACAGAGATCTTTACTATGAAGGTGGTTTGTCTTCCGTTTACCTCTGGCAACCTGAAGAAGGTGCCCTTGCCGGTGCCATCTTACTCAAGAAGCAAGCACCGGGACAATACAGTAAAGGCAGTTGGGATGCGATCCATGTCTTTGCGGCATTTGAACAAGGTGGTGGTGGGAAGCATGGTAGTATGCGGTATGAATTGACATCAACGGTGATGCTCGATATGACCATGACGAATGATGCACTCGATTCAATGAATTTGGGTGGTAACATGACGCGTCAGCATCAACAGACGTGTAGTTTTTCGGATGCAGCATCGCATGTTGGCAACTTGGGTCGCTTGGTGGAGGAGATGGAGATCAAGATGCGGAATCTCCTGCAGGAAGTGTATTTTGGCAAGACGAAGCAGATTTGTCATGAGCTACGCTCCTTACAGCCACTTGCACAGGCGAGAGCAGAGAAGGAGAAGCAAGGAAATCTGATGAAGCAGGTGCCTGCGAAAGATGCCGGGCAAGCAATTTCTTAAGTTCGTTCTATATCTTTTGTCATCAAAGTTGTAGCGCGTCGTCGTCGTTCTGCGGACAGCAGCTTCAAGACTCGCCAAGAAGGCGGCCTAGCACAAGGATCACAATGAGGACGCCTGCACCGACAAGCAGCTTGGTGACACCACCACCCGTCCCTTGTAGTTGCGCCTGCGCATGCTCTAGATTCTGCACAGCAGATCCCTCCATCTCTTTTGTTCCACTTGTCTCTCGTAATTTTTGAGTAGCAGCATCCTGAGCAGCGACATGCACACGATTCTCCTCACAAATCTCTGGGAATTCCCGTACAAATGTCGAGTTTTTCAGATTACTCGCTCGTGAGTCCCGCGCATACATGACACGCGCTGCATGACTGGTTGAGAGTCCACCGGTCGTCATCTCCTCACTCGTCATGAAACTCACAAGACCCGTCAAGATTGTTGAGACTTGCCAGGAGGGGTTCCATGATTTTGGGTGGAAGTCAGAGATGGAGAGGCAGAGTCGTGTGTTGCACTGGAAGCGACCGGAGGGTGTACACATTTTGATGGATGGTGGTTTGAAGGGGTAATCGGCTGGGAAGTGGAGGGTGCCGTAATACTGTCCATTGTGATAAGGTGTGTCGGGTGGTCCTGTGATGATGTAGTGCCACTCCAGGATGTTTCGCTCAGACCTGCAGCTGTCAGACCTGGTTTCTATAGACATAGGAAGAGAGCATACGGCTTGGCGATGGCGAACTCTGGTGGATCCTTCTGGAGCTGGAGGTATTCCTTGTTCAAGCGCTTGTATGCGCCTGCACTGGCCATGATGAGGAGCTTGGATGTCTATGGATGCGCTGAAGTCTAGGACTGCTTAGAGCGAGGACATGGAGTAGGTAGCAGTGGTAGTCGGTGTGCTGTCAGGTATGGTGGAATCAGATGGGATGGCAGGGCAAGGCGGCAGGAGAGGGTCACTGTGATCTGAACAGTGTGATGGAGTAGGGTGAGCATGGTTGTAGGTATAGTTGATGGAGGATAGAGGGAGTGCAGAGTGCAGAGTGTAAAGTATAAAGTGTAGCTACAGGACTGTCTCTGTTACTGCTGTGGGGAGAAAGAGCTACAGACCATCCAAGAGACAGGGACAGGGAAAGAGACGGAGCCACTTCCCTTGCTCTTCATCTGCAGCAGTAAGCAGCCAAGCAGCTAAGCAGTCTCTAGCTATCTACGTGACTATTCCATGCCTGATCTCTGCCCGCGCTGTCCCTGTGACGTCCCCAGCTCCTCTTTCCCGACGTCATCCTCGAGCTCCAACCGCCAAGGCAGCAAGCATATAAAGCACCACCTCACCCACCACCTCTGCCTACCTTCTCATCTCTACCATCACTGAATCAGAAACATGGCAGCAGTCAACAAGAACGATAATCACATCAATGCTTCCCCGGCAAACACATCTCGCGGTAATGCTGCACTTGAAGGGTAAGCACCTACCCCCTTTCCCCACAAAAACGGAGTATATATCAAGCAATAAGACTAACAACTACCTAGCGGTCGTCATGAAACAGGCGGTCTGACAAGTGGCAAGTCAGCGGGCAAGTCCTCCCATATGGACGGTGATGTCCCGGCACCAGGCAACGCTGGTCTCGGTGGTGGTGGTGCAACCTCCATGTCCGGTGCTGATACAACACACCCTGGCTCGGGCGCAACACCCGCCGCTGCCGCTTCTGCAGGTCATGCGAAACCCAATGCTGAGGATCCACGGGATAACCCATCTGCCAAGGAAGGCAAAGGGATGAGCATTGAGGAGGCGAATGCGTCGGGTGACGGTACTTTTGGCGATGGCAAATTCGATGCCGCTGCACCGGGTGCTGCTGCAAAAGCACAGCAGTTGGAGGCAGGTGCACGTAGGGAGGCCGGTGAGGAGGGGAAGATCAATGTTCACGTCAATTAGTCAATAAGTGTCGTTTTGTACTCTTCATGACGACTGTGCTTCGATGTTGACGCGTTCAATCCAGCGTGCTACCAGAGCATCGTTCTCTGCACGTAACGCCGTGACTTGTGCTTCTGCTTGTGTCAATTCTAGCTAGAGGGACGTCAATTTTGAGATATGACACGACTAGAGGTCATCGTACCTGGCTAGTAAAGAGCTCATCCTGCAGCGTCTGAATCGAGGTATTCTTGTCCTGTGCAGTCTGCTTGTACTCTTCCGTCTTGCGCGTCTCTGCCTTGAGCAAGCTACTCAGTCGAGTAGTCCTAACACGAGTATCAGCTTTCTTGTCTTACATGAGCCATAGAGTGAAGCATACGCTTGCTGAAGCTTACGACTGACTTCACGCTGTTCTTCAAGTTGGCGTTTGAGTAGAGCTACTTGTGAGAGTTCAGCGACGGTGTCATTTGCTGTGCGTGACTGAGCATCACGTCTCTGAAGCTGTAGCAGGTACCTGTCCATGCATCGGTCCTGGGGGTGGATGACGTGTCGAGGGACAAGTTGCAAAGAACAGACAGTGTCAGACACCAACAGGCGCCCATCCCTTGTACCTCGTTCAGTCTCTCTAAAGCGCATCAAAGACACGCAAGCTACACAGAGATCTCATCGAGACATGCCTGGACAAATCATCTGCAATGCAGGCAAGTGTACGCGTCAAGGCACTACAAAACGCGTTGTGCCAGACCCCCGAAAAGGGACACTCTCCCTTGAGCAGCGCGACGACTTGCTCCATTTCTGCTGGAGGGAGCGTGGACAGGCAGAGACGGAGGAGGCGGAAGAAGATCTCATCATCTTTCCTGAAGATGCGACGCTCGAGCGTGTCCCCGTGGATAAGATGACGCTTGTGCGGGAGGATGGCGAGGAGGTGGGTGAGGCGGATAGGGAGAAGAATACAAGAATCTATGCATTGCGCTTCAAGAGCAGCGACCAGGTGAGCTTCTACTGGATGCAGTCTGGGGACGGGAGCAAGGACGACGATGTTGTTGCGAGGGTGAATGCGATCATTGGAGAGGAGCAGGAAGAGGAGGAGGAAGAGGGAGACAGGATGGAGCAGTAGGGAAGTAGTCCATCCTCATCTCAGTTGTCCCTGTCCATGTCATGTCCCTGCCAGATCATCCTGTCTCGTCGTGCTTGGTCGTTGAGCATCAGACTCCCCTCGTCGCGCCCCTCCCTCTTGATCCACCGCGTCCTGGTCCTCCTCGTCCACCTGCACCACCACGCATCATGCCTCTACCACCGGCACCACCCCCACGTCCACCACGCACACCACCACCGCGCACACCCACTTCCGCCTTCTTCCTCCCCTTCGGTGCATCATCAATCAACAACGTATCCAACGGCAAAGAATCAGGTAGTTCAAAATACCTGATATTATTCCCACGCACACTCATCGTATCCAAGCTCATTAAATCCGGTTGCGCACCCGTTGAGTCGCGTGCTTGTTGCAGTTTGACGTGTTTCAAGTGGGTATTCATTTGCATGTCGACAGAAGTGATGGTGCCGGTGACGGTTGAGCCATTCTTGAGACTGAGTGTAACCGTCTCGTTCGTGAGCTTCATCAAGAACCGTACGAGCTTCATCTTTGGCTAGTGGATGAGGTGGTAGGACGGTAGGAGCGTCGCAGTTACTGGTCGTTGTGTCTTTATTTTATTCGACATGCGACTCAACTTTGACAGACGACAGTAAATACACGGCATGCTGGCTAGAGGACATAGGGAGGCATGCTGCAGGCTAGCACATAGAAGCTATGCATCCATCGCAGACAAGTATCAGCATAAACTCCAACAACGCGCCGGTCAAGAAGGTCTCAAAGGTGGCAATGCTATTGAACAACTACGCCTTAAATATAAAGCCCGCGTCAAGGCACAAGAAGCCATCCAGCCATCTCCCGCCATCAAGCAAGACTTGGTGAAGCCAGTCAAGACTTCAGCGAGTACGGCCGCTGCCAAACAAAAGGCAGAAGCGGCTGCAGCGTCGAAGAATCGAGGCCATAAGAAGATTGATAATTACATCGCGTTGGACAAGTTGCGATTGCATGAACCCAAGGAGATTGAACTTCTTTGGCGTGCACGATTCGCCAACCAAGAGACAGCTCTGTGTGCAGTGATTCAAGGCGATACCTACAAGACGTTGTATCGCAATGCTCGGCATCATCCCATGTTTGTCTTGCCACTCTTTAGACCGGGACAAGGCGTGGAAATGCAGTTCTGCCAATGGACCTTTCCAGACGGTGAAACGGCTCATCTCATCCTAACCAGTTTATTGGAGTACAAGACGCGTGGCGAGTATGCGCGTCCACATACCATCATTGAGCACCACGCTGAACTCCTCGAGGAAAAAGGTCTCGTTCTGATGAAGGGCGATTTAACAGACTCACGCGCACTCAATGGCTTGCAAGCGACATGGATGTTGACATTGCTGCAACGCTTCTATTGTGTTGATGTCGACAGTACTGATCAAGGCAGTCAGCGTCGTCGTTCCATGTTGCAGGATTTCACGGCAGGCAAGGCATTTGATGTTGATGCACTCATTGAAGAAGCCAAGACTGTTCCAGGTGCTGGTGAAATCTAAGCATGTGTTTAGATAGAACACGCTGCATCTATACATTTGTAAGGACCAATATATCTGATCAGTCCTGGTCCACTTTCCCAGCCAACAGCCCTCGTGACGTCTGCTCACTCTCTTGTCGTGTTCGTGCTGTAAAGGCCACACCACCTCGTTCATCCAGTTCAACTTCTGTGAGTGGTAACCGTACGCCACCCGTCGACCGAACATGCTCACACTCAACCCGTAGAAAGAGCCACATCCAGCGCCGTAGGACTTCTGCATACTGAAATCGATAATCCCACCCAGCAACCGTTGCTTGCGGTGCAAATTTGGCGACCCATAGGAATCGAAGTATCAAGTCAGTCACCATGGCAAAGCCATACACAAGCGTGTTGAAATGCAACGGTCTCCCAAATGGTCGTTGTGCACCAGCATGCACAAACAAGTCCCAATCTCTGCAGATATCCCAGTAGAGCGAATAAATACTATTCAAGAGACATGCCATGATCCATGCACGTCGAAGACTTCCATGTGAGATGTAACTCCCGCTCACACCACCAATCACATCACCCTCATGCGACCCAATTCCTGTTGCTGACAAGGCAGAGAGATAAATGACAGGAAAAGCAGTTGCATACTTGATTGCATTGAGGAGATGACCTCGTTCAGCTGTTTGTGAGAGTAAGATGAGACATTGACGTAGTCGTATCCAGTATGGTGCAGAAACAGCGAAAGCAATGCCTGTATTGACAACCACACTGCCTTGTTGCATGGAGAACAGTGAGAAGAGTAAGCCACATGCATCGCCAAAGACACGCGCATAGGAGGTGAGTACATCAGCCACCAAGATGTCCAAGAACCGTGAATTTTCCTCGTCTGTGCTAATCCCACCAAGACAGATCCGTCCTAGTTGTGACAGGAATCGCCGCCGTTCTTGTGCAAATGGTACGACTCTAAATCGCGACGGTGCAAGTAGAATCAGCAAGATGGCAGCCATCACAGCAATAGAGATGAGCTGTGCGTGCAAGACTTGTGTTGCAGCAAGACCAGCGACAAGCAGTCCGGCAAAGACTAGTGAAAACGTATAGCACGCCCTGATCCGTTGCAAGCCGCCATGTCTTTCAGAGGTCCCTTGCTCAGGCGCAAGAAGCCGCTCAACGGGGATTCCGGTGTACTGCAAGATGGAAAGGTTTACAGCAAAGAGAAATAAGCCAAAGACGGCGATAATGGGGATGCGAAAGGATAATGGAAGGCCGGCCGAGTCTTGGACTTCATGGTCCATCGACGCCTCGATGAAGGCCCCGTGCACCGATCGCCGTTGGGCGTGGGCGTGGTGAAATGTTTCGTCGCGTCTTTTGGTCGTGTGCTCATTTTGGCGTAGAAGGGAAAGTGCCAGTCACAGAGGCGAAGATATTTACCTAGACTACGGCATTGGCTTCTTGATGGCATCTTGCAGCCTCACAAAGGCCTTATTGGGACCAGGGACTGGCCCACGCAGGTAGATCAAGCCAGCCTCCTCATCCACTTTGAGCACCTCGACATTTTGTACCGTAACACGCTCGCCGCCCATACGTCCGGCCATCTTCTTGCCCGGTAGGACACGACCTGGATCTTGTGACTGACCCATGGATCCTGCTGATCTGTGAGAGATACTGACACCGTGTGAAGCACGTAGACCTTTGAAACCATGTCGCTTCATGACACCAGCAAATCCTTTTCCTTTGCTGACTGCACGTACATCAACAAACTGACCCTCTGAGAAGTGTGATGCCAACAGTTGCGTCGCTGGTGTATATTGCTCATTGCCATCGCTGTCCTTGAGTACATCATGCGACAAGACTCTGAATTCAGCAACCTTCTCCTTGGGAAACACTTTGCTCTTTGCAAACTCTCCCAGCTGTGCGCGATTGACATTCCGAGGTTGTCTCAAGCCACAACCCACTTGAACGGCATTGTAACCATGTATTTGTTCTGTTTTGCATTGCAAGACTTGAACTCGATCGAGTTGCAAAATCGTCACGGCGACTTTCTTCCCTGCCTCATCCCAGAGACCCGTCATGCCTTTCTTGGAGGCAAGCAAGCCTGGCCGCCCAGGGATCTGTTGGCGCGTGAGGGCCGCTGCTGAAGAATGGCCCAGGATTGCTGTGGGCGATGTGCTTTGTCGGAGGGGCGGATTGAGCTGTGTACTCATATGCCGTATACAACCGGCATAACGCTGCAGCATGACGAGAAGGTAGAAGCCAGGCCTCTTGGGTTTCAGCTAGCAGGATTGACCTTGTCTGGTCGCCGTCTTGTCGCTTTCTGAATTTGAATTTGACTTCTTCACGTGCACTCAGGAACAGGTAGCGAAATCGATGGACTATAGCTGGTAATCGGTGATTATAGCTGGTAATAGATGACTATAGACGACCATAGACGGCTAGAGAACAGCTACTGCACAGACGACGTACCCGTCCCAGTAATCTCCACAGAGTCAATCCACCCAGCCAGCTCTCTTGCCATGTTCCACGCTCCATCATCCGCCATCGTCAACCCTTCAAACCAATACGGATTCATCTCTGGATCCATCGATAACCCATTCGGCGGCTCATAAAAGTTGGGCACAGGCGGCACTGGTAGATGTGGTTCCTGTGGTGTGGGTGGTGCTTGCTGCTGTGTATGCTGCTGTGGATGCTGCTGTTGTGACACTGGTGGCGGCTGTCCAGTCTGCTGCGCTTGTTGAATTTGTGCAAACGAAGCCTTTCCACTCATCCCACTCAATGCATTCGGTCGTTCCAATTTCGTCATGGTCGCTTCAACGAGTCCCTCAAAGGAATCCCTGTACCGTCGAATATAAGGCGCACGCTCACCCATAATACTCAACACAAAACTGCAAGCGCGAATGTTGTTACTCACACCAAACGACCAGACTTGCTCTCCACCAAGCCAAAGACAATATAGTAACGTCAATCCTGCCACATAGACAGTATGCACAGTGACAAAGGTATGGCCATATTCGGGAGACTGGTGCAGGCGCTTGTGAATTTGACAAATTGTTCCAGCGCTCTCAAGACACTGCTTCAAGAGCTCCTTGTCAGGTCCAAGGTTGATTTCCGTGTTGATGTTTGGGTTGACTGTGAGTGTCAAAAAGGGCTGCAGGAGCATTCGAATGAGCTTGTTGTAGAACAGCAATGGGCGATCTAGCTCGAGACCTTGCATCTCCGGTGGAATAGAGTGACGTTGCCAATGCTGCAGACTTTCATATACTGGGTAGAGTTCTGGCAGGAGTGTGGCGATTGGTACATCCACACGCAGCACCGTTCGCTGCATGCGTGATTCGAGCCGACGTAGTTGTTGTAGCAAGATTGATTGTGTCATGCTTGAGTACGGGAACGCTTCTCTCCCTGATTCAGGAACAACGAGTTTTGCCGTGTCGAGTTCTGATTCATCAATACTGTACGGCATCGGCTGATCAATGTCTGTATCAATCAAACTCGGCGGTCGGCCCAAAGTGCTCGCCAGCACACCTTCGAGATAGTACATCGTCCAGAAGAGACAGCGCCTTTGCTGTACTTGACGCGATTTCAGTCCTGCAGTTGAGGCCTCCCTATGAAGCCCTAGTTCAGTGGTGGTGCGCATCGCCAAACCAGCCATATGCCAAGTCGACCACGTTCTCGCATCAGATCGCATGTGATAGAGCATAAGCAACACCATGGCCTGAATATTGTTGATGGCAGAAGAAGCGCGCGCCGCTGTAATATGTTTGAGAGCTTGGATGTAAAACAGTTCGGGCGACGGCTCTGTATAGTCCTCCGTCAGTCGTAGATTGAGTCCTGCAATAGCATAAACCATCAAGAGCATAAATTTACTGAACCCATGCTCATTGTTGGCGACTGCATTTTGCGAAAAGAGACTCTGACGCCGTGCATGCAGATCCCATAAATCACTTTTGAAGACGACCGGGAAGCGTCCGTGTATTCTGCCAATGTATGCATTGATGAGACGCGCGCTGAGTGCATCTGACGGGATCTCCAGGGTCTGCCGTTGTAGTTCAGCGATATTGATGGGACTCAACCGGTCGTCGCCATCCACATTGCCATAGTCTTGTACGTTGACTGTCCGATCCCAGACCACAGCACTGGCCATCTCCGAAAGATCTCGAGCGAGCGAATAGCCAGACGTCGTTCCAATGTAGAACTCTGTACCAGCGACATTGCGACCCGATAGCGCACCTACAATCTCAGCGACACTATTGCTCGCTTCGTCGCCATGTCCCTGGCCCTGTCCGGTAGTATGTGTTTGTCCATCTGTCGAGCGTCTTGGCAATGGCTCACCACTCAAGGCAAGTTGCGCTTCGAGGCGCGCGACTTGTTCCTCGAGACTGCGGGTATAGGCAGAAGATGGTCCACTCGGGTCAGGCGGCGGCGCCCTCGTACATTCTAATCCAGCTTTCGCACAGTTTCCACAGCTAGGCAGCACATGATCACACTAAAGGTCAAATGTCAGCCGCCAGCAACGTACAAGATCAAGGTCGCATGGGAATTACTTTTTGTTTGCGGGTTTTACATCTGTCGCACGCGGTTCTTTGTCGCTTTCTCGGGCGCGGGTCGTGGTCTGAGGGCGAGTGTGCTGATGAGTCGCCAAAGACAGATTCGTACTGATCGTTCTTGGCCATGCCCGCTGGCGCTTGTTGATTGATGCCTTGAGCAGCTGCAAGAGCGCCTTTGACTTCAGAGTGGTTGGATTCTTTGATGCTGGCAAGTCTCACAACCATTTCAACCAAGATTCGAACCAGGATGGAAAAGACTTGCCAAAATCAAAGGTTCTGCTGCTTAACCCTTGGACAAGCAGGCAGCAGCCACGTCTTGGCCCAAATCTGCAGCAAATGCGTCGCAAATTCAGGGGTTTGTGCAGATAATCACCTGATTCCAAGATGTGCCGACTTGTCAAGCTCTGATAGGTGCTCTACAGCGCCAAGCAGCCAGTTGAGCACGTAATCTCGTCGTACATATCGTATACTCAGGGGGAAATTGCGAACAGATGTCAACATTGATCATTGGAGGTAAGCTCCTAAGCTGACTTGTGTACTTTTATACTGCTTGTCCCCAATTCCATTGTCTTCATCCTTACACATCGTTCACTCTGCCCAGCAATCCAATATGTTCTGGCTGGTCTTGCCTCTTGTCATCTTGCTGATGAAGGTGCAGTCAAAGGCAAAAAACTGTGAGCAGCGAATTATGATGTTCACAGCTCATCCACAGCCCAATGCTACTGATAAAACACCTTGTTCAGATCTCTGCGTCCCATATCAACAGGCAGTGTACCAGAAAGTGATGGCATGGAATGATAAGAAAGCGACAGGGCGACCTGACTGCATCGCCGATGACGGAGTTTGCGTCATCTTTAATGCAGATGATGGAGGAGGTGGCGACAATCAGAATTGCCTATGCTACACATCGCTGGCAGTCATGCGGTACAGGAAAAAAACAAATTGCGTTCCCAAAGACCTTGCTGCAGAATGGGGCGGCAAGGATGACCAGCATGATTGGAGTCTTCTTCAGGGGCTTGGGCAAAAAACTGGCAAGACTGTCTCTTGTGGTCATCAGCCGCACGCATGTAAGTGCGATTATGCCAAGACCGACTTCCCACCCACACAGCGCTGTCTCTGATACCGCTTTCAGATGTCCAACCAGCACTTTTTACATCTTGCGTTATTCCTTGTGCACAACCACAACGACCGAGTCAATCTTCTCTGCTCGCTATCATGGAATTACCCGTTCAGCATCTTCAACAAGTTGCTTGCTCTCTTCTGGCTCCAGCCCCTTATTCCTAATACTCACCTCAATACATCTCTTTGCGTCTGGAGTCGTCTGGCTAGACGCTACTCGCAGTCTTTGGGCTTGGACCTTGCCTCTTGTCTTTCTTGCTTCTAGCTCTAGTCCAATGAAGACAAAAGGACAGCTATCTTCTTTTTCATTCACCATCTTCGTACACAGGTAGAATTGCTACTACCTAAAAGTCTTCTTCAGTGTTTCAGAAGTAGACTCGAACAGCTCTGCCTCGTACCTCGTGCTGACGTCTTAGCTTTCAACGTACACCCCGTCGAGTCCCTTCGAGCCCAGTCGTCACACTGTCTCCACTGAGAGCAAATCTTCTTCACATGTTGGACTGAGCCTGAGTCTTCATTATGTGCAGGCCTTCCATTTTTGCTTGGTTGAGTAAGCTTGACTAATATCCTCGTTTTAATACAAGCGATCACTAAGACTCCATCATCTCAATCACTGAGCACGATAAGTTCCAGTTGCCGCTTCTGAGGAACAGCGTTTCACGCCACGCAGTTCTTCTGCGCGGCTGACCTGCCACTCCTTGATCCATGCTCATTTGTGGTGCCGCTGCAACATGATTAGGTTGCCTGTCGATCTGGTCGTACAACTTGACTACTTTTGGATCTGCTCGAATGAACTCTGGCTTGAGCACTGCAATCTGTAGTCCCTCAAGTGTGCGACATCTCGACAACGCCACATACGCTTGTCCCGGTGAAAAGACCTTTTCGAGCCGAATAAAAGCACGGTCGAGCGTCATGCTTTGGCACTTGTGGATCGTAATAGCCCAAGCATGAATCAAGGGTATCTACACGTGCACAGCGTGAATGCCTCGCGAGATTTGCACTTCTCAAGAAACAGGTTGGATGACTTTGTTGCGTCAGTGCAACAAAAGACGATCGGTAGTCGTAAGGGACGGTCGCTGTTCGTTTTGCGAAGTGAGAGCAGGTGCTTTGCAGCCTGGAGTTCAACGAGACATTCATCACCATCCACAAAATCAACAACCACGCGGTCCACGCCACGAGACCCACTCACAAGCCGTCCAGCAAAGTCAAGATTCTTGACAAGCATGACTTGTGCACCGACTGCAAGGCACAATCATCGTGATGCTTGTCCTTTGTCGAGCATACTGCGGTAGCTATCACTAGCCCTCTCGCCACAGTGACCACTCGAAACAATTTTCCAGCCCGATAGACCTGCTGTGATTCTTGCAATTTTGAGATTCCCGTGCGATTGATTCGATCGTCATCAGCCCGAGCGGGCGCGGGTCGTGGTCTGAGGGTGAGTGTACCCATAAGTCACCAGAAACAGATTAGTGCTGATCGTTCTGTTAGACATAAATGAGCTTCGAGATTCTGCGGGATTCGAAGTTCGGTCCAGGAGTTGTCTCCTGACGAGCACTGACTCCTGGAATCAACCTCGGAGTAGGGTTTAGAGGAGCTGCAGCGGTGTCCTCTGAGGACTAGTCACTTCTGGCTCAACAAGAATGCGATGTGAACTCCGAATAGATCTGACACGTTCTTGGCCATGCCTCAAGAGGGTTGCTGGCGCTTCTTGATGCCTTGAGCAGCTGCAAGAGCACCTTTGACTGGAGAGTGGTTACTCTTTTGGTGCTCGCAAATTTGATATCCCACTTCTCAACGATACCAACCAGTTTCCAAGCCCAAAAGAGAAAGCTTGCCAGAATCAAAGGTTCTGCTGCTGAAACAAGCAGACAGCAGCCATGTATAATGTCAATTCTGCAGCAAAAGCTCGCATATGCATCGCAAATTCAGGGGCTCGTGCCAAACATCACCTGACTTCGACATGTGCCGATTTGCCATGCTCTGATAAGTTCACGGCAGCGGCAAGCAACAAGCTGAGCACGCAAATCTGTCGTATCCATCGTTTACTCAGGGGGAATTGCGAACAGATGGAGAGTCGAGATAAGCTCCTGAGCTAGCTTGCGTGCTTTTAATCGGCTTGTCCCATGTTCATCTTCTTCATTCACTCTACCCAACAACTCAACATGTACTTGCTGGTCTTGCCCCTTGTCATCTTGCTGATGAAGGTGCAGTCAAAGACAAAGAACTGTCAGCAGGTCATCTTGACATTCAGAGCCTATCCAAACAACACGGCCCACCAAGAAAAAACAACCTGTAAAGATCTATGCTATACCCCAGAAAACGCAATGTACAATACAGTGATGAATTGGAACAGCAAAGCGTTTGGCATTGACCCACCCAAATGCTTCGGCGATGACGGGGCCTGCGTCACTTTTGGTGAGCCAGATACTGGCAAAGCTGTGAAAGGTCAAATTCTCCAATGCACATGCGAAGCAAGGCTGGAAATTATGCGATGGCACAAGAAATCCGTTGGGCAGGATTCGTGTGGCACGAACACCGCAGAGGCTGCTAAACAACTGGCTACACAACTTGGTACTGGCGGCGAAAAGGGCCTGAAATGGGTGTATCGGACGATGAAGCCTGGAAAATCTGTCTATTGTGGTCATCGGAGGAACGCATGTAAGTGCATGTACACTGCAGGCACAAAGTGGCCACCCGAAAAAAGCTGTATTTCTTGAGAGCAAATGTTCTTCACATGTTCAACTAAGCCTTAGTTGTCATAGCATGCAGGCCTTCCACTTTTGCTTGGTTGACAAAGCTTGTCTAATCTCCTCGTCTTCATACAAGCGATCACTAAGCCTCCATCATCCTAGTCACTGAGCACGATAGGTTCAAGTTGCCGCTTCTGAGGAACAAGCGCAATCCTGCTTGATGGAGCACTCATCTCTTCATGCCGACTGAATGTGGTCGAGCGCTGGTGTGCATCTCGAATAGCTTGCTGACGATGCCGCATCTGTACCGTGTCAAAGTAATCCTCCATCGTTTCGAGAAAGAGAAGTTTGTCGAGTACTTCATCACCATACGCCATATCCGCTGCATACTCATCGAAATACTGGTGCACGCCATGCAACAGCGTTTCCCTCCACCCGGTTCTTCTGCGCGGCTGACCTGCCACTCCTTGATCCATGCTCATTTGTGGTGTTGCTGCAACAAGATCAGGTTGCCTGTCGATCTGATCGTAAAACTTGACTACTTTTGGATCTGCTCGAATGACCTCTGGCTTGAGCACTGCAATCTGTAGTCCCTCAAGTGTGCGACATCTTGACAACGCCACATACGCTTGTCCCGGTGAAAAGACCTTTTCGATCCGAATAAACGCACGGTCAAGCGTCATGCCTTGGCATTTGTGGATCGTAATGGCCCAAGCATGAATCAAGGGTATCTGCACGCGCACAGCGTGAATGTCTCGCGAGATTTGCACCTCCCAAGAAACGGGTTGGATGACTTTTGTTGCACCAGTGCAAAACAAGACGATCGGTAGTCGTACGGGACGGTCGCTGTTGGCTTTGCGAAATGAGAGCAATTCCTTTGCAGCGTTGCCGGTAGGGTCTTCCGCTGCGCGTTGTTTGAGCTCAACAAGACATTCAGCACCATCCACAAAATCAACAACAACGCCACGCGACCCATTCACAAGCCGTCCAGCAAAGTCAAGATTCTTGACAAGCATGACTTGTGCACCGACTGCAAGGCACAATTCTCGTGGTGCTTGTCCTTTGTCGAGCATACTGCGAAAGCTGTCACTAACCCTCTCGCCATAGCGATCATTTGGATCCACCAACAAGTCACCAGCTCGATAGACCTGCTGTGATTCTTGTAACTTTGCAAACTCCGTGCGATTGGTTCGATCAACATCAACCCGAGTTGGATGTAGATTTGTAGGAACAATGTCAATCAAGCCACCGCCTTGTTTCCCTGCTGCTGTATCTGCTGCAGAGTGCGTCGGAATTGGCTCTAGAGGCCGTACGCACTTTCTGAGCAGCGCAATATCGTCTTCGTTGGGTTTGCCAAAACGAATACGATTCAAACAACCCACAAACTCCTCATCTTCCTGTCGAAACACCTTTTTGAGCATGACGCGGACAAGTGACAATTCGGTCCAAGTGAGCGATTCGAATATATAGAGTGCATCCTTGTTGACGACATGCTTGCAACTATACTTGCCACAGCGAATCCATTCGGGATCGTCATACAATGGTGGCTGTAGGTGGCGAGGTGGTTCGTGACATGGGACCATTTTGACGTACCCGCATTTGCGACAAGTCCTCTCCACTGAGACTGGTGGCAGCTGGCAAAAGTCACCACACAGTATAATTTGGATGCCACCAAAGGGAGCCGAGTTTTTTCGTGCATGCCTAGCAATTTGATCGACTTTCTCAAATAGATCCACAGCAAGCATACTGACTTCGTCAATGATGAGAACGTCCAATTCTTGCCATCTAGCCCGTTTATTGCGGTCGAGGCTTGCGCAGTATGACTCCCAGCCTTTATTCCCCAGACCCACTTGCGCAAGACTGTGCAATGTGGTACCGCCCACGTTGATTGCAGCAATCCCACTCGGTGCAGTCACGGCAAAAGACCGCTTGACGCACTGCAAATACCGACAAATATTCTTGAGTGTAAAACTCTTGCCACATCCAGCTGATCCTGTGAAAAAAACATTCCTGCCAGCTTTGACAGCGTCGATGACGGCACGCTGTTCAGCACACAGTTGTGGATCCATGGTATACTGTTGTGCGATCCTATCCGGGTCATACATGGTATAACTGAGTGATTCGGAGGGTTCAGCCACCGCAAGGCCGAATCGAGCTAGGAGCGACATGCCTTGTTGTTTTCGCTTTTGGTTGCGTAGCTCAATCGCAGCGCGTTTCTTCTCTTCAATCATGCGACGTTTTTGTTCTTCAGGTGTCAGAGGGCTATCGGGCGACGTTGGCGTGCCCAAAGCAGAGAGCTGCGCTGAACTGGGAGTGGCGACGCCATAGGGCTTCATGTACTTTGATTCAGGCGTTGCAGTCGTGCGAGGATCGAGCCTTGAACGAGAGGGCGTCGCCGGCGCAACTTTATCTTTTGACGGGCTCAGTATACCGCTCTCGATGCCGATCGATGGATAGACGATTGGTTCTGAGCTGGCAGAAACCTCATGCATCATACTATCCTCAGATCCTTCACAGGCTGTAGTACTTGTAGCCATCTATAATGCGGCTGAAGGAGCGTGTTTGCAGATGAGCATACAGTAACAAGATGAGCTTAGTTTGAGCCAAAAGGCAAGACCGTGCAAGTATGCCGAAAGGCAGTGCAGAGACGAATGCAGTAGTAGCTAGCCTCTAGAGTAGCGTATCTAAGCAAGACATAGAGATGCTTTTTGTGTTGTGTTTACGCGTAGGTCGCATCGACGAAATTCGAGAAGAAGCTCGCCATCAGCAACCAACTCCATAAGACTCCATAAGGCTCGTCATCTGCTTCAGAGGCTCAGGGCACAACTGCAGACAACCTGTACTGCCGAACTGTGCATGAGTCTACGTGTACTGCTTCACACAACTGCTGCATTTGCTCTCACAGGCGCTTTTATCCGCTTGACAACCACCTCTCAGCTAAGAACATATACCAGGATGACCACTGACACATCACCTAAGCTGGCAGAAGCTCAAGATGCGTCAGGCCCTTCTGGTTCAATGACAGGTGCTTCCTCTGTCGCACAGGGAGCTGCACAAGCAAAAGAACCACTCCTTCTGCCATCATCAGAAGAAGCTGGCGATGGCCATAACCTGCAAGTCGGCGGCGATAAGGTCGTTCTTGACAGTCTTGGTCCTATTGTCTTGAACACAGATGGTTCGTTGTCTAGGATTGGCAATTGGGATCAAATGACAGAACCTGAGCGTTGTGCTACAAAACGTATGGTTGCAAAACGTAACTTGGCGAGGAAGAAGATGCTTGAGGCGAAGGAGCAGGCTGAGTCCGTTTGACACTGTCTATCTAGCGACGATATATGCATAATGAAGTATGATCAAAAGGTAGCCGTGATTGTGACTGTGAAGAGATGATGTCAACCGCCTGAAGGTCGAGCAGCAGCGACTCTCACGGACCATACGCGTCGGGCATGTCGCGTGCCTTGCTGCATTCATCACGGCTAGCAAGTCTCACTTGTCGCTCTCATCGCTGCATTGTACCGCAGTTTTCTCATCGTCGAATAGACGTCAGGCCCTTTGCACGACACAATAGTACTGCGACAGAAGCAAGCACTGACGATCCGTCGCCCTCTGCGGCAGCGCCCTTCCCTTTTCTATGGCCATCTCTACCAGAACCTCCCAAGGCCTCACCACATCATTTCCCGGCCATCATCACAGCGAATACCAACTCATTCACAGATAGGCTATTCATCAAATTACTCTCAGTCCTAGTCAATCACTCCTGGTTGAATCGGAGCATGAATTGGGGGTTGATCAATATGCTTGTTACGCAGCGAGAAATGAGCCTTCAGTTCATCAAGGGCTCTGGGTATGCGTTTGGTGAGTTTCTAGCAAGGTTGAGTGGGGAGAAGGAGGAACCCTGGCAAGCACTATGTACGGATGATTTTGCATCATTTCTGGAAGCCAAGTTGGCAGCGAGTCAGGTGAAGGGGAGTAAGATGCAGATTGCAACGCTGAACCAACCGAAAGTGGACCTACAACTGGCCATGCGTGATTGCTGGCTCTGGCTCGGTAAGCAAGAGGCCTTTGTCCTCGACGATGGGAAAGTGGGTGGTATCAAGGATTCCGAGTCACTCAGGGATCCCAAATCTCGGACTGTCTGTGTACAGCTGCCCTTCACTGCATTGGTACAGGAACCCACAGAAGACGGGACTTCCATTCCACCACTCGACTATGCAGGTGAAGCTGGAATTCGCTTTGCAGTGGATGTGGAGATGGAAGGCGAGTTTGTGTATGCGTATGAGGGCGAGGAGATGCGAGTGACCCGGCAGACCGTGGTTCGCTTCTCGTCGCAGCACTTTCCTGCGTATCGCTGCAAAACGGATGCTGAGCGGAGTGCGCGGATATTCAAGATTCGCGAGTCGTTGGAGTGGAAGATATGGGATGTGGACTACGTGTACCAGTCCTCTGCCTGGTCTGATCACCGGGCCGGCGTGTAGGAAGCACTCTCTGCATGAATATATCCAATATCCAATATATATCCAATATATAGCCTGGTGAATGTCGCTTCTTTCCCTTCCATCGCCCGAAACGACACAGAAGCAGCACAGCACATTCGAGATATCCAGCAGGATCACAGGGCCAGCTACAGAGAGACAAGGCAGAGGATATCGTCGGACAAGAGCAACAGAACACACAGGACCGGATGTCCATCTTCACGCGGGACCAGCTCCTGCATCTGCGGGAATCACCGCTCGTAGCCGCCATTAATCCCGAGCTGCCACCGTGGATCTCAAGTGAAGCCATTGAAAAGGCGCAGAAGGAACCGCGTGTTGCTACGCGCATCGCTGGACCTGTTACAACGAAACCTGGTGCGCTCTCTTCCTATCTTCAGCTGATTATATCAAGAACGATGAAAACTAACAGCCATCATCAGGCGAGACGGCGGATAACGATGGATTCATCCTAAGAGAACCAAGAAGCAAGCGTGACTCGCGCGACAAGGATACACGCGGCTCAGCGGATCGATTGTTTGAGCGTCGCAATCCACTCTCGAAGGAAGACCGTGGCTTTGATAAGAATGATGTCTTCAAATCCCTGAGAGAACCTAGACGACCGGAGGCTGGGGAGGAGAACTTTGCTTCTCGTCGAGGACTCAAAAAGGCTGCTGCTCAATCAACCAGGGAGTCACGAGAAGCACCAGCTTGGGCGCAAGAAAAGAAGGCGAATGCTCATGCAAGTGCAGCGGCAGAGGCAGGGAAAGACGAAGACAACGATCCAAGTGGCAAGACAATTGATGACTTTGAGCGCTGGAAGGCCAGTATGCGTAAAGCAGAAGGACTCGAAGCAGGTGCACAGGCGAGTGAGACGGTCCTGCCACCACTCCAGCAAGCAGCGTCGTCCCCTGCAAAGGAAGTCAAAGCACCGCCTGGCTTCACACCGGCCATGGCATCCACTGAAGATGGTGAAGCACTCATGAATAAGCTGTTTGCAGCAGGTGGAGCATCATCCATCCAACCATCGCCTGAAAAACAGCACAAGGCCTCACCACCCGGGCACAGCTCTGTCGCTGCTGGTGGAAGCAGCAAGTTTAGCAAATTCTTCTCAGCTGCTGGACCAACGCCAGCTGCACGCCAAGAAGCACGACCGCAGCAAGTTGTGCAACAGCAGCCTGATGCTCTTGCAGCGTTCGCTGAAGCCAGCAGTGGGAAGCCAAAGAACAAGGATGATGTGGAAGGCTTGGAACGTATCCTGGCAATGCTCTCATCGTCTCAGGGACAGCAGAAATCCGGCCCGCCTGCGTCTCAGCATCAAGGTGGACAGCGGCAACATCATGAACCTACTGGTGGTTCGGGCGATGTCTATGCAAGTCGTGGTAATAACCCCTCACAACCACTCCGTGGACAAGGCTTTCCTGGTCCAGCAGCCCATGCTCCGTACTTGCAATACCCTGATCGCAATGCAATGCTAGGCATGCAACCTGGAGATGTCAACATGTTGCCACCACGAACGCACCCAACAAGTCCTCAAAAAGATCGAAACAGTCGTGGTATCGTTGCCTTTTCACCAGAACACGAACACCTGCGTTATGCTCAACAAACACAACCGCCCAACATGGTTGGTGGGTATGGTGGACCGCCCTCGCATCGTCAACAGGGGCCGCCCATGGGTATGCATGGTCCTATGGGTCCACTTGTCCCACCACCGCCCATGTCGATGCCTGCTATGCGCGATGGATCAGGTGGTGTCGATGGGATTTTGGGACATCATGCACAAAATCAAGATTTCTTCAGTAGCTTGTTGTCTCAAGCTGGTCCATTGCCGCCTCACCATCATCATCAACAACAACAACAACAGCAGCATCATTCTTTTCACCAGCAGCAGCAACACCAGGTGGGAGGAGGACCGACGTCGCCGGTGAATGCGATGGCCGGATTAGCGGGTAGGCCGCCACAAACGCGTGAGGAAGCAGCGTATGTGCAACAGAGGATGCGCGAACAAGCTATGGCGAATGGCTCGAGACGGTATGAAGGTGGTGAAGGCGGCGCTGGGCTGCCTCAAGGTCAAGCTTGGTCCTTGGATCCAAGGATGCCGCCGTCGTCGTCTGGGCCGTCGCAGCCTTACAGGTGATTTTGGGATATACATTCTGAGAGAGACGCTTGAGTTGCTTTCTGACCATGTTTAGGGATGTCCGCATGTCATGTCTCTGGCCATCTTCCTCACCGTCGTCTACGTGTATCCCTGCTGTGCTCTATGTCTGTGACTGCTCCTTTTCCTTCTTTCGCCTTCTGCGACGACTCAACCGACTCGAGGCCTCATACACGCCCTCTACTCTTCTCCGCCTGATACAAACATGCCTATGACTGAGTCCAAGAAGGCTCTCGCAGCGAGTATATGCGCATATCTACAACAGTCCATCGACGAAGGCACTGTACCTAGCAACAGCGCAACAGACATCCAACAAGCCATCACCTCCATTTCAACAGCTTTTGGAACAGACGGGGTCCCAGCGACCGGTGCAGGTCTTGAGCAAATCTATGCAGTCTATGAAAAGACTCAAAAGTCACGGAGTCGACCTGATACGACCGCAGCAGCAGCAGCAGCAGCAGTAGCAGAAACGACAGAACCATCAGCTGAAGATGTCAAAGCCGCCGAGAGTTTCAAGTCTCTTGGAAATGCAGCCATGACTAAGAAGGATTACAAGGAAGCGGTGGCGCAGTACTCAAAAGCGCTCGACTTGGTACCACGAGCAAAAGTCTATCTCAGTAATCGCGCAGCTGCGTATTCTAGCTTGGGAGAGCATGAGCTTGCAGTACGGGATGCACGCAAGGCATGTGATGTGGATCCGACGTACGGTAAAGCGTGGTCACGATTGGGACATGCGCTGTATGTCAGTGGTGATGTGGAAGCTGCGAAGAAGGCGTATGAGCAAGGTTGTACCGTTGATCCTGGAAGTGAGATTATGAAGCGTGGTTTGGAGACGTGTTCACGCAAATTGCAGGATTCACAGCAGGCAACGACGAGGAATGGTCCTGCGAATGGCACAGCAGGTGGTATGCCTGATCTCGCTGCCATGGCCAACATGTTTGGTGGTGCAGGTGGTGCAGGTGGTGGTATGCCAGACATGTCAGCCATGATGAACAACCCGGCCTTCATGAGCATGGCACAGAACCTGATGCAGTCTGGCGCGCTCGAGGGACTCCTCAATAACCCGCGCATGGCACAGATGGCCGAGCAGATGCAGCAGGGAGGCGGTATGCCGGATGTTCAGAGCATGATGCAGGACCCGGAGATACGCAACATGGCAGAGACCTTTGGCCGCAACATGGGCTTGGACCCAGAGGAGCTGAGAAGGCAGCAGCAGCAGCAGCAGCAGCAGCAGCAGCAGCAGAACGAAGATGGCGACCCATAAGGGTTCCCTGTAGTCTCATCCATATCTATTCATCCTCAAAAGTATCTACCGACGACATCCACGCCCAAGAAGGCCATCCACCCAGGCGGGCCATGGCCCCGTACCTCATCTACGCCTCAAATACACATCCAACGTTTCGCATACCAGAACTACTCTCCCTGGCCAAGTTCAATGGTATCGCACTCGACCCTGCTGCCCTCCAGCACGACCTATCGCAGCCCTTCCTCGTACTAGACCTGAAAGATGACGACGAAGCACGGCGCCTCATCGCGCGCAGTCTCAGCATCAAGGGAATCTATGCGCTCCTCGCTACAGGCAAAGACCATGCAGCGCTGCATGATGCACTCAAGCAACACATCGAGTATCCCTTTCCTGCGTATTGCAACGTCTCCTTCAAGTTCATTGTCGACTCCTTTGAACGGAAACGATCCATTGCAGACCAGCAGGCAGTCATCAATGACTTTGCACATCTCAACTGGCAGGGCAAAATTGATATGAAGGCGCCAGACGAGGTATTCTACGTTTTCGAGCACTGGTTCGATACCTTCGTACTCGATGTCGAAGCAACGCTACAACGTGTCTTCTTCACAAGAGCCGTGAAGAATGCGTCTACAGCCCGGTCAAGAGGGCTCATCTCGCAGTATGATCTCAAGAAGCGCGAGTATCTCGGGACAACATCGATGGATGCCGAATTATCTCTACTCACAGCGAACCAAATCCTCGCCACCGACGGCGGTCTTGTATATGATCCCTTTGTCGGTACAGGCAGCTTCCTCATCGCTGCCAGTGCATTTGGTGCTACTTGCATCGGCAGTGACATTGACGGCCGACAAGTTCGTGGTACGACGAGACTCAGGCAGCAACGTCGCAAAGACGCAGATTGGAACGCAAAACGCAACATTTCCTACTCTCACAAAGACGTCGTACTTGATCCATCGCTTGCTAAGAAGGACTCTGACTTGCAAATTAATATCCAGACCAATTATGATCAGTATGATTTCCCACATCTCCTGCTCGATTGTCTTGTCTTTGACATCAAGCATCCACCATGGCATACGAATTTACAAGTCGACGGTATCGCTACAGATTGCCCCTACGCTATTCGTGCAGGTGCCAAAACACTCGGCAGAGATCTGAGCAAGCCAAAGACGCAAAAACACTATGCGGATCAGGACAGGAGCTTACCGTCACGAGTGCCACAGACTCAAGGTGGTGGTTTTGTTCATCAGCGACAGGATTACCTGCCCCCAAAGAAACCGTATGAGCTCGATGAGATGATGGCTGATTTGCTCAATACGTCCTTCACGCTGCTCAAACCAGGTGCTCGATTAGCAGTGTGGCTGCCGATACTGCCAGAAGAGGATACCTTGCCAGTACTCGACAAGGTCTTCACAGACCAGACTGAGCGTGGCCTCCAAAAGAAGGCGCTCAAAGCAGCATTGCACATACGAAATCGACAACTTGAGCGAGAAGCACTGCAGCCTGAGGGCCAACTCGCCGCCAAGCACAAGAACAAACTTCCGCCATCCTTGCTCAACCACACTGGCATGCATCTGGTGTCTGACAGTGTTCAGATTTTCAGTCGATGGAGCCGTCGTTTATTGACTTTTGAAAAGGTCATCGGGCAAGAAAGCATAGATTTAGATTCACCACAGCATAGCGTTGCATCTGCATAGCATTTATAGTCATCATGATTTCAAATACATTCCCGTCCAATCTGCAGAAGGGCCGCCTCGATGCTCTCTGCAAGTCCCTTGGGTGCCTCGCTACGAGCACAGCGTGAAAGGCACTTGACAAGTCCGGGCCAACTGGCTCGACATAGCTCACGCACACGCGGTCGAGCTTGAGAGACCACTTCAGGGTCTGCTAGATGTTGCAGCAGAATTGTCAGTGCATGCATATCTGGTTCCTTGATGGGTGCATGTCCTGAAGTAGGAAAGGCAGCCATCAAGGACTCTAGTAAGCCTGTGCTGCGTTGCACGGTATATGCCATGGCAGTTTCGCCACACACTTCGAGACCAGCATGCGTTCCATCAGCAGTACCAAGTGTGCTCATCCGCAAGAGCTCAAGCAAGCACCATTCTCTGAGAAGGCCATCTTTGTGAGCCACAAGAGTACCGTCCACTGAATGCTCAAAAAACGATCCTTCAAACAAGGCATTGCAGTAACGCTGGAGAGGACGCTCGCCAATTTCGCCAATGGCTGGCACCAAGCGGGCGTGAAGCCGATTGAGAGCAGTCAGAACATATTCTTCAGACTGATTTTCTGATGGCGCAAACAGATGGCATGCCAGAGTCGTGGATTCTGCCCAGGCTGCTTGAGTCATGGGTTGTGTGTGTGGCGCTTCAAGAAGCTTGAAAGCCAACTCAAGTGCATTTTGCCAGACAATGTGGTGTCGGGCGGCGTCCTTGACGGAGGCTGCTTCAAATCGACAGCCAATGTATTTGTTGAGTTGCGCAAGACATGCAATCATGCAACCCCATTCCTCGTCCTGCGAAGAATGATAGTATCGCTCAAAGAGTTGCAATAGTTGAATGGAAAAGGCGACGAAAGTAGGGACACCGTCCCATGACGATGCGGTCGACGGTCGACGGAGTGTGTACGATGCTCGAGCTTCTGGTGACATGACTGAAAATCCCATTGATTCAGTCATGCTTGAAAGCAACATGGGCCGTTTCTCTGGTAGCCTCTCTAGCAGAATCTCCCATGTCGCCAAGATGGACTTTTGAAGTGCAGTAACATGGTCAATATCGAGCAAGTAGGACGGACTACCCTGATATGCCAGTGCAGCTCGTAATATTGCTGCAGTACGGGACAGCATCTCTTCGTCATCCAGCCGAACCACAAGTGACCGTAGCGAATCGATGTACTTTGTCAAAACTTCCTGCGTATGTCCACTAGCAGAAGTCAGCGTATCACCGACCTGCAACCAAGTCGGAATCTCAATCGCTGCAACACTCTGTCTCGTGTCCTGTGAGATGTTCGCTTCTTCGACACAGTTATGTAGCAAGGTAAAATTGTGAATGGCAACAGCAGAAGAACCCTCGCATATAGCCGCGTTGCCCAAGAGGTTGACATGCTCGTGCCACCGTTCATGCAGTAATTTCGAATCAGCCCAAATTGCCAACGCATTCATGTACATGCGTGTAGCACTTGAGACGATGAGGTTCAGTGTTTCTGAGTCACGGATGCCTGTAACAGGCTCAAGCAGCAATTGGACACCGACTGACCAAGTCTCATCACCGAGCTTGAGAAGTTTGCCATCGAGTATGCGGAAAATGATGTAAAGGGCAGAGTTGCGTACTTCGCGTTGATCATGATGAGCCACCTGAATGAGTGCTGAGATCATGGCCTGCCAAAGTCTATCGTGCTTCAAATCGGCAGGCAGAGTCAGCGCATCAGCCACCATCCACAGCAGATTGACTGAAGACAGACTGATATTGATATCTGCAGTCTGTGTGCTGCACAGCAGGAGGATGTCAACCAGCTCTGGAAAGTGCTCTGTAGGTAACCCAATTAAGTAGTCTGAACAAATCAGCTCTAGTGAGCCAAAAGCTGAGCGCACAAGCGATGCGACGTTACTAGCACGACTTCGCTCATGTGGTTCTGGAAAGTGATCACTGAAAGAACGGGGCGTTCTCGGGGTCGATGGTACACTCGCAGGCATCAGCTCGGTCGACTTGATTGCACGATGAACAACGTTCAAGAGCAACTCCCAAGATGTCAAGTTGTGTCCGACATATTGCAAAACATGTGCGACTGTCTCTAACTGCACGTTCTTGATGAGCAGGCTGCGACTGGTCAGATCCTTGATAGCATCAATGAAACAGCATTGAGGGTCACTTTGACTTTCAACAGAATCTCGAATGGCGGTCCCTAGTATTTCTGCTGCCGCCAGTGATTCGGATTGCTCGATTTCGGCAGCCAGGTATGTGCGAACGAGATCCCAGGCAACCTTTGCATTATCTGTATTTTCGGCGAAACGGTCTATGCACGCTTTGCAAATAAGCGCAAGCTTGTTGAGGTTGAAAGCAGTGACATCAGAGGGAGGTCCAGGTGTTGAAACTGAACTTGTGATGGAGGCAACAGATAAAAGTCTTTGCCTCAAAAAGGTAGGGCTTGCCAGCGGTGTCGTTGTATCCACCTCGCCGATCATCAAAAGCGCTTGCAGCATCGCGACAAACGACGAATCAGGCGTTCCGCTGATTGTTACGAAGAAGTCCCGAATCTGCTGGAGCAGTTTTGATGAGAGCTGAATATCTCCCGCTTTGCCTTGTTCATCGGGCACTGAAGCCCGTCTAGCATCCAAGAGCGGCTCTGCGGATCTCAAAATGCCAAGGACCATGTTCCAGCTTGCTTCATCGAACTTGTCCCACAGAGTTTTGGATGTGCGAAGGAAAGCTTCAAGGCAGTGGTAGGACCGTGGCGACATGTGACGACCTGTTGAAGCGGATAGTGCCAGCCTGCCTAGCCTTTTCAGGCATGCATTTCGCGCTGTCAATGCTTCGCTTCCTTGAGTCGAGTTCAATGACAATGAAGCGAGATTTTCAACGCATTCTTGCTCCATTGTGCTCGATATGCTGCTCGACATGAATGCAGAATTGAGACGCAGCAGATTCCGCCAAGCAGGGCTCTGCCGTCGAGAGAGCCGAGTGATGATCTGAAATAGCAACATAAGATTGTAGCTGGGCAATGAAGGGAGCTCTGAGGAACCGGAAGTAAGCAACTTGCGCTCTGGCACAAGCCACTCACCTAGGCCCTCGCTTGTGGCGACAGACTCAAAGACGAGTCCCTCTGAGTTGACTTCTGCATCTTCAGTAGCGGGTGCAGATTGAGCATAAGAGCCAAGATCGGGCAAGTCTTGCTCAAATTCAAGCAGGGTACTCGTCAATGTCAGATGCTGTTCGTCCAGCAAGCCAGCGCTCGCTTGGCTGATCACTTCAAACAAGAGAGTTTGTAGCTTGGTAGGCTTGCGTAATGCCTCCAAGATGTCTTCGAATAGCTCTGGAATGAGTCTCCTTGTAATGCGCGCTACTCTGACACACACAGGGAAGCTGTTGGAGGGTGATTTGAGGAACTCATGCAAGAACGGCACGACCACTTTGCTGATGAGAGCAGTGTCTTGTCCTTCTGTGACACTTTCAATCAGTTCAAGCGACAGTAGAGGCTGGATGCCTTTGAGCCGTGCAATCTTGACTTCACCGGCTTCCGCTATTCTGCAGAGCTCTTGCAAGATGACTAGACATTCTGGAAGGGATCGCTCAAATATTAGAGATATCAGCTGCTGGAGCGAAGCTGAGGCAATCGATCCAACGATACCATTGGCATCTAGCAATCCCACTGGGATCGAGAGACTGTCAAAAAGATCGTCATCCAATATTCTCAAGTCGCAGGAGTAGATGAGCGGTAGCAGCTGCAGCACTTTGAGCTGCACATCCTGAGCCAAAGCAGATAAGGTCTTCAATGACGCTATCAACGGACTCAATTGATCCTGTCAGTTAGCTGAGGCCCTGTAATGGGGGACGGTTTACTTGTGGCAGCTGCTTTGTCGCTAGCAAATGGCTCACAGCAGACAAAGCGGGCAAAGCTTGCTTTGCACTACGAGCTTTTGCGGCCTTCCCAACAGCTGCGACTTGCTCAGCAGCTGATACCATCCCTGCTACGTATGCATACGTCGCGTCTTGTCTCTAGGCAATGCTGCAACGTCGCCTTCTCACTGCTCCACTTATGCGACGCGACCTTCAGATGGGAGGATTCTACACCGTTCACTTGGCAAAGTTGGTATTGCATTGTGCTCCGATGAGACAGATAAATGAGGCTCAAGAAGGGTCGCCAGAAAGGGAACGTAGAGTAGAATAGATGCGTTAGATTATGAAAATCACATTAGATAGTTTTGAAGAGTTCAGGCCTGCTGCACTCAATGAAAGGAGGAAGTCCGACTGGGACCTCTTACTTGTAGGTGACTGTGAGGCGGTAGGCATCACAGTTGGCGTTCTCAGTATCAGCCATCACACCGGTGAAGTCCTTGTGAGTGCCCGTGAAGATAATCTGGCCGAAAGAGTCAGATGTACCAATGTTGCAGCCGTACCAGGTGTTCTCGGCGTTGAACTCGAGCTGGCCAGTGGAGCTGATGGAGAAACCCTTCTGTGCCGTGGTGAGGTCAGCAACGGCATTGCACTGGAGCTGATTGCCGGCAGAGATCTCGCATGCGCGGCTGTATTGGTCGTAGAGGGAGCCGTCCTTGAGTGAGAAGACGGTGGCAACAGAAGCGAGGCCCTTCTTGTTGGCAACATCCTGGGCAGGGTATGGTGAACCACACTGAATCTGGCCGTCAAAGATCGAGCCAGCTGGCCTGCTTGCAGTAGGGCAGTTGAGTGTGAAGTTCTTGTTGGGTGTGGAAGGTGTGCAGCCAGGGTTGTAGACTGGCTGGTCACGAGGCTTGCAAGGTCCAGGGAACTTGTACCTGGTGAAGTCCCAGGTGCTCTTGCAGTAAGGGTAGCCAAGAGGCAAGATGACATTGGTAGGGCAGGCAGGAGGCCAAGCAGGAAGAGGGTTCCACCAGTTCCAGATGCTGCTGATGCTGCCGAAGCCGCCAAAGAGCAATGAGAGAGTAGGGTCAGCAGCAGGGGCAGCTTGGACCTGTGCCGTGGAAGCAACGAGGACAGTGGCGACAGTAGAGAACTTCATGGTGTAGATAGGATTTGTTCTTGATGGAGCTGCTTGAGTGCTTGGAAGATGTCGGATATCGAGAGGACATAGGTCCCTTCTTATACTTGAGCTGGTCGTAGAACCATAAGCTGGACCATTACAATTTACTGGGCCTTTGCCTATGCATCCACAGCTAAATGTCGGCGCATTGCAGTAGCGTTTCAGCTTTCACGATCTAGTCCCAAGCACAAGCTTGCTCTAGCACTGCGGGAGAGAAACAGACCTTCGCTTAATCAGCTGGCTGCAGTTGGCTGTGCGGCATCGTCCCTTATTTTGGAGTTTAAGGGACGGCTAGAATCCGAATTTGAAGGGTAAACCATCAGATGGAGAGGCATCCGCAAGGCCCTGCCTGTAAACACGCCTAGCGAGGGAAAGAGACGGCAGGCCCGGTGAGCTTTAAGGTGGCCTCCGGAGCGGTCGTCTTGACTTTTCGGCCTATTCGACTATGTTCCTTGTCCAGCCGCGGAGGGATGTCAGTGAGATGCAGCCAGCGGCACGCTGCGCTAGTGCCTTCAAGCATGTTAGCTCATTGTTTCATGCACAAGGGCAATCCTCCACAACCTTAGTTTCCATCGCACTACACTTGAGCAGAGGATGAGATCTTAGCGAGTCAAACATATTGACAGCTCACTTGTGATAGCCCGTCTCAAGCTCTGTAGTTATGACAAGAGCAGCTAAGCTTTGACGTATCACGAGACATAGCATCAAACGGACGAATAAGCTCACATGAGTGAGTGAGCAAGTCACAGCAGAGCTCTATTATTCTGTCAGTCGTGAGTAGAAAGATGTGGAGCAAGGGCACGGGCGGCCAGGACGGTGCCGGTGTTTCACTTGTTTGAGCTCGAGTTGTTCACGGTGCAGACGCAAAAGTGGCGCAGGGCAGGTCAAGCCTCGAGACGTTTCAGATGATAAGTTGAAGGTATCGCGTAAGACCAGGACTGTGATGAGTATGCATGAAGAATATTATAAGTACATCTATGAGAGCTTAGACCAGCTAGAGCTCGAAATATGGTAGAAGTTTTGAGAAGCCAAAACCTACTTGTAGGTGACGGTGAGGCGGTAGGCATCGCAGTTGGCGTTCTCAGTGTCAGCCATCACACCGGTGAAGTCCTTGTGAGTGCCCGTGAAGATAATCTGGCCGAAAGAGTCAGATGTACCAATGTTGCAGCCGTACCAGGTGTTCTCGGCGTTGAACTCAAGCTGACCAGTGGAGCTGATAGAGAAACCCTTCTGTGCCGTGGTGAGGTCAGCAACGGCATTGCATTGGAGCTGGTTGCCGGCAGAGATCTCGCATGCGCGGCTGTATTGGTCGTAGAGAGAGCCGTCCTTGAGTGAGAAGACAGTGGCAACTGAAGCGAGGCCCTTCTTGTTGGCAACATCCTGTGCAGGGTATGGTGAGCCACATTGAATCTGGCCGTCAAAGATCGAGCCAGCTGGCCTGCTTGCAGTAGGACAATTGAGTGTGAAGTTCTTGTTGGGTGTGGAAGGTGTGCAGCCAGGGTTGTAGACTGGCTGATCACGAGGCTTGCAAGGTCCAGGGAACTTGTACCTGGTGAAGTCCCAAGTGCTCTTGCAGTAAGGGTAGCCGAGAGGCAAGATGACATTGGTAGGGCAGGCAGGAGGCCATGCAGGGAGGGGGTTCCACCAGTTCCAGATGGTGCTGACGCTGCCGAAGCCGCCAAAGAGCAACGAGAGGGTAGGGTCAGCAGTCGGGGCAGCTTGGACCTGTGCCGTGGAGGCAACGAGAATAGTGGCGACAGTGGAGAGTTTCATAATTTGACTGAGTAGTGTTCTTACTGTCGGGCTGGCTGATTGCTGAGATGATGCTGATTGCCAAAGGGATTTGCCTACCTTCTTATATTTGTGCTGGCCGTAGATGAAGGCAATTGGCCTTGAATGTTTAAGTTCTCATGTTCAGCTGGTCGACGCGTCTTGGCAGCTTTTCGCGATCTAGCTCACCTGGAAAAGTCGTTGAACTAGTCCCCTTATTTTCGCTGTGTCCAAGTTTAAGGGGTGGCCAGATTCCGGCCTGCAGGGTCGAGTTCTTCAGATGGCAAGATTATTCTACGATTCGCCCGGTGTCTGCAAAGACATGTCACAGCAGCACTTAACTTGCACAGCTAGACCCTGCCGAGCACAGGCCGTCCTTGTTTGTTTACAGCACTATTAGCCGCGAAGTCTTAGAGAACAGTTCCGCGACATCTGGAACATCGACTTGCCGCTCTGACTGTCAGCACGCACTATCTATTTCTGGCTTGTGATGAGTCTCCTGATACAATAGCAGCATCATCTCATTTCACATGCTATCTTCTGCTGCTCATTATCTAGTAGCACCTCCACACAGCCAATCTTCCCATGAGCTGACTGCAGATTTCTGCAGACCCATGCACGTACATAGGTCGTTGCCACAGAGATCGGTTGAAACTCCTTAAAGTCTATATTACGGAAGTCTGAACTCTGGAGTTTCCAGAACAGAATCTCAGCTCCTGTTTCGACGATCAGTGCGCTGCTCCAGATAAAGGATCCAAGTGAGATCAAAATGTAAAGCGAGTGTTCAGTGTGTAGAATGCATGAATGTGTATTATGAAGTAGTGTACAGGAGAGTAGACCAGCTACCTCTCAAGGTATAGAAATATAGAAGAAGTCCCAAGACACCTACTTGTAGGTGACTGTGAGGCGGTAGGCATCACAGTTGGCATTCTCAGTGTCAGCCATCACACCGGTGAAGTCCTTGTGAGTGCCCGTGAAGATGATCTGGCCGAAAGAGTCAGATGTACCAATGTTGCAGCCGTACCAGGTGTTCTCGGCGTTGAACTCGAGCTGACCAGTTGAGCTGATGGAGAAACCCTTCTGTGCCGTGGTGAGGTCAGCAACGGCATTGCACTGAAGCTGGTTGCCAGCAGAGATCTCGCATGCGCGGCTGTATTGGTCGTAGAGAGAGCCGTCCTTGAGTGAAAAGACAGTGGCAACTGAAGCGAGGCCCTTCTTGTTGGCAACATCCTGGGCAGGGTATGGCGAGCCACATTGAATCTGGCCGTCAAAGATCGAGCCAGCTGGCCTGCTTGCAGTAGGGCAGTTGAGTGTGAAGTTCTTGTTGGGTGTGGAAGGCGTGCAGCCAGGGTTGTAGACTGGCTGGTCACGAGGCTTGCAAGGTCCGGGGAACTTGTACCTGGTAAAGTCCCAAGTGCTCTTGCAGTAAGGGTAGCCGAGAGGCAAGATGACATTGGTAGGGCAGAGAGGAGGCCATGCAGGGAGAGGGTTCCACCAGTTCCAGATGGTGCTCACGCTGCCGAAGCCGCCGAAGAGCAACGAAAGGGTAGGGTCAGCAGCAGGGGCAGCTTGGACCTGTGCGGTGGAGGCAACGAGAACAGTGGCGACAGTAGAGAGCTTCATAGTGTAGATGAGTCTTGTTCTTGATGAAGCTGCTTGAGTACTTGGAAGATGCCGAGTATCGAGAGGATATAAGCCCCTTCTTATAGTCGAGCAGCTCGAAGCTTCGACATCTAGCTCCCAAGCCTTTTCTGTAGACTCGAAAGTCTTCGCACGAGTATAGCATCGTAAAAGTACAGCTTTCCGGGGTCTAGTCCCATCGTACCGACCTCTTGCGGTACTGACACTGCCATTCTGACAGGTGGTCGCCCGGTCCGTGCCTTACTTTCACAATTAAGAGGCGGCCATTTTCAGAGATGTCATTGTTCAGATGGCATCTTCCGTTGTTCGCGCTAATAAATTCTGGTAGGTAGCATCTTAAAAAGTCGTAAAGCCAGACAGGATAAAATGCCCGAGAAGGTTTCCTGCAGGCTGCATGTACTGAGTCTACTACTGACATGCCGTGAGCATAGGAGCGTCCAGAATATGCACTGTGGAGGGCCTGCCAATCATACCCGAATGTGATACACTGCGCACTGGTCAGCTGAAGCTCACACGCCAACCACTGCAGTCAATCCATTTGCGTACGTCTTCAGCCTCATTCTCTCTGGTACTGAAGGCGACCTTGATCTGGGACCCAGATCCAGCCTTGACCTTTGCACCTGAGTGGTCCCAGAACCCCAAAGTATCTCGCCGAGCGCATATCCTGGTCCCTGGCCGGTCTTCCAACTCCAGGGTTCCGGAGCCATTAGTTTGAGACACTAGTTTGGCGAGTCACTGCAGCACGGCCCGTCGCGTTCTCCTGAATGTAGCAGAGTCGAGACTCGCGCAAGTTACACCCGCATACACTTTATGATGCATCACTTGTGTAAACCCTTATAGTTGCCGCAGCGATACGGGGCCTTTTAACGGCAACCTTATAGCACGGCCAGTATTCGTTGTCAACTTGTAAGTTGTCAGTGGCAACAATCGTTACCCGCTAGAAAGTCGGCGCTCCCGTCAAACTTAATTTCCGGTCCAGACCAGAGTTATGGGCTTCGCGGCCGTATCAACGATTGTCGTAGTCTAGCTACATGTACAACTTGACAGCTCTCCGCTGAATCCGAGGCACGAATCATCAGGCATGCGACGTTGCTTAAGGCGTTCCAAAGTATTCGAGCAAGATCTTTCGGCCCATAGACAAATTCAGAATCCTTAATCTCTCATCTGTCAAATGAGCTTGATCGCTACTTTGACCCATGGGGAAGTGGACGCCTTGCGCATCAAAGACTTCATCCAACCAGGCCAGCATAGGAATTGACCCACCTTCGAGGATATTCAATGGCTTGATACCCCAAGCACCTTCTACCAGTCCCGCAAGTTTGCGGTATGACGGTGACGTTGGATCGCTCAGCCACCAATTAGAGGAAGACTCAATGTCGACTGACAGTGTGTTGGTCGTTGTCATCTCCTCAAAGGCTTGTTCGAGATGTTTCTTGAGATCTGCCACGATGACAGACAGCTTGTGATCTGGCACAATGCGAAGGGAGAGCTTGGCACTGGCGGCATGGGGAATGATTGTATTGTTCCCCGGCCCAGAAACACTGACTTGATGTAACGTCAGGGACGGTCGACACCAACGATTCATCAGGTCATCCACAACTTCTGCCACAGACTTGTCTGACAACCCCGGTTTGCTGCGCGGCAATGGATTGACCAGCTGGAGCTTCGCGATCTCCTCATAGAAGAGCTGCTCATCTGCCGACACAGTCCGTACAGGCTCATAGAATCCCTCAATTTGAATTTTGCCCTTGTGCGTGAGACTAGCGAGCAAGCTAACGAGATCAATCGTGGGCTCGCGAACACTACCGCCCTCAACACCGGAATGCAAGTCTGCCAATTGACTCTCGACCGTCACTTTTGCGCGCACGACGCCGCGGAGACCGTATGTCAGACACGGAACCTGATCGTCTAGCCAATAGCTATTACTGAGAAACACTTCGTCAATCTCGCCAATATCGCCTCGTTGCCGAGCTTGTAGAACGGCGTCTTGGAAGCCTCGCGAGCCAGACTCTTCTTCACCTTCAACCAAGAAAGTCAAATCTGCTTTGAGTCTTTGTGCTTGTCGCAATGTATGAGCTGCAAATAACGCAGCTAGAACAGGACCCTTGTTGTCACTGACGCCACGCCCGTAGAGGTATCCGTTACGTCCAGTCAATTGCCAAGGGTCGCTCCGCCAGGCTTTCGCGTCGGCACTAATCACATCATAGTGCCCATAATACAGAATGCGCCGAGCTGGTTGTGATGTTGCTTTGAATTTGATGAGGACAATTGGATTGTGTTGAGTAGGCAGTAATGTCGAATCAGCACCCAGACTACTGGCCAACTGCTTCAAGTATGTTGCTGCACGTCGGCATTCCTCAACGTGATGAGGCGATCCACTGATACTTCTGAATGCTGTAAATTGCTGCAAGGCGGTCATGAATGGATCTGCCTCGAATCCGCCAGGTGTGGGATTCTCATGGTCTTGTGCAAGCCGCCAAAGTGCAACGTCTGAGCCGCCACACGTGAGCAGTAGCGAATCGCGTATTGCAGTACAAACGACTTGGCTTGTATGAACTTGCCAGGTAGCGACATGTTCACATCCATTTGCAATGTTCCATCGATGTATGGCCTGCGCTGAGCTACTGAGGAGATGATGTCCCATGACTTGCAGTGACAAGACATCCATGGGCGCCTCTTGCGGTGCTTGTAGTCTTCGAACAAGCTGATCAGTCTCCAAATCCCACACAGAGATAAGACCGCGTGCTTGGCCGGCGTAGAGCAGACTCTCGTGTTGTACAAGAGAATGGACGGCTGGTTGTTCCGCTTGGCAAAGACTGCGAACTTGTTTTGGGCGGCTGTCGACACTCCAAACGTTGATTGCACCATCGCCTCCACCAGAGAATAGGTGGTGAGTATTGTGGTACGTGCCCATGAGCAGACAATAGACATACGAGTAGTGCGCGTACTGAACGACATCTTCCTTGCCAATTTCAATCAATTGCGCTTTAGCATCATCAAAGGGCTCCAGTAAGCTTGTTCTCCTGGGGGCTCGTCTTCCGCCAGGTCCTGCACTGTCAAAGAACTTATTGTGACGCCGCGAAGGATACTGCTCTTGTGAGCCCTGTATCCGCTTGTCCTCAGCAAGATGGACCCATTGCAAGCTCGTGTTCTGCGCTCCCAAGAACAAGGTTTCGCCAAAAGCTGCTGCTGCGAGTATATCGCCGACATCGTATGTACTATAGATGACGAAGAGACAGGTCAGAGACTGTGTGCACCATATGCGCACGATGGAATCGCCAGCAGTGCTCACAAGCCATTGTTCGTCATTGGCGAGTACCAAAGAAAGAATAGCAGCGTTGTGTCCGCGGAGTGTGGCCTTTGGCTCGTAGGTTTCTTGCGCATAGACGTGGATGAGGCAGTCTTGCGTGCCTGTGAAGAGGTATTCTGACGACTGAGCTAGGGCTAGGACGGCACTCGTGTGAGCTATGCGATGAGCAGCCTGCATCAATTCTGACTATTGAGAGATCTAGCTAGCAAAATGGAAGCATCCTTGTCAAGTCTGACATCTGTTCTAGGGCTAGTGGACCAGTAGTGGTGGTGTGCTGCCTGCTCGTGTATTTGAGGTCTCGTCGCCAGTCCTCTTCGCCGACTTCCATGTCCAACAAGCGCACAAGCCGTAAGCAACGACAGGAAGGCGACGGCAACGCAGCTGGGGACAAGCAGCGAAGTGTCCATTACGTACAAGAGCATGTTGGAAACAGGGCCATGATGCCGATGCACATGGGCGCCTATCCATTGCCATACAACCAATACCAACACCCACCCACGGCCAATTACGGCTATCCTGCGTATCCCTCACATGCAGGGCAGCATCCGCAGGGTCATCATCATGGTGCGCCGACACCGCCTACAAAACGGCCGCGCACAGATGCGCGACTTGCGCGATTTTCAAGTGGTTCCTACCCACAAGGCGATCCGTCCCTTGCTTCATCGCCCTCATCACGCGCGAACCATTTGGCTGGCAACAGTGCCCCTTCGCCAAGGCGTACTTTCTCAGATTTCCGTATAGCAAGCATCACGGTGGGTACGTGGCAGACATGCGCAGACGCGACAGGGACAAGGGATAGTCGTATTCGCTTCTACTTTCGACATGCAAGCGACAGAGAAGCTTCACCAAGTTTATCTGCCGCTGAGCAAGCAGTTGTGTCGCCTGACCGTATCAGTATCTCCTGCTGCGATGGTCAAAAGCGGATCGTGATTCCTGCGCATCATGTCAAGCAAGTGACGTATCTTCGCACAGAAGGCGTGATGCTTATTGAAACAGATGGTTGGGCAGCATTTCAGGAGCTCATTCAAGAAGACAATGCAAATGCTGGTCGCTGGCAAGGCACTGAAGAGGATCTCACAGGTGGTCAATTAGCCGTATGTAAGAAGATTCGTTTGGTCATGGACCAGGCACGTCCCCTGACTGAACCGAAATGGGCCCGAGCAACGACCGCTGGCGAAGGAATTGAGCCTAGTTCTCGCTTTTCCCGCATTACACGGGTCGTGGATATTCGGCCTGCTGAGCAATTCGAGCATTGGCTCACAGGTTGGGCGCAGGGAAGTAGTGAGCGTGAAGGGTATGCATCCATTGTAAAGCAGGATTTGGACGCCCTTATCCAACTTGTCGCCTCTTCTCTTGCCACCGAAGAAATCTGCGCGACGCCATTGGAGAAACTTCTTGATGGCTTATCGAAATTGGTGCTTGCTCACTTGCAGACGCATGAGGCTATGGAGAGTCCAGTGGCAGATTTATGCAGACGTACTCTCTTGGCTCTGCCAGCTGCACGCTTTTCACAAGCATTGGAGAGTCGATTCCTAGCAGTCTGTGGTGGACCTAGCAATCCCGGTAAATATCACGACGCAGCAGCGGCAGCGGAAGCTGGTGGATATGGATTTAAACGACAACGCGGTGAGAGTGAAGTACCGAGTGATGCCCTTGCGCGTGCAACATTAGATGAGAAGCGACGTCGACTGAGTGAGTCTGGGCGTGGTAGGACCGTGCAAGATGCCGTGGAGGCAATCACTACGCCTGTGCCAGCGCTTGCGTCGCCATCACCTGGACCGACGATCGAATCAACAACAACAAATACAATCAAGGCTGAAGCGTCGCCTGTTGTTGGACGGCTTGTGCGACGCTCCGAGTCCGCTGATGGTCGATTGATGTTACGCCCGCTGCCTCCTTGGTCTCGTCGATACTTTGAGCAGCCTGAAGCTCCGCAAGAGGCAGTTGTGGATGGGACGGAGGAGGAAGAAGAGGACTCTGTGCCGCTGGCAGAAGGTGTCTTGCCTTCTTCGCCGACCCGCAGACGACGGCATAGTAGCGTGGAAGCGCTTGTGATGCGTCGACATTGCGGTGATGAAGAGACAAGCAGGCTATCGCGCGAGGAACAGCTTGCTGGCTTGGAGCAGCTTGAGGCACAGGCTATTGAACAGGTTGAACCCATCAAGCCTGCCACGGAGAACAATCGAGCAAAACGGACGAAGCGGCAGGAGGAGGAGGAATCCGATGCATGGCCACCTTTAGGTTCTACGTAGTTGATCAGAAGTCTAAAGCAAATCACGCTGTTTGAAGGCCTGGTACATGAGCTGACCGAGTTTCGCAGGCGACTCACTGACAATGACACCGGCAGCACGCAAGGCCTCTTGCTTACCCTTGGCTGTACCCGTTCCACCAGATGTAATGGCACCAGCGTGACCCATTCGCCGACCAGGCGGAGCCGTCATACCAGCAATGAAGCTGACGACTGGTTTGGTCGTGCCCGAAGCTTTAATCAAGTCTGCTGCATCCTCCTCTGCTGAACCACCAATCTCACCAATGAGAATGATACCCTCGGTTTCCTTGTCAGCAAGGAAGAGTGTCAATGCGTCGATAAAGTTGGTACCGCTGAATGGATCACCACCAATACCAATAACAAGCGACTGACCGAGTCCGACTTGGGTAGTTTGGTTGACGGCCTCGTAGGTGAGTGTGCCTGAACGCGAGACAATCCCGATCCTGCCACGCTTGTGGATCTGCGAGGGCATGATACCGATTTTGCACTGTCCAGGAGCAATGATACCTGGACAATTGGGTCCAACGAGACGCGTCTTGGATTGTGTTTTGAGGGCCTGTGTCACTGAGACCATGTCCTTTTGTGGTATTCCTTCCGTGATGCACACAACAAGGGGCACTTCCGCTTCAATTGCTTCAAGCACTGCACCAGCAGCAAGAGGAGGTGGCACGAAGATGGCAGATGCTTGCGCTCGAGTCTCCTGCATAGCCTCGCCGATTGTCTTATACACAGGCAAGTCCAGATGCGTTTGTCCTGCCTTTTTGGGGTTCGTTCCACCGACTACTTTTGTGCCATACTCAAGAGCTTGTTGAGCATGGAAGGTACCTTGCTTGCCTGTGAAGCCTTGGAAGAGGACTTTTGTCTCTGCATTGATACGGAGGTTGTTGAGGGTTTTGTTGTAGGCGTCGCTGTGACTGGGCCTTGCGGTGGAGAATGAACGCTTCGTGAGTCTCGCTGCTGCCTGCCTCATGATGATGATGAATGAGCGAAGGGAAGATAGACAGAGGAGAAGCCTGAAGGAAGCTACTTGCTGCTACTTATGAGCTTTTGTGGTAGAGGAAGCAGTCGGAGCGGAATCCCGAACCACAAAAAGACGTGGGATAAATGGCCTGGACGGATGGAGCAGGGGCCCTTGTGTCCGGGTGTAGAGAGAGGCTAGTGCTTCCTAAGGCCACGTCGTCAAGAGCAGGCCTGAGTCTACATCCTCTTCAATCATGTTTGACATTGTTCCTACGGCTTGTGGGCCATGAATGTGCCGTTTTCTACTTAGGCCCTGCGCATGGATGAGCTTTACAATGGATTAACCACATGAAGATGTGTCTGTAGAATACAACGAGCCACCTAGACTGTCTATCCACTGCATACCCACTCCTCCAGACCCCTCCGTGCTTGTGTGTCTGCCTTTTCGCTCCCAAAATCAAATTTGAGCAGGACGACAACGAGCGAAACTACGTACACCCGACTAGAGAGGCATCGGGAGACAGGCCTCGCAGCTGGGCAGGCAAGAGAGGACAAGCATAGGACTTATGCTGGTGCTACGGAGACTCGCGGTCCACTCGCGGAAAACACCCCGTCTCCTGCGTCAAGAATCTACACACGCAGTCAGTGCAACACTCGATAGTGCACCGGCAACACCCCTTCCCATCGAGGCCATCACTGAGAATGCCGCTTCCAGAACATCAAAGACGGTGTTTGCTATGAAGAAGTATAAGCCGCATTCACCGGGTCTTCGATGGTTACAACGACCCGTGAATGATCACCTGCATAAAGGCCGACCCTTCTTACCGCTGACATCAGCGAAACGCAAGCAAGGCGGTCGGAATTTCACTGGTCAAGTGACGGTGCGTCATCAAGGCGGTGGACATAAACGACGACTACGAGACGTGGATTTTAAACGCACAGCACCTGGATTACACCGTGTTGAACGCATCGAGTATGATCCTGGTAGATCGGGTCATTTGGCACTCTTGACAGATGCAAAGGGTACGAAATCCTACATCCTCGCGTGTGACGGGTTGCGTGCCGGTGATACAGTCGAGTCGTATGTGGCTGGTGTGCCACAATCCCTGATTACGAGTATGGGTGGTGATTTGGATCCTGGTATGTTGGCAGCACGTACCATTCAACGTGGTAATTGTCTACCACTCCACATGATACCTGTCGGAACACTCATCCATGCTATTGGTACAGCATGGCAGGAACGTGCTAAATTCTGTCGTTCAGCAGGAACCTATGCGCAAGTGATTGCGAGCCCTAAGACAGGGTACGCCGTGGTGAAGTTACAATCTGGTGAGTTACGCAGGATTCCAGCAAATGCGAGTGCGACGGTGGGTGTCGTGAGTAACGTCAATCATCATCACAGGACACTTGGTAAAGCAGGTCGATCGAGATGGTTGGGAATCAGACCCACTGTGCGCGGTGTTGCAATGAATGCGTATGAACATCCTCATGGTGGTGGTCATGGTGGTGGTAGGGGAAACAAGCCAACGCAGAGTATCTGGGGATGGAAGACAAAGGGCTACAAGACACGTCGCTCAGTACACAACCAAAACAAGTTCTTGGTCAAGGGTCGTCCGCGCGGCAAGGACAAGCAAGCCAGGTCATAAGATAGAAATAAGAGGAAGCCTAAGTTGAAGGTAGATAGAATACAGCAATGGCATCGCTAATGAATCGCAGTACAAACAAAGAGCAAGATGGTGTGATGGATGCAGTCCAAAGCATCCAAATGAGGTGTTGACGTACAGGGTGGGTCCAGAAAAGACAAAAGGCAGCCTTTACTCATAATCATTCTCGACCAGGTATTTCGCATCACCGCCTTTGTCAAAGATCGGATCCACGTTGTGTTGCTTCTTGCACCAGTCTCGTACGTACAAACTGGCCTTGATGAACTTCTTGCTCGCATACTTCTTGAACAAGGCCTCAAATTTGACTGGTTTGCGTAAAGCATCGATGAGCTGGTGTACGCAAACCATGACTTCCTGTTCCGAATAACCGCTGTAGTGATGCAAATTGTGGTCCCACTCACCACGACCCAGCATGGCACGAGAAAGGTACATGGCTGCTGCGGATTGTAGTGACGGAGGGTAGACCATGAATGTGTGATCGAGCATGCATACCTCCAGTAAGTACTTGGCAACAGTGCGCACCTGAATGTCATAATTGTCGGCTTTACTGATGCGTCGTAGAAAGTTCATGTGGTTTGGGTAGGCCAGGTTGAAGTCGAGTACTTGCAGAATATATTGTTCTGCCTTGAGTACGTCGTCATCTGTGTAGCCGCCATCTGCCATGTAGATGAAGTTTTGCACAGAGGGACACATGACTTCCTCGTACTTGCTCGCAACAAACAACGCAGTAATGCCAACCAACTGTAGCTTCTGCAATGAACACATGCGTAATCCCAAAAAGCGATCAACAATGTTGACTGCCAAAAACAAGGTCTCGGGGAGCAATCTGAATTTCTGATGCACCTCGACCAGCCAGTCGAGCAGGATACCACGCATCTTCCAATTGATCTCATCTTGCTTTTGCATGTAGAGCTGGTTTGGCATGAGCTTGATTTCTTGGACACGCAAGTACTCAAAGATTTCGTTCACGTATTCAGAGACCATAAGGGGATCATCTGAGTCTTCGGCGTCCAAATCATCCCAGAGCTGAACAGGCTCTTGTTGTGGTGACGTAGCGCGTGGTCTTGTTGTGAGTGTAGCAGCATTCTCTGACAGTTCAGACAAGACGGCAGGCGCAATAGTAGAAGAGGTCTGGACAACAGCAGGTGTGGGCTCTCCTTCTGACTTGCCACGCTTGAAGGGTGGTTCTTCCTCAGTGATGGAACTTGACGTGGTGGAGGTGGACTGTTTAGTGAGACGCGCAGCTTTCCGCTTCTCCACCGCTGATGACTGTGCAGGCTGTTCAGACTTTGTACGCTGCACTGCGACCACCTGCTTGATCCCTGCCTTCTTGCTTGTACCAGCAGTCACTGTACTACTCTGTGAAGCCACGCCATTGTGCCGATTCGAGACATCCGTCATGGCTGCCCGTTTACGCGTCACTTTGTCTGCTGCTGTACCTGCGACATGTACAGAGACGGTAGACTGTTGCATAGTCTTTGCAGCAACAAGAGGTTGCGCTGATCGTGCGCGTGTGAGACGCGTTGGCCGTGCGTTTTCATCTTGTTGTGCTGTGTCTGTTGTGCTGCGTGTGCTTCTCCGCTGGAAGATGTTAGTGGAGGACACAAGGAAGACGTGCAGAACATACGGTGCCGTTCATGCTGGCTGGACGCTTGATTGGGGAGGAGGAGGAGAGAGGTATATGGGGAGCTGAAGCTGGAGCTGGAGCCTGCGGTGGATGAGTTGAGTTGAGCTGCGTGGAATGTTTTTTTATTTTTGTTTCTTCTCCGTTGCCAAACCGCAGAAATGGAACTATTGCAAGTGCTGGTATTTCATATGGCCCAGTATTGAAGCAGCTAAAGACTAGTAAAGAGTAGTGAAGCAGCTAAAGAGTAACGAAGCAGCTAAAGACCCCGGCAGTAGTGCACCCTCAGCGGCCTAGTCCCACCAGGCATGCTCTTCGTACAAGCTTGACACATACATCCAGCACCATGCCCTAGCTCGCTACAGCTGATCTCTGATGCTCCATAAAACCACGTCAACGAGCTCCTCCTGTACTGCACGGTCTTCCACTCCGTGTCAAAGTCAGTATGTGGCCCACGCACTGTAAATAACGCATGGTCCGGTGCTTGCATCCCTCGTTGTGTGTGAAACTGCGGCTCTTGCCAGAGCAAATCATGGTCTGACCAATCCTGCAATTCCACCACAGCTGTGCATCGGCATTGCTGGTGACCTCCTTCAGCTGCTTCCAAGTGAGCTTCACGCTCAAGCAAGTAAACGCCAACACCCTTGTTGCACGGCTTCAAATCAGCATCGCTGAATGTCTGTTGCAGCTGAGGCAAACCAGCATCCTCCATGGGCTGATTGAGATAGGCAAGCAAGTCAACTTGTCGCAGCTCGCATAACTGGTTGCAGAGCTAATCACTGAATATCGCCGTCCGCTGTGGAATTACAGTCTGCAGGGCGAAGCCGTTGTTGTGATGGCTACTTGCTCGCTCAAGCACTGTGAAAATGAGCCAAGCCAGTGTCTTCAATGTCATGCTTGTTGCGGTTCGGCGGGGGAGCTCAACGAGTTGACCTTTCTTCTGACGTGTCCAATTGGCAATTGCTCGGAAGCCCCTACCTCAGTTACAAGGTAGTCAGTTGCCTTGGCGGCTTTGCCGCTTCCACGCGGGATTTGGGGCCTCCTGAATACACTCATCTGACTCGTCTTACTAGGTCCCAGCGGATGTGCTTCCAGCTTCTATGGAGACTGGAGTCCGATGATGAGATTCTGAGTTGGCTGGCGCTGAGTACTGGGCACTCGGCGGGAGACGATGATGGGAGCGTCAAGAGCGCCTTTACAGTCCATGTTGAAGGCGTGCACTCTACGATGAAGTTCGGATGAATGCTTCAGCGGCGAATTTGACTACAAAGCACAGAGGCAGTTTGCAGAAAGTAGAAAATGACTTGATTGCACTAGCTATAGAGTGTAAAAGTGAATGGCGAAGCAACTTTGCCAAGAATTGCGAAGGGAAAAGGCTGGTCTATCCAGTGCGAATGTGCTAGGCGTGCTCGGTTGTGCGTTCATGGCCACTTCCATTCATTGTCGCACTGGGTCGGGAAGCTTTCACTGGGATCATGGGAATTTCCACTGAGGTACTTTATCATGTCTCGGTCGCTGTCCAAGCCGGTAGCACCAGCGTGGTCGATTTTGAATTGCCCGTGGCAGGTGCCGTATAAATGGCAGGTATCCATAGCATATGGATCAGAACATTTGACGTGTTTCGCATCCCTGAACCAGTGCCAGCTATTGCCGTGGTAATCAAAGGAGTGCCATGTTGTAGTGAAATCCGTAAATGCTCCCCGCACCATTGACAGATCAGCTTCTAGTAACGCCCTGTTTGGGTCTGGCTTGCATTTGTCGTCCGTGTCAAGCCAGCGGGCGAACTCAACAATGACCTGACAGACGCACGTTTTGTTCTCATTCTCCCAGACGGGCCAGTCCACTCGATTGTCAAGCCTGCAGACGCCACCTCCCTTGCTGCACCTTGACCATGACCATGGAACACCTGGGCCAGGCACTTGTTGAGCGAGTGTGATTTGGTTGAGGTGGACGACCATGTCGATATGTCGTAGTTGACAGTTCGTCTTACAATCCTCCCTATCCCACTTCATTGATCGCTGCGGAATGGTTGTCTTGAATGCAAAGCCAGTCTGTCGACAGCCATTAGCACTGCATAGCTTCAGCAATGCCCAGACGACAATGGTAAAGGCAATCATCGCATGAACCCTAGGAGGAAGAGAGGGCATGCGAGCATGCCGCCTTTTATCCACAACGATTGGACTTGCCCGGCACTTGGCAGAGATGATTTCCGAGAGGTTGCATTTTGTGTTTGTTTGATCGCATGTCAATGCAACGCTCGTCCTGCGATCAAGGTACAATTGCTGATAAGCACCGCCCATTTCATGAAAGCATGCAGTGACATCACATGCACAGATACTCTGTCAAAGAATTTAGACCTGCTGGAAGGGTCACTTGAGCTGCTGAACGTGTCAACGTTGAACGGTCGAGACACGTCCAATTCAGGGGTCAGGCAAAGCGCAATGCGCACGTCTTAGCCTAGTAGCAACGAGCATGTACAGGGACACTCCATTCTTGGCGAGATGCATAGACTTGCATGAGGGCAGCAGAATATGAGGTAGCGAACTAGAAGTATGCATTCTCGCACACAGATAGAGCTAGTCTCGCAAAGCGAGACGCGCGACTCGTCCTGTGCATGTATGCTTCGTCAAGTTGTCAAGTAGGCCCAGTCGCGCAGATATGACATGGCCGAACGCGACCGATAGACTCCTGTCTCGCAGCCACCCAACGACCATGAAGCGATGCGACCGACCACATGGTCGTGTAAGGCCACGAGCTGAGCTCCACAGACTGCAGTGCAATGTGAAGACAAACACGGAAAGATGTAGTAGCAACGCTCTTAGCCGCGCCGGAGGACAGAGATAAAGGGAGAAGTCCAATTGATTTAGCCGGACAAGTTACGACAGGCTATACTTTGCCTTTACCTGCCATGGCCTCCATGACATGAGCACCTGGGCCGATGCCTGCTTCGTCACAGGCAGTCCGCAATTCCTCTAAGCAGCTCTGGATCTCTTCATTGTTCATCAGCGACTCCCACTGTTCTTCAGTGGGCATCGCACTTTCACTGAGTCCGTGTGTCTCCATCTTGGCAATCAGCTTGTGTAGTGACCGCATGATGGCAGGGTTCGAGGTGATTTGGCCTGCGAGAGCACTTGGACTTTGTGTCGGGGAATATTGACTTTCGGCAGCATATCCCCGCCTCGAATATAGACCAGACAGTTGTGTAGCGTTGACACGGGCTAGTGTGCCTGCAGGTCTTTGCCAGCTGGCCAGCAGTCTTGTGCTCCTCAACATCCTGTGCAGCGTGTTTGTGGTGTCTCTGGTTGATGGTCGCCGACGTCAACTATCCTACGACCACCTTGCAATGGCCCATTCATGAAGCGCGTCCGCGACCAGGTCGCACAACGCCCAGTACAGGGTCAAGCAGTCGCGCCTGGACCTCCGACGCCAGTTCTTGAACAGGCGCCAGCACCTGCGCTTGTCCCGGCCTTTTTCCACAAGTCACCATTGCAACTCTATGATGTGACTGCGCCGATACCGGTTCATGCTACAAAGGCTGAGGCGGCTTGGACGCCTTTCAGTCGGGAGGACTCGAGTGCGCTTGAAGGGCTGTTTGAGCGAGTGAAGGGATCACTTGATGCTGAAAGCGTGGAAGAAAGTGCAGAGGAGAAGCCTGCGTTCGATACAGTCCTGGTTGGCTTGGAGCGGTTGCATCAAGTATGCCTACAAACATGGCAGATGACACCAGTCTATTGGCATGCGCGTAATGCACAGCAATCTCAGGCAACAGTCACGCGAGGAACTTGGTTCTATGCTGCAACATGGCAGCCCCTACCACATGCGCTTGCTGATCTCATCGAAGCAGGCTATCATGATGTTGCGCCTTGGACAGAGACCTATGCAGCTGAGCTGGACGCTGCGACCTCATTGGGCGAGGGAGCTACGGCGAAGCTGAAGCATCCCGTCGATGGTGCGCGCTATGTCACGTACCAGAATGCGCAGCGTGCTTGGCTTGGTTCCACTACATTGACAGCGAGGCTTACTGGCAAAGTCATGGCAACCTTGGGTAGAGCCAGGAAAAGTGCACTTGTTGAAATCTGCAGAGGGTACGATTTTGCAGCATCACAAACTGATTCGGCCTCACCACAAGGAGCTGCATCTGACGCTGCCGACAAGGATCAAGAAACGGTCAACGACGTTAGTGACCTCATTCTGGTTATTCACGGTATTGGTCAAAAGCTTGCAGAAACTTCCGAGGGATGGACATTCACGCATGCGGTCAACAGGCTACGTGTCAACTTGCACGCTCAGTTAACGACGCCCGTAGTGAAGCAGTACGTACGACCTGGATTTTGTGTTCAAGTCCTGCCAGTCAATTGGCGCATCAATTTGGACTTGGACGCGCCACCTCCTGCAGAGACGGACGAGAATGCATTCTTCACTTTGGAAGACATCACTATTGATGGCATTCCTGCTGTACGCTCTCTCATTGGCCAAGTGGTGCTTGATATCCCCTACTACATGTCTCATCACAAAGCGAGTATGGTGGATGCCACAGTCAGAGAGGCAAATCGTGTCTATGCACTCTGGATCAAGCACAATCCTGGATTTCTCAAGACCGGTCGTGTCCATCTTGTTGCGCATTCGCTAGGCTCTGCCATCAGCTTTGACATCCTTTCAAAACAGCCGACTGATGTTTCCACGGGGCCATCGCTCAGCACACGTCTTGGACGAGCTCTCAATATGCGCGCGCCCGAGGAGGAAGAGCGTGCAGGCCAATTTGCCTTCAACACGACCAATTTGTTTTGTGCAGGCTCGCCGGCAGCCTTCTTCCTGCTGTTGCATAGGCGCCACCTGATGCCTCGAAGGCGGCTGCAAGTGGACAAAGCTCATCAGGACGCGACGGATCCAAAGATCACCGGCCAACAAGGCACGTACGGCAGTTTAGCTTGCACAAATCTCTACAACCTTTTTTACAGCACTGATCCAATCTCGTATCGGATGACAGCTACAATCGATGCAGCACTGGCTCAAGCTCTACCTCCAACGCATATCCCGTCCACGAGTGCGCCATACTTTGCATCCTTCTTCAATTCAAGTGAAAAGGTAGAAGCGCCAGCAGTATCACGACCGAAACTGACACAGTTGCCAACGACTGTCGAGCTGCCACAACACGATTTTGGCCGTGAACGCATTGCAGATGCCAGGCTCGCACTTCTCAATGAGAATAAGCAGATCGACTACCTATTGCCCGCATCGGGCGGATTACTTGAAGGAAGCAGCCAGTACTTGAGCATGATGACGGCGCATCAGGCGTACTGGGATTCCGCAGAATTTGCGCGCGTGCTCGTGCTTGAATGTGGCCGTGAGCCTGGCGCACAGCACACATTACCAATGATGCGCGGCAAGAAGCGCGTCATGATGCCAGAGGCAGGGAAACAGCATATTAAATGATATAGAGAGCGTTGTTTATGAAGCGAAAATCAACATACTTTGGTGCTCATGGCCTTGCATGTTGGACCATGTTGGACCGGACATGAAAGAGCATGCCAGTCCACAATTGAGGAGGGCGGCACATAAGGTTCCTAGATACAAGTTCCCAAGCTGCCGTCGACATTACACCTGCATTTGTGAGGTTGCTGATCGCAATGGACATGTTTGTCGTTTGCGTCAACTTCAACGATCGTCAATAGAACTTTGTGCTTCAAAAGTCTGTTTGCGATCTCAGTATCTTCGCAAGTCTTGTTCACCGATCCCCGCGGAACCCTGTACATTGTAACCGTGACCTTACAGTTACAACTCTGCCATTTTGGTGGGCCATCTTGAGACTGATCATTCATAGGAGAAGCGGAGACCTGGTAACAAGGGCCGCTCGTTCCTTCACAGGGTTCCCTGGCCTTCACATAACTATCCCAGATGGCTTTCACAGTCGAATTGCTCCTGCAGACAGCTTCGGTGCAATGTTGAAGATCAGGAACTTGGATAATGGTCGAATTCGACAACGTGACCTTTCGACAATGTCTACCGGATTGAATTGGCCGTATGGTCATCAGGAGGATGACTACAGTTGTAAGCAATTGTATGGGCTGAAATGGCATTGTGTCGTTTCTGCGTGTTGAATACTGGTTGATGAGATTGGGCCCTGCGGGCTTCAAATATCCGCGGATCCTGTGGTCAATCGTATTGATGGGCCAGCAATCACGCCTTGCTCAAGATGACTGGATGATAAGAGTCATTGGCGTGCGATGTAGCATTTCCAGGAGCATCGCAAGCAATGATATGCGACGACTCCACCGATCCGGGATAAGAAGATACTCAGGCCGCTCTTAACAACAGCTCAACACCCTCTGTTCAGCTTTCAAATGCGAATGATATGAACCAAGATGCCATATTTGATAGGTATCAAGCTGCAGTTGAGGCCGGAACCGCTGCCGTTCGATGACTTGCATGGGTCGCGGCACACAAAACTGGCGACTTGATCGGCTTCAGGGGCCAAACAATGAGAACGACAGGCTTTGTTTGCTACATCTGTATCATAGTTTTCGTATCCTTTCCAGCAACACATTTCAGCACAAGCAAAGCACTAGTTGGTAGGGCCGCAAACTATTGGTGGATGCCAAAGCAGCGTATGCAGGAAGCCTGAGAGATCAGTGAATCTCAGCGAAGCACGCTTCGTTGAAAAAGCTACAGCATGCATAAACATATGTCAGCTTGAACGATCATAGCCGGTAGATGGCCAGTCCTGAGCCAGTTGTCATTGTGGGTGTAGTTGCTGGCGCAGTTCTGCCTCGGCCGAGTCGTCTCAAGGCCCCGCAATCCCCAGACTCAAGTACAAGCAGCAGCAGCAACACCACCCATCCACAACATCAACCATTGGCATGTCTTACGAAAACCTGGATGCAAGTGCCCTCTTCGGCGTCGAAGGCAAGTCTGTTCTCGTCACAGGTGGCGGTTCCGGCATCGGCTACATGATCGCCCGAGCCTTCATCAGCAACAATGCAAAACACGTCTTCATCTCTTCTCGCAAAAAGAGCGTCTGCGACGAGACCTGCAAGGAGTTCAATGCTCTCGGATTCAAGGGAAAGGCTATTGCTATTCCAGGCGACTTGAACAAGCGCGCAGATGTCGAGCGTCTTGTATCTGAGATCACAAAAGTGACGGGCGGCAAACTGCACGTCGTCGTCAACAACTCTGGCAATAACTGGGCTGCTCCCTTTGACGAGTTTCCCGATGCAGCTTGGGACCGTGTCCTTGGACTCAACCTCAAGTCTGTCTTTGTCGTGTCTCAGCTCTGTACGCCTCTATTGGAAGCAGCAGCTACACCTGACGACCCAGGCCGATTGATTCACATTGGATCTGTCGATGGCAACCGTGTGCCGATTCACGAGACATTTGCATACAGTGCCTCCAAGGCCGGTGTGCAACACCTCTCGAAGCATCTTGCCGGCCACCTCGGCCCACGTCTTATCACCTCCAATACCATCTTCTGCGGTCCCTTCCAGAGCGCCATGATGAAGGCCACCCTTGAGGCAGCTGGGGACTCCATCAAGATGGGCATTCCGCTCGGTCGAATCGGCAGAGCCTCAGATGTTGGTGGTCTATGTGTCTTTTTGAGTGGTAAAGCCGGCAGTTACATCAACGGCGCTGGTATTGCACTTGATGGAGGTCACTTGTGTTCTTCAGGCGCTTACTACGATGCAGAGGAAGCCGCTGAAGCTGCAAAGGAAAAGGCAAAGCTTTAAGATACAACTATAACCAATCTATTTGCCATTTATTTCATGAGCCTCCTGCAATGGGCCAATGTTCAAGGTTGTTATAGATATAACGAAGTATGTCGACACCGTCTCGACCACAGACATTCATGATGATTGAGACAGGTCAGCCTTTGCGAAGTCATCTGAGAAGATAGCGAGTTGGAAGTTCGATGGAGCCAAGTTGGCCAACCCATCTGACGGATTCTGACCTGACATTCAAACAATCTCAGGCGTGAAACTCCTGCTTCTCATGACAAACAATGAACACGTGGAGTTGGTCTGCCTCTACTCATTGTTTGCTGCGTCTGATGAAAACGCAACATCGAACCGCATGATTCAAAATTTTTCTCTGTCTTCCAGGAAGCTCGTCCGAGCGCCTTGCGAGGCAGTTTTGCTCCGAGCCCGGCTGCAGACTAAATCGGTGCAAGGCTGAGGCTCGCGTTGCTTTCTTTCAGCTGCAGCCGCAGCCTGAATTTGAAATATCATGCTCAACATGAACGCCGTTTGAGTCTGACAGCATCGGCCACTCTGCGATGTCCAACGCTGTCCGTAAACTGTTCAAAAGCCCCCCTGGCGAGAAAATCTCGCATGTTCGGCCGACACTGGACTGACAGGTCATATTTTCGTTGTCACATAAACTCCTGAAATCATCACAAGTCTGGCTAGAAACTGCGCATGCTCGTTTGAGAACGGCGATACTTAAGGGGACGAAAGGCCTAGTGTCAGACCTGACAGACCATCAAAAGCGATTCAACTTCCACAATAGTATTGAATCGGACGTTCAGGATGAAAGTGGTCGAATACACCTGGTTTCTTTTGCTCCTTCTCTGTTCACTAGGGCAAGTTAATTGCAAGATTAAGGCTAAAGGTGGTGGAGGAGGTGGTGGTGGGAAGGATAGTGGGTCCGGCCGCGGACGCACATACATTTTTATCGGCGGCAGAAGTCGCACACGTAAGTGCCGTGACACCGGCTTTGCGCTGCAGACAACTATCGCCAGCAATGATACTGAGTGGAGTGGACATCCCGACTTCGATTGTGCTGTGTGGTGCAACAAGAGGCATCTCGAGCTCGTGGTTCAATTCAACCGACCTGACAATGATCCAATTTTCAAGGGAGTGAGGTATGAAGGCGTTGTCGACTGGCAGCACTGCAAAAGAGAAGGAGGTGTGGCCAAATTAGAAAATGATGCACAAATTGTGGAGGCCACGGGTGATTTACCAAAGCAATGCATCTGCACGGGGGTGATTGAGTTTCTACGCTGGAGGAGGAGCGATGATTGCTATCCCGATACGCTCAAGGACAGTATCGATCTAACGGCGCAAAAAGTTCTACCAATCCATCCGAACCCAAATGGCAACGATCCAACAACGAAGTGGCATACAGTGGATTGGAAAGGGCGGTCGTGGCAATGGTTCCAAAATGCACACAACGTTTACTGCAAAAATCAGCATGGTGGAATTCGCGCCTCACATGTTGGGGAATGCTGGAAAAATGGCCATGGATCGGGCCCAAAGGACCCAATTGACTACAAGGATGATGCCAATGGCATCGAACCTTCCGAATGGGAGAAGTGGATCGAGCACTACACTCCTGATAGATCTCCTACGCCTGACTTTCAGAAGTGTCCGCATTACGGGCGCTGGTCCGAAAATTAGGTGTTGGTGTCAGGGACTCAACTTTGTTACTTCTTCCAAAAGTCTAATCAGATTCTGAGGATATGTCTCATGTCTCAGCAGTCCTGCGTCACATCTCTAGCTTGCGCTATTCACTTGTGCACAATCACAACGATCCATCCAGTCTTTCCTGCTCGAGATCATGAAATTAGCCTTTAAGCATCTTCAACAAATTGCTTGTTCTTTTCTGACTCTAGCCCCTTATCTATAATTCGTTTCAAGACAACCCCTTGCGTTTGGCTTGTTTGGCTCATCTGGCTTGAGGCTATTCACAGGCTTTGGAGCCTGCCCATTGGTTTTGGTTTTCTGAGGCTGCTTCTCCTTCCAATCGATTAGGAATAAATGGAAAGCGTTCTGCTGCATCGTTCTTCATTCACCAACTTCGTACACAGGTAGAATTGTCACTACCTACCAGTCTTGATGCTCAGTGTCTCCGAAGTAGGCTCGATGAGCTCTGACTCGTACCTTGTCTGATGGTGCAGCTTCCAATTATTTCATGCGAGTCTCATTCAAGTTCAGCTGCAGTCGCTCCACTATCATCGGTTGCAACTTGAACGAGCAGTATACAAATAAGGACAATGCAGAGGAGAGTATTTTATACTTCGAATGAGGATTCTGCATTTGTCTGTTTGCGGTGCTTCTATCTGCACCTCAATCGTAGAACTTGTGGACGAAGTATTGCCAGAGAAGATACACTCTGCTGAGCCTCTATTTGCACCTCAATCGTAGAAACTTGTGGACAAATTATTGCCAGAGTAGATACACTCTGCTGAGTAACGCATCGAAAGACAATTGCATTTCAACTTTTCTTGAAAGGGATCATCTGAGAGGGTATGCATCTTGATTTCTTCATGATCATACCAGCTGCAGTTGCAGTAGTGACGCAGCTCGTCATGTATACTTGCACTTGGGTGATTGGCCCTGAGCTTCTTGTCAGACCTGGGTGCATTCTGAATGTGTCTGTCACTGTCTTGTTCGTCGCAACAGATGTGAATCTTTAGCGTGCACGTACATACTCATGTGTGAAAGTTGGTTTTGAATCCGATCGCCAGCAGCTGTGACCATTGAAAGCTGAACCCGGCAGGCCCCAAAGCGTCCACGGGTTCAACACCAGAACGGTCTTCAGATGACACATAAGTTCGTGGCACCACATCAGCGAGACACAACGCGGCTGCCTAGTGAGCAAAGTACAGGGCAAAGAGTATATGAAAGGTGAATGACATATTACTACTGTATATAGCGCAACTAGATAGCAAATCGGAAACCTGGCTTGCCAGCAATGACATAACCGCTCTCCTGTTTCTTGTTCTCGCGCCTAAAGTATACCGAGAAGATACAAGCCCAGGTGATGATGAAGGCATTGCATGCAAGGCAAGCTGCAAGTCCGGGACGGTAAATAGGCGCATCTTGTTGCCTGAAGACCAAACTTCCAAAAATACCACCAATTGCACCAAACCCGACTTGCAACGCACTGAGTACGGCTCGCCTCGACGATGTGTGGATGTTGTTCTGCATATACCCAATGACGGCTGGAACATTGGCGTTTGTTCCAGCGGCCACGAGGAAAACGGCAGTATATTGTCCCGCAGGCTTGACTCCTGGTGCGTACAAGACGCCAAGACCAATCATACAGAGCGCACTGTGAAAGATGATGAAGGGAGCACGCAGCTTGAGCCTGTCGGAGAAGTACGCGGTTGTGACTGCGACGAGGATTGCAAAGACGTAAGGCGGAGCAGCCAAACATTGGGCCTCCACAAGGGAGAACCGCAATCTCAATCGCAAAATAGTCGGGAGGAAGTAGGAGAGAGCGTATCTATCGTTAGTATTGTCTGCATGGCTGATATATCGCAATGACTGGCAGTCCTCAAACTGCCATTCAAGGTCGTAACACATTTAGGGTTAACTCACGAGGTGACTGTGCAGCACATAAACATGAGAGCCATGACCCATGCGCGCCATTCCAAAAGGTATTTGCCAAGCTTCCTTGCAGTCAATGGGTCATGCTCCAAGTCATCTCTGTCCTTCTCGAGTCTGTACAGCACTCGAGCGTGATCGCGAGGACTCAAGAAGCGTCTCTTTTCCGACTGAGGGAATTCAACGATGAAGAAGAATGCAAGAATGGCCAATGCGACGGTCTGATGTTAGTGGAAGATTCCAAATTAGTAGAAGAACGAACAATGGCACCTTCAATGAAGAAGATGAATGACCAAGGCCTGTAGTCACCGCGAGGGCCAATTCGGGCAAGACCATACGCAAGAATAGAGGACAGACCAGAAGCCAAGACGCCAAACATGTAGAAGAAGGTGATACGCTTCTGCAATTCGTATCGTTTGTACCAACTAGACAGCAAGAACACACAAATGGGGAAGTATCCACCTTCAAGCAATCCGAGAAGTGCGCGAAGTCCAGCCAATGCGCCCCAAACCTTGACGAATCCCATGGCGATCCTGACATGTTAGCAAGTATTCATCTGCATTGAGTCATACATGGTGGTTCCCCATGCCAGCGCGATGGCAGTAATGACAAATCTGGGCGACACATGACGAACGAGCAGAGTCGCTGGCAGTTCAGAGATGAAGTAGGTCGGGAAGAACACCAGAAGCGCAATCGAGTACCGATTCTGAATGCCAAGAACGAGCTCTTGGCTCATACCTTCAATTTGTGCATTACCCATGTTGGTTCTGTCAATAAGACTCCAGGCATAGAGTGCAGCAAGCCAGGGAACGACGTGACGGTCGACTTTGCGCACAATGCGGGCATCGTGCGTGTCATCCATGATGTCAGGGAACTCTGCGTAAGCTGCATGGTTGGGGTGGTGGTCGCCGATGTCCTTCTCGCTGCGGTAGCCAGGTGTGTCGGAGCTGATTGAGCTAGTGTTTTCGAGGTGCGAACGGTCCTGCTTGACGATGGGTGCTTCCATCTTGACAAGTCGTTTGAGGCCGTTAAACAGGAGTGCGCGCCGTCCAGCCTTTATGCTACCAATGTCAGGGGCCCAAAGAGTCTAGGTCGCGCTGCTCATGCATCACGGCTATTGTAGGGGATCTAGGGATCCAAAGAGGCAAGACTGCCGCGCGCAACATAGCCCGCGTGAAACTGGGAAACAGCTGTCATGAAGATGGCTGTGTAGATGGTACTAGTTGCTGCGAAGAATGCGAGCAGTTCCCCGGATTCACCTCGCGGGGGCTTGAGCTTTGCCGAGACTTTTGGGGATCGGAGCCAAACTGCCCAGTGCCCATTGCCCAACGTGTGCAACAGTGCAAGGCAGGGAATCCTCGCACGAGCGAATGAGAAGGACGTCTTCTGAATTTGAGTTGGTTGCCTTGTGCTCAGCCTCGAATTGACGTGTGTGGTGTTGTTCACCCTAGGAAGGTGTGCCACACGGCCGCGAGACGAAGCTGGTCAATAAGAAGACTCAAGAGGTACACATTATTTGGCATGAGCACGAGTACCACAATGAGTAATGCTTGCGACAGTCATAGCCTCATAGGCAAATTCAACAACATGAAGCACGACAAGCACGTCCCTCAGGAAGCGGTACCATTCGCGCGTCGCAGCCAACAGATCGGGATTGCTTCGTGTTGTTCCTGTTGAGCTTGTCTTACCAGCCTGGTGCAGGGCTTGGCTGTCACACCGCGGACAAGCCGCAGGCGCAGTTGCTTGAATAATTTAGTAGCTCAACGTGCGACCGTATCGCGGCACTTTAATAGCATCTTAAAGTGACTTGTACACATAGAGATGATAGAGCCCATAGTCACCAAGCCTCGACTTCCTCAATGACAGACTTTGCCAGCTATTCGACAGCGTGGATTGTACTTGTTCCTCCTGTGCACTTGTACGAGCTGGGCAGACTGGATACGTAGCTGAAATCGAATCTGCAGCATATGTTCATCTTGGTGCAAGATCGGCGACGTCATGCCCCGAAATGCGGGAGGCTGTGCATGTGCGCGATTCCGGGGTCCGGAGAAGGTTGCCGTTCGAGCGCGCGCGTGTTCAACCTGTTCAACCTTGGAAATTTTGCAAAGAACGGTCACATGGCATGCGACGAGATTGCCGCTTGTACTTGTTTCTATTTCAGCGACTGGAGAGCATGGGACCTCTATCGAGCTCTGGTATGCTCCCACTGTTGTCTGAGTGTCCAATAACGGAGAGATTGTTGACGAGCATTCGTACAACACTACGACTCGCCTGATGTGGCGATTGCAAGTTGAGCTCCATTCAAGCCAAGTCCGGACAATTTCACCAGGGCAAGGCTCCAAAGGCAGCAGAGCAGAAGCACAGCTATGCTTTGCCAGCACTCTCAAGCTTTCCAGGTCGCATAGTCCGGCTGCTAGGCTGTAGCTCGAGCTGGCGAAGCGTATATTCAGATGGGAAGAGGCTACAGACTGCTTCATCTTCATCCAGCAGCATCTGACAAGCATAGCACCACCGGTAGTCTGACAATCCACGATTGGGTCAACAGTAGAGCACTGATGACTTGTACTTTGTTCGATATCTATCAGTTTAGTTCGATGAGCTTGGTGGCAGGAAACGCGATGAAGCGATAGCTTGCTAATTGTGGTCCCACCAGTATCTGCCGTGACAACAGCACTGTCTACGCAGCTAGCTTGTTATGCAGAGCACAGGCTAGTAGCTAGACATCCTCTATGAGTCTCTCGGAGCTGCTGCTTCACTGCTGGTCTGTCGTTGGGGGCACGTGAATTCGACGTCACTGTTTGACCCTCGATCGAGACCGAGAACTTATATATATAGTAGTGCTACTCATGAGAGACTAGCTTTAAGAACAAGGACAACACATCTACCTGCTATCAAGTAGCTCGGTCTTAGCTCTCAAGAGACCCGGGAACTCAAGCTACTGATTGAAATCTCAAGCTCGCCATGAAGGGTGCTCGCGCCAGTGGCAAGAATGCTCAAGTGCCTATTAACGCTCCTGCTGCCAAAGACCCTCCTGCCACCGCAGACACAGAAGCTTCTCGAGAATCGTCACCTGATGCTCTGAAAGGCGGCCTCAAACAGCAAGATATCGACGATTCGCCACCCTCGAGGTTGAAGCAAATCCAGCTCGAGGACTTTGAGCGAACAATGTTGCATCGCGCCAAGGTGTATGCTCGACGAACCCAGAAGAACACTCCCGAAGAGGACCTTGTCTACTACGAGCCTACTACTTTCGAGTCGCTTGGTCCCTGGATTGCCTTGAGGGCAGTCTTCAACTACACAAGTAACACTCTGCAGCGCATTTGGCCACCGTCCAAAGACTGGCTGAGCCTGACCTTCTGGATTTACAACATCACCCTGATCATTGTTGCTGTGCTCTTCACGTGTTTGCAAATGGCGTTCTGGTTTTGGGAAGCTGTCCTTCCTCAGGCATGGATCAAGGGCATCACTGACTATGCTAATGATACCATGTAAGAAGCTGACCTGCAAGACGATCGCTAACTATAGTGTCATTCAGCGCTTGTTCAACAATATGACCAAAATCAACGCTGCCTCTGCAAAAGCCCTTTCTCAGCCTGCGCAAGACAAGACCTTCAATCCGGCTGTTGCCGAGTTCTTACTCAACATGGCGTCTGCAGTTTACGTCCGAGACCCATTCATTTACACTCAAGCTGAACAGTACTATCAAGAGGCATTCTTCCTCGATGGTTGCAAAATCTCGTCTTTCCGCTCGCTCTCCACCGCCGACAACTTTACGCGCAAGAAACTAAGCGCCTACTTCCGTGAGAGTGTCGCACCCATCGTCAAGTTGACAGACCAGCTCAATGTCTCCTACCACCTTATCTCTGAGCTTGAGACTGGATTCGGTGGTCCTTACGCATCTTTGATGGCAAGCAAATCGGCAGAGAACCCATTCATTGTTGTTGTCTTCAAAGGGACCTCTCCTCTGAGTCTGGATGAGTGGCTCATCGACTTCAACTATGCACAAGTTTCTGGAGGCAAATTTTTCCGAGGCGACTGTCACCAAGGCTTCTTTACATGTCTCTTTCCCGACAAGCAGGATTCCTGCGAGCGCTCTGAGGACCGTCTCAATTACTATCCGTACCAGACACTCGTTGAAGCCATCAACCTGAAAGCTGACAAGATGGCTGCTGCCTTCAACGTCGAGAAAATTCCTGTTTGGGTTGCTGGCCATAGTCTCGGTGCAGGCGTCGCAACACTCTTTTACGGCTGGCTGCTCAACAATACCAACACACTCTCCAAAACCACCACCTTGTGTGATGCCTATACATACGGCAATCCTGCTACAGGCAACCAAGAGTATGCACGCGGCTACTTTGCCACGTTTGCAAAGCATGAGGGAAAAATGCTCTGGCGCATGATTTGCGACTCGGACATGGTCTCGCGCGTTCCACTCAACAAGGATACCGCAGGTACGGGTGGCGTGGGCGAACCATCACTCACTGGCGTACGTGAGAACTCTTACCTCAACTATGCAGCTCCGGGCAATGGTATTCGCATCTTCTCTGACCGTGCACCACTCCTCAAGGGTTCGTTTGAGATTGCTGAAGCTGCAGACAAGGCTGTTCATGGATCAGAGGCACAGTTGGGCACATCATTGGCACTTGCTGATTTGGCACGATGGATACCTGGTGCCAAGTTTCTTGTGGATCATGCACCGACGCGCTATGCCGAGTGTCTCCGATTCTCACGCGGCAAGTATCAGATCCCTCCACACTGAGTTCAGGTGAGACGATACAGCGATGGTATATTTAAACGACTTGACGATTTGGAGCAATTATCTAGCATTAGCATAGCAAGCATTGTCTCCTTTTAAGTGCTCTTGCTGCCATTGCTGAACCTGCCATCCGCATCCCAAAGATCATCACGACAACCACAAATCTGACCTCGCATTGCAGGTATGGATGCTCTTTCGAATACAGTCCCACTCAACATTTCAATAGTCAACGCGGTGATCGCTTGAATGTCCTTCTGCAGCAAGGCGTCAGGGGTGGCAAATTTTCAGATGACACAGCCTAGCCTCTACAAGGACGACTTGACTGGCTGCTTAACGAGCTCAAGCAAGCCCCTTGGCGCCTGGACGTAGCGACTCCGGATCCAGTCAGCGAAACCCTTGCCCAGGCTATCCAAAACAGACGTGCTCGTCACGCCACGGCCCAGAATCCCATAGATGACAAAATGCACCGCCTTGAGCTGTGGGAAGAGATCGCGCTCGATTGACATGGAGGGTTTGAAGTCATCGCCAAGAAGATTCTTCATAACATCGCACGTCAAGTACGAAACGAGCCATTCGTAAATCTCTGGAACAGGGATTTGAGAAGGTACGCCGGAGCTGTTGAGAGGACTAAGTGGGTAGAGACCAATATTGATATTGCCACCCTTGTCGCCTGATCGCGCAAGCACGAGATTGCCAAGTTCCGTTGTGATCGTGTCGCTACCAGACACCGATGCAGTCTCCTCGACAAGACTGGTTGTCGTATCGCTATCAATTTCGTAAATGTCCTTGAGTGGCGATGTGCCTTTAACACGATCAATACGAGTTCGTATACCAGCCAGACCACCCTTTCCAATTAATGTAAAGCCTACATCTAGCTTCGAGAGGTCCCAGAGTCCAGGATAGTAGCCCAAATAGATACGCGGCACACCTTGTGCAGGATTTGTCATGATAGTGCTGTGGTAACCGCTAAAGTGCTCAAGACCAATAGATGCATGGCTCGCCATGACTGCTGAAACAAGCTCAGCAGAAGGCGCTTGAACGAAGCACCGAATAAAGCTTGTCCCTCGGAATTGTGATGAAGCGTTAGGCTCTGGGATACCATATTCTTGTACTTCATGCATACTCAGCTTGTCGAGGATGCCAAGCTTCTTGAGGCGGAACTCGGTTTGTTGTTTGAAAAGAGCAGCCTTTGCACGGTAGTTGCTTCCCGTCACACCAATCATGTACTCCACTTGGTAGCCGTCAATCCAAAAGATGGCACACTTGGTGGTGGCCGGAGGTGCCATGCCCTTGACGCCAGTGACTAAAACGCGACTGGGTCCTTGCTGAGACATGGCGATGTCCCGACAACGAGCAGCAACATCTGAATTAAGATATTTTGTGCCTTGAAGCTCGTAGAGGAAGTGTGCCTTGATGGTTTCCACATTCACCAAGCCAGGGAGACTTTCTGGTTTGGTGATGACACATGTGCCGTCATGAGCAACTTCAGCTATCGGCATGCCAATATCAGTGAGATCTCTTTCGAAACTGTATCGCTCAAAGCCAGAAAAGTTGCCACCTGTTGAGTAACCACTGCATTCAATCAGATGTCCTGCAACGAGGGCACCGCCGTACGCGTCGTAGTTGTCTTCCTCCCAGCCATGCCACCAAGCAGCTAGTCCCATCACTGGCGATGCATCTGCCACACGACCGCAGACGACAATATCCGCACCAGCTTCAAGCGCAGCAGTAATGGCACGCGAACCAAGGTAGCAATTGGCAGAGATGATTTTCCGGCCTTGCAAGGTCTCAGCAGCCTTTTGCGATGCATTTGCATGCGAAACATTGGTGTTGTCGCCGTCTAGATGGCGGATCGACTCACCGCGAGCAATTTGTTCAGATACTTCTTTCGTCACCAAGTCCCCGTCAACATAGGCGACCTTCAGATCGTAGCCCGCGGCATCAATCCAAGACTGTATTTCAATGGCTGCTCCCTTGGGATTGAGACCACCACCATCAGAGACGACCTTGCACTTGAGTTCATTGACCAGAGACAGCGAGTCTTTGAGGCCAGTCATGAAATTGGCTTCCCATCCTGGGTGCTTGCCAATTGATTGCCCAATGGCAGAGATGGACAGATTGAACTCTGCCAGCGAGTCTCCAATCACCGCATCTGTTGTTAGTTTTACCAAACGCGTCTCCGATTGGATTACCTATGCCGTTCGCATCCTTTGAGGCAGCTAGTAGATTCTTCTTGAACAAGTCGGGAGAATCACCAGCAAAGCCGGAGACACCCACGATCCTGATTGCTCTTTTTGACATGCTTGCTCAGTGACCAGTCCCTTGTACTTTCTAGTCGCTACGGATGCCGAGATGCCGCTGTCAAGGTTTATCAGAGTGTCGTTGATGCCAGAGTGTCCAACGTGGAGCCGACGGAAGTTGCCGCTTTGTGGGGGGATGCAGACTGATCGGTAACCTCTGGCCAGCTGGATGCTCAGGCAGCAAAAAGCTTCTGTCATGATTGATGCATGCCGTATTGCTTGTAGTGGACGACCAACTAATGGTGCCATGGGTCTCTGCTGCTGCGTCAATCCAATTCCACATGGAGACTGATCTCAAACTATGGGAAAATAGGGCTTATTTACAAACACTATGCTACGACACGGGCACTATGCTTGGTGCGACCTCAACGAGCACAGAGGAGATAAGCTACTAAGGTCAGGAGGCAATGCTACGACTGTGGTTGTAATGCTGTTTGACCAGCAATGAGTCATACTGAGCCATAGAAATTTGGAGTACAACGACTTCCAGTCTCATCACCGTCCTTCCCACATACGACTTGATGACTGTCCACCAAGGGGAGTTCAAGTATCCTTATCTGCAAGGAAAGCATGCGCCAGAAGGGTTCAGGCGCCTCTGCTTAAAGAAGCTGTCCAAGAACCGGGGCATTGTCCAACGTACCTCACCTACGGACATAGAAGTCGTCGTAGAGTGTCGCGACGCGGAGGCTGTTGCAGTGGTGGCCATGTTGACAGATCTGCTGGCAGAGGGCAGGGGAGATTCTGGTGTTGGAGACAGGATCGACAAGTTCCCGTCGAGAATCTGCATGGAGCAAATGGCACCGTTGCAGTTCTTGCGCCTCGGATCAATTGGCCAACGAGAAGACTCCGCCAGGTCCAGTAGCTCAATTTCAACATCGAGTGACGTGATAGCTCCTTCTCGAGTGTCAACGGCCGGAAGTGCTAAGCATGCAGTCAGCCTGACTTTACGCGATACTGTGCATCAGACGGCTGCTCATTTGGACCAATACGTCTCTCTGGGTGCACTGACTGACTGGGCGGAATACGCTGTTGGAAAAGCTCAACACATACACTGTGTTTACCTCAAGTCAGAGCTCTTTCAAGGCGGCCTCGGCACGACAGAAGTAATAAGATTTCAAACTACCACATACAAGATCACAAGCCAGGAAATTGCTATGCTTGCGCTGACCTCGGTCTTTGTCAAAGAGAAAAAGGACGTATTTGATCTTATGCGCAGGGGAGAACTTCGCAAGTACAGGCTACTTCCTTTCCCGCAGGAGCCACATATTCGTGGATTACAAGTCTGTCCTCCTCGCTGAGGACCCTGTACTTGCGAAGTTCTCCCCTGCGCATAAGATCAACTAAAATCTTATGTCCTTTTTCTCTTTGACAAAGAACGAGGTCAGCGCAAGCATAGCAATTTCCTGGCTTGTGACCTTGTATGTGGTAGCTTGGAATCTTATTACTTCTGTCGTGCCGAGGCCGCCTTGAAAGAACTCCGACTTGAGGTAAACACAGTGTATGTGTTGAACTTTTCCAACAGCGTATTCCGCCCAGTCAATCAGTGCACCCAGAGAGACGTATTGGTCCAAATGAGCAGCCGCCTGATGCACAGTATCGCGTAAAGTCAGGCTGACTGCATGCTTAGCACTTCCGGCCGTTGACACTCGAGAAGGAGCTATCACGGCACTCGATGTTGCAATTGAGCTACTGGGCCTGGCGGGGTCGCTCGCCGGCCAATTGATCCGAGGCGCAAGAACTGCAATGGTGCCATTTGCTCCAAGCAAATTCCCAACGGTAGCTTGTCAATCTTGTCTCCCACACCAGGATTTCTTTTGTCCTCTGCAAGCAGATCTGCCAAAATGGCCACCACTGCGTCTGCTTCGATGTCGTGACATTCCACGACGATTTCGGTATCCGTAGGGGTGGTACGCTGCACAATGCCTCGGTACGACGATAGTTTCTTCAAGCAGAGGGGCTTGAATCCTTCGCGTGCGTGCTTCACTTTCAGGTAAGGGTATTTGAAGTCCTTGGTGAATAGTCATGGAGTTGGAAGTGGAAAGAATGGTGATGAGACTGGAAGGGAGAGGTATATAAGTACGGGGTACTTATGCGCGAAGACCGACCTGTTGTCAACGAATATGTGGCTCTTGCGGGAAAGGAAGTACTGCCCTTAGAGTATTGGCCAGACTCTTGGTACCTACGAAAGTCTTTGGCATGGGTGAGTGTAAGGCCGCAGGGTGAGATGCGACCTCACATCAGCTCGGAGGCCTCACCGATCAGATGGCATAGCACGTGCTCCCGGACTTGCTGTGCTGGCAGCTCCTTTATATGCTCTCTTCTTACCTTTTCCATACTTTAATCTCTTCCACATCTCATTCTCAGGCCTACTACATACGTATAGTCGCTTGAGTGGTGAAAGTGGAGGAGCAGCGACGTAAGGATCCTAAGGCCTTACAGTGAGTATTTGTAGTTCTACAACTGACGCAAACAAATTCGAGAAGATTCGATCCTGGTGCCGTTACGCGTACGACGGGCGAAGGAGCCGCAAACATGAGGCCACATTGGCCAGAAGTCTACCCGGTGCTATAGCCAACACAGCCTGTACCGTCGTACGATGTACCTGTCCCACAAATATGCATACTTTTGTTCTCTCGGACAATGGCCATCGACCGATCATGAAACCATGGGATGATATGTGGCAGTATGTTCAAAAATCACCATATTTAGTACCTACCTTGTAGAGCAGACAGACACTCGCTCATGCCCTCATTTGATTGGAAGGTTTTGGTCTGCAATCCCAATCCATTGAAGTTCTCCCACACTTTTGCACGCACCAACTAGTCATCCATCACGACTCGCGAGAAACTTGGTGTATCATGCCGTAGACGCTGCAAACATCGCTGCATACTCACAAGTCTTGACTGCTCGTCTCTGACTTGCATCTTGCAGAAATTCAATACTGCCAATTTGGCCGTCCGAGCATGCTGCTCGTAGAACTGAGACAGCGCATCAGCCAGGACAGTCTCTGTGCGTCTCAACTCGCAGCTTGCATGATCCAGCTCGAGATGGAGATCTTGCAAGTTGGCAGTGATTTGTGCTTTTTGCCTAGCACGAGAATCTGCGAGCAGGCCGAGGGCAAACTTTGAATTGCGAGCTAGTGAAGTATTGCCACGCTCAATATCGGTTGAGTAGTCGCGAATCCGACTCACGAGCTGAGTCGGCAAGACTAGACTTTGTAAAATGCCAGCAGCTTTAGACTCAACTGAGATGACCGCTTCAATGAGGCGGTAGAGCAAGGACGGCTCCCGTGCAGCAAGACAATCACTCAGACCCAAGAGTGCTTCTGCATATCTACCATGTCCAAGCTCTGGCAAAAACGCATCGACGCCCTTTCCAAGTAATCCAAATGCGACAGACACATGAAGCTGACCATCTCGTACAGCGCGTGCTTTGCGCTCAAAGACTTGATAGCTTGATGAGACAACTAGGATTTGCTCACGCGCATGCTGAAAGAAGAGTTCAGCAGAAGTAAAATCAGTCAGAGGCTTTTCTTCCTGCCAGATGCGAGTCAGATCTGCTTGTACTTCACGGTCGATCGTATCTTGCACGGCGCGTACATCCAATCGTGTAGGTGAAAGTAGAAATTCCCACAAAATCTGACTCTTGCGGATGATTGGGTGCGCTAGGAGTGATTGCACAAATGCATCAAGTCGTTCCGTGACTGCCAGCAAGACGGATCGAGCAGGTCGAGAGTGGAGTAAACACGGCGCAGGCGTATGAATTGCAAGCGTAGCAATTCCCAAGGCGCTGTAGCGTTTCGTCAGCCAATGCCGGAGATTGACGAAATCAGCGACGCTGCGCAGGACACCGCCGCCATTCCGAATCTTGATGAGGTACTTGACTGTACAATCTTCGCCGACATGACCTCGTAAGACGCTTACTTCTTTGCCATGACATGCCCATTCATCCAAGATTGTTCGAACTTGGTCATTCTTGACGACATCACCAGGCCTAAACCCCCGCCAATCCCAAGCATCTTCAACATCGAGTTCCAAGAGCCGTTTCAGAATGACCATGTTGCCTTCCCGCGCAGCAACGTGCAGCGGCGTAAAGCCAGATCCAGACGCACGGTCATTGATATCAAGATGGTGACGTACGCAGGTATTGAAAAGCGGAAGGGACGCGCGGGCTGCGTAGTGTATAGCAGAGTGACCACGATCGTCGCGACCCATACCGTCCACTTCCGGTCGACTGAGGAGAAAGTCGAGGATGGGTTGACGAGCGAATTTAATGCTAATCAATAACGGCGAAAGGCCGTTGTCGTTTAGCGAATTGAAATCGCCTTGGCAGTACTTGAAGACTGCTTCCATGGCTGTCCTGGTGGAGACAATATGAGCCAGTGTGTTGCCCTTTGGATCGACGTGATCATGGAGTGATATCCGGCGAATGACTTTCGGCAGTTCAAATGAAGCATCATCAGAAGACGAGTCGTCAGTAAATTGGCTTGTAGTAATGGCCGAAAGTGTCGTTTCGAGAAGTTCCTCATACAGCGGATGGTCGTAAATTCGCGCAAGAACCAGGAGTGGTGTACAGCCAGATTGATCTCGATGCCGCCAGTCGAGCAAATCGCTCAGCTCGTATATAATGTCCATATGGTCGCAGACCTTGTGCGCCAGCGTTTGTCCAGACTCGTCTTGCTGATTAAGGAGAGTTCTAGCATCCTCCAATTCCTGGTTTGCGACGGTCCGCAGCAGTTCTTCAAATGCATTAGTCGACAAGTGCCGTAGTAGCGCATGGGAGAGGGCCGAAGCACTGCATCCAAGGGAAAGCATGAATAAGGCCATCTCAGGACTTGCAAGTTGTAGCGGTGTCTCATTGTGTAAATTGCGAACCTCAAGGAGCTCTGGATGATCTGCCAAGCTCTTCTTGACGTCCTCAATATTGTTTGCCTCGACTGCTTCAAAGAATTGCTTATTCCGACTTGAGACGAGCGATAACGAATTGGCCGAACTTGCAATATGGTAAAGTACAGCTTCCAGCGTGGATAGTGCGAAGCCACGTTCACCCATTTCCACGTCGCTGAATGAGAATTCACGAATGAGCAGAATGTTTGCCCATGAGCTTGATGCGCTTGAGCGAAGCAGCACGGCTACCAGGCAAGGGATCAAATCATCAGATGACTTCTCCGAATGGGTCATGAGAATATGTATTGTATTGAGCAGCGCTTGCAACTTGTCGTTAGGAGTATGGCTTGTCGTAAATGTGGCGAATGCCTCTGTAGCCAGCACGAGGCGGTTGCGAATGTCCAGGGTCGACCTAGTGCCAAGTTGTGTCAGGTCGGCATGCTTGCACTGTTCCATTGCTTGCGATACCTCCTCGTCCTTGTATGCTGTAATCTTGGATAGTCGGTGCAATGTCAAGTCATACAAATTGGTCAAACAGTGAGATTCAATCATATTCTCAATGTCAGTCCCAGAGAGAGACGTTTCCAACCCGATTCGATGCAGCAGGCTTCGTGGTAGCTCCTGAAATGCGCCAATCGCAGAAGACAGAACTTCATCGAGCGCAAGTCTGAGGTGAATCAATGAAGAATCCTCTGAAAATGAATGCTCAGTATCGTGCCGTCGCAATGAGGCTGGACGGATCGAAGAAAGAGACGATGCTCGTGTGCGGGCCGGCGTCTCAATGTCTCCATCCGCTTGAATGTCATCTTGAAAGTTGTTGAAGAGCTTGCGAAACGTCGGGTCCAGTTGGGTTGCGATTCCGCGATAGCGTGAACAGAGTTCTTGCCAATTTGTGATGTTCACTTCTCGTAGAACAGGGCCAGGTAAAGGCCGTGGGTGGCCTGGATTGCCTATGAGGGGCTTATTGAGAAAGTACACCAGGATGGGTCGGCTTTTGGGATCGTCTAGCCAAAAGAGTGCGTCGTGGAGCAACTTGACCTCTTTGACGCCTTTGAAGCCGCGATGCGGGAAGACAGCGTCGTCCTGATATCAGCATACAGTCTGCAGACGTCCTCCACTTACCTTGATGACGACAGTCTTGCCATTGAGCGTTGTATAATTGCGCGCCTTGGCACGCTCATGCGGCTGATCCACCACGCGCAAGATATGGGAAGCCAGAAACTCATCGTTGAGCGATTCGACAAAGGCAATCCCTGTGTCGCGGTCTACCAGGTTGAGCGACGACGTGACGGGCGCAAGAACAATGGCGTGCGCGGTGTTGCTGCATACCTGTGCGAGGACCTGCGAGTCATGCGCAAAGAGGAGCCTGAGAAAGGGATTGGGCGGCGGACAGTTCATCCAGCTCAAGGATGAGCCGCGCAAAAGAAGGCCGCCGTGGCCTGTAGAGCTGCTGCACTCGACAGCTGGATGTCGCCTCTATTGGCGTGTCGCGCACTTTTGAACAGGTCGTTGCGCGACAAGACACCATCTGCATTGCAATAGATTTAGGGAGAGCTCGAGGTGGGCATAGGCGGCTTTAGAGAATGAATACTACCAGAGCCGATGATCTAGCGCTGCGTATGAAGCCTCTCGAAGAACGAGTGCGCGTCTACCGCTTTTGCTAGCCAAGGTGCCATGCGCACCATGCTCACCATTTGCACTCCTCCTTCACCTCGCCGAACTCGTTGCACCGACAAGGTTTCGGTGCATGAGGCTCGTCTCTTGGCTGATTGAGACAGTGCACATCAGGCCGTGTCACCTTCAGCTGTAGATCCCCAGGCAATTTGTCTCCAACAGATTTATACAGCCGATCAGTAATGTCTTTCGGATTACATGATACAATAGTGCCATCCTGAAGGCGCACATCTGCCTTCGATACCCGCACCATGATCAGCGATTGCTCACAATAGCAACTCTTGTGTGTTGCGTCCCATTGGACCGTTTCGTACTGGCATGTCCCACCATCTTTCTGGCATGCATCCGGAACGTAGGTGTGATTGAAGTTCTCCAATTGTACAGACTTCCCCAAAGAAGCCGTCACTTGTGCACAGAAGGTGCCGCATTCTTTCTCATTCGCGAGAACGGTGCTCGTTGAACTCTGGAGTTCAAGACTTCGACAATGAAGATGCTTGAGCTTTGCTGCCACTTGGCCAGTAACACAAAGTGCCAAGATCAAGGTAATAAGGATATGAAATCGTCGTTGTCCTGTCCAACAAGCCTGTTCCATGTTGTTGACAGGTGTCTCCAGTTGACAAAGACCGTCAAATCGCTTGTTCACCGTTGAGTCGGCCACGAAGGGGCTGTCAGGGGCCAGCTCATCTCGCGGAATGCAGTGCACAATGCACATGGTCAAAACCCGAAGAATCCCCTACACAGACATGGCCCTCCAGCTCCCTCTCTTCATGAGACCACAGTTCATAAGAATATCACCAGTGCAGACGTCCAACAAGACCAAGCGATGCGATCTGTCGTCACGGCCGCCTTTTTCAGTGGTTTGTTCTCGCTTGCAACAGCAATCAGTTTATTATCGGGCATCCTCGACTGTAGTTACGAAATGACGGCTGTCTGGGAGCGAGCCATCACGGCTTCATCGGAAGAGACGTGTCACTGGTATTGCGATGCTAAGCTGACGAATGCAAGTCTCCAGGATACTGCAGCGTTCGTCGTTCGTCGCGACAAGGCAGCTGGTCTCATTCAAGCTGCAATTTCAACTGACGGATTCGATGCATGTCTGGTGGAGAAGTCAGATATTTGCAAGCAGAACACCTGGGCCTTCCAAAAGATTAAGGAGAAGGGCCCCAATTGTGTCTGCTATGCTTTGCTCAAGTTCATGCGCGTGGAAAAGGGTACAGCCAAAACAGCGAAGGGCAAGGTCGTCAACTGCGACATTGACGCGTTTGCGAAGCGAGTCGCTGATGCAGGCGTTGATCTGTCGCAAGGTTATCTGCAAACGAATGGAGGTCCCTGCAAAGGTTCGAAACGCAGTGCCAAATGCGACACGAATGGCCAGCTAGTGGCAAACCACCTGAGAGACTTCAACGAGCACATGGACAACTTGCCCAGTAAGAGGTTTCTGGAAAAGGCTGCCTAGCTAGTTTACTTGAGTTGCAGGTTCAGACCCTCCTGAATCCCGTTGGGCCCAACGTAAACTTGATAGAACTTCAAATCTCACAATCAATAGTTGGCAGCAATTCAAGCAAAAAACGCTAACTGAATATCTAGGAAATGCTGCTCTATGCGCCTACAAGCTCATCCTCCTCTGGTACATCGTCGTGGAAGTCCTTTCCTTCCCGTGTAGCAACAATGTATCCGCGCTCAATGACAAAGTCACCAAAGTGTTGTCCCTCCTTCTTCTTGAGTGCAAACTCCTTGAGCATCGGCCGCAAGATATCGAGAATTTCGGATTCCTGGATTGATGCTTTGTAGAGCTTATTGAGACGTTGGCCATGGTAGCCACCACCGAGGTAGAGGTTGTACGTGTTGAAGGCTTTACCCACAAGCGCAATCTCAGCGACCCAAGGTCGTGAACAAGCGTTGGGGCAACCAGACATGCGCATGACGATGCTCTCCTTTTCGAGGCCAGCCTCGATGATGGTCTCCTCAAGCTTTGTGATGAGCACAGGTAGGTATCGCTCCGACTCGGCCATGGCAAGACCACAAGTAGGGAACGCCACACAAGCAGAAGAGCTGAGACGTAAACTCGAGTATTTGAGGTTGTCGAGTCTGTACTTGGCAAGCACGTCCTTGACGGCGTCCAGCTGGCTATCATCCACATTCGACAAGATGACATGTTGGTTGGAGGTGAGTCTAAACTCTGCACCTTCATCCAACATCTTTGCCAACTCCCGCAATCCAGTCTTCATCTGGAAGTCCGGAGTATCTTCAACTCGACCATTCTCGATAAACATGCCAAAGTGGTTTTTGCCATCCTCGCCCTTCTGCCAACCAAAGTGATCGACATTCTCAATGAACTCATAGGGGCGTGGCTCTTCAAGCTTGTAGCCAATATACTTCTCCACAAACTCACGGAAGAATGGTACACCATAGTCGTCAATGGTGTACTTCATACGTGCATGCTTGCGGTCCTTGCGGTCACCGTGATCACGCTGACAAATCATGATACCCTCAGCAACCTTGTTGACTTGCTCTGGTGTGCAGAACGCCATGACGGTACCGAGACGTGGGTAAGTCTTTTTGTTGTTGTGCGTTGTACCCATACCACCACCAATCGATACGTTGAATCCAGCCAACTCGCCAGCATCATCACGAATTGCGATGAAGCCGACATCATTGGTAAACACATCGACATCGTTATAAGGCGGCACAGCCACGGCAATCTTGAACTTCCTGGGCAGGTAGGTCGGGCCATACAAGGGCTCCGTGTCGGATTTGTTTTGAATAGCATCGCCAGCAACTTGTGCCTTATTGCCATCCTCATCAGTGAGCCAAATCTCGTGGTATGCTGAAGTGCTTGGTAGCAAGTGGTCGCTGATGCCCTTGGCGGTATCAAAGACTTTTGCATGGAATGCCGAGAGTGTTGGAATGGTGGAGCACATGACATTACGGTTGACATCACCACAAGCAGCGATGGTCGTAATGAGCGCCTTGTTGATGGCAGCAATGGTCTTCTTCAATTTACGCTTCAACACACCATGCCACTGGAAAGTTTGACGCGTCGTCAATTTGAATGTGTGATTGCCATACGTGTCGGAAATCTCGTCCATCTGCAACCACTGCCATGGTTTAGCAACACCAGCTGGCAAACGTGCACGAATCATAAAGGAATAAGCAGGTTCAAGACCATCTGCCTTGCGCTGCTCTCGCACATCCCGATCATCTTGCATGTAGGTACCATGGAATTTGGTCAACAAGGCATCATCTGCTGAAATCGCACCTGTTGATCCATCCGCTAGTCCAGCAACGATACCACCGCGCAAAAAGTTGGACTCGACCTTGACGTCTTCCGGTGTACGTGCTTTTGGTTCATCCACAACAACATCCATGTGGTCAACTCCAAAGGCCTTCCAAAGTTCAGGCTCCCAGGCCTGATAACCAGTCTCGTAACCATCAGGATCTTGGTCATCTCCCATAGACACGGTGATGTCAATCAACGACTTTGCTCCCAATTCCAAGAATCGCTTGTGCAAGTCCATGCCTGGCTTGTTGTAGTAATGCTTGTCAGCAGCGCGAGGCCAATAGTGCGAATCACCCATAGCAAACACAGCGAATTGTGTCTCCTTAAGGTCCAGATCCATAGAAGCCTTGACGGCATCCCAAAAGTTGCGACCGTTCTGTGGAATTTCACCCTGTCCAGCAGTCGCTGAGATCAACACAAGGTTAGGCTCAGAGGCAAGATCCTCAACGGGGAAATCATCCATTGCAAGGACTTTTGCCTTGAGAGAACGGGCTTTGGCGCGACGTTGCAACCGTTTCGCCAAATTTGCTGCATTGCCACCATCCGACGCATACAAGATTGTGAGAGGGGGTCCAGAAAGCCCATCCAACATCTTGTCAAAGGCCTGCTTCGCCTTGCGTTTTTGCGCATTGCGTACTTCAGCGCCATACGACTGCGCCAGACTAGCAGCGAATCGAGCGTCCCGTGCAGCGAGTTGAGAGAGGTGATTCTCACGCTTCAGGAAAGCCTTGAGTTCGACTTGCAAACGCTCTGAATCAAGCTGGAAGTCATTCGCCGAAGTATCCGCAGAAGGTGTGTAGCGGTATAGGGGCCAGTATCCGGACTCAACGGCATTCTTGGTTTCTTGAAGGACAGTGACGGGTGTATCGTCTTCACGCTCATATGGCAAGTAAGCAAGCACCACAGATGGCCCATCAAATTTGTCGGCCTCGACCATGGCTGCAAGTACTTGTGTGTAGCTTGCATACACGGCAGTTGAAGCAACATACGCATTACCAAAATTCATGGCATACAAGCCAATATCCTTCTTTCGCTTATTAGCAGCCTCTGCATTGCGAGCCGAATAAGGTGTTGAATCAATAATGAGCATGTTGGCATTCAAGCCAGTAGCGAGCAAGTGATGAACACCGGAATTACCAAGATCATACGCCCAAGCATCTGAACCAATGATCCAGTCAGAACCAGCATCAAAAAGTTCTTTGGAAGCAAGCAAAGCCTTTGCATCCTCTGAAGAATCTTGCTCGAGCGCAGCGATGGCAGCATGCGAGGCAGCAGCGCATTCGGCTTTATTGTTGGCTTGCACAGTCCATTTGTCCAATGCATCGACTGTTGGTTTGGCAAGCGAGCCATCCTTGATGGTTGTAGAGACTTGTTTGATGAAAGCCTGACGATTCTCTTGACGTGCAAGGAGCGCACCAAGTGCAAATTCAGGATTGCTGCTCACTGCAGCAGGCAAAGCAGACTTGCTTCCCTTGTTGGCGATATTGAGACGCGCTGCAAAGAGTTGGTTGAGGATCTTTTCATAGGCAGACTCAAGTTTAGGAGCAACAGCAGCAATCGATTCCACAGCAGCGAGATCTTGACCAAAGAGCATATTTTGCAATGGTTCAGCCGCCTGCAGATTTTGAACAACACCACGTAGTGCTTGAGCAACCGTGTCGGCATTATTGTAACCGAGTTGACCAGCGACGAGTGAGCGGCCGGATCCATTGAGTGCAACGAGCGCATCGAGGAACAATGGTGTCCACTTTGTTGTCTTTTGCTTGATTTGCTCAAGCACTGCAATCTTGGTGACACCCGCGGGAAGAGCAGCAGACAGCTCTGCAGCTGACCAGGGACGGTAGACGCGCAGTGTCAAGATGCCGATTTTCGACTCGTCGCTGCCACGCTCGGACTTTGCAACTTGCTGTTTGAACAGGGTGGCGTTGGAGCCAAATAGCAAAATGGCAGATTCTGCCTGAGCAGAGCCCGTGTATTCAAAAGCGGCGTAGGTGCGGTTGAAGGCAGTGCTAATGTTGCTGAATGCAGTCGAGACGAGCTGGAGAACGTCAACGGATGTCTTGGCCTCGACTTGAACTTGGATGTCTTTGCCCTCGGCATCTTGCTCATTGCGGAATCGCTTGGGCGCTTCATCGAGGTAGAGTGCTTGTGCGGGCACCTCTGCAGCGCGCGCCTCGAGTGCTGCTTCAGTAGAAATAGAACGTTCAATGAAAGAACGATCTTCAACAGAGATCGATTCGCCTGTGATGCTCTCGTAAAAGAGGATAGAACCCTTGCCACTTTCGATCGCCACAGAACGCGCGACAATAGCGAGATCTTGTGCTTCTTGCAAAGTTGTTGCCTGAAAAATGGTGAAGCCAGTTGAGCGCAGGCTAGAGATGTCTGCATAGTCTGGCAAGCTTGATTCAGCAGTGGCCAGATCGACAAAAAGGGTGACGGGTCTGAGCGCGAGTCTGTAGAGATGCGGGATTGCCTGAATCAATGTTGCCGAAGAAGTGACAACCGAAGCGAGTCGGCCGTCATTGCTGTGCTCGAGAACACTGAGGAAAGGGTCTGCATTGGCGCGCAGGATTTCGACGCGGGGGACTTCGGGACTGTAGACATTGGCGACACCCTGGCTAGCGAGCTGCTTGAGTGTGGGCGTGTAAGCATTTGCCTGCTTGAAGGATGCCTGGACAGAGTAGACTGTGTCTGAAGTAAGGAACGCGACACGGGCGACTAGAGGAGGCGTTAGTGGTATGTAAGCAGTGAAGATGGAAGGGTATACCTGCTTCCTCGATGGATGCGATTGCAGGAGATGCGGCCACCATGCTTGAGTGTATCGGGCCCTTGCTTTGTCTGTGAGGCCTTGTCTCTAGGGAAGCAGGCAGAGAGATAGACACAGAGGCAGTAGCAGAGACTGTTTCGCTGCGACTTGAAATCTCAAAAAAAGAATCACGCAATTCGATCTTGCCGCAATCTGATTGGCCAGAGGGGAGGGATTATGTCAGCACAGCGATTCCTTTGATATTCGCAAAATTCAGACCACCGAGAAGTGAGAATCCTCAGCCTTGGACTTTTTCCTGTAGACTTGCCACTATCAAAGAATGTGGACAGCACCAAATCAGATACAAGTCATTGGGTATCTCAACAGATGCTAGGTAGCTAGTCAGCTTCATAGTGCTTATTCTTCCGCACAATCACAATGCCCTCCAACACACCCGTACTGGGAATCCACTCTTCCGTCGCCATCTCGGCACGCTGCTCATAGCTCAATAGCACTGGCGTCGTCTGCGTCACCCATCCAGTAATCTTCCTTGGCTTTCCCGGCCCGAATGAATCCACCGCCTGTCCGACACGAACACTCACAGGCACAGGCGAGCCATTCTCACCCAACGTGATCAATATGCGTGGATTCATCGCCGTCACCAGGTAGTACAGCAGCCAATGCCCGTTATCCAGAATGAACGACTTGGCATCCAGCAATGAAATCAACACCGTCATAATACCAGCCAGACCCGTACGTGAGAAGAGACTGCGATCGCCATGGAAGGGGTTCAAGCTGAGTGTGCCTTTACCCATATGCAGCAATCCTTGAGCAATCCGCACCATGAACAAACAATTTGATTCACGAGCATAGTAACTTGCAAGCTGCCTGAGCAATTGCGCCAAACGTGCATTGTTCGTACCAGCACCCACCATACCCATTGCAAAGATGGCATTCGCCGCCACATCCAAATCATTGTCGTGTGACATGCGTGATAGTGTCTCAAACACCTTCATCTGTGCATTTGAACAACTCAACAAACCCAGTGCTAGCGGAACAGCACGTCGAATGATGGGGTCAGAGTAGTGCATCAAGTGACCAAATTGTCGAAGTGCCATTTCCGTACCAACATCTTCACCCATTGCAATCATGGCAATACCAATCGTTGCAAAAGCCTGGTATAGGTCTTCGGGCTCCTTGTCCTCTTCCTCCTCCACCAAATGATCGGCTGCAAGGTGTAGCATTTTCTGGACTTTCAAGACATTGCCCGTTCCAGCATACGCAAACGCATCCACCAAGACTTCTGCATGTTTCGCAATCGGATTCTCAATGGCCTTGAGCGCTTCAATCGCCGCTTCTGCATCTTCTTGCTTACCAACAAACAACAATGCCAACCCTAGAACCATGAAGCGTGTCCATTTGTCAGATAATTGCTCATCCGTCCTGTCCATCAATGTCAACAAGATGCTACTTGTAATCTCGCCATGACATGATCCAGCAAATACCAAACCGAGCGACAAGGCAGCAAACGCCGATAACTCCATCGAGATGTCTGTGTCTGTGACGGTATCGAGCAGTAATTCGCAGATATCTTCACGTTGAGAGCCAGCATAGGCGAGTCCCAGAGCAATCATGGCATTCAGCCTCAATCTGACACTCGAGCTCTCAAGCGGTTCAGCGAGTAGTGCCAGTGCTGGATCACTTTCATGGTGAACGCCATTTGAGAGGATCCCCACAGCTAGCAGTGCACCAGCTTTGATGTACTCTTCATCAGAGTAGAGATATTTATCAATGTGGGCCAACCCAGCATCGACATCCCAAAGCGTGAGTAGTCCAATGGAAGCAGTCGCGGATGTTTGTCCTGCATCTTTCGTCTTGTAGATCCAGCTCGTATTCTCCTCTTCCGTCAAGAGCAACTTGTCACTACCGTAACCCGCATTCACAAAGGCATTCACAAACGTACTTGCGAGATTTTGTTTTGCTGAATCAACGGAGCCAGCTGCAAAGACGGACTTTGTTGGTTCAAGATGAGACTTGTAGATGTCTTCAGGAACGCGTGGATCCGTCAGGGAGAGATCATTGCACGCTGCTTTGTAGTACTCGCTCAACCTGGCATTACGCAATGCTTCATCCAAGGGAACCATGTCAGGGTCATCTTCTTGCATCCAGATGGAGGAACGCGCAAGGATAAAGGCCATTTGCTTTTTTGTCGTTTCGTCACTACAAGCGTCCATGGTTTCTTGAATCAATGCATGGTCGTCCAATCGAATCGCCAAGAGAATAGCAGATGGATACTCGCCTTGTTGTAGGTAGATTCTGTGGGCTGTTCGTAAAAAGGCAACATCGTCAGGTGGCGCGAGCAAGCTGACGCAACTGACGATATACAAGCATACTTTTGCAAAAGACTCCTTATCCACCATTGTAGCAAGCGATTCGATGGATTCCACTTCAAGCAGCAAATCAACTGCATCCGCTTCTGCATTGTGCGATAGGAAGAAGGGTACGATTTGTAGGGCGAGTTGCAAAAGTTCCTCACTCGACTCTTCCTTCTCTAGACGATCTGCGCGCTCTTCACCAATTTCAGTTGCCAAGTGTCGGACATATTCGTGGCCCCAGGAACCGGGATCATCGAGGGGACACGCAAGTCTGTAGCGCAAACAAGCGCGTTTGCCATCTGGATACGTCATGGCGAGGACGGAGAGGACATCGCCTAGTGATTGCTTGAGACTGTTTTGCGGCCATCTGTCATAGGCTGCTTGTAGGTCCTGGTAGTGTGGTCGTAGGAATTTGAGTCTAGTAAAGCGTTAGTATGCATTTCTTAAGTGACGCGTGTGCGCGAGGCAGGCATACGGTTTCGGGACGGCAGTCATGGATGAGGTTGATGTTCGAATATGCGTACCAAGCTGATCAATGGCAGCTTGATGCAAATCCACTTGATCTTCCTTCAGCCGTTCCACGAGCATCTCGAGGTCTGCTTTGAGCGCGGCATCTTCTTCACTCAATTCAACTTCCTCTTTCTCCTTCTTCTTGCCCTTGCTTGTGGATGATTTGGGGAGTTGCCCGTTCTTGAGTTTCTCCTCCTGCTTGACCTCTTGCTGGGCCGGCTTATCTGTGCTGGCTGCCATGGCCGGGCGCTGCTTTCTCTTGGACTTGGTAGCTGCTCTGCTGCGTGTAGTCGACGACGCGCAATCCACGCAGAGAAAGAGCGAAATTTAGCCGAACCAGCTTCACACTCTCTAGTCTCTACATTCTCTACATATTCAAACTCAGCTTATGCTCAGCTCAGGCTTGACTTGTAGCAAGAATGTCTGCTGTTGGCTGTAACGAGTCATGATTTGCAGTGAGCAACCAACAGAGTGATGTGCTCGTGAAGGCTTCTCTAATTGATGCTTGAAGCTGCCAAAACTGCTCGTCTTGATGCGGCTGTTGTCTAGCTTCCTTGGTAGTATGGTCAACTCTCTGTACTAGCTTACACATTGCTGCTTCTCAGGCACATCATTCAGTCGGTCATAAGGGAGATGTCCGGAGATCTAATGAGTTGTATGCTTGGATTCCGATGAGTATATCGCTCGCATGTCTAGTCAGAGGCCTGCTCGAAAGTGCAGCATACCATCTCTGGATACAGTCTCCATCTCTCAATGTCTTTCATGGGTTGTCCCTTCATCCTCACTTTTCGCATGCAGACAGATATGTCAGCGTTGACATCAGCTTCAAGTTTACAGTCCAATCAATTTCTTCGGATTGGCCAACGTGATGCTACCACCGTATCAGACTTGACCGGCCTCTTATCCGCTCCTAAATCTAGGAGTGACGAGCGTACGCGAGCGGCAAGATGTTACATCGCATATTCACAGGCAAGGTTTTACCCCTGACAGAGACAGGCCGGATAAGAAAGAGTGCAAAAGACGCTCTTCCCTTATTCTCGTTCCACTTTCTTTGCATCAAGTGTATTGACACTGCTGAGAGTGTCCGATGACGCAGTCTATGCAGCCCAACTTCAACACCTTTCACAACGCTCACAAGACATTGATCTCGACCGTGCTCGTCTGTTTGGCGTTCTGGGCCTCTACCTTACGACCCATTGCTGCAAGGACGGGCAACTGCAAAACTCTTGCCCTTGCCTTCGCGACAGACTTCAACATCACAGCTCCACCATCAGATGTTCCCCTTTATCACATTTGCAGTAAGAAGTGCAGCGCATTGCAACTCGAACTGGTTCAGTACCTGATGAACAATCCGAAAGAGGATGTCTGTAAAAAAGGGACGGCAGGTGGTGTGTGCAAGCTTGATCACTACTCAAAAGTGCTCAGTCATCATATTGTGGCTAATACGAGTGATCGATTCGCTCATTGTCACTGTACTGCCCTTGTCTCGTATCTGCGCATCAAAGATCACGAGGTAGATGGCATCAGCTGCTCAGCCTACATGATACGCGATCGTCTGCTGGGTGACAAAGGTATCTCTGTTAATGGTATAACCTGGCAAGGTGGTCAACGTAAGGGACGCACACTGAAGACTTTCGATTACGGAATAGCATGCCTACAACACCGCGGAACCGAGCAATGTTTGTCTGATGGCACCTGTCTACAGCAACTCAAGCATAAAAAGGCACATTGGCCACCGTGGGGTCACTTCGTTGACACGGTTTGCGACGTTCCATTCTTGGGCGCCTGGGACGATCCGAGGTATGATGGTGAACGGGTCAATGAGTGAGAGTCATGTTATGCTTGTAGTGGTTGTGGCGGCATTGAAAGGTAACGTGCGCCCTCTGCCAGCTCGGAACGGGCCGTCTTTATAGCGCAGCATCGCAGCATCGAAGTAGCTATGGAAATTCACTACAAACTGTGACAGCTTTCTTTTCGAGGCATCTGAAGGGGAGACTGGGTCGACGACACGCAAATCAACTGCACTTGGACCAGACTTCTGTGACATCAATTGACTTCGCAGCAGCTATTCAATGCCGAGGCCTTGGAGCTCCAACACTTAGCTTGTATCTATCTGTGTTTTGACCTGATCACTGCGTGAGTTTGAGCTTCTCTACTTCAGCTGTCGAGATCACCAGCCAGGCAATTCCTGTGCCTTCGCTGCGCTCATGTCATTACCTTGGTCGAGAGCCTCTCATGACGTTTCTTTGACATACAAGGACAAGCCTGTACGACGAAAATGGTCCCTGCAGACACCAACGCTACGGCTTGATAAGGCCTACAAACGTGTGGTCTTAATGCTACTATGCTGTACTGGCATATGGTTCCTGTTTGCACAGGACTGGAGATATACAGATGATTTAAATGGCTTCTACACAAGCTATGAGAGTGATGCGTATGTTGTCGACGAGAAACTTATCAAAGATCGCTTCTCGCAAAGCGTCAAAGAAGTCGGCCGACCTCGAGGCTTGTTGGGCTTGCACAATACGCTTTTTGTTCTTGAAGATTTGACGTCTGTAGATGCAAATCTGGTTCAAATTGCTTGTCGAATGGCTCGAAACCCCGCGTCTCAGACTGCTGTTCACATTTTGATTCTGGGGAGTGGGTCTCTGTCTGTTGATACCTATCGCAGGATTCACGCTCTTAACGAGCAAGAGTGTCCAATCACCTTTCATGACGGTCGATCAAGTGTCTCTGATGTCAAAGTAAAAGGATTGCAAGCTCTTGTATCCTACAGTTTCAATCACGTCAAGGTAGCCATCAAGCACCTCCCACCCAACGTCATCCTCTACTCACATTCAAGGCAATCACCAAAGCCGGAATACTTTCTTCATGCCATGCGACATGCCACTGATCACATCACACGCATTGTGTTGGCACCCGAAAGCATCAGGCAACACGGCTGGCTCGCACTCCTCTCGCCTCGAGCTCTGCGAAGCTGGCATCTTCCCCGGATCCAGATCCTCGTTACGTGTCACGATAGCTTGCAGCTTGGCAATTTGTTCACATCCTTGCTACATACTGATTACGGCGACGCTGATGATCGACCGTTGCTACAGTTGACACTTGCACCGGATGCATCCACCACGACGATTCAGGCAGCTATGAATATGGTTTCTGCGTGGCCAAAGGATCTGCTCAGTGTACGAAAATTGTTTAGACCGAGTCCATTGAGCTTTCTTGAGGAGACTTATCCACTAGACAAGTCAACCTTTACGGTGCTGTTGCCTGAAGATGCAGAGCTCAGCAAACATTGGTACATGTACACCAAGTACATGATACTGCGCTATATCATGGGCGAGGACGGTAATGAAAGAGATCGTGCTTCACATACCTATGGGCTAGCACTTGAGCCTTGTCGACCCATCGGAGACGTGGCTGTTCACGGTGCCGAGACGAATAAACCCTTTCATTTGAGCGCCTCGGCTATCGAGTCGCCCATGGTCTTCTTTCCATCTGCGGTGCGTCAGCTCCACAAGACGGTGCAAGACTACCTAGCATCTGGCATATCAGCAGAGGCTATCAATCTGGGCGAAGTATATGAACGGATACTGAACCATACGAGGGATACGCTACTATGTCCGCCGTCTTTTCAGGCAGAGTCTACACGACAGACTGCACTGGCCAAGTCGCTAAACGTGCATGATGATGCTGCCGTAAGCGACAATCTGTCAGCGCCGCCTGTGGACAATGTCGACTTGCTCACTGATGAATCATGGTGGGAGCGTATGGGCCCAATAGACTCGCATGCTCTATCAGACTGGAGCCATCTCGCGCTCTTTGATAGCGACGGCCTTCGCCAGACCATGCAAGAGTTTTGGCCAAGTGGTTCTTCATAGCATTATTGTACTCATTTGTACTAGCACATCATCACCATGCTCTTCCAGCTTCCTTTTGTACACATTGCTTGAATGCTGCAAACTCAGCTGCGCACTTGTCCTTGGTGACATCATGCATCGTCGCAAGGATGCATTCTCCGTAGCGTGAGCCCTGGTTGTCAGCTTCATTTGGGTGTTCAAAAGCAATGTACTTGAGCAGAGCAGCTTCCAATGGACTTTGCAAGACGGGCCATGGGCTTTGTAGGTTTCTTGGCAATGGAAGACATGTTGTAGCTTGGGTGGAAGTTGTTCGAGTGTTTGTCGGACTCTCGTCGCGACTTTTACTGTGGCGACCAAGACACCGCGCATCCACTGAGCAGTGAGCAGAACGGCGTTTCTATAGAGCCAGGCTCGTCAGCGCAAGTCGCAGTCATGGCGGATGACACGCCGTCTGCAATGAATGATCCAGACGCGACGATCCTCGACGGAAGCAGCAGTGTATGTCTACGGCCCATTCTGCGCATTCACTAATATAAGGAGGATGAAGTACTGGACGTGCAGTCATCCGAAGAGCGTCTCAAGCGTCTTCGTGCACAGGAAAATAGATTATATTCGAAGGTCGATGCGCAAGACGCGCCCTTGGATGCGCAATCTATCGCTCGACCCTCAAAGGCGCTCGTTGTGGATCTCGACCAAGTTGCAGGACCCTCTGCAATCACGCTGTCATCGCCTCCAGAGACGAGTCGCAAACGAAAACGATCCATCATCAGGGAGACTGCTGGACCATCCCTCATCACTATTGGTAGCTCACCATCGGCCCCTAGTTCGCCAGAGGTATACTACCAAGACGTCATTGATGTCGATGCGCCTATCGACATTGGCTCTGACACCGAAGATGAAGATGAGAATCCGCAAGACGATGATGCTATGAATGCCGGTAATGTGCACATCGGTCACCTTCGCACTAGAATCGCAGGTTGCAATCACTATCACGGCCGAGTGACGCCAGGCGAGCAAGTGAAACTCGTTCGGCAGCCTCAGAACCAGTATGATTCGAATGCCGTCCAAGTTCTCAACATGGCTGCTCAACAAGTCGGTCACCTCCCTCGCGGCATTGCACGAGGTGCAGCGCCATTTATGGATCAACACGTTTGTCATTTGGAAGCAGCTGTGCTTGGCCACAGGCAAGCATATTCCATCCCACTCATTATCGACGTCTTTGCCCATCCTTCCATTGCGGAACCTTTGAAGACCGCTTTGGCGCGCGCAGGTTTGGTTTTGATAGCAGGTGACGCTGAAGCTCGGTCCAACAAAGAACCAGCTAGACCCGAGCAAATTATCAACCTCGACATACCGCACGATGCTATTACCATCGACGAGATCAATGCTGAGGCCATTGCAGTCAATACGCAATCAGCTAATGCCTTGCTGGATCAGCTCTCAGAGAAAGCTGTTGACCTCTTCAAGATGCGAAAGGCTGTACAGCCGTCAAGACTTAAGACTCAGTTGCTTGGCTATCAGTTGCAAGGCTTGAGATGGATGATTGAGAAAGAAAATCCGGTACTGCCTTCAGGGGCGACTGTGGCGCAAGGATGGAAACAGATTCGGGGCGCTTACGTCAACATTGTTACGCAGTTTACGACTGATACGCCTCCAAAGCTAGCTCGAGGCGGTTTACTAAGTGATGACATGGGACTCGGCAAGACTCTACAGATTCTGTCACTCATTGCGGCTGAGGCCGAGTCTGCGCCTGATGTCTACACTGAATTCGCTAAAGGAGCAACCCTTCTGATATGCCCGACATCGCTTATGTCAAATTGGCGAGATCAAGCTGCAGAGCACTTCAAGGGTGATTCGAAGCTCAAGATTTTGATCTATCACGGCACAGACAAACCACGAAAGAAGCATCTCGAGCGCGCTGAACTCGTTCTTACGACGTATGGCACAGTTGCCAATGAATTTGCCAGAAAGGACAAGATGGAAACGACTGGCTTGCTGGACGTGCAGTGGAAACGAATCGTGCTGGATGAATCGCACAAGATTCGCAATGCCAATGCCCAATCTTGTAAAGCAGTGACTGCTTTGAAGAGTGCTTCTCGATGGTGCTTGTCTGGAACACCCATCGTCAATACCTTCAACGACTTGGCTGGCATTTTGCGTTTCTTACGCTACACCGGTGGCCTTGAGGATCCCAAGCTCTTCAATTCGACATTGACACGCAAGCTGCTGAGCAGAAGCCCAGAAGTTCGCTTGGAAGCAGGCAAATTACTTCGCATTATCATGCAAGACTTGTCCTTGAGACGACGTAAAGATATGGAAGTGGATGGAAAACCCCTTGTCGCATTACCACCCATTCAGGAATTCATCCACAAGATGCCATTCGCAAGCAAAACGGAAGAAGACATGTACGAGTTGCTGCAGAAGCAAGCAAAAGGCCTGTTGGTCGATGCGCAGGGTGGTGAGTTCAAGTCGGGTGCCATTCTGGAAATCTTACTACGGATGCGTCAGGCTGCCAATTGTTTGTCCCTAGTGGGCGAGAATCGTCTTGCTGCCTTGGAAGCCTTGGAGACACAAGACATTGTCAACTTCACCCCAGAGAATATCAAGGCTCTTCACACGCTACTGCAAGTCTCTGTGGATGCAGCGGACGAATGCCCAATCTGCATGGAGGTGCTCATGGCTGAAGGTCGTATCCCGCAAATAACAGCTTGCAAGCACGTCTTTTGCAGGGATTGCATTTCAGAGACCATCAAAAATCAAGGGACGTGTCCATTGTGCCGTGCTGCTCTAACCTTGAATCAGCTACTTGGCCTACCGGACTGCAAGTCTGAGAAGAAGACCATCGGAAAGGGTGAATCTACCAAGCTATCAGAGCTGCTCAAGATTTTGCACGCTTCGCATCGCAAGGATACAACCACTAAGACGATTGTCTTCTCTCAGTGGACAAAGTTTTTGGACCTGATTGAGCCTCAGCTCAAGACGGCTGGACTTGCCTTTACGCGCATTGATGGAACGATGACTGTCAAGCAACGTGATGCAGCCATTAATAGACTTGGCAAAGATCCCAAGACGACCATCATGCTGGCATCGCTCAGTGTTGCTTCTGTTGGCTTGAATCTAGTCATGGCCAATCAAGTCATTCTTTGTGATCCATGGTGGGCACCTGCTGTTGAGGATCAAAGCATCTCGCGCGTGTATCGACTCGGGCAGAAGCGTCCCGTGACAATCTACAAGCTCGTCATGTCAGACACAATCGAGGAACGCGTCTTGGCCATCCAAGAACGGAAGCGCGAGATGGCTAAAACGAGTGGCACGCATGAAACGCGCGCACAGGCAGCACAGACGCGTAGGCGTGATATTGAGGCGCTTCTTGCGGATTAGTGTCCGTTGTTCTGCTCTACTTTCCAGCGTAGCGCTTGCAAACCAGTTCTCGCAGGAACACATGACTGTTCCTACCTAGGTAGCCCTTTTACCTCTGACACCAATTGCTCTCGCGATGGAGGATTGTCCGCATGTTCGAACTGCGTCTGCAACATTAAATCATGCATAACCCATGGTCAGCATGGATGCCTTGCATCGTGAGTCTTACTCGTGACTAAGACGACCGAACACGCATACTGAAACACTGCGATTGTGGAAGATCAACTTCGGCATTGCGATCTGAGTGCTATGGCTCAGAGAGAGATACTTAATCTAATCTGAGGTTGAGGTAATGTGACTTGAAATCTGCCTGACGTAAGCTGGAGGCGCACTGCTCTGCGCAGTCCAATCAGCGGACCGTCAACCATCGGCAGACATCCTTGCTCAATCACCACTCAGCTCTTGGGTCTTCGACGCACAACCTTTCACAAGCCTTTGGTGCAAAGAATCGTCTTGATAGAACGCGAACGAATATGTCCTTAGGTCGGTTGGTCCCCGTATGCTGTACCTCCAATATTCCGGCCGAGGTCAAAGATCTCTGATAGATATTGCGGTAGCTGACTATCTAGACTCTTGATCGATTCATTACGCTCAACCAAGATTACCATGATGTGATGCTGACGTACTTCGTCTTCATTGATGACCTCAGCAAAACGTACACCACGGAAGCAGAGATTGGGTCGAATAAACCTAGCGTGGATTGCTCGCCTTTTGACAATCAATCTCCTCAAGCGTGCTTTGAGCTACTGATGCGCTTGAAACGAGACACTGATTCTGACATCGATTGCACTACTTTTGTCATCCTGGATGATCGATCAGTTGAAGATGAAACGGTCTTGCTAGTTGTTGGGCCTGAGACGGATCAAGAAGAGACTCTTTTTGTTCGTGCATCATTTGAGATTGCTAATTATCGAACGTCTGGGTACCAGATCGCAGAGGCGGATATAACTGCAGATCAGCACGCGGCGAACAATTCTGTTGATGGAGTGCTTCGCCGCGAGAATTGTCCGTCTTTGTGAAAGTCTCAAATTAATCTATAAGGTTCATCAGCAGTTTGATGATATATAGAAACAGATTATGTGCAAATGATCTTTGCCCAGTTGTCTTTGTAACGAGGTTGACAGGAGAGAAGATGTCAGCGTTTACTATGACAGCGCCGGATACATTGCCATAACAAAGCTCTCACACAAGCAGCCTATCCGATCGATGCAAACGAGCAACCTTGGCCAGCAGGTGATGATGGAGTAGCTTCTGACTTCGCTGACTGCGCTTTCAACATCAACGATGTCTGCATCCTTGGTCATCGTTCCAAGCTGTGTTTTGTTCAAGCAGCATACGCGGCCTGGCTTCCCGTGCAGATAACAATTTCTGAGAATTGGTAGATTGTTGATTCAGCCTGCACGGAGCCTCAAAGTAAGAGTCACATCACAACATATAGGACTGCAAGGTGCATGCATATCCGCAATTGCGACTCAGATTTGTGCGGTGCCTCAATGAAAGCCCATGCAGCTGTCGCGTGCCATTTGCCAAGGACATGGACCGCTCGATTGTCAGACAACGAGCAACACCAGTACATTTCCTAACATCACACGTGTGATTTTGGATATCATAGCCTCGCTCATTGTGGGCACCCCTGAATCAATTCTCCATCCAAAAAATTGTGTTCTTTCCGAGGGCGAATCCAGGCCCGGCAAATCAAGTTTCATCCCTCACAACGCTGTGCAGCTCGTCTTACACTTGAAGATTCCGCTTGAGGTGAAAATAGAGGCTATCCTGATTAGGAACACTTGCCTGAGAAGTTGAACACGGGCCAGCAATGACCCACTCCATTCTATTAGCTCGTAAATATCGCTTGCATGCATATACATGCATCGTGTTGCAACACAAATCTCCATCACGGAACACTTTGCATCCGTCCAGCAAAAATGCTACACGCGTGTCTCCAAGCTACTGCACCTGTCTTCCGGATTCATCTCCATCCGAAGCAGACAACCCCTGAAAGACTTACTATATAAAGGCGCTCTAGCCCAAAATCCCTCATTCCTCAACAATCTCTGAAACCAAGGTACAGCGAAAGCCATTAATCCGTGTGAGATTATCGAATGATCACTTGCTGACAAGCATTTAGAAGCAATGCGAACCGCGACACTATGGACAATCGGCCTGGTGCTTCAAGGTATAAACATGGCCTCTTTGGTTTCTGGCATTCCTGCATCAAAGGGCATGGTCAACACCAAAGAGTGAGTGACTCTCTGTCTCAAATATCAACATATCCTGACTGATTTTTTAGTGGATCTACAAAATCGGGGGGGGGGGGGGGGGGGGGGGGGGGTCCGATTGCAGCGTGATCCTCCGTCTCTGCGCTTGCCACTATGAGGGCACCCCGCATGCAATACCAGGGTGTGGTGACGAATGGCATAGGCAGTGCTGTTCCTAGCCTCCACTCTCTACGTAGATCCAAGAGCACTGCGTTGTCAACCAATTCTAGGCTTCGTTGCTCGTCGTACCGCGGACATATTCAGCCTTTGCTTCACCATAGACTTGACCCATCTCTTCTTTTAACTTCATCTGACGTCAGTCTGCTTGTAGCCGCAAAAAAAATGGAACTCTGACAAGGGCTTGTACGAAGGCAGTAAACGTTTGCGTGCCGATGGATACGTAGCTTCAGCTGTGACAAAGACCTCAAGTCCACACTCAAGACTACTTGACTGTTGACAAGAAGCAAGAAGCTAGCCACTTGAGTTCAAGGAAAGTGCACATTCTGTATCTGCCACCGCCATTGAAGTGGTTGGTTGCTGTGATGACGCTTCTCCACATCAGACTCAACCAAGAAACCGACCAAAGTCGCAAAACAACACATCAAACGGCCTCAGGCTATCGGCAGCAGCAGCAAGAGCAAGCGAGCAAGCACCTTCAATGCTATGAGCGCCATTGAGTGCACCGATATTGATCACATCGACAAGGGCAATCTCGTTGTCTCGCTCCTCATCTCAGCCGGCATCATCCTCTCCTACCTTCCGCAACACCTGCGTATTCGCCGCCTGCGCACATCAGAGGGACTCTCACCCTTCTTCCTACTTCTTGGTGTCACGTCCTGTACCAATTCTCTCATCAATATCGCCGTCCTACAATGGAATGTGCTTCGTTGCTGCAGCGTCCTTTCATCCGGCGTCTGTTTCGCGAATTCACTTGGTGTCGTCCAGCTCTTACTGCAATGGATCATGTTCACGACGACAGTAGTCTTGTTTTTGATTTACTTTCCACGACCGCGATACTTCCCACAACAAGCGACTGTGCCAACAAGTGCAGCGAGTAGCAATACATCGAGCTCGCAAGCACGTCAAGGAACACCGGTCCCTGTTGCGCGGCATGTACCCCGCCATACATCGCTTGCTTGGAATATATCACTGGGTGTGTCCTTGGTGGCATTGGCGCACTTCATCACCTTTACTGCCATCTCACTCTCCTTTCTACGGAAATCAGCGACGAGAGAACGTGCCATTGTCTGGGCGAATTGGTTGGGTGGTACGGCGATGGTACTATCAGCCTGTCAGTATCTACCACAGATCCTCACTACGCTGAAACGGAAATCAGCAGGTAGTTTGTCCACGACGACCCTTGCAGTACAAGCACCGGGGAGTTTCTTGTTTGCCTGGAGTATTGCTCAACGACCCGGCGTTCGGTGGTCCAGCTGGGTTTTGTTTCTGGTCACGGGTGCGTTACAGTGTGCTTTGCTTTCCATCTGTCTCTATTACCGCAGCAAGAGCAAGTTCAAATGGGGTGAGCGCCGGCAAATTGAGCGGGAACGTCGACAACGTGAGCTCGATGAAGAAGAAGACTCGCGGACAAGATTACTCAATGAGCAAACGATGGACGAGGAGCCAGAAGATGTTGTTGAGCGGTCTGGGTATATCAGCCCTTAAGGCAGCTCTTCATGCATGTATATGTTCTCGGCTTTGTATTCTATGGCACAAGCTCACTCAAATCAGGTCTTCTTCTGACTCTGACAAGTCATCCAGCAACACAGCTTCAAGTCTGCTGAGACCCTGCTCTGGTGCTTTCTTTGCTGGACTTGGCAACTGCGCCCACGAAGGCACAAACACGCCGTCCGTGGAGAAGAAGGCATTCTTCTTCTCCGCACATCTTTCTGCTTGCTGCACACGCTTTTCAAGGCTTTTGTCTGTACGCTGTCGTTTCGGCTGCTGTACGACCTGTGTGCTCGATTTGGCCGCCTCAGGGACATCCGAACTCGAGAGCTCAATCACGTCTCTATCCACTCGAGACATCACTTTCTGTGCCTCAGACTCGATAGGGGTGTGTGAGATATCGAGTGACCTTTTCTTTGTAGCAAAGACGCTTGGGTCAAAGGTGCGTTTGCGTCGTCGACCAGGAGCTTGTGCTTTTACAAGTGACGTGGAATCTTCACATGCACGTTTGTACTGAGCTTCAGCATCAGCAATGTAGAGCTGCTTCTTTTGCGGTGCTGCGGCTTTGGCAGTCGTTCGAGTGTGCTCTTCCAATCGCGATGAGGAGGTTGTACGAGGAGTAGGCTTACTGGGTCCATCATCACCCATGGCTTCAAGCAGATCTGCGTCAGACAGCCACGTCTCCTCATTCAAAAACTCATCTCCAACCGGCAGCAGCGATGGCAGCTGTAGTCTCGGAGCAGTGAACGCAGGTCTATTGGCACGCCTTCCAAAAGGTCTGTGCAGGACTGGCGAAGAGGTTGGTTGATCTAGCAAACGCTTTGGATTACGCGAGAATGGCAAGATAGGCTCACTCGTTATTGCGGGTGGACTTGATACGCGACTGACGTGCCCTTGATCTGGTGCGTATGATGGATGCTGGGAGGATGAGAACCAGTGACTTTGCTGATTATAGTCTAGAGGTGGACACTCTGAGTCGTCTGCCTTCTCGTATGCCATACTCTTGTTCACCTTGTCGTCAACATAGCTGCCTCGTTGATTGTCGTATCCTCCAAGGTCTTGTAGCGGCGAGCGCCCCTGGGAAGCATGATCGTCTGTAGGATGGTGTCTGAAGCGCGACAAGTCCAGTCCCTTGCCTGCCGTGTTGTATTCATCAGGGACACACGATCTGACTTTACGATAGTCATACGTCTGCTGCTGCGCCTGCTTCGCTGGCTGGACTTTCGAGAGTCCTACTTCATCCTGTGAGTACGTTAGAGATGGCAATGCACGAGTGTCTGTGGGTGGTACCTGTAGGCTGTTGAAGCGAGCGTTCAGGGAGCGCTTAGCGCCACGGAAGGGCATTGAGCAGGATGAAGATGTAAGGTGAGCTTCAAGTGTGAGGCCACAGCAAGTTGTTCACTTGACGGACGGTATGGATGAGCAGGAGAAAGAGTCTTGGGATCTGCTCCATCACTATCTTTCACGGGATATTCTAAAGCTTGCGAGATGCAGACTAGCAAAGCAGGAGCCATGACTGGCAGTGGAAATCAGCAGGCAAAGCATGGCAGTGGCAGGATCTCTGCGTATGTAGGCTGCAGTATGAATGCAGTTGCGAGTGATTGAAGTTGTTTCGCTGGGCGCAGGACACTCACCAGAAGCTTCAGTAACCACCTGAGAGCAACGACGATTGAACATGAGCAAGAAGCGTGCTGCAGACCAGTGCGTGCGGCATCAGAGCCGTCGCATGTGATACCCGGACTCTTAATCATACGAACGCGGGTGTGCCGATGACGTCCCTTGCGAGTCGCAGTGTATGGTCGACAGGAAGCACAAAGCGATGTTGTAGGAGGAAACAAATGCAGCTGGTAAGGAATATAGCGCATGAGTTCGCTGCAAGTAGGCGATGGAGCGCACAGCCGAGTCGCAGCAAGCAATGGAACGCATAGTCAAGGTTCAGCACACTGTCAAGTCGCAGCAGGTGAGCAATGAAGCGCAGAGCAATGCAACAAAGTAACGCAGTACAGAATCAAATCGCAGCAGAGGATTCAGGTGCGATGGCCATGCTTCACAGCAAACAAAGCACACAAAAAGGTCGCTGTGTTCTCTTTGGGTCAACCCACCCTGGAAGCTTCAGATGGGCGGCATGGGTATCTCATCGAATCACAAAACTACAACTTGGCTCGGAAACGCTACGCGCCGCAGTACCGGGATAATCCACTGGTCACAACGTAACCCGGAACGAACTAACTGTAAATGTGTGTCTCAAGTTATAGCTAAGGCATCGAAAAGTTGACTATCGACTATTGTGGGGATAGACGCACTCGCTCTGAGTTGAACGGGTCTGATAGAGCAATCTTTGCGTTTGGTATCCTGACCGGTTTAGAGATCACCAGCAGGCACTGGATCCTGAAGACCCTTCGATGTTGATTTTGAACTGAAGCTCCTTCGTATGATCATTCGCCTCCAACTGCTTCTTCAAGTTTGCGACGGCATCCTTTTGACCATCTTGTGTAGACAGACAAGAACTCTGCGTATACGTTATATCAACGTTGCACGCGCACTGCGTGTCATCCGATTTTTTATCGTCGTAACTTGGATCAAAGAAAAATTCCTCTTGAGGCTTGTTGTCAAGTTTTAGTTTATGAAACTACGGTGTTTTCGGCTACTACCAATGGCAGTCTACCACGACTCCCTACGCAACCTGCAGCAGAGAGCCGCGGGCACAAACAACGTCAGAGTAAGACCCCTCGCTCAATGGGCCTACCTCTAAGCACTTAAGCTTTCAGTGTAGGCGCGACGTATCGCGCGTTGATCCTCTTGCATACTCCTGTGGCGACCTTGATGGCGAGTCCCGTCTGCTTCGTAAACGGCTGCAAGATGGCATGAAGTATGTCTGTCCCTTGCAGCTCGGGCCAGGCTTGTGAGATCATAGCCTGCTCATCGGCATGATCCGGGCAATCCAGTAAGGCGTGCGCCAGGTCCTCTTTTACTTCGGGTTGGGCGGCAAGAAGGACAGAAGCGAGCTTCGCGAGGGATATTCAGTGTGTCTCTGGCTCTGGACTGCAGCTTTTGGCCTCGGTTGATCATCAAGGAGTCGTCTCCGCATCGCAGTCGGGCAATGAATTGCGCGTTTCTGCCATCTGCCATCGTGTATGGCTTCCTCTGCTTGAAGCTTTCGGAGTCGATGTCTGGCAAGTGTGCGTAGCAAGCTTTTTCTTTGATAGTCTTCTGCCAAGTTGCGTGTTCCTGCATCTACAGCCAGTCGGAGAATTTCACTGGGCAATCTTCCTGATCTTGCGAGAGTCCAGCTTGGTCTGTCAGGGCTTTGACCTGTGCATACCAAGTCTTCTTTCTGGGGAACTTCTCAGCATTGGTCTTCGCCTGGCGCAGAGCTAGGCCCACAATTCTCTCGTCCGCAATGCCCTCCAAGTAGCGTATGTACTTCACCGCGATCTCTCTCATCCTGGCTGCCACTGGGAGCAGCGTCAGGTCGACAGTGCCGATGGCCGACGGCGCTCCTTTGGATAGACCAAGCGCTCTTTTGCAGAATTTGGTTTGCATCGATATCAAGCACTTGCTGTGGGCCAGCGGCGCATCAAACGTAATCTGGGCGCAGAATGCCACATAGCAGTCGACGTAGCTCTTGTACAGCAGTCTCTTGAAGTTGATCGACAGGTGACCGATCACTGGGGTCAGGCTGTGAATTCTGTTGGCCGCCCTTGCTGCGTTGATCGCCATATTGGCAAGATGCTGTTTGCTGGACCACGGGCCATGTGCTTGACTGTCAACTTCAAAGCCGAGATATTTGTACCTGTCACACTTCGAGATATGAGTTACCCCGCCTTCTGCATTGCATAAGGCCAGTGCAAGGCTTATATCCAAGCTCGACTGACGTTGCAACTGCTTGGCACGGAGCAAAGCAGTCTCCTTCAGGCGGTGTCTTGAATTTGAACCTCAGCACCGTGTTGTGAACGCATTGAACAGTGTCTGCTGGCTGGCTGGGGTGTGCCTGCAGCTGTAGAAGCTGCGTGGCAAAAAGCACGATTGTTGTCCAGTGGTGCATGCGTTCGCTCAAGAGGATGCTTTGGATTTGGGTTCTGTCTGCAAGGATTGGCAGTGCGGAAGCTCCTTTTATAATACTTGGAAGAATCATGGCTGTGCTGTGTGCTTGCTTAGATCTCAGGGGCATCGTAAGATTACATGTGGCAATTACCTTCATTCAGAAGAAGTAGCGCAGGTCTCATAGGAGTGTGTTGCAAGATATATGGCAAGCGACGAATCGCTGACTGCCACCTCACGATTAGTATGACAGGTCCCAACTTACTGACGACAGGTCTCAACTTTCTGATGACAGGTCTCAACTTGATGCGAACTCCTGGGTGCGAGCCAGCTAGGCTGAGCTAGCCTCTATTTTTGTCTTTTTGCAATGAGTATTGCCGAGAACGAAGCATATTGCTAACAAATGGCACTATGTGCGTGATGCTGATCAAAAGCGGTGCTTTGAGCTGAGCTATGTTATCACTACAGATATGATGGCAGACATCACGGCCAAAGCACTGTCTCGCGACAAGGTGATCAAGTTCCGGAATGCGTTAGACATATGGAACCCAAATGCATGGTGAGGTGAAGGAAGGACAAGTCACTGCTCAGCAAGGCGGAGTCTTAGACATATCAGGGGATGCTAGAGCTGTGACTGCGGACACGTGTGGTCAGGGGCTACTCCTGTATAAGAACACGCTGACGTGTTCATAGGAGAAGCAAGTTGCCAACCTAAAAGAGATTGCACGCTTCCTTGCATCGTCGACTTCTCGTCCCAAGTCTGCATGTGCAATCATCATGCTTGGAATTCTCCCATTTGTCCACAACCGCTTGCTGTAAGAGCAGAAAGTCTGGCTCAGGCTGCCCGCTCAGAATGATGCTCTGCGAAAGATTCTTCTTCCACGACTGCCAAGAGGGTGGCAAAGCTGCCAAAAGGATTGCACGCTTCCTTGCATTGTCGACTTCTCGTCCCAAAATGGCAAGATCAGCAAATGCTGCTTTTGGCAGCTTTGCCACCCTCTTGGCAGTCGTGGAAGAGGAACCTTTCTCAGAGCATCATTCTGAGCGGGCAGCCTGAGCCAGACTTTCTGCTCTTACAGCAAGCCGTTGTGGACAACTGGGAGAACTCCAAGCATGATGATGCCGCTGGTGTTGTGGCTAGCAGTCCAATGGCTATGGTGGCTGATGGTGCCGTGCCGAGGTGCTGGAAGTGCGGCAAATCTGAGCACAGAAGGTCTCAGTGAAAGAGAAAGACCGGGAGTAGCAAGAGCAAGAAGGTGCTCCAGTTAGCGGCCACACCTGCTGCTGGCAGCGATAGTGAATACTTCTACTCTTGCTCTGGTCTGCCTCGGGTGGTGCACGCGCGAATACTGAATATGCACACAGAACAGCAAAGTTTGGCTTGTTGATTCAGGTGCAACGCACCATGTGACGCCAGACCGCAGCAGAGTTCAGGATGTCATGCAAGGCCGTGATTCGGGGTTCATCGCAGTTGGAAATGATGATCGATTGGCTTGCAAGGGAGTGGGACGTGCTAACATCTCGGTCGATGGAGGTATCATGACGTTGACGGGTTGTCTTTACGTGCCAGGCTTATCACACAGTGTGTTGTCTGTCAGCAGGCTGGCAGAGGACGGTTTCCAGGTGTCAATCGAGCTCCAACGATGCTCAGTAGTGCTGAGAGCAATCTTTCGGGCTGCCAAGCAGTCACAGCTCAAGCTTCGTGTATTTTATGAACCGTTTTCGAGTTTCTCGCCTGATTGTATGTACAGTCTGCATATGATTCAGGCAATCACTTTCATCAGGTGGTGCTGGACGGACGGCGTCCTGTAGATTTTAGTTTGGATATCGATTGTTGATGCGTGAGATCGGACAGCCTGCTCTAACTTGTGATTTGGCTTCCTTTGTAGGCAAAGTGGGTAGATGTCTAGATAGATCTAGATGATGCCAAAATATGTCTATGCAAGAGCCGTCTCAATACGCAACTTCAGCTCATCTGCCATGTCAGCCCCTTCCAGGGCCTCCTTGACCACGGCAAGATGAGCAGCCTTGTTCTCAGAGTGACCAAGCTCCTTCTCCTTTCGCAGAGCTTCAAGCACAGCCTCCCAATTACCCATAGACGCATACACGCCTGCCAAAAGTCCCTGTGGTTCGGGATCCGCCGGTGCAGCGAGCACCCACGGCTTGATGTACGCCAATGCATCTTCTAAAGGTGTTGTACTCCCTGCAAGCTTATCACCCACTGGATCTTGATCAATCTTGCGTGCATTGACATCATCCTTCTTTTCTGGCTCTTTTGTAGCATCCTTAGAAACGCGTGCTCTGACTTTTTGGAAACGTTTCTTCTCCTTCTTCTTATCGGCATCGGTTGCATCTGCAGCGTCAAGTGGACCCAGCTTGAGTTCAGGGTGTTGGTGGAGCTGTAACAGAGCACTGACTGCACCTCTGCAAGCACGTTTATACTGACGCGAAGCAAAAACACCTTCACTCCACTGCAATGCTTCGACATAGGCGTCCAACGTCGCCTTGCGGAAGCAATATGTGTGGAAGTCGTAGAGATCATCAAACCAAGTCTGCATCACCTTGCGAACGCTATCAAAGCGTTTGAGCGCTAAGCCCATGTATTTCTGCCGTAGGTAAGAGAGTCCGTCTTCCACTAGGAATTGCAGCGATTGCATTTCCTGTAAGTCACCGATGGCACCGCCACCTAGTGTCGTGTTGGCGAAGAGACTGATGGCGTTGATGGCTTCTGCATTTTGATCGGCACGTAGGTAGTATTTAGTGCATTTGGTGTTGATGAAGCGATCTTGTAGATCAAGCTCCCTTGCCTGGTTCATCTGCTCAGCGGCTTCTTGAACCTTGCCCATATGTTTCAAGATACGTGCTTTGGTGAGATGCAATTCGACGAGCGTAGGTGTGTGGATGACGGCCTCATTGATGAGCTCCATGGCACGATCCAAATTTCGCCGGTAATCATAGGACTGGGCCAAAAAGTAGAGACTCCACAAGACTGACGTGGGCGCTGCATCATGATCATGACCATGGCCATTCGTTGCTTCAACAGGCTTTGTCTTCCATTCTTCAACAAGCCGCTCAACGATTTGTTCCATGGCATCTGCTTTGGCCTTGTCCTTGTAGAGCGCCTTGACATCAACGAATGTAGAGGGAATACCCTTCTGAAGCAGATTGCGCAGATACTCTTCCGCAGAGGATCGGAATGCATCACCTTCAAGCCAATCCAGCGGTAAACGTCTCGCTGCGGTAGATTTGGGATACCGCGATTGCAGCTCGATATAGTGCTTGTGCAACTTGTCTGTATCCTGTATTCTACCCTCTGCATCTCGTAATTGTAGCGCTTTCTCAAGCAGACCATAGTATTGATGTCTATCCGGGTTGCGATCCATGAGTGCTTCATACGTTGTTGCGGCTTCTCCATATTGCTCCAATACTAGTTGATAACGGCCGATTCGCTCTTGAATCTCCAGCTTGTCGAGAATTTGAGAGTCCACTGCCCGAATGTGCGCCAGAGCGCTTGACGTGTCTCCTGACGCTGCAAGGATGGTGTTCTTGAATAGCGTTGTCATACTGTGTTCTGCATTGCGTACCGGTTTAATGGGTAGGTACTGCTCCTCATAGTCATCCAGCACCTTCTCTGCAGCCTTGTAATCCTTGTTCAGGAACAACGCCACAGCATACGCCGTCCAATTACCTCGTTGCTCGGGATTCCGCTTCATCAATTCATTGCGAGACTCACATAATGCAGGGTACAAGCGTAATTGAGACTGAATCACTGCCAAATCCCGTTGAATAACCAAGTTGAAGGGGTCGAGTGAAAGTGCACGAGCATAACATTTGAGTGCCTCTTCCCAATCCTTCTCTGCTCTGTATAGCATGCCGTAGACATGCCAGCATAGATGTGATTTGAGATCACATCGCAGGCCCTTCCGTACACACTCCCAACCTTCGTCCCGCTTATCCATGTTACTCAACAACAAGCCCTTCATGGCTAGTGTCTCTCCGTTCCCAGGAAACTTCTTGAGAACGGAGTCAGCGAGCTTGACACCTTTACTGTACTGCTTGGTCTCATAGGCATGTAGGACTTGCTTGAAGATGAGGGCTGTCGGCCGATCTAGGGCCCTCGCTTCCGACTCGGCTGCTTTGGGAGGCATGATTTGCTATGCAATCCCAAAGACGTTGTCTGTCTTCTGCACAGCGACTGACTGACTGGCCGTATACCCTTGCAGGCCGACTGGAGAGAGTGCTAATTCACTATTGAAGCTCAAGGCTTTCTACGTCGAGTCGCGCGCTAAAAGAAGGCGTGAGACAAATGAACTGCACAACGCGACACTTTCGAATTGTCGACTGCAGATGCGTCAGGATGAGTGAAGCAGGCTAGCATGTTGCTTGCATCTCTTGAGCTTGCCAAAGTAGGAGAAACATAGGCTGAGGCATGCTTGGATCAGAGCCGAAGGAAGAGAATGGAAGAATAGATTGCGGCGATAGAGATACCATCAAAAACAGCGTCTGCTTTGTTGTGTAGTTGCCCTTGTAGCGTTCCTGTGCACCTTCATGCTCGTCGACAGCTGTCAAAGATACCTACGTATGCCTGATGCGCATCGTCTCTGTAGAGGCCGAGAGTATTGCCATCCCATCTGATCTCTATGTCTCCGCGACGACAGGACGTGTGCAGATAGTTGATCGACCGATACTTGCCTGTGCTTTCAGTGACTCTAAGCCTGAAGTAGAGATCAGCAGAGATGGACTTCCTTTCCAATCTCTCGTCGATGGACTCGACGCGGCCGACGCTCTTTGAACTCATCGCACAAGACCAGCTGCGCGACCTCCTCCAACCCGCCATTCGCTATGTCCTCGTATACTACGCCGAACGATATCCGCGCTATCTTCTACGGATCGCAAACTCATCAGATGAACTCTATGCTGTTCTCATGGCGCTAGTTGAGAACCACTTCATTACTCATTTCGGCGGAACGTTTACAGAGAATTTCTATGGCTTGAAGCGGGAGAGAGCGCCGCGTGTTCAGCGGTTGGGCAGAGTCGCAACAGGCGCGCCTGGCGTCTTGTCAAAGATTGTGTCGTTGCGGACACGAGATAGGATCTGGGCTATCACATTGCTTGTGGGAATCCCCTACATCAAGGCCAAGCTGGATGAGCAGTATGAGCTCTATGGAGCCCAAGATCAAGTAGCTCATGGTCAGCCACGGCGCAGACTTGATGAGCTGCCACTCAATGCGACACGCAAGCAACGGATACGCTTCGCCATCAAACAAGCCTTCAAAAAGGCGTATCCGGGCATCAATGCTGTCTACCACATTTCAACCCTCTACTTCAGCCTTGCATACATGTTTGGCTCTTCAGAGTACCATACGCTCTCTCATGCCTTCCTGAGGCAGCGTGTCAGACGACTCGACGGCCAAAATTACAGACGTATTGAAGAAGCCGCTGACGCACCCATCGCTCTACCACCCAACTCATCCCTATCGCCTCTCGCATTCAGCAGAATCCTGATTCCTCGCTTATTCAATACATTGAAGCATCTACTACCACTCGGCATCTTCTTCCTCAAATTCCTCGAATGGTGGAGCGAGTCTGACTTTGCCGCACAATTGGCTCGCAAGACAAGCTCCAATGTAGACCTCCCTGCGCCACCACCTGCATCGATGGCGTCAGAAGAGAACATGGCGTCTGGCACAAAACAATGCCGTATTTGTGGCAAGACGATCGTCAACCCGACAGCTCTGCAAACGGGATATGTGGTTTGCTATGTCTGTGGCTACAAATGGGTCGAGCGGCATGGAACTTGTCCTGTGTCAGGTGTCAGGTTGTTGAATGGCATCAATGGTTTACGAAGGCTAATGATATAGCTACACTATAGCGTGTCTCGCTCTCATATCAAATCAGGCTTGCTCACGTGTCAGTCATTGAGGAAAGGCAAGGATCGTTACCACATGTACCGTTCAGTAGATGTTGGCTCGTCTCATGATTTAAAGGAAAAGGAGACTTGAGAATTATAAAAGACTACGATCGGGCGAACAGTATTTTTTTGTCGGTTTTGTGCTTGACTGAATTGATGCAAAGATTGATGTGGCTCAAATGCTGACGAATGGAGGTGCGTCACCGTGGTCCTCGAGATCCCATGTGCATTTGTTCATCGGTTGGCCGAGCTTGGATGGTTGTTGTGTGTCTGTGTATAGCTTTGCATCTTTGGGGCAGGCACAGTGGCTACTGTCACCTTTGTGGTTCTGGCAGGTCAGAGGCGATTGGTGGACCTTGACCTCGAAACCAGTTTCTTCGCCGCGGACCGTGGTCTTGTTGAACTTTAACCCGTTCAGAAAATCCAAGAAATTCTGTTCATCGCACCTGGAGCCGTCGGCAGCATTACCCTTCACCTGTACCCTCATGAAGACCAAGGCAGACAGGCAGTCGCATTTGGCAACACCGGAGTTGTCAGTGAAGTCAACCATGCGCTTAAATGCGCAAACTCCTTCATACGCCTTTACGCAGGGTGATTCTGACTTGTAGTACAATGCAAGATTCGCATCCAATGTTGCCCAGTATGCTAAATGGGGTTCGCAAAGTTCTTTGCAACTGCTTCCTGTCTCCTTGACAGGGGTGTATCGCTGACCAGCGAAGAACGACGCACACCGTTCTTTTGTCGCCTGACACGGATCAGACAGTGCCAAGAGACTGAGTAAAATGGGAGTGAGGTTCAGCATTCTCTCTTGTTCACAGAAAATCGCTCGTTGTTTCAACCTTGGCTAATCCTGATGGCCGAAGAGCCGGTCTTTATAGTCTCAGGCAGCCCTGAATCAGTAAAATCTCGCACCCGAAAATGCTTTACCCCTTATGTGGTTAGTTTTTGAGCACTTGGTCCAATAGAAGCGCCATATCAGTCCATGCGGACCCGGCCGTTCCGAATCATTGGCCAGTCTGAACGCTCATCCTCGTGATAACGTCTCATCTTGGAGCTAACATGTGGTGTAGCAACCCAAACAAGCGCTTAGACTGCGCTCGCTCTCGCAAATACGCGATGTCACAAAGTTCTCCTTGGCTAGTAGCAAGTTGTGACAAAGCTTATTTGTTCCGGTCGGTTGGCTCGTATCTGATGTCGATACAGTACTCCTAGACATCTGGAGAGCGTAAAATAAGATTGCACGACTGCTGATCGTAAAGTCATCTGACACGATGGCGCGAGATGTCCTTATTTCGCGGCTCTGCCACCGATAACATGGGCAGTCGCCGTGAAAGAGATGACTCCAGCTGAGGAAGCCTTGTGCAGAGGGAGCAGACTGACTCGTTGAGAAGGGATCGATCCCCTTGAAAGTAAGAAGGTCGACTTGTCTGTTGAGGTCGGGAAGCAGCTCTGGTGTGGCTCGCACAGTCTCGCGTGGTCCCCTGAGACGACTGTTTGACAATTTGGGGTGAGATGTGAGGTCATATTGGTAGACACAAGTCCGAGCACCTCTAAAAGCGCCCTCCATTGTTTGCGACGATGTGATGGGACCTCGGCTATAGCTTGATGGGTACCCGGCAGTACTTGGACCTCGGTTTCTTGGCTACCGCCAACAGAAGTTGCCAGTGAGAGTTTGTACTTGAGAGGAGTCTGAGTGTCACGTAGCTACTCAGCCGAAGGACAGTATGCAGATGTCTGATTAGCCGCAGGCACTACGGAGCCAAGGGCAGTCTCGAGGTCTGGCTCAACTTCAACCGGGGTAGAAGTAGCCATAGAGCACAGCAGTGACATGAGTCAGCATTCATTCAGACAGGGCAGCTGATTTTCGTCACTGTCAAGCATGATCAAGTAGGCTTGCAGTTGAGCAGCGTCGTGGACTCGTGGCTACAGTAGCTTGCAATTCCCTAACCTCAGCGGCCCGTCCTTCCTGTGGGGTGTTCGAGCCACCACCCAACGGGCGGATAGTGAAGGATTCGGAAGGAGATGGTGCTTGGCTTTGCTACAAGATGGGCCAGGCGCTGTAAGGCTGTGAGCTTTCAATTCCAATATATCATCCTACTACTACTGCTATAGCTTGTCTCAAATTTTCTGTCATCTCCATCCCACGACTTTGGACATCTTGCGGGATGCCCCAGATTCAGATTCGGACCATCATGGCCATACAAAGACCACGAGCGCGTCGTTATGAAGAGACAAACAGTGCAATTCGCTGTAGCTCTTCATTCTACCGCTACATATTCTCGTCAGATTCTTGTGTGCAAGCCAACAGAAGACTAGTAGCCTGCTTGACACCGTTGCACCGCAATACAATGGAGGTGATCTCGACAAGGATGCAAGCCACTTTGACGATAGAGGGTGCGCGTAAACTTGCTGCTGCTGCCATTGACTGTGCTCGCGAAATCTTATCGAAGGAGGAAGATACAAGGCTTGACCTCAATATTGCAATCTGTGATGCTGGTGGCAATTTGCTGCTCTTCGAACGCCATGGTCAAGCGAAGATTACAGGCATTCAGCTGGTCATGAACAAGGCCTTCACTGCAGCTGGACATCAGGCAAATACCTCATTGTGGTCCAGTGTGGACGCGCAAGTACTGAAGAACCTTGAAGCTGCCAATGGGAATCGTTTCTGTTCCATAGGAGGTGGTGTACCGATCCGGGGTCTAGGTGGAGTTTTGCTGGGAGGCATTGGCATCGGTGGTGGGTCTGCTCAACAGGACGAAGCCATTGCAATAGCTGCAGTCTTTGAGCTACTTGAACGAGACTGATGTAGGTATGATGTTGAGCTATTATTTGCAATGTTGACAGAGATGACTGCTTTCGTGCCGGATTTATACTACATTCGGTTGAGAAGCAGATTGGTCCTCCTGCTATATAAGTTCCATGATGCAAAGACGCTTGCCCAGCATATGTCACTCGATTGCCTCCTGCATACTGGTCCAACCAGCCCATCTGAAATACTGCGGCCATCGATCCCGCGCCTCTCGGGGCCAAGTCCGAGGGCGAGGGTGCAGCGAGGCGAGGACGGGCCCAACCTCAGCCAAAGCAGCCGACCGGAAAAAGGGATTGGCAGTGTTTGCTGCCATCTACACGGGCCGGATACTGGCCTTGCTGCTGACTGGTGCAGAAGCTTTTCGAGCTGTCATCGGGGATGAACTCTTTGATACGCACACGATCGCGATGCAAGGGCCCTCCGCTCTACCAAACACTTTGAACTTTGTATATATCAAGCTGATCTCCTGCTTCGCCATATTTGGCAAGTCTAGTCTCAGGAACATGGACACAGAAAAGAATACCGCAGTGGCCGTCACACACAGCCAGGCCGAGCCCGTCTTGCATGACCAATCCAAAATTCTGCCGAAGAATAAGCTCATTGTGTTACTATGCGCAATGTCATTTAGCTCGGTCCTTTGCTTCATCGACCAAGCTGGCGTGGGTCTCCTCTTCCCTGCTATCGGTGCAGACCTCAATGCAGGGGCCACCATCTCGTGGGCCGCCACGTCCGCCATCATCGGTTCGGTCGCCTTTCAAGTCCTCTACGGTAGACTGAGCGATATCTTTGGCCGCAAGGTTGTCTACATCTCAGTTGTCCTTATGCTTGCACTCTCTGATCTCGCCTGTGGCTTTGCACAAAATGGACCAATGCTCTACTTCTTTCGAGGTGTGTCAGGTATCGCTGGTGGCGGTATCCAAGCATTGACAATGATGATCATCTCCGACAGGTATGCCTTTACCTGCCTGACCTCTGCTAACATCAGTGTCACACTCAAAGAGCGAGGCCTTTACCAAGGCATCATTGGAGCTGCCATTGGTGCCGGCAACCTTATTGGTCCTTTCTTGGCCGCAGCAGTCGTCACGCATGCCACCTGGCGGGCCTTTTTCTGGGCTATTGCACCTTCAGCGACATGCTGTGCTGCCATCGCCTACTCTATCCTCCCAAACAACATGCCATCTGGCAATATGCGCGCCAAGTTCGGCATGATTGATTACGGTGGCTTACTGACAAGTTCCTCTGGTATCATCCTGCTATTGATTCCGATCTCGGGAGGCGGTGCCTATTTTGAATGGAAGTCACCTATGGTCATCTCCATGCTGACTCTCGGCTCTCTATGCTTCGTCACTTTCTTCATCGTCGAATGGCGCGTCGCCAAGCTGCCTATGATGCCGCTCTCCCTGTTCAGACGCGTACCAGTGGCAGTCTTGTTGATCCAGAACATCCTCTTTGGCGCAACCTATTACTCCCAAATGTACTTTCTGCCAGTCTTCTTCCAGAATGCTCTTCAGCTGTCTCCACTCGTCTCGGCCTGTCTCATGTTGCCCATCCCAGGCTGCCAAATGATCTCCTCAATCCTATCTGGGCAGTACATCTCGCGTCGAGAGCGCTATGGTGAAGTCATCTGGGTTGGTTTCTTCCTCTGGACACTCGGTCAAGGCTTGACCTGTCTCTTCTCTCGTCAGTTTCCCATCTGGGCCATTGCACTGGTCCTGTGCATCACTGGATTTGGTATTGGTATGGTCTTTCAACCAACGCTCGTTGCTCTACAAGCACAGTGTCTCAAGTCTCAGCGTGCCGTCGTCATCTCTAATCGCAGCTTCATGCGAGCATTTGGTGGCGCTATTGGTCTTGCCATCACCGCAGCAGTCTCGCAACGTGTCATCAAGAAAGGTCTCCCTGCTGAGCTGGGTCACTTGACTGCATCTGCATACGAACTGCCAAATCTGATTAACCTGAACCCGGCACAGATTGAGCAAATCTTGAAGACCTATGAACGGGCCAGCAAGACGGTCTTCTACATGTACGTTCCGCTCTTGGGTCTCTGCTTGCTTGGCTGTCTGTTGGTGCGAGATAAAGGCTTGGAGTACAAAGAGCAATCATCAGTACACGCACCGCGGCCAGAGGTGTAAGTCTTGCTGATATCATGGTCCGGTAAAGTCTGTTCGACTTCCATTTGTGAGACACGATCTTCTTGGAAGGAAGTTCCTACAAAAGTTTCCCGTCGTCATCATATGCATCAACATTCTCTTCTGCGATTGGCGACTGAAGAAAACCGCACATTCGCAATGGCAGCCCGGTGTTGTCGCACTCACATTCGTGCTGGTCATGTTGGATCTCGCATGGAACACTTTCTAGCCTCTTGGTCGGCACTGACAGTCCACGTTGAGCGAAACGCGTTACAATGTCAGGCCAAGCGCAGCTCACCGTCTTCCCGTCTTCATCTTTCACTTCGCCTTTATGAAATCGCATGATGACAAAGCGTTGTGGACATCTGCACGATCGAATAGTCCAATATTTCGCATCGGAATACAAAGCCACGGTACAGACGCCTCCCACCGCTGCTTGACAAGAGTCTGGCCTCTGCATGTAGACGTCAAAAGGCCAGGTGATGTTGACGAGAGAATACGCTGCCCTTTGGCTTCCCTCACAAAGGCTGCCACGAGAACACGCCAAGACATCTTGTTGGTCTTCCACAGCGACATACCTTTCCATGTTGACGCTCAGCTCCCAGCAATCAGACTGTTGTGCATTGACCCTTGCACCGATACCGAAGCCAAAGGCTGTAGAGACCACGCCCTTCAACAGCATGAGGCCGCACTCCCACTGAGACGTTTGCTCTGCTTTGCAAGTTTACAAGAAAATGGTTTGAAATGGTCAGACGAATCTCCTTATCCCAAGGTGACAGATTGCATGGCAAACTTGCAGCCCCTGACTTCGAGGGGCAAGCCTGATTTCTCAGACGCTCTGCATTGTCTTCATTGGCTGGGGATGGCTTGATGTCTGCAGCTCTCTAGGCCTCCAAGGAGGATCTCGTTCATCGCATGATGGTTTGCTTTGATGCTCTTAGATGTTTAGCCACTGATCATCACTCCCTTGATAGTCTTATACGATTGACCGACCGACTCGCTCGAGTCAGATTGAACATACTTCTGCACACATAGGCATGCTGTGACAGAAGTTTAAAGTCTTGACTTTGATATGAATGCAGATGACTAAAGGACGAATCTCGTTGTTTCACAACGGTTAGACAATGTTCCAAATGTTTGAGCATGGGTTGCCATGAACAGTAGTTGGGACACCACCTTCAAGGTGATTGCAAGTGCATGTCTCGTTGTCGTTGTCAGGTGGGGCGTAACAGCTCACATGATCCCTGTAAACCTCTGGCTTAGGCAAGCCGCGTTCTTGGAATCGTTGAGTGATGTTAACAAGTGGGCAGTCCTGTAAGATGTCGTTCCAATCATAAATCTTGGTCTTGTACACTCTTGGCAGCAGAACAAACTCTTGGCACATGCAGCCATAGATGCTGGCCATGTATCCTAAAGTGAAGTTTGTGTACAACGCGCAGGCTCCTACACATGTTAGTCTTGCCCATGTATGATGATGTTTCTTGCCGTCATTTGCCAGGCAAACTTCTGTGTGCTTCGTGACCCTGTCCCATAAGGGGATGATGGGCGTCCTAGCATAAGCCTTTTCATGGCCTTTGCCTCTGCATAGAAGGCCCCTTGCACAGGCAATTTCGTCATTCCCAGATTGATCGACGTGAACGAGGTGAACGTTCCTCACAAGAAGCTGTTGGCAGTCGGAATGGTCTTGGTCTTTGCGCCCTGCAATAGCCGCTGTTCCAAGCAAGATGAGATAGAGGCTGGCAACGACGCGCTTCACCATGCTATCAAGAGGTGAGGGCTATGCGAGCTCGGTGCCGAAGGGTTGTTCGACGCAAAGTCATGAAAATCGGCAGGTCGTTGCTTTTTAGACTGACAAGTGGAAAATTTGTCTCCCTACCACACCATATGGTTCCTGTCGTCGTCAAATTTCGTGGCATAACAATATTGAGTCGAAATTGCGCAAACAGTGCATTACACCACGTGTTGCATATCTGACTGGTCAAAGAAGGGCAACTCAGGGGCCAACACGCGCCTGCAATTTGCAACAGCGATTGCAAAAAAGTCTTGAATACTACGAGAGGCCCATGCCATGATTTTGACAATCATATAGCTACATGCATATGTGCAACAAAAGCAAGCCCTTGGTTTCAAATGTATACACACCAGTTGCATCATTCAGTCATTTGCAATTGGCGGAGACATGCCACAAGCACAATCATACTCACTAACTGCTCGTTGCGAGTCGCCCAGTTCATCAGCTGCAAAGGCTGGCTTGTGCACTTTGAGCTTTCGCATTGAATATCTCCTATAGGCTTTGGCTATAATTCGGTAACATTCAAGCGTCGTCTAGGTGTTCGATCAGTATCCCACACATTCCACATGTTGCTGCATGCAGACCCATTAGCATTCGATGGAATTCCTCCTGGAACAATGTTGCAAACGCAGGTATCCAAGTCGGTCTTAGATGGATACTTACAGCTCAAATCAGAGCCGTAAAGTTCAGGTTTCGGTAGCTTACGCTCCGCGAACCGAGCTTGAATCGATTTGAGATCACATTGATAAGTCTTGCCGTCGATTGTGATGGGCGAAGTGCTCATTCTAGGAAAGAAAACCATGTCGGCACATTTACAGCCGCCGATGCTGTACTGCTCGCCGTATGTAAAGTTTGTGTGAATTGCACAGGCACCTGTATGATATCAGTTGTGCTTTTGGACCATAAAGGACTCACCGTGCAAAAGCTGACACTCGTCTGGAGTTTGAATATACTTGGTATACGTGAAGTTGAGCTTCGTGAGAGCATAAGCTTTTACAGCGAAAGGAGCTTGGCACAATAGCCCATCAGCACATATTTGCCCTAGTGCCGCGCCTACGCTGTGAAGGAGATGCCAATCTGCAATGTACAGCGATTGACAGTTGGAGTTGTCTGCAGGCAATGTCTTTCCCCCAAGAATCCCTAGGATACACACAGAAATCCCGAAGAGCCAGGTTTTAGGCATTTGTTGTCGTTACTTACCTGTTGGAGGTATCGTCAGGCGAGCAGGGCGCATTGTTCAATCTTTATGCAGAAAATTCTAGGGGGCCCAAAACTCGCCCCGTGTGAGCTGAAATGAAAATTGTCACCTTGAGAAAGTCTCGCGTGTTTGTATGAATGTCACGTTAGGCCATATGGACAATTTCCCAGGCAACATGGCCAACCGGCGTTGCATCGAAGTCTCAGGGGTAGATCACGAGCACGAATTTTGCGAGAGGAAGGGATCCGCGCGTGCATAGTCCTGTGCATACAGGTACGACTTGCAACTGCAATGACAAGTTGCCGCAGAGACATTTGCGACATAGTGACTCAGTTGAGCAATGAAGTAGTCAGTCACCTGGCTTGACTTGCCAATGCATCTCTCTGCCATGTATCGCGTGCTTTCACGTGATGGTTATCCCCTGTTTTAACTCAGAGGCAGGCTTAGGCAGCATGAGCCTCTACTTTACTCTTCATCCGTATCAATACTACTTGCACTTCTTAGGCTGCTTGTGCTTGACACCTCATCAGACACGTCATCACTAAATCTACGCACAATCCCGATGAGAGTCAGTCTCCACTCAGAGTCTCCAGCAATCAGAAAGCCTTCACTGTTCTGCAGCCGTCTAACTACTAATCAATCTTGTCAGTTGGCCCTATGGGTAAGTTTGATATCAAAATCCATTCAGCCGGATTGTGAAAGCATTCGGGCTAGCTCGTCAATCTCTTGGCTGTCCATAACTGCTGCAAAGGAGACTCACACACGTAAGCCATACGACTCCATCTCTAACCACGGTTCCTGCAGAGTTTGGTCGAATCATATGTCGTGCTCAATGGCTTTCCCTCTTCGAACTACGAGCGACAGCTCATTCAAGAAGATCGGCATCGACTGTAGCTGTCGCAAGATTCAGCTTGCGCAAGGCCAAAGAACGTGATGCAAGGGGTATTGTGCACCTCAAGGACCTTGATATGTATTGTAGCTGAAAAATTACACTGCCAAAGTTGGCCAGGCAATGAGCGCAACGTAGGCGTAGCTATATATCTGGAGCTGCAGGATAGCTATCGATGGAACGTTCATCCTAGATAGTAACAGCAAGGCCTACATAGTAACAGCAAGGTGGGAGCCTAAGTGAGAAATTAGACGAAATCTATCTGCAGCTCGGTCAATCACAAGTGCATTGAGAAACAACACGATCGAGTAATGTATGCGACTGCATCATCACTTTGCAATCACTAAGCTACCTCATTGTGGTTGAGCTCGATTTGACTTAGCTATAGACTCATGAAGACTTCTAGAGATCCCCCTTGCCCGAAAGGTCCCATAGCTTCGAACAAGCGTTCCCATTCTTTGTCGATGGAATCCCTCTTGGAGCGACGTTGCATACACATGTCGTGTTGTCCCAGTTTGGAGGACTCAAGCAGCTGATGCCTTCCTGTGACACTCTGGCTGCTGCTAAGTTACGGCTGCTGAGACGACCTTGAATAGACTTCAGATCACATTGGAAGGTTTTTCCATCGACTTGAACAGGTGATGTGTTCACCCTGGGAATGTAAACGATGTCACGACAGCAACAACCATAGATTGAGCACAGCTCTCCAAGAGTGTAGTTCGTGTGAATTGCGCAAGCACCTGGAGCATTAGCATGTCTTATATGACACTAGAGGCATACCGTCTACGGCGCATGGGTCTGGAGCCGAGTTATACTTGTCCCATGCGAAATTCGTCTTCGAGAGAGAGTAGGCGTTCTCAGCGTAGGGCGCCTGGCAAAGTTCACCTTGTTTGCACGTCCATTCGCCAATGGTGTCATTCACACTGATAAAGCGTGCCTCTTCGATGACAAGCGAGACGCAGTTGGAGTTATCAGCTGGGGGTCTACGTCGAGCGCCTGCAGCAACAAGAGTAATCAAACTCAGTGGGATTGCAATCCAAAGTGTGAGCATCGTTTTCAAGAAGAATCTGCTGAACAAAGAAAGCAGAAAATGTGCAAGTGGCCAGAACTTAAGGAATCGTGTCCACACGGTACAATAATCGAGGGTGGGAAAGAACAAGCTGGCAGAAAGGAAATTCGACCAGGGGTAACGTGTGGTCACATTTGTGCACATGTCTCATTTCCGGCGGCCGACCAGGGGCATACATCGCAGGCAATCAGAGGGCTCATAGGAACACTAAAAACAGTTCATCGAGAGAGTTTTGGTTCGCAAGAAGAATCGCTAGATGCGCCGATGCTCTAATATTCCACTGATGCTTGCAACTTGGTCCGTTTTAATAAGATCATAGCGAAAATTTACACGATTAGGGGACAACAAGACAAACAATGCGAAGAGGCAGCCTCGCGAATTTCGAGTGCGAGTTGATATTCCATGCATCATGCAGCTCCTTGCAACCGCATATTTTGCACAGCCACAATTACTACACTGACAATTTGACAGACGCTGGCTCCTGACTCATTCACCCCGAGTGTAGCGAAATTCAGGGGTATCGGCACCGAATTGTTGATGACTTGCGATGTGTCGCATGTGTACGTGCGAGTTTTGCTGTCGCATATTCATGTCGACATTCATAGCATAGTGTCGCAGACACGAACATGCTGCAGCATAGTGTCGCATTCGAAACGTACTGGCTGCAGGCATCAGCTGCAGCCTGTCCAAGTTTCATCTATCGCTACTAGCTAATCTTGGCTTTGCAGCTACACTCGACATTGAAGTATATCCATGAGCCAGTATTGAGCTTTGGATGTCATCTACTCACTGATACATAGCTCTGGATATTTGATTGTTAGCCTGCAGCTGAGGCCGCTCTATGTCAACCCTTGAAGTCTTGCAGTTGGCGTACACAGATTCGTCACAAGCCGCGTTCAGTCTTCCTTTCACTCATCCATATCGTCGTTCAAGAGCGGTTGCTGCGTCTCAGACAAGCGATAACAATCTCCTCCATGTATATTCTCCACCAAGCCAGACTTGTCGCAAATGCAAGTCAAGTTATCTCGAACAGGTGTGCAGGGCAAACCATTTGCGATAGCAATCAGTTTGAAACTGGAGAACCCTCGTTGAGCGAGGCGAGACTTGATAGAGCTCACATCGCATCCATACGGCTGCCCGTCTGGTCCCAAAACCGGGGACTCTGACACACGCAGTAGTAAAACCACTTCGGGACACTGGCAAGCATAGATCGAAATCATCGTACCCCAGTGAGACATGCTGTGAAAATTGCAAGTCCCATGCGAATGCGTTTGACAAGGGTCCTGAATCATTGTGTATCGATCGAAGGCCCATTTGATGGGAAGCTCTGAGTAGGCTGTCAGCTTATCAGCTCCGCGACAAAGAGCACCAGAACTACAGTTGTATTCTGCGTCGCGATCGCGGACCTCGATGTTGTGAAATGCTACCAAAGCAATCTGCTGGCAAAACTTGGCAGTGTCTGCAGTAATGTCCGTCGGCTCTGTGCTTGAGACGAAGCCAGGAAGCTGCAGAAGATTGAGTGTGCCGCTGAAGGAGAGTATCAGCAAAGTGCAGAGCCAGTTGAAGCTGTGGGGGACAGTCCTGGGTTCCTTCATAGCAAAACGTTGCTGCTGGCCTTGCTTGCGAGAGTAAGACTTGACAGTGTGCCGTTGAGCGTCTTTTCAAGACTACAGCCGCAGCCAGCGACTGGTCTCAAGTAAAGGAGTTGCTGTTGCGTTGGACCTAGTTCGGCCCCTGTAGTACAACATCGCATGATGTGTTTCATTGACTGAGCAGTCTAGCAGCTCGCAGTTGCCTGGAGAGGAATCTTCGACGCGGAAGCAACTTGAGCTTCGTAGTGCAGTGTTTCTCTCCAAAGAGGCCTAGAGATATAGTCGCACAGGTGCTGTCTTCCGCAGAGCGGCCCTCATTCACACAGTGATAGTCGTTTGCACTGACGATCATGCAACGTGAAAGGGTTTGTTCTTCTAGGTCTAATTTGCGACTCCGAAGCGCAATTGGTGCCGTGCACGCATCTGCAGCTGCGTGCCAACGTGGTCGCATGGGCATGCGGTTCAATACCTAGAGAATAGCCGATGAATGCGTGATGGAACTCACGGGGGGAATTGTGATGTTTAGAAATGAGCTGCTATACTACTTCAGCTTTGTCAGGATGATGCGGGATCCCTTGTTGCCTGCATCCGCAGCCGCCTGTATCTCACTCTGCTGATCCTTCAATGCTCGCGAAAGCGATGCGAGCTCAGTGGACTCACCAAGTGTTTCGAGCAGTGCGACTACCGCAAAGGAAGCGTCGCCAGAAGCCCAAAAAGCAGCCTCTTGAGCGACGAGAGGCGCAAACCGCTTCGCGAATGCATCAGTGGGCTGTACTTGTGTCGCTTCAACAGACTTGGTTTGTGGGTTCCAAAAGCCTCCCTGAACGAGTGCCTTGAGCATCCTAGGTGTATGCTCCTTGATTAGATCTGGGCGTTGCGGTGCTTGCTTCAAGATGGCAAGAAGCTTGTCTGTGGGTGCTTCTGGTACTTCAGTCGCATGTAGCATGATTTCAAGAATCAAAGGAGCGGCTGCTGGGTCTGCCAACATGTCTTCGATGTTCGCAGCCAATGCTTCAACAAGCATGGGAGAAACTGATTCTGCCACTTCCTGCCGTCTGACACTGTCCTCCTTCTTACTCGTTGTGGCCTTCTCTTTTTGTATTGTTGCAAAGTAAGCCATTTCTTTTGCATTGTAATGCCGCGCTTGACATCCACCAAGGATATAGAGGAATACTTTGCGTGCGTGTCTGTCTTCGAGCAAAGTGAGCAGCTTTGCCTTGATTTCCGGCGACATGGCTTTATTGAGCAGAACGGTATCGTCGACACTCATGTACAGCGCAACTACAGCGAGCCATCCAAACTCATCACGCATAGCACTCGCGATGTGCGGCTTGAGGGCCTTCATAATGAGCTTCCTGTCCTTGGCTGTAGCATGAGCAATCACCAAGCCAGCAGCATCGGCGCCATCGAGTGTATGCACGAACTCTGGCAAAAGCTCTCTGACAGTCTCAATTGCCTCAACCCTCTCTGTTGCGCTACAATTTTGGAGGTAGACAAGCAGAGCTCTGTGCAGAAAGGTGAATCCAATCGAGCCCTTCTTGATGGAGCCACTGATGGACTCCCACAAGTTGCGCATGATGAGGTCTCGCTTCTCTGGTGAGGCTGCAAGGATCTCGGCTAATGGCTTTTGGTTGGCCGTTGCAAAGACACTAAACTCGGCGCCGTACAACTCGGACAGCAGCATTTCTTGCTGTGCCGGTGTGGCGTAGTCTCGGAAAGCGTCTTCTACCACATACGCTGCTTCTTTGTGCTTGATGAGTTTGCGAACATTGCCGTGAATCTCTGCAAGAATTTTCTCTCGCACTTCAGCGTTGCCATACAACAGCATCTTGACGACCAGGAATTTGGAGTAGGTGCTCTTCGACAGATCGACAATCCTGCCCTTCAGCTCTCCAAGGATAATGAGACGCTGCTCGGTGCTGCCATACTTGAACGCTGCTTGAATAACGCGGTTTGCATCGTGCTTAAAGATGATCTCAACGACATTTCCCTGAATCACGTCAAAGAGCTGCTTGATGACCTTTTCACGCTCTTGTTTTGGCACCTTCTTGCGGTTCAGCTGAGACCAGAGTCCCTTTGCGCGAGAGATGATGTCTGCATGGGGCTTTGCCGCTTTGCGCGCTAGCAGTTCTTGCTTTTGCTTGGCGTGCGATTCCTTCGCGGTGCTGCCATTGCTTGGCTCTCGTGCGGAGGATTCCTGCGCAGCACCTTCTTCCATCACTTCGTCCTCCTCTGCACTCTCTGACTCGTCACTCTCACTCGAGGACATGTCTAGATCATCCTCTGAGTCGTCATCTGCAGCTTGTTGCTGCTCTGGCGCTGCACTGCCTTGAACTGCTGCATGACTCGTGGCCCTTGGCTTCTTTGCATCACTCTTGACGGTTCCAACACTGGCGCCTGCTTTCCTCTTGACTGCGACCATGATGAACGCGTTGCTTGTCTCTTCTACTTGTGTCTGTCTCTGCTTCTGTTCCAACTTTTTTAATTTCTCTCACGCCCCGTCCCAGCCAGCCGCCTTCAGACGTCGAGCAGCAGATGAACATGCGCAGATAATACGCTCAACTTGCTTATAGTCGACTCTGTGCACGATCCCTTCGCTAGTCCAAGCTCAAGCTCCCAGACAATCTCGTGCATTGCTGTTCCTCAATGCATCAGCATTAGCGCTCATTTCTCCCTTCACTGTACAACCACTTCAAGTCGCTTCTATTCGCGCGCCAATTGCACTTGTACTTTCGCTACCTGCTTCTTTGTACATAATACCTGGCGCCTCTAGTCAGGTTCAGCAGCATATATCATGCGAGATGAGGAGTATAGCAGGCCTGACCTCATGACACCCTTTTCCCTCTCTCTTGCCGCCGAGCAAGCTATTGAGAATGCAAAGATGAAGCTCGACGAGATGGACTCGAGGCTTCTGACTGCGCGGAGCTCTATTGCTCGCTTTCGCTCTCATCAGGAGGTCGCAACACCTGCTGCCCTAGATGATCCTCGCAAGCAGAATCATTTAGCTACAGAAGCTGCATCGCCAGACAAGTTTTCAGGAGATGTGTGGCGTTTACGAGAGGAAGACCGGCTCTCCCATGACCAAACCTCAAGTCGCACGTATGGCATGGTTGAAGCATTACAAATCACACCACCACGTCCACAACGACCCAGAGCCTCTCAGATACCCGACTTGCCTGGACTCGAACAAGCGTATCGTGAGGATTTACAGCTTGAGCTTGCTGGGACAATCTCTTTTGCTGATATGGCCAGAGCGCCGGCAAGTCTGCCGGACGAAACAGATTCTGCGGATCCGTCACTCAGCGCAGTAGCGAGTCCAACGTTTGGTCACTTTGTTCTTGACGGTGAAGAGAGGGAGCCCGCGCCCGATGCTGTACGGTGGCGCAATGAGTCGGTTGTTGACAACTTGATTAAGCCATTCAGCGTTTCTGTGGGTCAGTATAGACGACAGGATCTTCGGACACCGCCACCTGTGCCGTCCGTATGGCGTCGACGTGCCAATTCTCAACCAAAATCACCGACCCCGTTGTCTGTCCCTCGGCCAACGAATCCATTGGCAGGGTCAGGACGATCAGACGACGAGAGATCACTATCGTTGGAAGAAGAGGAAGAGCTCTTGTCGCTCCAACCGCAGTCTTCCAAATCAATGCTCCCACGCCCAATATCACCGGAGCCAAAATCAAAGCTGGTCGTGCCATCGACGCCGAAACGGCCCTTACCGCTCATCACTGCGCTGAATTCTCCTGAAAATTGGGTGGATCCATCTCCAGTCTCACCCTCTCAACCTGCTAGAGCAACCTTGGCGTCACCTGCAACAGCAACGCTCAAGCGTGTCAAAAGTATTGCTTCGCCTAGTGGCACGGGAAGATCCTCTAAAGTCGTGAGTCCCGTTCCGCCGGGCTCTGGTGACTCCACGCACTCCGAGCCTACGAAGCTTGCACGGCCGCGTGGACAAGTCAACCACATGCAGCCGCGCATGTTGAAGTATACCACAAAACCAACCGTTGAGTCTTCTTCGCCCGTCATCTCAAGCATTCCGCGACCGGCGACGAAAGTTTCGCCTAGATCAGGCAGTGCTGCATCACCAAGCGCTCACGGTAGTGCCGTGACGGCTGCTGTGATTGCCATGCAACAACATTCATCTGCACACGGCGGGATTTCCCCCACAACAAGCCCACTCAATAGCCCGGATAGTCTCAGGTTCAAGGGATTCTGGCCTGGTCCTGTGACGCCGCACAAACAAGTTTCAAGTCCATTGACGACACCCAGGCTGGATGAATCGCCACAAACGCGGTTACTGAGAGAGCGATTTGAGCGTGCATTGAGGAAATTGGAGGCTCCGTCGCATTCTGCATTACAGGTACGATTGGCGGAAGCGCAGCAGGCGACAATGGGAAAGCATGGGGATGATACTGCTGCACGGAAACTTGAAGCGGCACTCAGGATATTGGAGGATGAGTAGGGCTCGTGCATGCATGATGATGGGCTCCTGCATTGTAACATATACGAATCTTTGAGTATAAAAGAATGTCTAATCCGTCCTACCATCTGTCTTGTCTAGCAGATCCTATCCCTTGTCAGTATCATCCGCATATAGTAAAAAGGCTTACAAGCAACACTCGACACATTCTTCAGCCGCGCAGCAACAGAGTAGAGCTGCACAACAGCCAGCGCCTGCTCCCGCTCCAGCACCCATACCACCTTGTTTCATAGGCTGCTGCTGGACATACACAGGCTGCTGTTGCTGAGGGTATCCCTGAGGTGGATATCCCTGCTGAGGATAGCCCTGGGGTGGGTACATGGGCTGCTGTTGTTGTTGGTGGGAGAACATCCCGCGCTGGTCTTGACCAGGTTGTTGGTGTGCGCTTGCTGCCTGATACGTCGTTTGCGGCTGAGCAGGTGCGCTGTGGTTATTGTTGCCGCCTCCGTAGTAGTCTGCTGCACTCATAGCTTGTATGTACGTGTCTGTAGGATGTGTTGTCAGTTGTACCTGGTGAGGGTGTTGCTGCTGTTGCCGTTTCAATTTTGGGGGCTGCAGCTGCCAAGACTTCCAAGAGCGAAAAGAACCGAGCACCAGACAGCAACACCACAGCAGATCATGTAGAGATACTCAGGCTACAGGGGGCTATGGAGCAGTACTTATTCAATATGCAACCGGAAACTAGCTTATCAATCTTCATCGTGCAGCTACAGGTAATGAGAGTTAGCACAAGAATAGCTTAAGTATCCATTCATGCTATAGCTACGAGTAATGAAAACGCATCAATTCTATCATGATCAACAAAGAAAGCCCCTTTACGGCTTCGACAGCTGCTCCTTCCTGAAGTACACGAGGTAGCCAATGCAAATAACAATCTGGCAGAACAAACAGAGCCAGAAGCTGACGCTCGCAAAGATGGCTGCTCCTTCTTCTGAAGGTGTCCAGGTGGCAAAGTCCAGGAACGTGTCCGCCGGACCAATGGCATTCGGGGCAGATGCACGACCAACAAGCATCGCCACAGCACCGAGCATTTGACCAGCCATGAGCGTAGTTGCAACATGGGCGCGCGTCAGCGTCTGTAGCAACAGCATACCGATTCCGACTCCCTGAATCGCATCCAAAACACCAAGCCACAACCACAAGCAACGACCCAAGTACGGTCCTGCTTGGCCGGCCCATTGCATCGCTTGACCAATGTTTGACGTAGCCCATAGCATCTGTGCCCACCGAGGTGCACCGAGACCAATGCCAACAACAGGAATGGTCCAGGAGTGTGTCTTTGAAATCACCGCAAGACCATAGAGAATGATGCCCCAGATAATCAAGAAGAAGACAATGACCAGGGCAAAGATGACACCAGTGTTGATGTAGGGAGAACTCCAAAGATAACGCCAAGAACGACCGTAGAGCGTAGAAAGCCAGTAATTCTGTAAGATTGTGGCTACCATGAACCACAAGACAAGCTTTCGCCTGACAAGGGAGATGTAAAAGGCAGGAATACGGCCAGGAAGTTGTCGGTAGTAGTCTGGCAACCCCTTGGCAAGCAAGAGACCAGTTGCAGCCATGAAAACGGCCAAGAAAAGCACAATACCCGTGACGGCAATCTCAGTCTGTTGCGTTGCACCAGCAAGTGTCTCATCCGAAGTATCAGCGGTCAACTTCTCTCCCCAGTACCACAGAGCAGATCCCCAGATTTGCTGGGTTCCCTGCACCATGCAGGCACGAACGATCCAAGTTTGTGTACTTGCACCACCTTCGTCACCAAAGTTGAGGGCAAAGTACAACGATCCCGAAGCAGAACCAACTGCATAGAACCAGGTACCGATGGCATTGATCCAGTCTCGAGCACCATACAGTGCCGAGAATCCAGGAAGACCAATCATGAAGAAGGCCACCATGTAGAAGGCAAACGGCGCAGATAGACACCAGACAGCGGGCAAAAGACGGTACATTGTCCACCAAAAGACGGTACCAAACATGAAGACAATACCGATCGTGTAGAGTTGTGCAGCTGACTGGGAAGTAGAAGACGAGAGCAGAGTGAGCTGGTAAGATGTCGCTGCCAGAATCTGGCCAATGGCCAAGAAGATGGTGTAGATGGGCCATTCACCGAGCGTGCGCTGCATGAAGCGAGCAATGCCGCGTGTCTTGGGATCCATGAAGAGAGGCGAGTGTGGATGGTACGACGATTCAGGGCTACCGAGGTCGCGCTGAGGACCATGTGTATCGCCACTGAAGCTCGATGCTCGCGAAGACTCCAAAGAGCCGCGTCGGGAGAATTCGCCCTTCTTGACCTTTGGCTTGAATCCCAGCTTTTCATTCTTGATATCAGCAAAGAATGACTTTTCCGACTTGATCAAGTATTCCTCAATACACAGTTCGTGCTTTGAGTTCTTTGGGTTCAAGTCGCGCAGCTCTGACGAAAAGGCACGCAGACACATACCATCCTCGTCCGTGAAACGCTCTTGCACTTTTGTAAGCGAAAAGTCCTTGCCACCAGAACCAGTCATGACGCTGGCAAGCGAGAGACGAGAGTCATTTCCACCGCGAGGAATCAAGTGACGTTGAGAGTTGCCGAGCGAAGGAGACATGGGTGGTGTTTGCGGCGGTGAAGCGAATTCGCCGACGACAGAGCGACGGCGACCATAGGGTACGTTGGCCATTTGGGACAAGGACATGGAAGAACTTGCATTGGAGTGTCCGTAGAAACCACGGCCGCCTTCGCGAACAGAGTCATCATCCATCACTTCATACATTGTGCTGCGCTGCGGGTCAAACTGGTCCTCAGACTCATATCCGTCCTCACTTGGAGAACCGAATCCGCCATATCCACGGAATGCTCCACGCACTTGATCAGGGTGGATGAGGTCGCCTTCTTGGTCCGACTCAAACATCTCCTCCTCGTCAATTGCAATCAACTCGCCGTTGACATCGCGAGGCAAGACTGTTTGGGGCTCATTGCGATGACCAGGACCACGACGTGAGCCCAAGGAGAGCTGACGACGCAAGTTGGCGCCGCCGGCAGCATATGGGTCTGTTGGTTGTCCAGGCTCGTGCGGTGCAGCAGCATTGAAGTGTGCGTGCTGGAACTGCTCGGGCGTGCGTTGCTCGTCTGGGATGGAGATGACGGGTGATGAAGCGTTGGGCATATTTGTGAAACCAGGTGGAAGGTTGACTTGCGAGTTGTTTTGGTGCATACCAAGATTCGACACAGAGGCAGAAGACTCGGGTGGGAAGAGTGAGTAGACGGATCCACGGTTCTTCGTGTTGCCGCCAGTCTTTTTCTTGCACATCTTGATACAACCAGCCTGCAAGGCATCCAATTTTTGAATCCATTCTTGCACGGGGAAACGCTGCAAGGCCGACTTGGCACGGAGTAATGCGCGTGTCTTGTCGTTGGATGAGAGCGCTTGGCGACAGGCAGACTCGAATTGTGAGAGCAAGTGAGTTGTTGCGCTAGACTCAACCGTGTACCACCATCCAGGCATCTGACCAAGACCGCCGACGCGAGCACCGATACCAAGAGCACCTTTACGACCAAACTCCACGGCAACCAAACCGAAAGGCTCGTCACGCGATGGAATGAGGGTGAAGTCTGCACCGGAAAAGATGTAAGGTGGCAACGCTGTGAACTCCGGTCGAGAGTAGACACGTTCCGGGTACTTCTCCATCAATCGAGCCAGCTTTTCGGCAGCGAATTTTCCATAAAGATCAATGATGGGTCCAACGCAAATGACTTGCACATTAAACTCCTCCACAAGTGTTGGCACGATATCAGCAATCAAATCAATACCTTTTTGCATCGACCAACGTCCAACAAAGACGAGCAAGTCTGCTGAAGGATCAACACGCAGACCAGCCCATTCTTGCGCATCACGCTTGAGATGCTTTCGATTCTCCTCGAATTGCGAGTTTGGTACCACTTTACCATTCTTGACGGTCGGTGCACCAATATCGGCAGTATCAGTTGGATCGGGATTCGGTAGTTTACCAATCTTCTTGAGACCCCAGAAAATTGGGTATCGCGCCCAAGAACGCTTACCATACTTGGTCGACACACCGACTGCGCCAAAGCCCTTTTGATGAATACGCAAGAATGAGACACCGGCATGGAGCAAGTTGAAGACGTTACCGAACTGAACGTACTTTTGGCAGAGACGTGGTGAGATGTTGTAAACGGCACACACTTCATCACGTTCCTCTGGTGTACGCAACGGCCATAATCCCTGAAACTCGGCATTGTGCAACGACAATGCGCACGGCATGAGATCTGGTAAGAGGTAGAGTGGTGCGAGTGCACCGTGGTAATCGTTGATGTGATAGAGATCCACGGGGAAACGACGGGCGGTCTCGGCAATACATTGGTTCCAGGCGGAGTAGAAGATGGCACTCTCGAGATCATCCATGCGTGCAGGGTACGGCTCAATCGTCGACTGTCGCCTGAAAACTGGAGCATCGAGCAAAACATAGGTGATGTTGTTGATGATGTGCGTTGAGACGTTGATTTGGTAGATTTGATCGAGAATCTTGACTTCCATGGGTGGGTGATATTCGCCCTCTGGGTAATTCACATCCCCAACGCAAGGCACAACCCAAATCAAATCTTGATGCTTCAAGTTGGTTGCCATCAATTGAGCCATGACACCGAGTCCACCAATCTTGATCTTGATGCCCCAATCTTCAATATTGTACTCGAGTGTAGCAATCAATACAGTCTTGCGTGCACCATTCTCATAAGTCATTGGACCGAGTCCGCCAAGAGCACCAGTACCGAGGCCTGGACTGTTGATGGCTGGATCCGTCATGAACCCTTGATCTTGGTCCTTCTTGCTCTTACTGAATGGCAACAGTGGAATAAAGTTGCGCACATTGGAGCGGCCCTCTTGGTTGAACTTGACAGCATAGAAGGACCCCTTGAAGATGAGTGCTGCAAGCAACGCCGTCAATGGAGGCACAAAGAGACACAAGAAGTAAATGATGATGGCGACAATGTAGCTACCCTTGGGTTTGAGGTAGATGCGACGCGTCAAATCATTCAATTGCAACTCCCAACCAAGATGTGGCGAGCGCGGTTCAGTAGAGATGTTGAAGATGTTGCTGCCGAGCGCCGAGGGAGGAACACGTTCGATAACGGAGGAATTTTCCAGCGTACCATACACCCATGATGCATCAGGGTTGCCATCTGGATTGATTCCCCAAACGTTGAATTGAAGTCTCGATGGGTACGCTTCAGAGACAAAGTTGATGGTCCAATTACCGGATTTCTCCAAGGACAGCTGGTTTCGTGCACCGGCATCATATCCCCATTCATTGAAGGGTCCCATGATGAACATGTGTGGGAAGGAACGATGATCACCGGGTCCATCGAGATCAGCATGTTGCTGATGCGAGCTTGAACCAGCCATTCTTGACCAATACTGCAAAATGGCATGATCACCCTGCCAACGCTGCTTCTTTGAGCCTTTCCATTTCTTGGTAACAGGCATATTCTTCAAACCTGGACCGTAGGACGTCCAGTTGGACCATGTCGTTCCCCAATCAAGCGAGTAACGCCAGAGATCAGCACCAGCTGCATTGGCTTCAATGGTAAGCATACCACCTGACCCTTTCTTCATAGCCGTTGTTGTGTAATTGGAAGTCAATGGGAACACCAATGGATTATCCGCCTTGCCAATCCTGAACAATGCATGGTCGAAGCCAAGAGTCGTACCGTTACCCGATTGTGTTTGTGCCTTGCCGATGGAAATTTCATGGATGCCCTCAAACAAGTTCGTGATGGTGGCGTTGATTTGCCAAACACTGGGTGGTGCACCAACAACCGTTGCTGCTCGAGAAAAGGGGAAGAGGGAACACACGTACGAGCCAATGATGGGTTGTGTGCCATCCAGTGTTGTTGAATTGATGGAGAGTGCTTTACCCACTGAATCACAACTCATCTCATTGCTGAATTCAAGCACATAATTGAGTGTTTGTCCAGTTGCTGAACCAGTCGATACAATACGCGCATCATGACCAGGTGAAAGACGTGTAATGACGGGTCGTGGTTGAATGGCCGCTGGCTTCGGCACGAAAATCTTGAAACCATACGGATCGATATTGATTTGTGGTAAACAACCCGTTGTTGCATTGGGTCCAGCAGACAGGGTATACTCATCGAATGGATACACCAAATTGCGTACGACCGTGTTGGGTGGGAAGGTCACAGGTGGTGCAATCATAGCATCTGCAGCAGAACACGATGGTGACCATTGCGTAGAGACATTGGCATTGACATACAAGAACCACAAATCTTGATTCTTCTTACCAGTTGTGAAGGTTTGTCCTGGACATGCAAATCGATGTACTGAATGCAAGCCAGCCACTTCACTACCAGCAATCGACCAATTTCCCAGATTTTCAAGACAAAACCCATCATGTGCAACGGGGTAATTGTCACGAATTTCATGCAAGGCAATGAGACCGTTTCTCGGTGCAGCAGAGACATCGCGATGATCTTGCGCATTCAAAAAGTCATGACACCCGTCGCGTGCCTTTTTCAATGGCAAATTCGGGTACTGCTGAGAAGACAAGGAGTAACAACCATGAATATACCAGGCCATTGAACTTGTCATGGATTGACGACCAAAGAGATAGTTGTTGGCGGTATTATCGAGCATGTACAAGTCTTGCTCTTCACCATAGTAAATCGATGGTGCACCAGGCAACACCAATTGCGTAATCATGGAACCCAATGCCAGAATCTGTTCACCATTCTCAACGGCTGGCCAACGCAACACATCGTGGTTGGTCATACCGTTCATGTGACGTGGATCGAATTTACCGGTATTGGCATTGATGAGATCTTCATTTTGTACCATATCCAACCAACCTTCAACGAAATCTTGACGAATATCATAAGGCACCGTAATGGCACCTTCAAGACCAAACCAAATCGTCAATGCGCGGTACACAGAATACTGGAAAGCCGAAGCATCCAAGGCATTGAGTGTCTTGTTTCGTAAAAAGTACTCGGCTTCTGAATCAAGACCCGTCAAGTTCATGGCCATTTGCCAGTCCTTGGGTCGTTGATCGGGTTGTCTGCCACGACCGAGATAGATACTACCATAAGAATCACCACCGGTAATCTCACCGGGGATGTAGAAATTCTTCTTGTTGTAGAGGGCAGCGCATTGACGAACACTTTTTGACCATTCAGCAAGGAAACCCACCGTCATTTGTGTTGCTTTATCCAGGCGAAAGGCATCTGGATCCAGACCGGCAATGAGGAGACAAGCATAGTGATTGAGTTTCTTGCCAACAGTCGGATCCCATTCTCGAAGACGATCTTGCACAGAGGCGAATTTGGAGAGTTGACGCTGCCAATTTGGGTGGACACCAAAGGCTTCTGTATCTCCGTACTGGTCAAATTCACTGCGCTGTTAGCATGCTTCAGAAATGGAGACAGACGTACGATGCATAGCATCCAGTGAGTTCAATGACAACCGGACCACCGTCGTCATCCCAAAACTCTGGCAATTCACACGTTGGATCCCAAACGTTGTTGAATTGAAAGTCCGGGTAGGTGATGGCTGTTTTCCACTCTGCATCATGCTCATAGAGGGAGAATGTAGTGGAGGTATTGAGGTAGCCTGTGAAACCAACGAGATCTGCGAGAGTGCCGACAGTCAAGTCAAAGATGATGTACATGTCACGCCTGTGCAGTTCATCGATACAGTTTCGCCATTCTTGGATGGTTCCCTGGTGTGGGTCTAGAATGGTAAAGTCGATGGGCGAGTACTGATCAGCTTGCCAGGGTCGATTGAGGTATGGCGTTCCGGAGATGTAGAGTCCCTGATGTTAGTGCTGCATATGGTCGATGAGTGTATCATACCTTGATGCCCATACCCTGTAGGTAATCGAGTGAATCTTGGATTCCCTTGACATCACCACCGTTGCGCAGACCAGTCTCGTAAAAGTCATACTCAAAGACGGTACCATTGATGTCGTTGTTGCGTGGATCACCATCTACCCATTTATCAACAATAATGGTATAGATGGGGAATCGCCAGTTATCCGGTGATGGATGGTATTGATGATTTGGCCAATCTGCAGCATAGTCAAGGACTTCTGTTGCTGTTTTATTGACGTTTAGATTCCATTGCTCGTAGCGCGGGTCGTAACGCGCTGCTCTGCATTGTGTCAGGAGGGTGGTCGCTAGTCCGAGCAAGAACCAGGGCCGCATTTGCTTTGTCAGGCCTCCCAGGGGGGTACACGGGTTGACTTGTTTTGTGTGTGTGTGTGCAGGTGTGTTTGCTCAAACCGATAAAGGTGTAGAGAATGGATGTAAAGGGGTAAGCTTGGGTGCTCTCTAGGCTCTTATTTGCTCCTTGCCTGGTAGAGGAGGTTGTGCAATGGCTGCGCGGGTGTTGATGCGGCGCCAAGTGGATAGATGGACGCGTCTGGGTGGGCTCCAGGTGGCGATGCCTCGAATGCCTCGAGCAAAATACGCTGGAGGAATAGAGAAGGACGGGGCCCGAGGATGAAGATGGATGACGGGTGTCTCTTCGACTCTCTTGTATGCTGAGAAAGAGAGAAGAGAGAAGAGAGAAGAGAGAAGAGAGAAGGAAGAGGGAAGTGCGTTGGGTGCGGTTGAGTGTGCGGCGCCTGAATTCTTTCTTTTCTCGGCGGATTGAGAGCAAGGGGCAGAGGCAGCAGTGGGCAGTGTCTACAGGCAGTGTCTTCTCTTCTCTTCTCTCTTCTTTCTTACTCTCTCTCTCTCTTACTCTCTTACTCTCTCTACTCTCTCTACTCTCTCTACTCTTTGACTCTACTCTACTCTCTCTACTCTCTTCTCTACTCTTTCTCTGTCTCTTCCATCTCCCTCTATACTGACCACATGCTGACTAAGTACTACCTCCTGACCTCCCTCGCCTCCCACTGCCTCCCTCTCTCCTCCTCACTGACCTGCACTATGCCCTTCTCTCTACTGCTCTGTGCTGTCTCTCTGCTCGCTCAATGCCGCTGGCTGTGACTGTCCTCACTTCTCTTGTGTCGCCAAAATTAGAATCTTTTCCAGCGCCAGGTGCAGATCAGACATCTGGCATGACATGGGTGGAGCAGCACTAAGCACAGTTACTAGTTATTATTTACTAGTTACTGGTGACTAGTGACACTGATTAGAATAGACTATTTACAAGGGTGCGTACCAGCTATCACTGTACGTGTCTACACTGCATACCGAGACACGAGCAGTCCCCCAGCAGCAGCACCCATGCCCACCCACGAGCACACCTCCAGACACCGCTCCACTGCCCGCCGAACTCGCACACCTGCCGCTTCCTCCTCCTCCAGCTCACCCATCACTTGATCCTCCTCCTCCTCATGACTCACTGCACCTCCTTCCTCCCTCCTGCTTGTCTGTGCCTGCTTCCCCCTCAAGCGCCTTGCTTCCCCTTCCAACCGCGCACGCTCGTCCTCCTCCCACCGTCCAGCAACACGCGTCAACTCACCCTCCGTCCGTGCAAGTCTCTCAAGATACGCAGCATACCCACCTTGCACATGCTTCAGGTATCGTCGACGTCGCTGTAATCGCTCAATCGACGCATGTGCCTGTTGACGCAATCGATCCATGTCGAGTGCAGTAAAGCGGACTTCTTCCACTGCAACGGCAGCGTCAGATGAAAGATGTGCATCTGCTTCCACCTCTGTCATCTTGTCTTGCTGTTGCTGCTGTTGATCTTCCTTGCCCATGACTGTCCCTGCGACTTGTGCTTGTTCTTGTGTCAGGAACTGAGTCCTCTTGGACGGTGATCCTTCCGGCAGCATCTTCCTCTTGGTAGTCCTCACATCATCCTCATCTTCAGAAGATAAATCCTCCCCTGCATCCTCCTGTAGCACAGCAGCAGCTGCATCCTCTGCTTGCGCTTGCCTATCAACAAGCAAAGCACGCTCTTCACGCACCCGTCGTTCCTCAACAGGACTCCGTACCAGCATCGGCACAGCCCAAAGCCTCTCCATCTGCGCCCGTGACATCCCCCTTTCCTGCCTTTCCGGCGTCTCACCCACCACCGCCGCCGTCACAGGACGACTCATATGTTGTCGTTCAAGCGCATCTTCAAGCTGACTAAACAACGTCGATGATAACACCGTAAGCCGTGATATATCAGATTCAATCGCCTTCACTTGCATCCTGAAACGTCGTGCTTTGCGTGTACGTACTTGATCGAGTTTTGCACGGATGGCTTCAGTGACTTCCTGGGAGGTTGTTAGTGATGTTTGCTCAGATGCGCACTTGCCATGATATGCCTGGTGCGTATTGTATGTGTGACTCTAGATTTGTGGAGTTGAACTGTTCAAGACTTCAACTTCAAGTCATCATCGCGTCGCGTCTCCAAATTCCAAATTCGCCACAAACAAAGCGCAAGTCTTCAACACACACACCTAAGGACGCGTCTGACTGCTCATCCTGCTCGAGTCTGAACATCATGACAGCAGCAGAAGCCGCAGAAGCAGCCAGTCAGCCACCAGACCAAGAAGAAGACGAAGGACACGCCGGTCCACGTCCCCTCTCTGACCTTGAAGGCAATGGTATCTCTGCCGCCGATATCAAGAAATGTGCCGATGCAGGATTCAATACGATTGAAAGTGTTGCTTTTACGCCAAAACGCTCACTCATGCTCATCAAGGGTATCTCTGAAGCGAAAGCTGAGAAAATCTTGACGGAAGCAACAAAGCATGTTCAACTTGGCTTCACTACAGCCACGGAGTATCATCAACGTCGTGAACAACTCATCTGTATCACGACGGGTAGTAAGCAGCTCGATACGTTGCTGGCGGGTGGTATTGAAACGGGCAGTATGACGGAGATTTTTGGTGAATTCCGAACAGGCAAATCACAAATCTGTCATACCCTCGCCGTCACCTGTCAACTCCCCATCGACATGGGTGGTGGTGAAGGGAAATGTCTGTATATCGATACAGAAGGTACTTTTCGTCCAGTCAGATTACTCGCTGTTGCAGAGCGTTATGGATTGAATGGTCAAGAAGTATTGGATAATGTTGCTTATGCACGCGCCTACAATGCAGACCATCAACTTGAACTCCTCAATCAAGCAGCCAGTATGATGGCTGAATCACGTTTCTCCTTACTCATTGTTGATTCAGCAACAAGTCTCTATCGAACTGACTTTGCAGGTCGTGGCGAACTGGCCGCTCGACAAACACACCTCGCCAAATTTTTACGCATGTTGCAGCGTTTAGCGGATGAATTTGGGATTGCTGTTGTCATTACCAATCAAGTCGTGGCACAAGTCGATGGTGGTGCAGCCATGTTCAATCCAGACCCGAAGAAACCCATCGGTGGTAATATCATTGCGCATGCCAGTACCACACGCTTGTCCTTGCGTAAGGGTCGCGGTGAGCAGCGGATTTGCAAGATTTACGATTCACCGTGTTTGCCGGAATCAGACGCAGTCTTTGCCATTCTTGCAGAGGGCATTGGGGACCCGAAGGATGACGCGTAAGGTTAGACACTTTGTATTGTGCATGCCAGTCTTAGCTCTGCCAATCGTTGCTCTTAGTATTGGATGCTGCTTCGCAAGATAGCCATGTCCTCCTCAATCGCACCATCACTCACTTGCATCCGTCGTCGTAGTGGTAACTTGAAGTACGCGTCCAGCGACATCTCACTGCGTCGTGGTAATCGTTCAACAGATCGACTCGGCGAATACCCTCTATCGTCTCCAGAGTCAAGTCGTTTACTCTGTGCTTCTCGTTGCATCTCTTGAAGAGCTGCTTGACGATCTGCTGCGCGTTGTCGACGCATTGGTGGTGTTGCTGCTGTGATTTGCTTTTTGACGCGAGAGGACGGTTCATAGCTATCTGTTGTATTGCGCCCTCGTGCGCGTTTCTTGCCCGTTGAAGGAATCTCTGCAGCTGCAACGGAGAGTTCTGAAGAGGTTGTTGAGAGTTGTGAGGAAGAAGGCTTCTTGGAAGCAGCAGTAACAGTAGTCGGTGTATGTCCTGCATCGACATTAGATTTCCCCTTCTTGGGTATTGGCATGATTGACTATGCAAAAGACAGAGACAGTAAGAAGCAGCTTATTTCTAGCAGAGCACGAGAGCAGGTAAGATGCAGGGAGCTAGATCATGTTTCTTGTATGCAGATGCAGATGCTTTGTACCGTGGACGCGACCAAAACAAACTTGAATTCACCAGTCTGACTGGTGAGTGAGTTCAGATGGCGACAACACAGGAAAATTGAGCGTGAGACGAAGGCAGTCCACGTCCAGAGTTTGCAGTCACGCAAGCAAGTCATGTTTCTAGATAGGTGTGCATCACCGCGTCAGTGCAGGAGAGGGAACAGAGAGGGATTGTGAGAAGAGAAGCGTCATTTAAATCATCCTCACAAAGCACCAGCTGGCAGTGATGATATAACTTTTACCATTCGTTTTACCTGCGGAAACAACTCATGTCGACACCCAAATTTCAGCCTTGTCTGAGCCTATGCTGTATGCTGTGCCATGATTGCGCTTACCTTCTCCATCTCTCTCAACACTTCTCTTGAACACAGTCCAAGTCCTACTGGGTAAGTCTTTCTCTTGATAAAATGACGATATTTGCGAACGGGCGAACTGAATGCGGACGCTTACACCAAACGACTTACGTACAATTCGCCGGAGCAGTCCACGCTGTTGATCGTTCATTTCTGATTATCAAACATTCACATCATGTTCTACTGCTGACATTTCAGGTATGTTTAGGTTGTTGCTGCTGCAAGAGAGCATTGATGCAAACGAATATCACTACTGTATCTGAACCAACACTTGTTGACACACATTTCACCTGACAATGCCTGAGCTCATCTCTCAGCAGCACTTCATTGCGCCATTGCAGTCATGCTAACAAACAGTTGAACTCTGCAATGAAGCGCGTCTGCTGCGTGTATCTCAACACGCGCCAATCAAAGCTTCATTATGCTGATGCTCTCTGCAGAGGAATGCAATGACGATACTCCATCAATTTGTATTCACACTGTCTGAGAAGCTATCCAATTCCCTGCAATGCGTTGCGGAAGAGTTGGCCTGTTCTTTCCATGTCGTTACTTTCAAATCTGAGCATCTCCTACTGCCCACCAGACGGTACATTCAGTGTCCTCCATTGGCTCCATCACTCTAAACGCCGCACTTCCTCGCTCTACACACGAACTACTAGCATATACGGCCGGTTTATGAACGCGAGGGGGTAAGGTCTGAGAATCACTCCCAACCAAGTAGCTCTAGCGGAGCCAGGCATTAACAAAACGTGTCTGCAACTGTATCAGAAAATACCTGCTCCCAGTCGACATGCTGTGTTTTACATGGTGTGCTCCTGGGGCAGTTGGAAGGCGGTTGCTGGGATGACTTGGATGTAGTGCAATGTGCGGCTTGTTTCCTTTGTTATAGAAGGAAGCAAAACTCGATTCAGACTAGTCTCTGAGTGGTGGACCTTTGGAGCACACTGCTGCTGTCTGGCATGCTGAGAAGGATCTTTGTACGCAATCCTTTTTTGATGACAAATTTCCCCGGACTTTTGACCTCCGCAGTCCAACCACCGACCACTTGTTCACTGCTACAAGTCTTCAAGTCTAGGCACGCTATGACCACTCCGCTTGCTCTCGTCGTCGGTGCTTCACGTGGTCTCGGTCGCCAGATCGCCTTGTCCTTTGCAGAAGCAGGCTATAACGTCTGCATCTCCTCAAAATCCCTCGGCCACCAAGCCTCAATAGGACCCGTAGACCCAAACTCGCAAGACTCCACGCTCGATACAGTCTTGGCTGAGCTACAAGCTCTTCCTGCCACGCGAGACAAGGGACTGCTACACTCTGCTGTTGCGTGTAATGTGCGTGAAGAGGCAGACGTCAGAGCCCTCGTCCAACAAGTGATTACAAGGTATGGCTCTATTCAAGCGTGTGTCTACAACCCAGGCGCAATTTGGTGGTCATCTATCATAAAGACACCCACGAAACGCTTTCAGCTCATGCACGAAGTCAATACCCGTGGCTTCTACATCCTCCTACAAGAACTCTTGCCATACTGGGAGAGGCAAGGCGGTCAGTATCCACGTCGCTTGATTGTCATTAGTCCACCCATCTACTCTCGTTTCATCAGGGGTAAAACCGCGTATGCAGCCACCAAGCTCTCTTCTACCATCCTCGCACTCGGCCTACATTTTGACGTACTACGAGACAAAGCACTTCATGATCCTGCTTTCGAGATGAATAGTGTCGGCGTGACCACACTGTGGCCGGCGACGGCAATTGAATCAGCAGCCACAGCGGCAGTCAATGCAGATCAGCGAGATTTGCGACATCCTCGCATCTTTGGTGATGCGTGCGTCGCCATTGTCAAGGCACCTTGGTTGACCATTGCCGGTAAGACCCTCTTGGATGAAGATTTCCTTCGTCAACACGGCGGCTTGACGGATGTACAGATTGCAGCGTATGCAAAAGTCCCAGGGACAACACCAAGACGAATCATGCCTGCTGTGTTACCTGATTTACGGGTCGCTGAACAAGATGATGAAGGAGATCGTCGAGATTCTGCCGTTGCGAAAGCGAGCGGAACGGCCAAGATTTAGGATTTCATCATGATCATTTCCTATGCTATGCTACTATGTAATGCCATTTCTGCACATGCTTCACGTTCAAGTCGTCCATCAATCGCTTCTTATCGCCTGAGTGCCAAGTCTCCACGCATCCGACACGGTGTCCGATGCAGACCAGAACGCCAATGTCGCAACCCACAAATCTTACAAGGAACTTTGGGTAAGGCCGCTTGATCAGTCTCTTTCGCTTCCGTTGAGCCAGCTGTGTTGGGTCGTTGAACACCATCCGACTGGACAATAATCTCCGTAGGCTCCACGACAGGCTGTTTTGCTCGTCGTTTCGGGAGTGGCGTCGTGGGCGTCTCGAGGGCTGCTGCTGCGGTACGTTTCTGCGCTGTGTCAAGGGTTGCCTTTGGTTCTTGTTGCATGGCTGTTGTTTGCTTTGCTGGGGATGTCCCTGTCACATTCTGCTGTAGTAAGCCTTCTGCTGCAATTAAGTGTGTTGTGTTGCTCCTGGCAGCATCTTGCTCTTTGGCTTCCTCTTTTGTCTGTGCAACAGTCTGTATTGGCTGCGTCTCTGCAGGTCCGTCTTTGACACTCGACGCAGAAGAAGTCGTCGTCTGCTTCGGCCTCGAATGCTGCAATAGGAAGCGCGAACTATCCGCCTCCTCACCACACTCGTCCCTTGCGAATTGTATACGAGCGCCACGGTACGAGCGCATACGTTTCAATGCCATAATCGCTTCAAGGGCATCATGCATACTGCCAAACACAATCCGAATAGTGCCTGAACGGAGACGATTCACGTCAATCACATTGCCAAGACGTGAACAATCTGCATGCACTTCATTGAGTGTGAGTCTCGGCTCATCCAACCAAAGTGTCGTACTACAACCACGTGATGCTGCGTCGAGTAAATGCCGACTCGGTGGTGTTGTAGCCAGCTGCGTCTCGTGTCTTGCAAATGTAAGACATTTCCCATCGAGCATCACATCGTGCTCGTTGACCCAGGTCAAGTAAAGCTCTGCTGCGCGTGGGTGTAAGTACCAAGCAACGGCATACCCTTGACCGGGAGTGAAGAAGATTTGTTCAACGGGACCACAACGAATGACGCGATGTAGCATGGCAAAGGTTGTACTGGCGTGGATGTTGCCGATACGGACGGCACGAGAGGCAGGGCCAAATCTGAAGGTGGATGGGCGTTGTTGTTGTGGTAAAGGAGATGGAGATGGGTTAAAGGCAGGTGTAGGCCCGGGTATCGGTTCAGGTGCAGCTGCGATGACTGGTCCAGGTGTATCGGCTTGAGCTGAGACTAGCTCTTCTGGTGATAGAGGCGTCCGAGCCGGTGCAAATGGTTCTGTTGTACTTGGATCCTTAACTTTGAACGCTTCGTCCAGAGCAGTTTCAACAGTAGCAGCAGCTTCGTCTTCTCCAGCAACTTGAGAAGCCTCTTCGGCAGAATCGGCAACAGGACTTTGTTCTCGCGGCGGCTGCTGCTGCTGCTGCTGCTGCTGCTGCTTATGCTGGTGCTGTACCGCACGCTTCTCTCTCTCAAGCTCATCAACACGCTTGGCCATCTTCCCAAGCTGTTCTTGCTGCACCAAGGCTTGCGACTCCAACTGCGACAACCGATCAAACAAACTCTCCAGCACATTCTCATCCAAGTGAGCAGCGGAAACGCCCGATGCTGCCGAGGAATGAGGTTGTCCATGTAGATAGTACTGCGTTGTTGTATGAGTCGAGAGTAATGCTTGCCTGCCATGGCCTTGTCGCCCACTCCCAACAGAACCCGTGGCGAGCCCATCACTCCCCATACGTGCTTGCTCGACTTGACCGAGACTGTGTTTTCCTGGGTACCCATGAAGACTGAATGGCTCAAACGGCTGCTCCAAATTCAACAGATCGGCCAATTCAAGCGGCGATGCACCGCGATGCGTGGCGGTTGTGGTGGATTTAGCAGTGAGTGTAGCAGTAGCAGGATCACTACGCAATGCAGCCGAGAAATCAAAGCTATCATCGTTGTGGTCGTTGTCGTAGTGGTCGAGGAGAGAGTAGTCGTCTGTGATGCGCCTTTCGCGCGACATGGCAATGCTTCAGGCAGGAAGCACAATGGCCTCAGCTCTTTATGACTCTCGGCCTTGCTCTGCTACTACTTTGCCGTCTTTTCGAGAGCTGGACGCTGCGAGGCCTCGCTTGGTGCTTGGTAGCTCTTTGATCTCTTCTCGACCTCGACTCAGGGGTCACATCAGCACAGTCACATATACAGGATGATTTGGACAAGGAAATGGACAGAGATGCTAGAGACAGAAATGCTCGCTCGCTCGACTGATGCTGAAATGCTGATGCTGAGAGAATAGAATGGGCCGAAAGAATGGCAGAAAAGGTCATCGTCAAAATTGAATTTGCTCAAGGTACTTGGCCCAGTAGACACAGGTCTCTGGCGATATCGGTGTCCCTGACGTACATAGCCTGGACACAGGACATCGGCCACATGGAATCTCAGTGGACGCATGACTTTCTGTGTGTTGTTTCGCAACGTGTCCCTCCCTCGCCTGCTTGTTGCGTGCGATGAACGCCTTGTATGGATCACCCTGCACTGTCCGAGTACTTTTCCATGTTCCTTCGGGGGTACGGGTGATCTTGCCATCAAAGCGAAGAACATCGAGAAGCGTGCGGACGTGATCGACTTCGAGCTCGATATCCTTGACCACGCCTGATCGATGTAGGTAGTCTTTGATCTCCGAGACACTTGGATAGAGCACGACCAGCGGGTCAAAGATGCGAGCATGTCCTGAGATGGAGAGATTGCTTGGATGGCTCGAATCTGGAAAGGTCTGCTTGAGGAGGTACGTCTCGATGGTCGTTAGCAAATGGGAGACAAACTCCGTGTCGAGTTCGCCGTCTGTATACCAAGGCCCGCCAGAGATCTCAATAGACGGCACCAAGTCATACAACATGTAAATCTTGCGCGTTGGGTGTTGCACGCTCTTGACACACTTCACAAGACTCTTTGCCTCGAGATTCTTGAGTGTCTTGCTAATCACCGTCGTGTGCAGATTTGTCCGTAGCTTCAGATTTCTGAGCCAGATGCCTTCATTGCCAGAGGCCTTGATATACTGGTAGACCATTTCCTCGTCGCCATTCATGTCTTTCCGCTTCTTGGACTCTAGCTGGCCGATGGCCGTATACAACAAGCTCCCGTCATGACCTGCTGAGATTTCGAGCATGCGCTGCTTGAGCATCTCATTGATCCGCTCAGAGACCTGCTCGACGGAGGGTGAATCATCGCAAAAGGCAACAATCTCTTGCTGTGTCACAGGACGTTGAACTTCGCTGCAGCGGTCGTGGATGTCTTGGAGTTGTGCACGCAGGAGTGCAGGATCGCCTTCCTTCTTGACGGCAGTCGACGGTGGCATGGTCCAGTCGAGATCAGACCTAGAGGCAGGCCAAGAGAGGCATCCACACTGCGTCTTGTTGCTGTTTTCTTGTTGTGAAAATGTCAAAAGTTGAAAGTTGAAAGTCGTCCCACATGTTTGTCTCTCTCTCGCTGCATCTCTGTGCTGCAACTCGTTCTCTGGGTGTTGTTGATGCCTGCTGCCTCCATGCCTGTCTCCTCTCATTCTTTGCTTTTTCCTGGGTGTAGCTGCTCTATCTCTACTCAAGTCCCAGGACACTCACAGACATCCTCGTCTCTACATGACCACTGTGCTACTTTGCCATGACTTCGCTCGATGAAATGCTCATCTATGCTCGCCAGAACAAGCTAGCTGTTCCTGCAAGGCGAGAAGCCCATTACCTTCTCAGAGAGACCTATCTGCAGTCTTCCCTTCTACAGGACCCCTCCCTGTCTCAGTTGGATGATGTTCCTCTCCCAAAAGACCCCTTTGTCTTGTCTAAAGAGACCCTCCAGCTCGTCAAGCAAGTCTACGCTGCTGCTACACAGGGACAAGAGACACTCCCTGTTGCGTCTCTTGTGGATTTAAAGCGCTACTACCTCGACTTGCCCCTCTTCAAACGAGAACCGCACGAAGGCAAGACCTTCAAACATCCGACGTGCTTGGCAAGCGCAGCATCATCTCTGCCTCGCAGTCATGAGATCCATGCTCTTCAAAACATCTGGCAGAGTCTCAAGCCGCAGTTGCATGAGACTGCTAAGCTAGTAGTGGACGCATGGCCACTCACTGCTCCTGAAGTTGAAGCACTTGAAGCAATCATGCGACCAGTCCAGCCTGACTCCGTTGCTACACGTCGTCAAGCAGGAAAGAGTCAGCAGTCCTTGGTCCTGGAGTTGCCGCTTCCTACTAGACGCTATCCAGGGAATGCATACCGCCTTGCTGTTAAGCGCTGGGCACTACCAGAAACCAATCAGCTTGATTCTCTGGAAGAAGCAGAATTGAGAGAGCTGATGCAGGAGCCTCTCTCACCGCAAGATCTACAAGCTGCGCAAGAATTACGACGAAGGGAAGAAGTTGACTTCATTCGAGAGCGTATCAGATTGCCAGACTTTCACTTTGAGCTTCCCGAAGTACCGCGCGTGTATCTAGGCAAGACACTTCCTCAAGAAATACCCATGCAAGATGTCGCCTGTCTTTATGATGCAAGCAGTACGGATCTACCCTATGCCATGGATTTGCCAAGCGATCCCTACACGGCGTTTCCACCAGATCACCTGAACCAAGCCGTCGAACAGCTCCGTCTCGCCCTCCCATCTTTACATGACCCGCAAGCAATCACACTGGATCGTTCCATCTTGCCACAAACAATGCTGGATATTCATCGGGCACGCCATGCGAAGGATAGAGGGTTCACCGTTTCGGCGCTACCTGCAAAGCATCTCGATTTACAAGTCACTTGGATGCCATTTTTGGGGAGATTAGAGGCCATACGAGGAGAAGAGACGATGCCAGGTGAAGAATTGGCACTTGACTATCTCATTGTGCAGGAAGAGGTGAGGAATGCGCCAGCGGTGAAGGACGTCCCGCATGTTGCCTCGTCATCAACGCCCGTCAAGCCTCGACCCATTGAAAGTCATGTCAAGGCGGTACAAACCTCACCAAGCGTATCGAGTGTGTTGAGCAAAGCGTCTGCAATGGATGTGCTCGAAGCCATGTATGCAGTCGATCGCGCGTTTGAGAAACAAGACCAAGAAGGGCTTGTCGTGCAACAAGATAAGAACTCGCAAACAGAATTGGTCGAGGAGCCTGTTCTGATCGTTTCCTCACCAAAAGTCAAGGCTCGCTGTGCGAGTGTTTCATCAGAGGACAGTCTTGATCGGCTTGTCAAACGACGCAAGATGGATACAACACGGCTGAACTACCCAAAGGAAGTACTACAAGATCCTATGCTCGAGATGATGTTGGCACAAACAAGTAGGCTGCCGGTCCTTGCTACGTCGCCACATCGACAGACCGTTACATCTGCAACTTCTGCCATTGCAGTAGATCCCCAACCAGTGGCTACAACAACGACTTGGAGCTGGATTGTGACGCCTCGTGTGCTGGGTATTCCAAACTTACTGCGCACACTGAAACTACGAATGCCAAGCATTCATTTCGCAGAACGCGACTGCCCCGCGGATGAAGCAGATCTCATCACCTCCTATGCAAGCGCTATTTCACTTCTCCCGCAAAGCGAGCTTCGTGACCTGGACGCTCTCTATCAACGGCTTGCGTGGCTCTTGAAGCGCTATCGTGCACTCTCCGTCTTGCTTCTACTGCCAGCATACGACAGATCCGCTGCGCTTCAGATGGCACACGTGGCAAGTTGGCTCAAAACGAATGCATCTGATAGACAAGAGACAAGCTGTGTCCTTTGTCATGATACTGAAGACATGTCTAGATGGATAGAGCGACTTGGTTATGGCGCCATGCGGCAATTCGATCTCTGCCCATCGTTGCAAGGAGAGCCAACTCCTGGCGAAGCCTTTTTATCGTCATGGCCCATGATCAATCCAGTTCTGGCTGCACTCATCCTCCAAGCAACGACGGTGGTAGATTTCATCCTCCTGTCAAGACAAGAACGACGAAGCTTATTTGGCGAGCGCTATAGTGATGCTTGGCTAGACTCGCTACATGACTTTTGCAACAAACCACAGCAAACGAAACTCTAGATGCGTGCGCGAACAGGCGTAATCTTGAATGTTTGCCAAAACTCAATTGCATCGTAGCATCGGCCTAGCGTCTCCATGCTTCGCGGCAGCGCCTTTGTGCCCGTTTCCTGCATCAACTCAAGGATCCACGTCAATACTTCACCGTGTGCATCGCCGTCTGTCTCTGCCTTTGCAGCAGCACTCGATGAACCCCAACCAAGCATGAGCGCCCACCAATCATACACAAATCCATCTGTCAACATCCAACGACTTGGACCAGGCCAAGCGCCCATCACTGCTAATATGGCTCTTGCTACATCTTGACCATGCACCATATGCAGTGACTTCTTCTCCTTTGCATCAGCTTTTGATTTGACAATTCGATCGACAAAGGTACGGGGTTGGCGAGAACCGCCCCAGAGTCCTGAGAGATTGAGGATACAACCACCAAGTTGTTTGAGTTCGTCTTCTGCAATGGCGCGTGGATCAGTCGTGTCGTATGGCGAGTGTCGTGAAATCCAAGTGGTTTGTGTGGGCTGTGCGGCACTTGTACTATCAGCAGCGGTATGACCTGGTCGTGTTGCTGCAGATTGCCAGATACCCGTCGACCCGAGTTGAATATACTTTGGCTTCGTCTTGTGCGTTTCCTGGTAGAATTGCACCAATTTCTTGCTTCCGCCGTGGCCTTTGATTGGAAATGTGATGAGAACGTGTTTGGCTTCTGGGAGATGCTTGTATGCGCTGCTGTCGGCTGCTTGGTCATCGAATTTGAAGGCGATTGTGCCGTCATGGCCTGTTGTCGTTGTTGCTGCAAAGGAGATGTTGCGTTCCTTGCACAGAGGAATCAAGAAGGTTGATGTCCATCCTGCGCCCAATATCAATAAGTCTACAGTCATCTGGCCAGCTACTTCTAGAACACAAGAGATATAATGTTAGTCGATGGTGTCGTTGTCGCCCCCCGCAATTGAAGCGCGCAACTTTGACAAAGACAAAGAACAGCTGCCCAATCTATTCACTTTCAGAGCTCTTCTTCCTTGCTCTTCAAGCTATCATACTGCCGAAGGGCTGAGGCAAGCCATGGACATCACTGTTCTTGCGCAATCTGGATCGCGCGCCATTATACGCTTCGCCAATCCAGCTGCAGCTGCAAGTGCAAGTGCGATAATGTCGCCTGCATGTCCAGCAGAAGCAGATGCCTCGCTCGTACCTGGCTCGCCTGCCACTGTTGCTTCTCTAAATCATTCGTCAGACTTGGAAGCGAAAGCAGAGTTGGTCGCGACGAAGCGTGATGTGCTGTCTGATCAAACCACAGTTGCAGATGTCAAGGCAAGGCTGCTACAGGCATGGCCAGATGGATTTTCAGATCCACCAGCAGATGCTTCTTTCATCAGGTATTGTTAGAATGTCAATTTGGCAAAGCTAATGTTGACTAGGCTCATTTATGGAGGCAAAGTTCTTGAGGATACTCAACCACTTCAATCACTCATGCCAGCGGCTTCAGCTGACACGGCACAAGCAAGCACGGCAGTTCTACAATCTCAAACGCAGGCGTTGACGATGCACATTTCTGTACGGCCAGCGAGTATGGCCCTGTTGCCAACGCAATCTAAATTTGGCAGTACGCATCGTAGGTCTCACAATGGCCATGATGCGCCTGCTTCAGCCCAACAAGGTATCAGTGGTCATGCAGAACAGAGTCATACACGCTCTCGCGGATGCGGCTGCTGTTTGATTCAATAACTTCCATTTGTCGCACTGGTTCTTCAATGGTCACTCTACTTTACTCTTTACGATTCGTCGGCTTTTCTCCTTTTACGCTATGGCATAGGCTTTTTCATCAATTCATTTGCATCATCCCTTGATCCTCTCTGTGTTTGCTTGGTTGACTCACCAGATTCCTGTGCGTTCAATAACCCGACCGACTGTCTTGCCAATGACGCCTGCTACCAGCTGATAGCTACGATACCCATAAATGATTGGCAATGCAGGCCAGATCCAAGTTTCGGCGAGATGTTCTGCTGGAAAGGCATCATGCTGAAAGGTCACATACCACGTTCCATCTCCCGTTGATTCCTTCTTCGGCGCTGACGACGGGCCGTTGCTCAGCTTGACGAGACTTAGTGTAGTCAAGAGACGCAAGTTGTAAACGCGAGAGAACCAACGTGGACCCAATGGGATGAATGCTGCACTGAGTGATTCTCGTAAATCAATCATGGCCGTTGCCGTGGCAATCACACGTCGACCGTCTTGTGTACATTGCGCAGCTTGTTGCGCGCCGGCTTTGTGAATCAATAGACTTCGGTCGAGGCTCGATGGCGGTTTATTGTCCTTCCATCCATACCATCCCAGTGACTCACCCTCTTGACGCTCGTCAAGGTCGTCGATTTTGACCATGATTCGGACGACATCGATTTTGATGTCTCGTGTGAGACCTTTGTACACAGCATAAACAGCTTTCAGATCTTCACGAGACCCAGCGTATGTGCGCGTTGGCGCTCGACGAGGAACGATACACAGAGGATGTGCAAAGCCTGCGCACGGCGTGAAATGTTGATCAACCAGCGTTCGCTGTGCTGCGCCGGATTCAGCGCAATCTGTGAGAGCGTGGAGGAGTGTCCTCAAGTCTTGCTCGAGCCTATCATCATTGTCCATGGTCATAGCCAGTGGCAGCTTGCTGTTGATGATGCCGTTTGAATGTTAACTAGTTACCTACGAGAACTGAAAAAATGAAATGACTGTGTTACTCCTTCCTCATTTGCACTATGATGTACATCTTTTTTCTTTTGGCTTCTTCTCATCCGAGGGAAGCTTGCAATCCTAGTTGGAACTCATTCCCGGCAACGCAGGCGTGACAGGTCCCAACTTATCCAACGTCTCACCATTCGTCAATTTCTGCGCCGGCATGTTCCTCAATGTCAAGGGAAACGGATAAGCATGCTCTTGCTCATCCTCTTCATCAGCTGCACTGACACCTGTTGGTCCAGTGAGTTTATAACTGATGTAATCTTCCGTGTTGAGACCCTGAAGACCTTCCTGCAAGGAACCCAGATCACCGGGTGTCATGGCACCATGCCTGAAACGTGGCGAGCCAGGTGCTGAGAGAGGACGTGGGACTTTGATGTTTGTTGAAACAAAGGCATCACCGCCTTCAGTCTGTTCGGCACCTCCATCTTCTTCAGCGAAACTCGAAGGATACGCTCGTCGAAGGGCAAGTTGACGCGCCTTCATATACTCCAGACCCATACGTTTCCAATCCAAAAAGTCAGAGAGTCGTTCACAACGGTTTCGTTGGTTGATGCGTTGCCTGCGAGATTTCTTTGTAAAGTTGAACATGACATCTGTGAGTTGATTGAGTGATTCATCCACTGACTTCATACGACGATCGACAATGTAGATGCCGTAGTCGGATGGGTTTTCAATCAAATCTTCCATGTAACAACCGAAACCAGACAAGTTGGTCGTGATGGAGGGGACACCCATGACGGTACACTCAGCAGGTGTATAGCCCCAAGGTTCATAGTAAGATGGAAAGACACCCATATGACAACCTCGAACAAAGTCATCATAATCCAATGACAAGAGTGGATTATTGGCATTCAAGAATTCTGGGTGGAAGATGATCTTGACACGATCGCTTGAGTGGTTGAAGAGATGCACACGTCGGATTTGTGCAAGAATTGGATCTTCTGCGTCATTTGCCATGTTGTGCGTGACAACCGGTGGGAGGGAGTCTCGCTTGAGTGCATACACACGACGTTTAAGGAGAATCTTCTCCTGTGGTGTCATGAGTTCCGAGGCATCAGGCACTTCAGTGCCTGGCTTACCCGTATATCGTGTTGCTCGATCAAAGAGACGACGACCCATATCTTTTTGAATTTGCTCAACAGTTGCTTCCAATGCTTTGGTGACGGCTTGTCCCTTGAGTGCTTCAACCGAGTAGGAGGTGGTTGCAGCAGGCATAATGATGAATGCCACAACGGTTTGCTTGGAGCCAGAGACTTTCATTTGATGGTTGAGACGTGCCATAGATTCAATAAACATGTCAACGCCCTTGTTGCGGTACTCATACCGACCTGCCGTAAAGAAGTACAGCGTATTATCCAAATCAAAGTCATAGTGTCCATAAAAGTGGCCACGCACGAAATCGTTGATTTTGGATTTTGCCGTTTGATGGAGGTTTTGGAATTCATGCATGGCGCTGAATTTAACGACATTCATACCGTTTGGTAAGACACCGTCTGGTTTACGCTTGAGGAGATGTTCCGACTCATACGCCGTGATGTGCGAGACGGTGGTGAAGACATCTGCAGCATGAGCAGCAGCACGCTCGATACAGTAACGGTGGTAGATGCCGCGTTTACCAGCTTCATGATCAACATCGAAATGCTGCAGATTGTTGTAGAAATCGACGCTACCAGCACACAAGTATCGACCGAGCAACGTTGCATGCGTGGTGAAGATGGTGGTGACATCGATACGACGTTTCCTGCAGAGTGGCAAGGCAACACCTGCAAGCCATTCATGGAAATGAGCGACAATGGCACGTTCTTTTTCCTGAGATGCAAATTCGCCGAGGAACCAAGCAACGAGGTATCCAAAAAGGATGGTTTCATTGGTTTCCGAATCACCATCTGGTGCAGGGATGCCTGCCGTAGCCCATAGGTCGGCTTTCCATTCATTCAGCCACTGCCAGGCGCCTTGGAGTTCAAAGAGGAGGACTCGAGGTGCACCTTCGATAAGCCAGCGTCCATAGAGGTACTTGACACCACGTGAGGACATGGCCTTGAGGGTTGCATGGAGGGCTGGTTGGTTGTCGGTGGGGAGTTCCTCGACTTCAATGAGATTTTGGTTGAGTGAGTGGAGACGGCCGATTGCACAGTAGCGGTTGTAGGGGTACTCTGCTGCTGTGACGGGGGCCTTTGACTTGAGCACGCTGGTGAGAGGTTAGTATAACGTGGGGTTAATATTTGATGAGTATGGGACATACGAGTAGATGCCGCCGACTGCTGGTTAGCGAAGAAAGTGATGGATGGCAGTGTACCTTTATTAGCGACCTCTGTTGCCACTTCGAAGAGGACGTGGTTCTGTACGTCTCGCTGCGTCATAACTAGCTGAGATGGAGTATAGCTGGTTGGAGTCCCCGGGCGTTGAGAATGGATGAATGAGTGAGTGCAGAGTGCTGGAGAAGGAAAGATCCCACGGGAATGACGCACACTCCACATTCGACTCACACCACAGACTATATCTATTCTATATACTATACTATACTATACTATACTGTGTATTGTCCCTCGTAGCTTGATAAGTAGACACAGCTGTAGCTCAGATGATGCCGAGCATGGACATCCCCGTCCTGACCTCAGAGGTACGCGACCACCTCGCCAACGAGCGCACCTTCCTCTCTGCCCTCAAGATGAGTCTCTCCCTCGCCCTCGTCTCCTTCGTCTGCTTCCTCGATGTGCGTCTCAATCGCACCTCAGCTGCAGCACTCGATGGCGACACGTCACTCTCGCAGGCGCATACACCGCACAGACCTATGGTGCATGACAGAAGCAAGCTCACCTCTCTGCTGGCCTTTGGCTTCCTCTTCATGTCCCTCCTCAGCATGTTCTCTGCATGCCTCAACTACTTCAGAACGCAAAACAGGTATATCAAGCATATAGGCATCGTCAGAGATCATTGGTTCGTCAATGCGTCGATTGCCATGGTCGGCGTCGGTATGCTGCTCGCGAATGGACTGCTGCTCTTCGAAGAGCGCAATGACCCACGAGGATTGACATGATGAGGATGCTGGTCATGTCTATAAGCTTATCTATTCTCTGCAGAGGATGCTCGTTCTTCTTGATGCAGAAGAGGTGGATAGTGGAAGCTGTTCTTCATTGCTGTCGTTGTCTCTGCGCGGCGGGCTCAGCATCCTCGTCGACCGTGGCCGTGTCCCCCTGCCACAAGCCACTACCCAGCAACGCAGACTCGATGATCCGACTCAGTGCTGCGTCCCGATTCACACCATCTTCCTGACTCTGCCGCATCAACGCATCAATCTGATCCCTCTGCTCCTGCGACAACGCATGCATGGCTTCCTCTGCATCTACTTGCACAGTTGCGTCACCTGCTGCCGTATACGCCGCCGTACTCCCATTCGGTAACACCACTTGCTCAGATTCACCAGGCGTGACTGTTTGTAGATATGCAATCACCTCTGGAAACTCATCTTCCTCTCGATGATGCGCCAATGCTGTTTTCCCCTCTTTATTCCGATGCGCAGGGTCTGCACCGCATGAAATCAAGAGTGCTGCCATCGGTGCTGTTTCAACAACAAATAAAGGTGTATCGCCTTCATGATCTTGTAGATTCAAATCACCACCATGCGCAACGAGTAAGTCGAGGAGTGTGAGATGTGCGTAACTTGCAGCAGCGTGCATGCATGAATAACCGTGTTCGTCGAGGGCATTGATATCTGCGCCTGCTGAGATGTGTTGTTTGACTGTTTCTAAATCATTCTCTGAAGCAGCCAGGAAAATGTTTTTGCTGGGGATGGTTGCGGTTGGTGATGATGTTGGCTTTTGAGCAACGGATGGCATGAGTCCGTATGCTGAGGACCTGATTCGTCTCGGAGGCAATAAGGTTGCTTGTCTTGACTTTTTTGTGGTGTAGCAGATTTGCGACGACCAGATAATTTTATCGACGTCGACAACGATCTGTGAAGCTGGCAAGTCTTGAGGGCGAATTGCTGCTCCTTGCTGATCGATCATCATGTCTGAATCTACGCTAGCTACGCCCGCTCATGAAATATCTACCAATGCGTCTGACTTGGATAGGGATGAGATTGATGTAAGCACATCCAGCTCAATATCTGAACCTACTGCTGACTGCGCTCAAGCATGATCCCTCAGACTTGTCCTCTGATGACCTCGACTATGACAAGATTGCTCGAGATGGTCAGCAGCTTGCAGCAGCGAGAGTTGACCATGTAGCTAAGCATGGCTCTGATGCTGAGCTTGAACAAGGGGAACATACAAGTACTTCAACAAAGGAAGCGCATATGCGAACCTTACTGAAACGCCTCGGTCCTATGGAGCTCATCACCAAATTGTTCCACAGAGGCTGGACGGCTCGTGATGTATTCAGATCATTTGGCTTGGATCCACCTTCTATGAGTGAAGACGATCCCATGATGACACCAGTCTTGTTACTTGCCCTCACAAAAGAAAGTCGTCGACGTCTCCGCTTACCACATGTCAGCAGCATTGACGACGTCGTCAAGCTTCTTCAGTCGAGCAAAAACATTCTTGTTATCACAGGAGCAGGTATCTCAACCTCCCTCGGTATCCCAGATTTCCGTTCGTCTGACGGCATTTACAGCAGACTCGCAAAGTACAACCTCTCAGATCCGCAAGAGATGTTTGACATTGACCTCTTCACACAAGATCCAAGCATCTTTTTCGACTTTTGTAAAGAGTTGCTACCTGAAGATCGAGGGTACTCACCCACGCATGCATTCATCAGACTCTTACAAGATAAGGGCAAGTTGTTGACGCAGTATACACAAAATATCGACGATATTGAGTCTTCCGCCGGTGTGGACGATCAGCACCTCATTCAGTGCCATGGATCCTTCAAACGAGCGACGTGTCTTACCTGTGGACGGAATAGGCCTGGCAGTGACTTATTCCCGGAGATATTAGCAGGGAACGTTCCTCGCTGCGAAATCTGTCTTTCAAATCTCATCCCTCGTGCGTATCCAAAGAAGAAGGCATCATCATGGGACAACGATGCATCAGAAGAAGAAGACATGTCGGATCCAAGTTTCGCAGTGCTCAAACCAGACATCACCTTCTTTGGTGAACAACTTCCGACTGCTTTTAAGGATCGCTTCTTGGAAGATCGATCAAAAGTCGACTTGACGCTTTGCATTGGTACTTCTCTTCGTGTCGCACCAGTAGCCAATATCCCAGAGATGCTCGACCCTCAAATTCCCCAGATTCTCATTTCACGAGACAAGTTACATGGTGGGTTCGCTTTTGATGTCGAATTCCTTGATGGTGCGTGTGATGCCGTTTGCTTGGAACTTGCGTATCGCGCAGGCTGGTCAGACGAACTCGATAAGCTGATTGAAGCAGGAAGTGTACCAGGTCGAGTGAAAGCTGAGCGAGCAGGGGATAGGCTTGAACAAGTCAGTGATCATATCTATACATGTATATCTGCATAGACGCTCCATACTTTATCTATTGCGAGGCGAGTGACTCCTTCTTCTCCTGCAACACAACGAATCGAGCTTGTCCTTCATTTCGTGCCCGCATCAATGCTGCAACGTCCACTTCAAGCGACTCTGTCCGGGTCTGAATGGCTGCACCTTCATTCACCTTCAAATACCGAAACGTCTCAAGCGTCATGCGAGCTTCAGTCAACGCAGCAGCAGCTTCTGTCATCTTGGCGGAAAGCATGGTAGCGCGAGAGAGGTACCCGCCTAGACGCACTTGACACTTCTTGTCAAGTTTTGCTGCGTCATTGGCGTCTTTGGCGAGATTGTCCTGGAGTGCAGGCAGGAAGACTTCTTTGGCTGCTTCCACCTGATCTTGCTCGTCATCATAGTGCTGCAACCCTGGCAATGCAGCTGCTGTGAATGAAGGACGATCTGCGAATAGATCCTTCGGCTCTCCTTGCATCTCAGCTGCAATCAGAGCACGGGCTGCTTCCATGGCCTCGACGTCAATTTCACGATCTATACCAAGCGCTTCCTTGGGTACAATCTGCTTGACCTCCCTTGAAATCGGATAGCGTCGTGCATCGAACGCCAGCAACCGCGCCATCTCCAGTCGTATAAGCTCTGAAGGATTCTTTGGCGTCTCCGCCAAAAACGCAGGATAGTCCACATTCAAGGGCCGTGGCAAGGCACGCTGCATGACCTGTGACTGTTTTGCACGACGCGCAGCATCCGCTGCTTCACGCTCTCGAGCGAGCCTTGCATCCCTCGCTTCTGCATCTTCAGCAGATAACTCCACCACAGCCTCTTGCTCCATCTCTTCCGGCTCTTCCAGCTCAAAATCATTCTTCGGTGCAGGCAAGCTTGCAAATGCGTCTCTCAAATGGACTGCGCGTTGCTTTGCAAGTTGTTGCTCATCTTGTAACACCATTTGCATAGCCGTCTCCTGAGTCGAGCCACGTAGCTGAAGCATATCTCGTTGCGGTGTTCTCAGCGGAGTCATACCGGCGCGGCGAGGTCCAGATGTCGGTGCTCGCATGGGATGTGGTGTTGCTGAGGCATGTGCGCGCGGTGTAGCGCCACTGTAGCCAGTCCCATCTGTTCGACCGTAGATTGGCGTATTCTCACCGCCCAGTAAGGAAGATTGGGTATTGGTCATGGCGCGTAGATTATTGGCCTCATTCAAGATCGTATCTTGCGCTGCTGGTGTTCGTGGCGTCCGGATCGGTTGAGAGGATCCAATGGGGCCATAGTCGCTTGCAACCAAATCTCGAGAAGCTTGATTGCTGGCATCATCGAGTCGCGCTGCTTCACCTGCGGCACGCGATGTCATGCCCATTTTGACAATCTCTTCAATTTCTTGGTCAGACACTTGCGGACCAGGTAAGTTGAGCTTGCGGCGCTTCGTGACCTGCTCTGCTTTGCGTAGTCTTTCGAGTGCTGCAGCTGTGGAGTTTGCATCAAGCTTGTCTGGCTCTGCTTGTGCATCCTTGTCGCGCTTTGTACCTTGCTGGGCTTTTCGTTCAGCAAGCATATCCTCCTCCTTCTTTCTGAGTGCTTCAATTTGTCGAAAGTCCATCTTGGATCGTTCATGCTCGTTTACTTCATTCTCCTCAGTCGTGTCGTAGAAGCCAAGTGCTGGCTTGTGCTCGAATGGGATGTCTGCATTGTAATCGAGAACGCCCTTCTTCCGCCAATTGAGCTTAATGTTGACGCCAGCAGCCTTCAACTCGCGTCGCTTTGCAATGACGCTCAGGCGTTTTGTCTCTTCAAGCAGTCGTTCACGCTGCTTCCGTTTCGCCTTTTTACCTTGCGTATTGGCCAATCTTGCTCGTGCCTCAGAGAGCATCTCCTTTTCATCTTCATCCATATCAATAGCATCTGGCTTTGCTGGCTTAGTTTCTGGGTCCGGATCCACCTCGCCGGGTCGTAGTTTGCGCACAGAATCAGCAGTCGGCGCACTACTCTCCATGCCTGGCCCAGCAAGTCCCAGCTCATTGTTCTCTGCTGCTTCCGCATCATCAAGCAGCTGCTGATACCGCTCTAGACACTGTGTACTCGTGCGACCGACAATCGGTGCAATCGTCCGCCATTGCGTCGGCAGCAATTTGGCAAGATGCAGTAGCTTTTCATCTTCATCCTTCGTCCACTCAATCTTCTTGATGCTTGGGTCCAGCCATTCGTACCAGCGCGCTTTACACTGCTTCGCTGTCTTGCGCACAAGCAGCGACGAGATGCGAGCCCATTGATTTTTCCCATACTTGGAGATGGCGGCCTTGAGGATTTCGTCCTCTACATTCTTCCATACGCCTCCTTTGATACTCTCCATGGTCTATGAGTTTCTTTCCCGTCCCTCGCAATGCTCTACGATGCCAGGCCCTGATCCTTTTGTAGTTGGTCGTCTTGGCGAGCTCTTGTCGCGCTTTTTGAATTTTGAGATTGAAGACGAAGCACAACGACGACCAGCTGGACAGAGGCCGCGCATGCATGGACAGCCTGGATGAGCTCGAGAAGCTCAACTTGGTATCGAGGGTGACACAGGAAGTGGAGAATCATACTGGGATCCATGAAAAAGTGCTGGCAGAGTACATCATCTCGCAGCATGAGGCCTCCAGTAGCTTCAAGGACTTCCAGGCCAACGTGGGTGGCGATTTCACTGATGCGCTGCTAGAGACGATTGATCGCCTTGTTTTGACAATGCACCCTGCATACCGCAAGAAGACACGGGCGAAAGGCGACGCACTCCAGACATCTCCTGCTGGAAACAGCAAAAGTCGCGTCTTCAAAGGACTCGCCATACCCGACGGACCTTCGAACTACGAGCTTGAACAGGCAGAGACGGCAGATCTAGATGATACACTCGCACAACTCGAAGCGCTGGGTCCCAAGGCGCCTGTAGGTGCGGAGCGCAAACGAAGCCGCTCACCCAGCATTGACCGTTCTCGGCAGAGAAGACGACGCTCGCGTTCAAACTCGCCACGGATACCTCAAAGAGATCGTGGTCATGCTGAGCGTGAAGATTGGCGTCGTGAACGATCACCGGAGACATACAATAGTCGTCGGTTCCGTCGAACGCCCTCACCACGTGGTCGCCCTATCAATACAGAGCCGGAGCTCTTCAGCATCTACGAAGGACGCATCACAGGAATCAAGGACTTTGGCGTCTTTGTTGCCATCAAGGGATTGAATCGCGATGGTCTTGTGCATGTCTCCAAAATTCAAGAAAATGGCCACATCAATCATCCCGCGGATGTTCTTGGTCGTGGTCAACTAGTTTGGGTCAAGCTAATCAAGGTGGATGGACAGAGATTGAGTCTGAGTATGAAGGATGTGGATCAAGCAACAGGCAGAGACATGAATCCTCAACAACAGATCGATGCAGAAGTGGCGCTGGACCGTTTGCACAACAAATCAGTGCCTATCATTGAAGACGATGATGGCTATGTCAAGAAGAAGCACAAGAAGCGGCTGACTTCCCCGGAGCGTTGGGAGCTCAAACAGCTCATTGCATCTGGCGCGGTACCTGCAACAGAATTGCCAGAGGACGATGACTATAATCTAGACGGCGACATGAGTTCTGATGCAGACGAGGAGTTTGATGTTGAGGTTCGCGAGGAAGAGCCACCATTCCTACAAGGACAGACTCGACAATCACTTGAACTGTCGCCCATTCGTGTCGTCAAGGCACCTGATGGCAGTATGAATCGCGCAGCCATGTCTGGAGGACAACTTGCAAAGGATCGCAGGGAAGCCAAGGAAAAAGCACTTCGTGAGGCAGCCAAGGAAGAAGCGGCCATGCGGGATCCAAAAGCGAAGCATGATCCCATGGCGCAAGGACGGACTGAATCGGGGCCTTTGCGCTCCAAGAACGACGAATGGCGTCAAGCGGTGATGCCACGCAATGCACCTCTTGGTCGAACCACCACAATGAGTATTCAGCAGCAGCGAGAATCTTTGCCGGTCTTTCAGCTTCGTGCGCCGTTCCTCAAGGCTATGGACGAGAACCAGATGCTCATTGTTGTCGGAGAGACAGGATCAGGGAAAACGACGCAACTGACACAATATCTTGCGGAAGAAGGCTTCACGCGCCATGGCATGATTGGTTGTACACAGCCGCGTCGTGTTGCTGCAACGTCTGTTGCAAAACGTGTTGCCGAGGAAGTTGGTTGCAGACTTGGCCAGGAAGTTGGCTACAGCGTCCGTTTCGACGACTGCTCTAGCCCAGCGACACGCATCAAGTATCTGACTGACGGTATGCTACAGCGAGAATGTCTCCTCGACCCCGACCTGAAAAAGTATTCAGTCATCATTCTCGATGAAGCGCATGAACGGACCATCGCCACAGACGTGCTTTTTGGCTTGCTCAAGAAGAGTGTCAAGCGTAGATCGGATCTCAAGATTATTGTCACATCTGCTACCCTCGATGCTGACAAGTTTTCCAAATACTTTCACGATTGTCCAGTTTTTACGATTCCTGGACGAACGTATCCTGTCGAGATTTTGCATACGAAGGAGCCAGAGACAGATTACTTGGAAGCTGCACTCATGTCGGTCATGCAAATTCACCTCTCAGAACCACCTGGCGATATTCTTCTATTCCTGACTGGTCAAGAAGAGATTGATAGCTCATGTGAGCAGCTGTATGAACGTGTCAAATCACTTGGGAATTCTGTCCCTGAACTTCTCATCCTGCCCATCTACTCTTCGCTGCCCAGCGAGACACAAGCACGAGTTTTCGAGCCAGCTCCGGAAGGAAGCCGAAAGGTCGTCATTGCCACGAATATTGCAGAGACGAGTATCACGATTGATGGCATTTACTATGTTATTGATCCAGGCTTTGTCAAGCAGAATGCATATGATCCCAAGCTTGGCATGGATTCGCTCATTGTTACACCCATCTCACAAGCACAAGCCAGACAACGAGCTGGTCGTGCAGGCCGTACCGGTCCTGGCAAGTGCTACAGGCTCTACACGGAAGCAGCATACAACAATGAGATGCTCCCCAACAGTGTGCCTGAGATTCAGCGGCAGAATCTGTCCATGACCATTCTCATGCTCAAGGCCATGGGTATCAATGATTTGATTCGCTTCGATTTTATGGATCCACCGCCTACTCAAACACTGCTTACTGCTCTTGAGCAGCTTTATACCCTTGGTGCGCTCGACAATGAAGGCTTGTTGACTCGCATTGGTCGCAAAATGGCAGACTTTCCAATGGAACCCTATCTTGCCAAGGTGCTGCTCGCGTCTGTCGACATGGGCTGCTCTGAAGAGATTCTAAGCATCATTGCCATGCTATCCACAGGGGGATCCGTCTACTACAGACCGAAGGATAAGCAACAACAGGCTGACGACAAGAAGAAGAAGTTCAACCAGACTGAAGGTGATCATTTGACTCTGCTGACAATCTTCAATGCTTGGCAGCAGAATGACTGCTCGAAACATTGGTGTACAGAAAACTTCATCAGCGCTCGAGGTCTGATGCGTGCTAGAGACATTCGCCTGCAGCTTGAAGGCATCATGCAGCGCTACCGACATCCAATTGTTTCATGTGGTCGCAATACAGACAAGGTCCGGCGTGCGCTTGTCTCGGGATTCTTTACGCACGCAGCAAAGCGTGATCCACAAGAAGGTTACAAGACTGTTGTTGAGGGTACACCAGTCTATATCCATCCGTCTAGTGCGCTCTTTGGTAAGTCGTCCGAATGGGTCATTTACCACGAGTTGATTGCAACGACTCGGGAGTATATGCACTGTGTGACGAGTATTGAGCCCAAGTGGCTGCCTGAATTAGCTGGAGCCTTCTTCAAGGTTGCCGACGCAAACACCGTGAGCAAAGCAAAGCAGCGCGACAAAATTGTGCCACTTGCAAACCGATTCGAGGAGAAGGACGCATGGCGAATATCGAAGCAGCGGAATGAACAGCGTGGTATTGGCAACAGTAATCAATTTTAGGCTATCTGTAGTCCCTGTTATAATCTGTAGAAAGGTTCTGGACGTCACTCAAGATGCTCGTTCGCCACACTCTGCCACGGCACAACAGGTATCCGCGGCTGTCATGCTGTTCTTGGTCGTGGATTGGATCTTGCGCATCATGAGCGCTCAAGGCAGGCTTCTTCAAGACAATGGGAGCATATGCCACAGCGACCGGTCCATGCTGTCCTTCAGATGCCCACATCCGATGGTCGTCAAACTGCGCAAGATGCACAGGCAACTCAATGACAAATGAGGCGCTATCCAATCTGCAGTCTTGTGCGATGCCCATAGCACTGCGAATGATTCCTTGCAGCCCGTCAAGCACCTTTTCTCGTAAGATGCGATGCCCAAAGTCCACATCATCGTGCCTGCCTTGATTGTCGACTGGGTACACTGGGTCATCATAGATTTGTGCAAGGAGTGGTCGAAGCTGACTGTGAAGTGTCTCGGCGAGTCTAAGCGTCGCAGCTTCAGGGTCATATGCTCCACCATCGGCACCAGCTGAGGAGATGAAGCCTGCGGCTGTTCCAGCAGCCCAACGGGATGCCTTTGAAACATCATGGGGATAGGCGCGCATCATATCCTTGTATGCATCCAGTAAAGACTGCTGAACGCCAGGTGTGAGGCCAAACAAGAAGCAACGAAAAACGCGCTCAAGCATGACATGCATCAGATAACCTCGCAATACAATGCATCGGATATCGCGAATGCCGAAGATAGTTGCATGCCTCAGTCCATGTCGGTCGGCATACAATGCAAGAGCGGGATCCAGGGCTGCAGGGGGTCCAGGCAAAGAATCTGGCTGAGCCTTCAAGTGTAGTAGCACGAACTGCTTAATGAGCAATTCAAGTTGACTGAATCCTTCTTGGAAATGACTATCCTCATGAGGTAAGTGCGGCTCATGTGCTCGAGTTTGACGCTCCCTTTTAGGCACTGAACCCTCAAATCGTGATTGGACGCGCGTCACCGATTCGTGCGTTTCAAAGTGAGGCCTGTTATGATCCAGATGGCGGACATCATGCTGGCCTGCGTGACTTGTACGATGCTGTTGAGTGTCGTCAGAAGTGTCTCTCTCTCGTGTGGATCGTCGCCGGTGCTTTCTGCAAGAACAATGACGAGAACGTGATTCTCGTGACGTACTGCCGCACGTATGCTCTGGCGTTTTTCTGAGCTCCAGCAGCGCAGCATCACGTTCAACTCGCATCTTCTTGGTCAAATCCTGAGATTCCCTCAGAAGCGTTTCATATTTAGACTCCCTGGACTTGATATCTTGCTCAAGTTGAGCTTTTTGAATGACTAGTTGTGCAATGTGGTCGAGCGAATCTCGTGAAGTCCGATGAGGAGCCGCAGGGTGGTTTTGAGCATCCGCGTAGACCGGCCTCGGAGCGACAGCGGGAGGTGGAGCTGACATGGGTGCTGACGCTTGTGGAGGCGGGCGGACCTCGCCTGCCATCTTTGATATTGGCTGCGGCGCAGCATAGGCATGTTCATATCCCTGAACTTCAGCAGGCTGATATACAGTCTCTCCAAAACGATGGCGATGTCGTGAGTCGTCGTACCCTTGCCCGGGAAGATCCGATTCTGTAAACAAGCTTTTGAGCAGCTTCTTGCGACCCTTGCTGCGCGACTTTGCGCTTTGTCCTTGCGCAATTTCTGCGCTCCAGAGAGTATTCATGATGTGGAGAGTCTGTGCAAGATGACCAGTCAAGGTATATACATGAGCCTGAAACAAAATGTGCCAAGCTTCCCCTGTTTCCAATTTGACTTTGTGTGTCAGACAAGCGTCATATAAGTCGCCAATCATAAAAGACTCTTGCAGTGCAGTATGCCAAGTGGAAGATGGGCAACCAAGAAGAGCATGCAGAATTGAAGGCGGCTTCAGGGAAGGCTTGCATTGTCATTCTGCTGACGTGGACTTGTGTGGGAAAGACGTCAGCTGACAATTAGACAGCCGTGGCTCAGGCCCGCTAAGGCATCAATTGTTGTTGAGTAAGAACATTGCGCATAGCAGGATTGTCTTGGTCGGTCGTCGTGTTTCAGACCAGACAAAACTTTGGCAAGATGGACCCTTGCCTCCCTGAGAGTCGAGACCACTCAACAAATGACGAATGTAGCTGCAGCTCTAGCTTGACCTTGAATCCCCGGGGTGACTTGCCTCGCTGGCGTTCGTGATGAGCATGTAGACCCCTGATTTCTTGGATGGGTTTGCTTCTTGGCCTTTCGCGATGAGGCATGGGATCCATAGTTTGCCAGTCCCTTCACACTGGCAATACGACAAGACCACTGGTATAGGCTCTACACCACCACCGACAAGCCATATGGGTTTTTCTGCGGTGACTCTGCTAGGGCTCGTCAGCCGGAGAACTCGGTCAATATTTGGAGGGGAGTGAAGTGTTGGGTGAAGTGTTATTACATCGGCGTCGTGAACCAGTGCGTTCTCAATGAATGCTCTCAATGAATGCTAGGACTGGAATGAATGCACAGTGTTACCAAACCTTTTGAAGCCCAAATCAGAACAACAGTCGGCGCAAGGAAGCCAAGCTGCGAAAGCCTGATGTGTCTGAGTGTCTCGATAAAAGATAAAATAGACAGCTTTAAGCAAGTCTCAACCCAACAGAGCGTTGCATAAGAGGAGGGGTAGCTTGCTCATGCCCCGGCCAATGAATACGAGCTTGCCTTCATCCGAGCTTTTGGCAACTTCCACCATTTCATAAATATCCCGCACACCCTGCAAAATCCAGGTCCGCCCATTGTGATCAGAGATGCGGCCCTTCATGCGCAAGATTTCGATGCCCTCTTGTGACTGCCACAGAAGCTCTTGTATCGAGCGCTCAAACCCCGCTATCCGGTCGGCTGAGATAGTTGGTACCGGTAGGCAGATGGTCGAGATTTCCTTATCGTGGTGGTTGCGTCGAGATAGGGAGATTTGGGACAAATCCAGCTGCTTCTTATCGTATGCTTGAAGATTTAAGATTGCCACAGGATCAATCTTGGAGCGAGTCGTATGTTTGAGCACAGCAAGCGGATTCAATGAGCGAATTGCTTGATCCACTTGTCTGACATCTGTGACGAGGTCCATCTTGTTGACAAGGACGAAGTCTGCCATGCTGATCTGAATACGACAAGTCTCGTCCAAGCCTTTGAGCAGATTGGATGCATCAACGACGGTGACCACACCATCCAAGCACAAATCACTGCTCAGGCCTTCATCAAGCCAGAACATGTTGACAATTGGACCTGGGTCCGCGAGTCCAGTGGTTTCAAGCAAGATGTAGTCAAATTTGCCGCGCTGCTTCATGAGGTTCTCGATGGCAGAGACGGCATTATCTTTGATTGTACAGCACATGCATCCGTTCTTCAAGTCTAGCCACTCCTCCACGAGTCCATCTGCTTTGTCACCGCTAACATTGAGTGATCGCTCAATGTCTGCCGAGTCACCGAATTCATTCAAGATAACGGCAATACGCTTTCCGTGCTGCACAGTCAAGATGTGGTTGAGCAAGGTCGATTTGCCAGAGCCTAGAAAGCCGGTGACAATGGTGATGGGAACTTTGGCTTGCGCCAAGTCGCTTTCTGCATGGCCAGATGTTGGCTTCTCTGCAGACTGACTGGCCTTTGATGGCTGAGCGTCTTCAGTAGCTTCAACGAGATCGGGTATCTCGTCATTGCCCATAGGCTGCTCTCTGGGGCAAAGCTTGAGAGCGCGAGTAGATGCTGTTGAGCTCGGGTGTTGCGTCTCGCCCAAATGACGTCTGCCTAGATGGGTATCAGATCTAGACACCGCGCGTGCGGGATATGCCCATCAATTTGGCTGGTAGAAGAGAGTTGAGAAGCAAGAAGACTTTGATCTACGTTGACGGGCATTGGCGGCATGCCGAAAACCTGTTTGGCTAATGCTCAACAGAGTCGACCACTTCATACCTGGCAAGACTCGAACCTCTAGTAGATTCATGATCAATGAAAGACACGAGGCCACCCTGGAGTCTTCCGTCTGCTATGGTCGCTCTTATCGCGTCTGTGTCGTCTGGTACACTTCACCAATACCATTTTCCCTGCTGCTACCAAGCCTGAAGGTTCATCCATATTCGCTTGGCCTTGCTCGGGTTTGGTCGAGCTCAAAATCTGTCTGGGCCTGGTCCTACCACCGGGGAGATTTCGTGATCTACACCAAGAAAGACTGCAAATGTCTGCTCCTGCATGCGGGAGGCACTAATGCTGGGGCAAAGGCTTGCCAGCCTCTTCAGCTGGACGTTGTGCGAATCATCACCTATGACTTCGCAACCTACATGGAGTTTGCGGTGGTCTATGACTCTTGAGCATGACAGCGAACAATGACACGCCAGTCTCACGGGGCAGCGGCAAGTTGAATCTGAGATTCGCATTAGGAACCTCCTGGAGCTATCTGTGCTCCTCCAGAGGTCGAACCAATTGCAATGATCGTAAGTATCCTGTCTGCAGGAGACCCAGTCTCGTTATTTGCCAATGTTCAGGCGTTTCTTTTGCACAGCAGGGACAAGGCTTATGCAGGTTTCGGCCGCAATATTGGCCTGCACCTGAGCTGCCATTGGTGCTGCTTCCACCGGCCCCCTGATGTGCACAAATATGGATAGAGCTGCCAGCACCTATACCTGCACAAGCCCGACACACACATTGCTGATCAGTCAGAGTGCTTGGTCAATAGTCACCTGCGACTTTGAATGCCAAAGGTCCAGGTTTCAGTTTCGGCCTCAGGAGTCAGAGGTGCCATTACATGAAAGTCTTTTCTCTTTAGAAAGAACTTGCTGCGCTTGGAAACATCAGTGAACGCCTTGGTCCAAGGCCCAGGGAAATTCAGTCGCCGAATTAGCCTCTCATGCATGAAAACACATTATGAAGGGTTCACTTTGACAAGTGTCCGCATGTATCACGCGACAGCGTCGTCTCGACTGTTCTCCCTGAAAACCAGACAACTGTATAAGAAGAAGTCCTTCGCCCCACTCTTTAGCTCACTCAACACATCTGGACAACTTCAGCCGGCTGCGAGTCTCTGTCCAAATGGCCTTCTATGTCTGGGTGGTGTCCAGCTTTCTCCTCAATATGCTCAGCTTGGACCTGATCACAGCCTTGCCCAAGCGTTCGCCACAAGATCTTTGCATCAATGAGCCCTTACTCAAGTTTGGACATGCTATCCCCGTCACTGTTGCACCAAATTCATACGAATGCAGCATTGTTTGCGCTGCAGCCCAAAGTCCTAGCAGAAAATCCCCCTCCAACGACGATGTCGATCAACGCACAGTTGGCTATCAGTCAATCTACGGGACATCTTGCTCTCCTGATGCTACGCCCGGCTACGGCAGAGTTGGTATCGAATGGAACGAATTGCAAAATATGAACCGAAAATGTGTCTGTGTGATTACAGTTGGCTTTCACAAGATTTACCAGAAAAGCCGTTGGAACTGGCTACCTTGCGGGCTACAAGACCTTGGGGGTAGACTTGAACAGGGTTTGAACGACTTGACTTGGCAAATTTTTCAGCAACTCGGTGACGACAGTGCTCGAGTATGGCATTACCTACCGACCGAGAATCAGGGCACTTTCAACACGACTTGCTGAGATATATGTCTGATCACCCAAGCATTCAATGGGTACTTTTCCTATTGGATTTCCTACAATACCGCTTTACATAGGCCTTGCCTATCAGATACATTACTAATCACAATTCAATCTTTCAGTTGATTCGAGACCTTGCTCCGTTGATCAGAGCAGCCTGAGTCTAGTCAGCACAAGAACCAGATGATTTCGATCGGATGAGCGAAGGCGCAAAGGGTTCTACGGCAGAGACACTGAACGTTGCCGTGCTATCAAGCATTCTTTGACTTCTTGCTTGCTGGTCCATCAGCATAGCCATTCACCCCATTCGTGCCATTGACCTTTCCCTCTTGACCTTTACATGACAAAGCTTGCAGCAGATCCTCAAGTAAATCCTCGGTGTCCTCAATCCCAACTGAAACTCTGATGAGGTTGTCATAGATACCCGCAGCTTCACGCACATCCTTTGGCAAGGAGCGATGTGTCATGGCAGATGCAGGCACCTCAATCAACGACTCAACACCACCAAGACTGACTGCAAACTTGAACAGCTTCGTTCGCGCACAACACGCTTCTGCAGCTGCTAAATCACCCTTGATGCGAAACGAGAGCATGCTTCCACCGAGACCTTTTGTGTTTTGCTTCATCACAGTTGCATAGTGCTTTGAGCTGCGTAATGCTGGATAATTGACTGCCTGCACATTCTCATGTGCTTCCAACATTTCTGCAAGTGCGAGTGCATTCTGAGAGGCTTGCCGCACTCGCAAATGCAATGTCTTTAGACCGCGATGACAAAGCCAGCAATCAAATGGGGAAGGAACACCACCGACGAGATTCTGCTTGAAGCGAAGCGTCTTGTTGCGATCATCATCGTTGAGTGCGACAAAGCCAATTGTCACATCTGCATGTCCATTGAGACTTTTTGTGCCTGAATGCACGACAAAGTCAGCGCCGAGCTCTAGTGGTCGATTGATGACGGGCCCTGAAAAGGTGTTGTCAACAGCGAGCATGATACCGGCTGCTTTACACTGTTTAGCGAGTTTAGCAATATCAGTAACGAGCATGGTTGGATTGGTGGGCGTTTCGAGCCAAACGAGCTTTGTCTCTGGTTTGAGCAGTTCTGCAAGAGGCTGTGTGTCATAGTCAGAGACATAGTCGACATTGATACCGACTGTTGGCGCGATTTGATTAAGGTAGACGACGGTACCGCCATACAGCGCAGAGATGGATAAGACGCGATCGCCTACACCCAATAGTTGAATGACGGAAGTGATGGCCGCCATGCCAGATGAAAAGGCAATGGCATGCTTGCCATTCTCAAGCGATGCAATTGCTTCTTCCAAATTGGCACGATTGGGATTGCCAGCGCGAGAGTAGATGTACTCGTTGCCGCGCTCGAATGTGGTGCTGAGCGTGATGGGCTCGACGATGGCGCCTGACGCTGCGTCTGGGCGTGCACCGCTGTGAATTGCCTTTGTACCGATGCGCATTGAGTTCATGAGGCAATTGTGGATTCAAGTGCAAGGAAGCAGCGTCAATGTGAGGTTATGGTCTGTACGCGACTTGTGATGCTTTGGCCCCTGACGACGACGACGATTGCGAAGGCGCAACATTCACGGAAATGCCGACATGTCAATCTCTCACCACAGCTGGCGAGAAGCTCAAGGGGCAGGCCTGGGCTGAGTGGGTCTCACGGTGTCGACCTCTGCAGATCTGGAAGACAGCTCAAGAATGACTCAAGCAGCTGCGTAGTCATAGGCCATGAACACTGTGTACTCTGCTGCCTAACAGTAGCTCAGTCCTGGTGTCATGATGGCCCAAAATTACGTGAGCATTGCTGACTAAGAATTGACATTGCTTCCACTGCCAGAACTTGACGATGTCAACACGCAGAGAGGCCCTCAGTATACCTAGATAGCTCCTTGGCCCTACGCCAGCGCCCAGAAAGCATATATATCCGAAGCACGTAACCGCCCGTTGCAGCAGTCCGTTGCTTGTTGTTCCTGCGCGTGAAAATGCAAAACCGAACGCGAACTTCCAAAAGCGCGACCACGGACGGGCGACTGAGCAACAAAGCCATGACCAGCTGAGCCAAGCCAAGACATTGATGCGCCATGGGCTTTGATAATGCTCAAAAGTCATTCTTTGCACAAGATAATCACAACAAAAGGCCCGTCCCGCGCTTCAAGGGCCGGCCTACACACCAATCTGCACATGTTGCCCCAAATGCAGCAGCAGATGCGGGACCTGCCGTTCAAATATGCAAATCTACCTTACAAAAGCTGAATGGCTATGCTCTTCCGCAGGTTTCTGATGAGACTGCTGCATCCGCTGCAGCAATATCGATCAAGATCGGCAATGTACAAGACACAACCAAAACACCTGCTCGTCAATTAACGCAGCCAGCGGCCGGCAAGGAGAACACCATCCTTCGAAGCAGTCAAAGTGATGCAGTTCAATGGAAGCTATCGCCTTTCCAGCATGGCAGTGTCGCATCAACAGAAAATCTAACAATTGATGAAGTATTTGAAATCTATCAATGTTCGCCCGCTCCCTTGGCTGCACAGACGCCAATTCGGAAGAGGCCCGCAGCGAGTCCTGCAGGCGACTTGTGGTCACGAGCAGATGCGCAACGACACCTCCCTTTCTATGAATTCGATTTGAGTCCACAGCCTGGACGCAGTCCCAAGATTGAGGCGAAACGGTCACTTCGGCGGTCTACGTCGTTACCGTCCTGGTCGATTGACAATGATTTTCGAAAACGACGTAAATTGACGACTGGCATAAATCCCCTACGTGGCATGATGGAGCAGGTGCAAGCCTCTTTGCTCAAAGTGGAGAGCACAAGTGGCATTGCAAAGGCCTCATCGCCACTCTCTCAGGGAGCATTGCCAATACGCACGAACCTAGACATGCATGATGCATCGACTTCACCAGCGGCCAAAGGCGCTTCTGTTCTTGTACCTGCGCTTTTGCCAGCATCGGATGATTTCAGCGACAGCCTCGATGATATCTATCTAGCCAATCTCGAGCAGATTGATGCAGCCGTCCAAGATAGTCTCTCTGCATCTCACTCTGCTCAGCATGGAATTGTATCGCTATCGAAAGAATCTTCTGCAACAACAAAGTCGGCGGGCGACGTGCTCACCGATCCCAAAACAACAGGCGACGACTCAGACTACGACTTTGATTTGGGCATGGACGACGCAGAATTGCTTGCAGCGACACAACATCTTGAACAACACTACAAGGCTACACAGCAGGAACAAGCAGTGGACGTCGAGAATCTGCTTGCTGGCATTGATGAAGATGAATTTGCCGACTTTAATGTATGATGCCTCCAATATTTACAACCCGCTGACTCCAGGATGAAGATTTAGACATGAATGAAGATCATTACGACATTTCAATTCACACAGTCACATCCAGTACGATGCGGTCCTTTATGAACCAGGACAAGCAACGTCAGGAAAAGGTGCTTGAACTTGTGGATGCCAAGGGTGTCGCCAAGATTGCCCTGCTGCGAGATGACTGGATTTACGCACAAGTAAGTCCAGGCGAGACTTTACGTTTGCATGGCAATTGGCAATCTCCAAGCTGCTACATCGCTACCAATACCCAAGGCTTGGTCATCATTCATCCAGATATTCTAGTCAGCGCAACTTCTGTTGCCGATGCACACAACTGTATTCGCAAAGCTGTCCTACAAGACCGTGTCAAGGCAACCTCTCAGCTCTCGCTGCCTTTGCTATACGGCAGTATGTTGCATGAGATACTCCAGCAGAGTCTTGTTGGTGAAGATTTCAGTGATAAAGCCATGCGTGCCGTTGTGGACGCACAGATTGCGGCGAATATGGAGAGCTTGTATCTATTGGATCATTCCGTTGAAGCAGCCAAGGACTACCTATACGACAAGGTCCTTTTGATTCAACAATGGGCTTATAAGTATGTTGGCGAAGAAACCATGTCTGCCGCTGAGCCTGTTCGTGGCCAAGGTGCCGACAAACATCGTCTACAGCAGGTGGCACTAGGGGTCAAGGCAATTCTTGAAACGGAAGAACGCTTTTGGTCGCCCATTTGGGGCCTCAAGGGGAATGTCGATGTCACTGCATCCATGAATGTTTCTATTGACAAGCAAGTGGCAGTGCATGCTGTACCTCTTGAGTTCAAGACGGGCAATGCTACTCGGCAGCAAGGAAGTCATCGTGCACAGACCATGCTCTATACCCTCATGATGTCGGATAGGTATGGCATTCCCGTAACGGCAGGCTACCTCTACTACCTCGAAACCTGTCAAGTGACGCGTGTAGCGGCACTGCACAATGAAGTTCGTGGTTTGCTGCAAATGCGCAACGATGTCGCCAGCTTTATGAAATACAAGAAGTTACCAGATATGCTACGCAACCCTTTTGCGTGCAAGAATTGTTATGCATCCGACGCGTGCTTCACGTACCATCGCGCATTCGACCAGGGTACAAGCGAGACGTCTGGGCTGGATGCTATCTTTGAGGACAAGACGAAGCACCTGACTGCACATCAAATTGAATGGTTCAATAAATGGGAACAACTCATCACGAAAGAAGAAGGTGATATGTACCGCTTCCGGCACGAACTCTGGCAACTCTCTTCGTCAGAGCGCGAAGCTGTGCATCGCTGCTTTGGTCAGTTGCGTGTCGTTCCTGGAAGCGAAAAGCAGAGTCTCCATGTTGGCAAGATGAATCAGTGGACCTATCAGCTGACTCGCCAATCACTAGGGGCAACATTCAATGATAATCAGATTGCTGAGCGAGAACCTGTCGTCATCTCAGACGAACAAGGTCACTATGCTTTGTCTTGCGGGTTTGTTACGCGTATTACGCCAACGGTCGTGACCGTGGAGGTGGATCGGCCGCTACGTGATTCACGTCGACCATTACCGGGCTTTGATGTAAACACCAATCAACTGTACAAAGGAACAATTTTGGCTGCTTCGCAAGATAATCCGATACTTTATCGCCTAGATCGTGATGAGTTCAAAAATGGTATGGCCATGGTTCGCAACAACTTGATCCAACTGCTGTTGCCACCGGAAAGCAAGCATGCCACAGTCTCAACAGAACGACTACGCGACTTGATTGTCGACCTTGCCAAGCCCCTATTTGATAAACGCCCACTCACCTGCCCTGATCGAGTCAGTCAGTCTTCTCTCAATGTTGATCAGATCAAGACAAAGGATCAAGTCATGCGGGCGCGAGACTATGCACTTGTGCTGGGTATGCCAGGAACAGGCAAGACGACAACCATTGCTACAATCATTAAATCACTGGTTGCAGCAGGCAAGAGCGTTTTGTTGACATCCTATACACATTCTGCTGTCGACACCATCTTGCTCAAGCTCAAGACGGATGTCAAGATCCTGCGACTCGGCGCAGTCGGCAAGATTCATCCGGAGGTACTCGAGTTTGCAAGCACAGAGACGCATGCTCTCCAGACTTTTGCGCAACTCGAAAAGCACTATACTGATCCTTCAGTTGTGGCGACAACTTGTCTCAGCATACAACACGCGCTCTTTCAAAAACGTCGATTCGACTACTGTATCGTTGATGAAGCGTCGCAAATCACGCTGCCGGTCTGTCTGGGACCGTTGCGGTTTGCAGACAAGTTCATTCTGGTCGGTGATCATTTCCAATTGCCACCTCTTGTCAAGGACAAAGAAGCGCTCGCTGGTGGTCTGGATGTGTCTTTGTTTAAACTCCTCTCTGATGCACATCCAGCGGCTGTCGTCAACCTTGAACACCAGTACCGGATGAATGCAGACATCATGTCCATTGCCAACGAATTGATTTATGGTGGGATGCTCAAATGCGGAACACCTCAGATTGCTGCACAGCAGCTTCAAGTAGATTCGACCAAAGCGCTCGAATCGGTGCATGCTCACGGTTCATGCCATACACCTTGCTTGTTCGAGTCGATCCTATCGCCGAAACGGAGTGTTGCCTTCCTCAACACCGACGACATTGCCGAAGCCAAGGAAACGAAACGAGGCGACCAAACACAAAATGCAGTTGAATCCATGCTTATTGCTCAGATCGTCTCAAGTCTGGTGGCGGGCGGCGTGGCTCAGCACGCCATTGGTGTCATCTCGCCATATCGTTCGCAACTCAAGCTTCTGCATGCAGACTTAGAGGCGTTCCCGCATGTTATGGTTGACACGGCAGACAAGTTTCAAGGCAGAGACAAGGAGTGCATCCTCGTTTCTTTTGTACGTTCAAACAGCACTGGGCAAGTTGGCGATTTATTGAAGGATTGGCGCCGCATCAATGTGGCCCTGACGCGCGCAAAGCGAAAGCTCATTTGCATTGGATCACAGGAGACACTGGCGCATGATGCTCTATTGAATAAGTTTGTGCATCTCGCACATCGACGTGGCTGGAGTATCGACTTGCCGAGCGACGTCCTGCAGCAGCATGTTGCTAAGCAGCCAGCCTCAGGAGTGGCTGTCAGCTTGTCGACAGTTGCTCGAATGGATGAGTCTCTCAAGGAAAACAGAGAGACTCGTAAGCGGAACAGCCCAAAAGTGGTGCATGCTGGACAACGCGTGTTATTCAAAAACGGAGCACGACCAATCTTGAGAGATTTGAAGAACGAGATGATTTGAGGCACAAGCGACTCAACAACTGTCAAGACTGAGAATCGAATTCTCGCTGTTCAAGTCATGTCAAAAATCATCGCAAATTTAATACATGTAGTGTTCATACACTACAATAATGGCGCGAAAGAGAAGCGAAGGTCCTTAATTTGAAGCGTGATGATCCCATCATTCGGTCAGGCAGTGAAGGAAAAGGCTAGGCTCACATCGCAAATGCATGCTACTTTGAGTACTCTGAATAGCAGTCAGCGGCTGTGGATGGCGCTGTGCTCCAAATTCCAACTCATCGCACGCCAAATTCAAGAGTGCAGCTCACAGAGGCGACCATCGACATCACAATTGCAGTGCTATCAAAGCTAAGATCTATGGGTGATAGGCTTCTAAAGTCGTGTTGAGGAACAAAGCTTGCCGTAATGAGGTCAGTTCTGGTCATGTCGGCATCTTGCTTCTCTTTGAGCGCCTGAAGCTTGTCAAAACGAAGGCCAGGGCCAGTCATTGAACAATGGGTTTTGGCCTTGATCTTGCCCTTGATTTTGCTCTTGATCTTGCCACTGGCACTGGCCTTGTTCTTGCCATTGGGTCTGCCCTGGCTGCTCTTCGTTTTGCCACTCGCCTGACCCTGGATTCTGCCATTGGCTTGTCCCTGGGGCTTGATGGTGCAATTGGGATGATCCAAAAAATTGCCCGTTCGATGACTCAGCAACTGGGTTGTTTGGATCAACTTGAGTATAGTGGTCGGAGTAGAATTGCTGCACTTGCTGATCATCCTTGTATGCAGACCACATCCACGGATGCTGATTGAAAGGAAAGAATGTGACAGGATTTCGCTCGTGCTCAGCAAACTGAAGTGGCTGGCATTGCATAGAGTTGACTGGACAGACTCCTTCTCCCTGTCTCGAGGATGACTCTTGTCCCGGAGGAGGCTCATTTGAAAACTCAGCTTGAAAGGCTGCAATGCACGCATCAAAGTTTGCCACATCCAAATCCATCGTGGTGTTGAGTGGCTGAGAATAATCATGCGCCGAGGTTGCATAGGCTTCATTCGGCTGCTGATGCGACGAGCCAACATCTTGTCTGTGAGGGGAGTTTTGTGATTGGAATTGGCAGGACACTCTCTTCACACTTACCTCATTGTGAGATTTGCATTGCAGGGGACCGTGCTTTGCATTTTTTCTGGAACAATCGCAAGTCTCCTTCTGCTGACGCCACCGATTTATCTTAGCCTCTCTTGAGCAATCGAAATTCTCTTCGACGACCTTGAACTCTCGAAGCTCCCAACTGGAGGTCTCGCTTACCGGGTTTACTGACGCTGCGATGTTCTCAATGCCACACTTTCCGAAAGGTGGGCGGGGAAAACAATTGTTCGCTGGTATGCCATGGCTTTGTAATTCTTGAAGACTTACCCTTGGCGAGATGTAATACTGGCCGTTAGGCGCTTCCTCGGTAACTTTTGCTTTGACTCTTGTCATTTGGACAGCCGGGGCGTAAACAGTGAATTCACAAGCACATGTTGATTTCGCATAAGGACATTGACGCTGATTGTCTGCAAAAAAGTCGTTACAGAGAGCTCCTGGTGCATGAATGACGACAGCTCTGCTTCGGAGCTCAAAAGCCCCACTCCTCAGACATGACGAGCTAGAAATACGGCCAGGATGGAACAGATCACCAATCCTTCTTGCATGGTTCTCCAGCTGCGCATTACAGAAGGCTTTGCAATTCTTCTCTTCCTTTATCGGCCCTAAATCTTGAGGAAGCTTTGTTCTCGACTCAGAATTTCGCAATCCGAGAAAGGAAAATGTTGCATCGTAACAGATAAGTTTGCGTGAAGGTGACTCTTTAGCAGGGAACACATTCTCGCTCCCGAACCATGTGTGGAGCTCTTCTTTGGTGATAGGAGCGAGATGGTATTCAGATTCGACGGGAGGGTTGACTTTGCGACGGACAGCCTCTGCAGATGCACTCGACAAGTGCTCAAGAGCTTGTAGCGACAGCATGAGGTGTACCAAGGTTGCAAGAATGGTCAAGAACCAAAGACTTGTCCTGACGCATGATGGGGAAGTCGAGTGGCGCGAGAGAATGATCATGTCAGAAGGCAATTGCAGCTGCAAACACCAGACAACAGCCAGTGAGAGGTTGTGGTCTGATGATTTGCTGGACTTAAGGATGTTATTGTGCAGTCAAATACACAGTCACATGGCTTGGCTTGCTAGTGCATCTCCCTACCACGTATCGCGTGCTTCCAGGTGAAGGTCACCCCTTCTTTTACTTAACAGGGATCATGAGGCCCTGCTTTACTCTTCATCTGTATCGACCCTAGGTCTATGTTCACTTCTCAGGTAGCTTCTGCTGCAGCTACTTGACACTCCACCGTTCACGTTATCACGGTATGACGCATAATACCGAATAGATGTGATGGTCTTTTCAATTTTGAAGGTAGTTTGGGGCATCGTAAATAAGGAGTATGGAGTTGCAAATGATTACTCCCTTCACTCAGCCTTCCTCCTGCATGATCATCCTATTGCATGCTTCCAGCAGCTGTGTACTCAGCGCTGATTTTTCCCTTTGAGTCCTGGACAATTCGAGTCTGGCAGGCAGACCACATATCTTTGACACAGGGCTTTCTTGTTAAACAGCTGCAGTTGTGACAACCAAGCTCCCTAAAACAAAACGGTTCACTTTCGACAGCATACCACAAATCTGGCCATTGTAGCTCGCAATTGCTGATGGTAGGCCGCCGTTTGATGACGGTGTTATGTACTGGAGCATGAAAGAAGCTACATGGGGTCAAAGCTGCGGTACAGGAGTCCACACTCTTGCATTCGGAGGACCTTCAATCTGGTGAGTCACTGGATGAGCGGCATCAATAGTCCAATGCAAAGTCGCTGATGTCAAGATCCCTGTGACTGCGGCATGCTTTGTTTCTGAAATGGGCATAGATATACCTAAAAGGTATGTAAGTCAAGCTTATATATGCGTATAGAAAGTACTCACCTACAGCAGCTATGTGGTAGGACTACTTGGACTCGAGGAACTACTGGAATCAAGAGATGTCACGAATAGCATCTGTAGCCAAGCAACTGCAAGTGCAACAGAAGAAGCTGTTTTGTGGACGGATGAGTAGCAAGATGGAAGCCAAGAGCGGCATGCGCAAGCGTGTGTCGATTCGAAAGACTAGACCCGATATATCACTAGTAGATCCACCAGTGGCTCTATAGCCCGTGTGCCGGACTGTGAGTGGCCCAGCTAGACTTTAGAAATCGCAGCGCTTCTAGCATTTCGAGTAGCATGTTTTGCGATTGCTGAAGGAGTCCAGTGTTCACGTCCTCGGACAATTTGGGAGTACATATGCATCACTGCGCGTTACTTCCTCACCGAGCACCATGCCTTGACCATGATACCCGCTGCTACCATGCAGATCAAAATGTTTGTCGAGGCGTACCTGAACAGTACGTTCAAGTCAAGTCCAATGTTGCAGTCCACTTCGGGGATCCTTAGTAGAGCAAGCCATTTGAGCGCCTGAAGCAGTCAGCGGAGCATGGCCTCTGTGGTTGAGAAACAGCAACTTGATCGCGCAGAAAAACATGAAGGTTGACGTAGCTCAAAGATAGGTCATTCTGCATCGAAGCAACTGCCTGGTGACTTGCTGCGACTGTCAGTGGACCAGCCCATCTCGTCGCACGCCAGATCCAAAAGTGCAGCGACCATCAATTGCAATCAACCTGGAAAGCGACAGACGCGCATTGGCCTGGCCAGTCTCGTACGGCAGAGCATGTCCACTGCTGCGATAGAAGAGGAAGCAGAGATTCTAGTCTCCATATATCCCGATGAATTTGAAAGTGAGCCAGCATTGCGGCCTCGAAAGCGACGCTGACACTAGAAATCAACGAGGATACATTCAAGATTCGGATAGATTTGGATGCAGATGAGTGCCGGTGCAAACAGCCGCGTAAGTGACTTGATATAGATTGAGTGGAACTAATTCTAGCGATACTATATCTAATAGCGCAGCTTGGGCCGACGTACCCGGACGATGCGCCGTACCTCACACTCGACACAGCCCTGCCAGACGCAGAAGACGACAATGAACCAGAAGATTTTACCAGCGAAGACAAATCCGCCCTGCTGCAAGCGCTTAGCGATATTGTGCAGGAATCACTTGGCATGGCCATGATCTTCAACCTTTCCAGTGCACTAAAAGAACAAGCTGAAGCGCGACTAGCGGCGCGGCAGGCTGAACGTGAACGCCAAGTACGCTTGGTGCAACAAGAGGTTGAGAGGCAGGAGCAAAAAAAGTTTGAAGGAACAGCAGTAACACCTGCATCCTTTGCTGCTTGGCGTGCGCGATTCCAAGCGGAGATGCGAAAGAAGGAAATTGAAGCAGAAGAGCTGGCCTTGAAGCGCGCAGGACCCAATGCACCGGTGCGGAAGCTGACTGGACGACAGATGTTTGAGGGAGATCGGACCTTGGCGACGAGTGATGCAGCGTTGTTGGGTGATGATGTTGAATTTGACTTTTCAAAGTTTGACCGGACAGTGAAATTGTATCCTGAAGACGAAGAGGAAGAGGAGCGGCGTTTCTAGGAGACTGCCTTCATGCCTGTGTAGCACCAGCCTGCATTTGCGTGGTCAAATCAAAGTCTTCTTCATGAATGAATGACTTGGCATCAAAGTCCTGATCAAGCAGACCTTTGCGCTCCTTTGCCATGCGACGTTCCTTCTCTGCCGCTGCATCGACCACTTGCACTTTACCACCTCCACGTCGCCTGCTTGGGCTGGCACCGCTAGCAATAGGCTGTGCGATGAGTCGGGCAGCACCCGTATTGAAGCCTGGTGGGCTGTCAATGTCCATGGCTGCTGGTGGAACTTCCCTCTCTAAATCAGGCTGCAGCGATGTCTGCGACGACGGGCTGAGGGGTGCAGACATGTCTGAATCCATGATAGGTCTTGATTCCCTTGAAGACGTCGTCGTCGCGCTCGAGACCTGCAGGACGCGATTCAAGATGACAGTCACAAGTATGGTCATGAGCCTCATAAGCCTACCAGGTCTGACTCTGCACCAGATCGTCTTTGAATGCCTCGAGACACCTCCGAAGCGTCTTCTTATGCAGGCCTTCACGGACCAACACCTTCTCCATCGCATGCTTGCCATTAAAGTACTTGACCACACGCTCAAACAGCTTCGCCTCCTGTGCAGGCTTCGTCGAAGCCATCTTCTGCAACCACAGTCGTTCCTCTGAGCTCGCACTGTAGGGATCAGTGATGATGGAGACTTCCCAATCTTTTGCTGGTGCATCAGACACAACCGCTTGTTCTGCTTCTGCATCCGCTGCCACTTGCTGCTTAATCTCCTTGCGTACACGCACCCAAACGAACGTTCGAACTTCCATAAGCCAACGTTCTCGCATCATCCAAGTCAAGACATCCAGGTAGAGTGAACGATGATTTTTACTTGGAATCAAGGCACCCCACGGTACAGCCTTTCTACTCAATAAGGACAAGACTTTTGGTAATGGTGGTACCGTAGGGAAACGTTGACTGAATTGTGCACTTTGCTTGGAGAGATCGTGAATTGGAGAAATTGGAGAGACTGCATAGACGCGTCTTGGATGAAGTGGCGCAATGGGCAGTGCGCAACGCCAATGAACGAGATGTCGAGCAAGCGTACTGACATCGTGCAGTGGGATTTTGGTGACTTCTGCCAACTGACTGAATGAAAGTGTTGGCTTGATGGCTTTTAAAAAACGAACAAGAAGTGGTGAAGCGCCTGGTGGAGCAGCCGCGAGAATGGCATCTGGTTCGTCTAGCAAAAGGAGCGCCCAGTGCGGCAGGACCAGAGGGTCTGCAGAGGCATCATGTAGGCTACTCCCAAAACTGAGTGCACTTGACAAGAATGACTGCATGGGGTCTGTATCGCTTGGTAAGATTGCTGTGGAGAGCTCACTAGGCAAGCCGAGAGAAAGATGAATGTGTTTGTTGATGAGAAGATGGGCAATTTGATTCCTAGAAATGGCATCGAATGTACGGGCCATGACGCGAGCGAGATCTGAGGCTTGCTTGATGTGGTCCCATAGCAAAGACAGGGGTGTGCCGTTGGCGATAGACTTCTCCTTGATGTCAAGAATCAGCTCGCACTGTTTCCAGACGTACTCACTCCGTGCTTGTTCATACGTGAGGGCAAAGGTGAGCTGCGTGACGATGCTTTCGTACATCTGCTTTACCTGTTTGTGGTAGGCATCCGTTTTTGGTGTTTCTAAGGCAAAGACAAGATGAAAGACAGTCATGGGAGACGGGCTTGTCGAGGGCGAGGTAGTTGACGAGGTGGTCGGATGAGGTGACAGGAGATTTGCACTTGATCCAGTCACTGACACCGGAGATGAAACATCTTCTCCACGCGTGTCAGGCTTTTCTGCCATTTGCTTCCGTTTGATCCATGACCCATCAGGCCTGATATGCGCTGGACTGCCAAGAAAGACGAGGTCGTCCATCCACAATTCAAACTTGTTGTCCGATTTATGGGGCGTAAAGATATCTGCTAGTAGGGAGGATGGATGAGATAGAATCGTATCCCAAGGTTTCTTCCGTTGCGTAGCAGACTCTTCATGCGTGTCACGCTCACTGATGGTGGGTAGGTAGCTGTCCGCCGACATGGACCGTGAATCTGGTCCTTCGCGGCGGTGATGACCATAAAAATCAGGCAGCTCATCGCTTGACTCTTCCTCGTCTGCTGCTACACCAGCAGAGACGCCATTATCCGAGTCCTGTAAAGGCTCAGGCGGGTAATGAAAGACTATCTGGTGGCCGCGTGATGATTTGATGGCTAGAACGATGGCGATGAGGCCAGAGCTGGAGCCGGAGGACATGACGAGCGTCAGGAAGCAGTCTTAGGCATTCTCTTGAGCAACTGAGGCTATAGCAACATGGCAGACAGTGATGGAAAGTAGCTGGTCAATTCGGTCGTGTCTTCGCTTTGAGCACGCAAACGTCATCCACTCGCAACCACTTCACCACGCTTCTTCTGCTATTTGCTCAATTTGAACTATGACTACAGTATGCTCTTCTCACTGCAAGCTAGAGATCCAAGCTGACTCGCTCCTAGGAGAATGCCTTCCGCTCACAGCTCAACAATTTTGGCTGGACGAGGCGCCAAGAGCCTCCCGTCTCGACACAAGCGCCGTCCTTTCTCGACCGCTTGAATCCATTCAGCCAGAATGGATATAACAGACTGCCTACGAGTAATAATGATCTACCTGCTCAGCTACCTGCGCCAAGTGCGGCTGAGGAAGAGGCCTTTTTCAGTTTGAGCAGGTGGGATCGCATGATTGTGTTTGCGATGCTCGTGCTGGGCGCTGCTGCATGTTTCTTCATTGCGTATGACCAGTCTGTTTCCTGGGACGCAGCTCATGCTAGGTTCTTCTTCTTGCCGATACTGGCACTCAAGCCGCGCAAGTTTGTTACGCTATGGACAGTTGGCAGCTTGCTCTTCATCTCATCGTTCGTCTTCCAGTATCAGTCGCGAAGTACGCTGACTACAGATTTGCTGCTCTGCAAGGTCCCACGGCTTATGGTAAACACCTCATTTCAGGTGACCGGATACCCTTTACAGCGGCGTATTTCGGGTCAATGATACTCACGCTCTACTTCTCCATTGGCCTCAATAATACGCTACTAACCCTCATATCTGCGGCTGTTCAGATTGTGGCATTGCTGTGGTATCTTGTCTCGTACTTCCCCGGTGGCAGCACAGGCATGCGGTTTGCAGGTGGACTTGTGGTGAATCGAGCGACGAGCTACTTTGGGTGAGTCAGCTACAATCGATCTCGGGCTATGCAGTCTAGATTCAAGGATGCAGACGAGATCAGTACAGGGGCCACTCAATGCTGCTGCAGGAGTCCTACTAGACCGTCGGCTCACTGAGAACACGGGGCATCTCATCAAACGAGCGGTATGCTGGACCCGTCTTGCGAGCGTTGTCCATTGAAGTGGTCGATGCACCTTAAAGTACTGCTGCCATGTCTTTCATGCGCTATATACATCTCCGTATCTCATAGGCCCCTCTAGCCCGTCCATTCGAGTCTCTTCCTCCGTCCGGCTCCTTCCAAAATTTCAAAATTTGTGGCAGTCACCAGCCAACACGACCACCAGACCCAAAAAGCAGCCAGAGCAAACTCAGGCTAGCAGAAGCAGAGCACAGGAGGGACAGGACCTGCAAGGAAGACTGCCATCTATCTTGCTTCTACCCAGTTTCATTGGTGCCTCGATTCGTGGACAGACGGAAAGTCAAATCGACGCGCAATCGCTAGACCCTTTTTTTAACCTTTTGGTCCAAGCTTTCATCCTTGCTTCCTGCGTCCTGTCGCTTGCTTCAGTCTAGCACCTACTGTTCAAGGTACATCGAGCGCGTCCTAAGGTCAGCAACAAGGCGATCCAACATCTACACAGGAAACGGCCAATAGGACAGGAAAAAAAATAGTCATGGTTGAAACACAAGACGCCTCGAGTGAGAAGCGAGAGACACAGGCCATCTCCTTTGCCGCTGTAGCAGGTGCTGCTGAGCATGCTACAAAAGCTACGCAACAACGCGCAGCGACAACAACGGCGACTGAGCAAAGTGTCGCAGAGAACGCCAGCGTGGCGAGTTCGCAAGGAGACGTGGGCGCTTCGTCGCAGGTGAGTGACGCTGCTGCTGCTGCTACAGAGAAGAAGGCTGCTGCTACTGCACCGCCAAAGGTCAATCCTTGGAAGAAGCGCACAGAGCAGACCAGCAAGTCGGCGAGTCCTGATCTCCCAACAGCCGCGTCGGCGCCAAACAAAAGTGATGGTCCAAGTGATGGCACCAGACCTGCAGGCAAGTCTGCTCCAATGGAGGATCAGACACTGTGGCCTACACTTGACAAGGCGCTCCAACAAGTTGATCTCGCTTCAACAAGCCGTCGTCAATCTGCTCCAGAGAGTGGGACGACGCACAGTGGTGAGCATGCAACCACAAAATCCGCTGGAAAGAAGGAATGGGTCAAGTATACACCCATCATCACGCATACACCTATTGCGAGCCAAATCAAGCGCGGATCTGCTACCTCCTCTGGTGGCCATGCGCGCGGCAGCAGTCATACAGGTGGTGGCCGACACACTGGAAATGGCACGGTGCCTCGATTCTCACGCTCCACATCTGCAGGTAATAAGGACAGCGGTAGTGAAATTCCCGCAGATGGCTCTTACCATGCAGAGGTCGCTGGTGACGGTCAACAGGGTCGACTCACGCGTATGACAAGCGAGCAAAGCAGAGCTGGAGATCGAAAGCGTGCTCAGTCTGCAACGAATCAGCGGATGCCAAGGAGTCCTGAACATTGTGGTCAGGAAGGTGCACTTGATCAAACACCAGAACGGTCAGCTGCTACATCGCGATCGTCTTCTAAGCTGCGCGGTGATACACCTGTCGCTGGACATGAACAAGTTGTCGGTACTGCACAACAGACGCAGCAGCATGCGTACGGCGCTGACAAGCCACAACGCGGGCCGCGTGACCCTGCTACATTCAATGGCTCTACGGGACGCGGCGGTCGTGGCGGCGCTGCTTATGCTCCGCGTGGTCATCGTGGTAATCATAGCATGCATACGAATGGTCATCAAAATGGCTCCTACCGACATGGCGGTAGGACGTCCTTTGGCTCTCCACGCGAGTTTGTGGGCTATATGGGTGATGGTGTTCCCATGTCCTTTGTCAATCCTGCGCAACAAGCTGCTTACATGATTGGACCTGGTATGTTGGGCATGCCACCCATGATGATGGACCCGATGATGGCACGCCCACTCGTGCAGCAACAACTCGAGTATTACTTTTCGATTGAAAATCTGTGCAAGGATTTGTTTTTGAGGAAGCACATGGATGACCAGGGTTTCGTGGCACTTCCCATCTTGGCACGATTCAATCGCGTACGCAGCATTACCTTGGATTATGGACTCATCAGGGATGTCTGTGCAGCAAGCGGTTTGATTGAGCTCAAGTGTGTCTCTGGTGAACAGGATAAGATTCGTAAGCAAGAAGGATGGGAGCAGTGGGTGTTGCCGGTGGAGCAACGCGATGCGGGTACGCATGCTCAGCAACAAGCTCCACAACAGCAGGAAGGCGTTGTCAATGGTGCTGGTCAGTTGAGCGAATTGGTGACTGCACCTGCGTTTGTGCCGGGTAAGCAAGTTTCGACCTCGCCGGAGTCGCCGCAGGTGAATGAATTGACTGCTGTTGGTCGCACCGAGGCTGCAAGCGAAGCTGCGTGAGTGTTTTGCTCTTATTTGGCCTTTGCACCTCTTTTCGAAGCGTTATCGGGAACATTGACAACATCGACACTTTGCAATCATGTTTGACTTGGCATACATCTTGGCGTACTTTCGTTGGTGGTCTTGGCGATGTTCTCTTCACCTGACAAGGGCACACCAAACCAACCACTTCCCAAGGGAAGAGCCCTTCTTGGACTTGCTTTTCGCTTTTGACCCAGACGGTCTTTGCGGCTCACGCGCATTGCTCTGCTCGGCATACTCCACCACACTACGTTGATCAACCTCATGAGATCCCATCCGGGATCAACGTTCAACAGCTCAGCTCAACAGACCTCACAAAAACAAAAACAAACACACTTGTGCATGCATCGCCTCACAGCCTTTTCACGTTCTTCTTTTCAACGTCTCACCAGAAAATTGAGTTCTCCACAACTTGTCTCTCTTTGCTCTTTCACAACATCATATCGCGCAACATAGGAAGTTCTTTTATTGATTTGTTTTTTGGTATTTTGCATCTCGACAGTTGTTAAGCGTGCTGCGTGAGACTCTGTTCAGAGTGTTGGAACTTGACACCACCAAGTGCGTTCGGCTATTTGCAAATCTCCGTCATGGCTAGTTTCATGTGCTGTACTCGTGATGTAAAGTCTTGGCTGCTGTTATTTTCAATATGAACGTCTATCGCGTACTCTCGTATGGGATCTATTCTTGGTCTTTGCTAGCCGAAATGCATACACTATGATCGGGCTTGCACATCTTACGCTCGATTTAGCTGAGAGCAAGAGAGTCACGCACAACTGAATAGTCGTCGGGCCGACTCATCTAGTCGACAATGGATGGCGACGATGCTCGGAGATTTCTGGCCTGCAAAGTCAAGGTCATCTCGGCTACCGTCTGTTCTTTGACTGCAGGCATTTTCCTGTGTTCCCAGGTCGACAAGGTAGTAACAGCTTGATCGTCAGTCATGGTGGCCCCAATGCTCGTACTGCCAAGCTCCTGGTGCTATTATTGTTCTATAACGATCGAGTGCCGAGCATCATCATGCATGGACCAACGCCTTCTACGAAGTGCGTGGTTACACAAGCTATAAAAGACGACGAGTCTGCTTCTGTGTCAGTATCCTCACGCAAGATGAAGTTCTCAAGCTTTGCATCACTGGGCCTTACCGCTTCCTTGGCTTCAGCACAGTCGAACTGTTCCTCCACGCAATCTTCCACCTTTGTCATTCAAGTCAATGGATGTGGTATTGGTCAAATTGACGATGGACAAGTCCGCGCAATCAACATCTCATCCGTCTCTCAGATCGCCGATGGACAGGTCCGTTGTGCATTGACAGGCACTGGCATTGCTCTTTCAAGCTTCACTCTGACCAATGGTTGCATCACCGACAATGCTGGCCGTACCTGCGAGATTTCAAACCAGAGCCAACTTCAGTGCCAGAACCCTGCCACGGTTGGTGCATCGACGACGGGTTTCTCCGTCTGCAGTGGTATGCTGGCTTTTAATGGCAAAACATCCTTTTTGGCATGTCTCGCAACGGGTGCCCTTCCTGGTTATAATCTGTACACGGTTGATGTCGATCGATCTACCGTCACTGGCTGTATCCTTGTCGAACTTCTTGTTCCAGTTTGCCCACCGGCTTCTGCTAGCTGTGTTGCATCGACCCTGACGCTCCCTGCAACGACTGTCGTGCAGACTGTCACAATCCCTGGTACAACGGTTACCAGCACCGTGACCCCTGCAGCACAGACCAATGTGCAGACTCTCATCAGCACTTCGACTCCTGCATCAAAGACTGTCGTGCAAAGTGTCACCAGCGCCATGACATCTGGTCATGTCAACATCACAGCTTCATCCATCGTCTCGACCGCAGTTGCGTCCCAGACGACCTTGCACACAGTCGCTTCACCTGCGCCTTCTGCTTGCTTCAATATTACCAACGCACTTGGCTCCAAGTCCTACCCACGCACCATCCTTGGCGTCAGCAGCAGCCGACCTAATGATGTGATTGGTATGCTGTATATTCCCCAGATTGGCGGTGGCAGTTCCAGCGTCTTCACATTCGATTTTCAGCAAGCTGGTACCTGCTCCATCAACTTTTTGTTCCCTACAAAGGCACAGATCCAGGCTCTGGGCGGTACGACAGATTACACCTTAGCCGGTGGCAATTCAATTGATGTGACATTATACCAGCTTGCCTCTGTCGCAACAGATGCTGCCAGCTTGACGTACAGCAACAAGCCTGTACAGGTGGCTACGTACACGGCTACGCTGACACCTGGCCAGAATACGACATTTGCTACGTTTGCCTGTCCTGTTGGAAAGAGTGTGTCGTACGAGCTAGCTGTGTCTGCTGGTTCTTCGTCAACGCTGTCGTTCTTTGAGGACTACAATCCTCCTCCTATGGGTCTGGTACTTGGTCAATGCTAGCTTACTTACCAGTTTTAGCATAGATAGAGCATAATGAAGACATGAAGATGAGAAGCTCCTGTGCCTTGTCCCTGAATCTCAAATTTTGAAATTTCAAATTTTGGACGCGACAGATTTCGCATTCAACGGCTCAACCACGATCCAACGCTCCATTCTGCCGCATGATGTGGCAGCTTGTACCGAAACCAAAGGCATGCTCCTCCTATATCGAATCAAAGCTAATACCAGTCCTTTCTCCACTTTGTTTCCCTCAAAACAGGCACAGAAATTATCTGCTTATTCGCCGTCTTCAACAAGGCTTCTGGCATCTATGGCGTGCTTGCCCTTCTCACAGGCGCTAGCATCACGGGATGGCAGCTCAGCATGTATCTCTACTCTATCATCATGACGGTCCTCTTTCTCTGGATGCTAGGACCTGTTCGGCGGCAGGAAGCTGTGCCGACTGTGCTCTTTGCCTTCGCCTACGTCCTTGATAGCGCTATCAATATCGCGTACACCGCAATTTTTGCCACTTCATGGTTCCTCGTCATCTCACAGCAAGGATCAACTTCGAAACTTGTTGGTGCGATGAATGATACGGCTGGCTTCACCCATCCATCCCATACGGTTGCTTCTGTTGTGGTTGCACCTACGCCTATTCCGGGTACAGTGACTGCATCACCTAGCGAGTCATTGGCAGGTGTCGGGCAGGGTGCGCTGCATCCAGAGCAGTACCCATCCATTGCTGCACTTGTACTCATTCTGCTCGTCAAGGCATACTTTGTGCTCGTTGCACTATCTTATGCGCGGACCCTTGTCATTCAGTATGAAGAACCCAATGAAGCGAGCATACAGGGAAGGCTTTATCGTCTCTTAACAGCATCTGGCTACTGGCGAGGCGGCAAGGATGACTTGCGATTATCCAAAGCACGCTCATCCAACCGGGAAGATGATGGGATTCCACTCACGTCGCGGCCTTCATCGCGGCAGTGAGGCGATGCATGTCTTGTACATTTCTATGCTCTTCAGTGTCTTACATCTTCTTGATTTGTACTTTGATGAGGTCTTTCTACGATTGTGACTGTGTGAGATTGTTCTACGACCACGACGACTTACAAGCTGGACTTTGACCGACTTGCAGTACTTTATTGGTAGAGGGCTCTAGGACTGCCTGGTCCATAGAAGGCCATGGCAGAGGAGGCCCATGAATCAAGTCCTGATGCACAAGACAGCGAACCCTCCCTCTACGAGCTGCTGAACATCTCCAATACCGCCACAGAAACCGATATCCGTGAAGCGCATCGTCGCCTTTCGCGGCTCTTCCATCCAGACAAGCATAGAGGCGATGTTCAACAACGTCAAGCTGCGGAGCATCAATTTAGGCAGATCCAACGTGCTTACGATGTCTTGTCGGATCCGCAGCAACGCGCGCTGTATGATACATTGGGGGATGCTGGTCTAGGTATCAAGATGGAAGTTGGACAACGCAACATGACTCCTGAAGAGCTCCGTCAATTCCATCTCGCTCAAGCAAAACAGGCGAAAGTGGAACTGCTGGATCAATTGGTGCAAGCAAAGAGCGAGACAAGTTTGACTGTCGATGCGAAAGCGCTGTTCGGTCAGCGCGTGGTGGTCGAGTCTTATATGAATGCACTGGGTATGCCTATGAAACGAGCACGACCTGCGTTACTCAGTGAACGATGGCAGGATGTACGGATGCGAGGACTGACTATTCGAGGGAGCTCCTCCATCCCCTTTTCATTGTCGCGGATATGGCGATTGAGTGAACGCGAAGACTATGAAGATGAGGCTGAATCTGGACAGCTTGCGAAACCTGTCGAGCACGCCTCTGCCTTGACTATAACATCGCATGCAACCATGGCGGGAAAGAAGGCACAATTCGGTGTTCTTACTGGTCTGCGGCATCAACTGTCCCCCAAAACAACGATTGAATGCTCTCTACCACTGCTGGCACCTCGCAAGTTTAAAGCGAAATGGATCCATCAACAAACAGCAGAGTTGTTTTACTCTTGTGACTTGGAGGCTGCTTCACTGCTGCAACCACCGAGTCTCGCGCTCACGACAGGTCGACAAATGACTTCACGCGGGGTTCTGTTCTCAACACTCTCCTCAGGCAGTCCATGGAAATTATGGGATTGGGGACAAACCAGTAGTGCTGCGTCTTACGTCCTTGGCTGGACTCGCAATCCCATCCCAAGCGACCCCTCTGGATTCACCGTGCAGTTGATTACCGGTTTGCAAGTAACTGGACTTGCTGGTGATTATAGCACGCATTTCGATGGTCCTGGGATTCGGTGCAAAGCAGGCGGCAGTCTCACAACAGGTGGTCTTGCCATCAACGTTGGTGCGAGTCGTAAAATCACTGAGCATGCAAGACTTGGTGCTGTTGTCACTGGCAATGCCCAAACACTTGTCGTCAAATTGACGTTTGCAAGACTCGGACAAAGATTTTCATTACCCCTTTGGATTGGCGAGGGTTTCGAAACGGACAGCATGTTGTATGGTGTCGTGCTGCCTGTGCTGGGCTTAGTTGCATTTGAGTTCTTGCATGTCATGCCACAGCGTGAGCGCAATCGGAAGAGGCGTTTGGCATTGAGGAAGACACGGATGCAGGATCAGTTGGCTGCTCGGGAGCAAGCTGCTAGTGAGGCAGTTGCATTGATGCGCGAGGCTATTGAGAGGAAACAGGATGCTGCGCGGCAAGCTCATGGCTTGGTGATTACGGACGCGCAGTATGGCTCGAAAGCGCATAAAGTTGATGTGACGATTGCATTGGCGGCACAAATCAATGACAACCAACTGGTGCTGCCAGAAAAGGTCCGTAAGTCTGGTCTGATTGGGTTCTGGGATCCTGATCTTGGCGAGAAGAAGACGCTGACGGTGGAATATCTATTCGATGATAAGCTGCACCGGGTTGAAATTGACGACCGCCAGGGACTTGTGCTGCCTATGAAGGGGCATTTGATATGAGCTTATATTGGCATAGCTACTAGCATTTCCCCGACTCCAGCATCAGATAGAGGCCTTTTGCACTGCACAACAGTGACAGCACCTTTGCTGCTGATTGTTGCTCGTCCTTGCTTACTTCAGCGGCAGGTCGCCTCCTCCACACAACACACCGACTCCCAATCCACCACATCTACATCCCCAAAATGCCGCCTATGAACCTGGCGCCTTGTAAGCAATCACTTCATCCTGTGCATCTCACTGACATGCACATCTAGGGCGAGAAGCAGCGCGCAAACTAGCGCAGGCCGTCAAACGCCAAATTGAACAAACTGAGCAAGAAGTCGCCGCTTTCCTACGACCAGGCAAGCAAGTCCTCCAGCGTGAACGAGTTCCTCTGCCGCGCCGATCGCAAGGCACACTACACGATCGTGTGCGAGATAAACAGGCGCAAGACGCGCGTAGGCATTACACGCAATTTGCTGGACCCACCCGCCATCATCATGCCGGCCGGTCAACTTCTGCAACAGTTGCACAGGTCAAGACTATCTTTGGACAGAGCGCAACAAGGTCTACGATGGGTGGTACATTGCGCGCACATGGGTATCGCCGTGGATTCGCATCAAGCAGCATCAACCATGCGCAGGTTGTACGAGAGGTTTTCGAGTCAATTTCACTGGGGCTCCGCGCTGGTGTCCTCAACAACCCATTCTTCACGGCGCCTGATGGGCGTGAACTGCGAGGCGGGCGTGTTGTTGCTGGACTTAAAGCGTCAGAGCATCTCACCACCGTCTTGACAATCCCGCTCACTCCCAAGATCCTCGCTCCTTCTACAGGCGTCTTGAATGCTGCACTCATCAGCGCTGTTGATGAAGCTGTCCTTGCTGCACCGAAACATCTTGCCAAGTTGCGACGCAATGTGTACCGCTTGATGCAATTTGGTTCATTTCCATACAAGCTTGTGGACAATGATTCGACGATGGAGGTGGTCTTCCCTGGACGCGATAGAGAATCAGTCGAGCTGTTCCTGGACGATTTGATGGATGGCAAGGGTGCGTCTCTCGGTGCTCTCCATGAACGACCACGATTTGTTGAGAGCGAACAGATGGATCAGGAAGTAGACTGGGCGACGCATCTGTATGCTAGAGACCACAAGATGACGCGCAGCCAGTTGTCGCTTGAGCGGTACATTCATGATTTGGATGTCTTCCGTGCTTGCCAGGCTGCGTGCTGAAGGCCCGCTTCTACGAATACATACATGACCCTGATTAGTTGCTATAGCGAGTGCCTTCCTTCTCCGTCCCTTTATCCTCCATCCTTCCCTGCATCCTGTCTATTGTCTCTCGTCTCTTGCTCTTGTCCTGCGACGACTCGAAAATAAATTTTGAACTTTCACCAAGAAGTCCACAAAAGCCGACACGATCGCATCCATCTATACAAGCAGGGCCTGACTTGAAACACAGTAGAGATGGTCAATCTCAATACAGCCTCCATGCGCTACCTGACGCCAGACGATTTCCGGGTCTTGACAGCTGTTGAGCTTGGCTCTAAAAACCACGAAGTCGTCCCTACACCTCTCATTGCATCAATCGCTAAACTACGCGGCGGATCAGGTGGTCCTGTTGCACGGTGTATCTCAAATCTTGCTAAAAACAAATTGATTGCAAAGATGAAGAATATGAGTTATGATGGATACAGGTTGACTGGACAAGGCGCTGATTACCTCGCACTCAAGGCATTTGCGAATCGAACGAGTGTTTATTCGGTTGGTAACCAGATTGGTGTTGGTAAAGAGTCGGATGTCTATGTCGTTGCAGATGAGCAAGGCAAGCAGATGATTCTCAAGCTGCATCGACTTGGTAGGACCAGTTTCAGATCCATCAAGAATAACAGAGACTACCTCAAACAACGCAAATCAGCGAGTTGGCTTTACATTTCAAGGCTCTCTGCAGTCAAGGAGTATGCGTTCATGAAGATTCTACATGAGCATGGTTTCCCAGTGCCACAACCAATTGATCAAGCGAGACATTGCGTTGTTATGGAATTCATTGATGCATTCCCACTACGCATGATTGAAGTTGTATTGGACCCAGAAAAGCTCTACGACGACATTATGGCCCTTGTTGTCCAGCTCGCAGAAGCGGGCTTGATTCATGGTGACTTCAATGAGTTCAACATCCTAGTCTATGAGTCTGGTAAGCCCATGCTGATTGACTTTCCACAGATGGTCTCGATTGATCACGAAGATGCTCAACGGTACTTTGATAGAGATGTACAGTGTGTCATCACCTACTTCAAGCGCAAACTCAACTACACTAGCGAAAAGCGGCCGCCGCAACTCAAGGATATTGTGCGCAAGGGAACGCTGGATCAAGATGTGCATGCATCTGGTAGCATCAAGCTATCGAAGCGTGAACTGAAGGATCTGGAGAGGGCGATTGAGGACAGTCGTGGGACAAGAGATGAGGAAGGGGATGTTGCTGCAGGGAACAGCGATACTGAAGCTAGTGATGGTGCCGAATCGGGCGAAGAATCAGACGGAGAAGAAGAGCCATCGGGAGGTCTCAATGACCTATGAAACTCATATCCGTATCAGCCTATACAAGCATTCTATAGTCTATCTAAAGGTTTTGTCTCCTGAATAGAACTATTTTATTCAATCTTCATGTCTCCCTATAAATTTATCCTTCCAACGACTACACCTCCCTCCTTTTAGCGGCCATAGGCACGCGAGCTCCCTGCTCCTTCATTTTGCTGCTTTATTCTACACTGAATCTGCTCCTCGCACCGCTGCTGTCAGGCTTGAACCTCGCCGTCAAGGCCTAGGCGGTCAGCTCGCCCCGCTTGACGTGCTGCCTGCACCATGAAGAAGCATTCGGCCATCAGCCAAACCCAGTCTCAGACACTGGAACATGCACGCTATGGCCAGGTCCGCGATATCGCCAAGCAGCGTCGAAACTTGCTCCAGAACCCTCGCAATGCTCTACAAGAAGCAACACGAGAGCGGCCGCCTCCCAAGCATCTGTCGCCTCGAGATTTTCAAATTGAATTGTTCAAACGAGCTCAGGAGCAGAATACAATCGCTGTTTTGGATACAGGTAGTGGCAAGACGTTTATCGCAGCAATGTTGCTGAAGGAGCATATCCTCGGCGAGTTGGCAGCCCGAGAGCTCCACGCTAGAGAACTACTGCGGCAGCGAGAGCCAAACGATCCAACTGTACCTCATCGACCCCGAAAACTGGCCTTCTTCCTCGTAGACAAGGTTGCACTTGCTATGCAACAATCAGAGTTCCTCCAATCTTCCTGTCCAGGCGAAATTGGTTTCCTCTACGGTGCACTCGGCGTTGATAACTACTCCAAGACTCAATGGATCGACATCTACGACAAACATCATGCTATTGTCATGACTGCTCAGATTCTCGTGACGTGTCTAGCGCGTGGCTTCATCAGTATGTCAGAGATCTCGTTGCTCATCTTTGACGAGTGTCATCATGCCGCTTCAAATCATCCATTCGCTCTCATCCTACGTGTCTACCACGAAGCAAAACATGATGACAGGCCGCGAATTTTCGGCATGACGGCAAGTCCAGTATCATCACGCAAGACGCCCCTCACAGTGATTGAGAAGCTTGAAGCAACCATGGATGCGCGTGTCTGTACGCCCAGCCTCAGCTCGAGTCTGTCAAGTTTGGTTGTGAGACCTGAGGAAATCATTCTACGATACGATACCATGGTGCCCGAGGACTTTGGAATGGAGGTGGATACATACAGCCTGCGCAAGGGCGCATCATTCAACAAGAGCTTCAAAAAGTTGGTTGCTAGTGCAGAATACGTCACGACTGAATTAGGGCCTTGGGCTCGTGAGCGATGCTGGAAGATGCTTGTCCAAGATGCAACAGACAAGTCGGAAGCTAAATCGATATACAAGGAACGGGAGGGAGAAAATCTTCAAGAAACGAAAGACATGCTGCTTGATGCGACCAAGATTGTTGATCAGCGAGAGGACGAGGTGATTCAAGACCCTGTCTTGTCGCCCAAGGTATCGCTGATGTTGGAATTGCTCAATGAAATCTACAGCGGCGCTGAGAAACGTGGCGAACCTATTCCAGTCGTCTTGCTGTTCTGCGAGCGACGCGTGACGGCTTATTTGCTACTCAGTCTTGTCGCTGAAATCGTCAAAGACAAGATGCATCCTAACATCAAGCCTTCCATTTTTATTGGGCAAGGTGGCGCCGACGATGCGGGCGTATCGATGCTGATTCGTCGACAGGTCTTCGTCGTGGATTCATTCCGACGCGGTGACTTCAACTTACTCTTTGCTACAAGCGTTGCAGAAGAAGGCATTGACATACCTGCCTGCAACTATGTCATACGGTTTGATGCCTTTTCCAATGTCGCACAGTACATTCAATCGCGTGGCCGGGCTCGACACCCTGGCAGTCGATTCATCATGTTTCTCGAAAACAATGCACCGAAGGCTGAGCAAGCATTGTTGGACGTCAAAGTGGCTGAAGCTCGCATCAGAGAAGTATGCTCACAACTGCCAGAGGACCGTGTAGTTAGTGGCGTTGACGTCGAGATGGGAAACTTGGATGATCAGGAAGATGATGCATCTTTGGTGGCACATCACTTCGAAGGACAAGCAAATCCATTACCTGAGTTTGCAGCGCTCAACGTCGTCAGTGCTTTCTGCAACTCACTTGGCACGAATGACTTTGTCATCATGGCACCCACGTATAAAGTCTCAGGGAGTGGTATTCAATGGCAAGGATCTTGCACATTGCCTGCCATTTGTGGCATTCCACCTGTAACAGGTCTTGTTCGAAAGAGTACGTGTCGTCTGAGGTACAGACAAAGCTAATAATCAGGCAGAAGAAGCGCGAAGTCTAGTGCAGCGCATGCGGCTGTTGCTGCACTTGTCCAACGGAAGCTCGTTGATGAATACTACAATCCGTTCAAGCCAGAAGTAAATGAAGAAGTGGATACAAATGACGAAGCACTCCTCTTTCGCTCTCGTGATCAATGGCCTATACGCAAACCACGACTATGGCAGCCAAGAGTGGCAGAACGCTTCTTTGTCGCTCGAGTTACGACAGATCGAGCAGATGGTCACTATGCACCTTTGCTCTTCATCACAAAGGACGCACCTATGCCACAGCTTCCTCTAGTTGAATTCTCACATGAAGGAAGAGCATTCAGAATGCAGGTACTCATACTGGAAGGATCAATCACATCGACTTCTGAGCGTCTCGCAGTCATGATTCAGTTTACGAGGCGACTGCTACGTTTCTCTATCCACAAGCACTTTATAGCAGACGATCCAGGAGATTATCCCTGGTTCATTGGCCTTGATACTGGTACTGGCACACTCGAGGCAGAGGCTGCTATCTCATGGCAGGACATGGAACACTGTGCTATTGACCGGAGTGAGCAGCTCAATCCAGCCTTGTCTCGATACAATCTTCACGACGCTCTTGTTCGAGAAGTCCTCCACAATGCAGATTACCAGTTTTGCGGATTCGATGCGTCCATGACGGCAGACTCCAAGATACCAGAGCACGATGCTCGCTTCGACGCGAGTGCCCCCGATACGACTTTGCGAGAATTCTACACTACCATCGAGCCAGACCAGCAAATTGTTGAGGGCCAAAAAGTGATTCATGCTCGCAGATTGTACAAAGGCTTCAACTACCTCGCTCCACCTGCCTCTCGGAAACGCAGTGCTGACGAGATGGAGTCGACGGGAAAAAAGATACGCAAACGGGATGTTTACTTTTTGCCACAATTCTGCAAATTGGTCAATATGAAGGCCTCTGTTGTGTTGATGGGTCGTTTGCTGCCAAGTCTGACGCTTCGACTTGAGACCCTGCTATTGGCAGACGAAGTCAACAAGCAATTGGGTACGTCGATCCGTCTTGACTTGCTAGCAACAGCCATCACAGCACGACAGGCAAATCACGGTCATGACTATGAACGTCTTGAATTTCTTGGTGATGCCTTCCTGAAACAAATTGCTACGGTTGCCGTCTATCTCAAATTCCCACACCATCCAGAGGGCTTGCTGACGTCTGCCCGAACGGCCATCATCTCTAACACAAACCTACGCAAGTTGAGCATCAAACTTGGCTTCCCAGCAGTGATGCGCACAGTGCCCATGTCGCGGCCCAAGTGGCGATATACAAACAAGGTTGTGGAACCACAAGTGCTTTCGCCTGTCGAGACGACGCATCGCTTGGGATTCAAACAAGTGGCTGATGTGGTTGAATCTATTCTGGGTGCTGCCTTCAAGTCGGGTGGGTTCGATTTGGGCCTCCAAGCAGCTGTGGCAATGGGTATTGAAATGTTTGGCATCAACTCTTGGGAAGCAGCACGAGCATTGTACAGCGCTTCGCCGCCACCATTTTTGCAGCGCGCTCGAACAGTGGACGGCGAGCAGCAAGTGACGAGCATATTCGGCTATCAGTTTGCCAATAATGGCTTGCTTGAGCAAGCCTTGCGACATGGGTCTTGCCACATTGACGCTGATGATCCTGTACCATCTTATGAACGGCTTGAGTTGCTTGGCGATGCTGTGCTCGATATTGAAGCGGCTTCGCTCGTCTATGACCGTTACCCGTCTTACGGTCCCGATCAGCTGTCCAATCTGAAGTCATACATTGTCTGCAATAAGACACTTGGCGAGGTGTGTGAAGTGATTGGCTTGCAAAAGTATCTGAAGCAATTCAATGGAGGCGTTCTGCTTGCACTTGCCGAATATGCGACCCGAGCACGGTTTCAGAGGCAGCGAAAGCAAAAGAATGGCACAAAGGCAGAAGACGATATCGCCTCAATAGTTGCGCCAAAGTTCATGAGTGACATGATTGAATCAGTCATTGGAGCCATCTTTGTCGATTGTGGATTTCGCAATGAGCCAATTAACAGGATTTTGCACAATGTTCTCTTGCCAACACTGGATCTGGACGCTGCAGCTTCCATCAAGGCACCAAAGCCAGCCATGACATTGCTGTCGGAGTATTTCCAGAAGTATCCTTGCAATGCTGCCGAGTTGCATAGAGATGTCGACAAGGACGAAACAGCCCTGAACGCACACATTGCCGTGCGAGGCCAGCATACTGAGCAGAAGAGTAAGCTGACATTGCTGATTCATGGCAAGCAACTCCTTCAGATCGTCGAGCAATCTCTGGCAATGGCAAAGTTGGCACTAGCGAACGAAGCGTTGACATTGCTAAGAGACAACCAGTGGATGAAGCAAGTGTGTGATTGTGCAGAGAAGACGTTGGCCAAAAAACTTGCGGCAGCTGATCCAATGGACATCGAAAAGCTTGGCGAGAGTAGCGCAGATGAGGCAGATGAGTGATTGCGATCCGCCATCAAAGCATATCATGACATTTCAAGCATTTATAGAATCCAGCATAAAGTAGCACGAGCCTTTAAAATTCTGCTGATTGCGCTGTGCTTCTGGGCTCTTTTGTAGAGGCTTTAGTCAAAAACCATAGAGATCTTTTGCTGATGCGAGTTTCTTGATTGGTGGCGCTTCTTGGCCTTCCAAGGCTTGACGTTTCTTGGGCCGAGACAGATTGAAGATGCTTGGGGATGGTTTTGACGTCTGCAACAAGTCAAGCATGGAGGGAATCTTGTTGGAAGGAATCTTCTTTGGCACAAAGAATTCCTTCTTAGAATCTGGCTTAAAGGCCATCTTGTCCAAGTCAACAGACAAATCCGCAGGCGGTGAAGCCATCCTGCCAGCTGGTAAGATTATGTTTGAACAAGCCATGTCCTGCTCTCCTTCCTTGGGTGCTTCAAGTTCAGCGCGCGGCTTGCGTCTTTTCAGCTTCGTTAAAGATGCCGGCACTGATGGCGTAGCTAGAAGCTGCTCTAGTGCGTCAGTGCTTGGCACACCCGGCGGACTAGCCACACGTGAGATATCATCAGGTGCTTCTGCTGCGCTTTTCAGCTTCGCCAGCTCTAGAGCGATCATCTCTAAGTCTTCGACGACCATCTCGTACTGGTCATCGTCCCCGAATCTGGCCTCGAAGGGCTTCTTCTCGCCAACAGGCTTGACAGTGATGGCTTCCTTCCTTTTTATAGCTTGAGCGGGTACTTTGGAGCTCTGTGTTGCCCATGGCAGCGTCCGAACCATCACATGGATGTAGCAGAAGGGAGAGAGTCGACTTGCCCAGATGTTGAGTGCGGCAGTTTCAGATGGATTCATGATGGCGTGGGATTTGCGACCGCGATTTTATTTTGCAGCCGCGACGCCATAAAGTGCATCACATCGCACGACCTAAATATCGGCTTAGATACACATGCAGAGGCTAGTCAGCAGGGAGACATGGTCTTTTCGACGAGAATATCAATGCCAAGTATGTCGGTGGCTCAATGGACTCTCCCTACGTGGCCGGCGACTCATGTCGATCAATGCGAGTGGCAATGTCCAGGAGAACGCTACGCCTGATGGTGCAGCGGCCTTCTCTGCCTTCCCTCCTCCTTCTGCCACGCCAAGGCCTGCAGATTTATCGCCTAAGAGATTTATCAAAACAACGAATATGAAGATAGGCAGACGGAATGACTTGGTCAAGTTACCAACGCCGGCGTTACGTGATAATTACAGAGGGATCAAGCAACGGACGCTGAAGAATCGCACGACTCCGGATGCACTTGCTTTGTTTGATGCTTGTGTCGTGACTGGAAATTGGGGGCGGTCTCTCAAGTTGCTGGAGCAGGTGCGCAACCAAGCAGATGATGCAACTGTTCTCGTTGCCGTCAATCGCTATTTACAAGCACTGGTCGAAGAAGTGCCGACATCGCAACAGATGACATTTGCACAAAAGCACTTTGACGAGTACGACACAAAATGGGGCGTGCTGCCGAATCACTTTACATTTGCGCTCATGTGCAAGGGCAATCTAGCCCTACAAGATGGAGAAGCTGCCAAAGTTGCCATTCAAGAGCTCGCTAGACATTGGCAAAGCATCAAGGGCGATTTTGGTACTGTCATGGCGGCGGATGTTCTTACGCAAGACGAGGCACGTCGTGCATTCGTCTTGTCTGGACTGGATTATCGTCTGATTGGTAAGGAGAATCGTTCAAGCATTGAGATCCCCCAACATCCGCTCTCTGAAGTTGACGAGGTCTTACCGCCGCGGCAGCCTCCGCCTGGTCTTGGCTTTCTGAAGCACAGTCTGAGTGCATTGACTGACCAGGACGTCGAGATTGTCAGTGGTCAGCAAGTACTAGATGACTCTGGCCGGCCTCTGTCAACCCAGGAAATCTTCAACCTCGCCCGACAAAAGTCAATTGAGGAGAATGCTGTGGATGCTGCAGTAATGCGCTGGAAGCATGACCATGATGCACTCAAGAAACGTGGTCGAATGACAGGACAAGTCAAGTCTCTGAATGTGCTCTTTTGGGAATGGAAGGAAGAGATGGTGCCGCTTATCCAGGAGGAGGTCGATCGAATCGACCACAGCTCTGATGATCTCAACCGGCCTTCAATCAACCGGCAAAAGCAAACATTTTCGATTCCACAGACGGAGAAGGAAGCTGAAGTGCAGGCACTTCGCGAGACAATGGACTCAGATGCTTCTAGAACTGCAAGGAGAGATTATGGCCCATTTCTGGGTCTTCTCAAACCAGAGAAGTTGGCTGCTGTCACCATCTTGGAGGTCATCCGATCCTTTACGACAGAAAACCTTGACGGCATGAAGAGTGCCACCCTTGTCGTGAAAGTTGGCAAAGCGATTGAGAACGAGTACCATGCAGAGATTCTCAAGAAGAAGGGAATGTCAGATACGTGGCGTGTACCTGGTCAAAACATACAGTTCAAGCACATTGCACAGGACAATGAGTTGTTCAAGTTGGCTGTGCGTAGGGCGCGGGCAAAGGCGCAGCAGATGAATGCATCAGGCTTGTTTCACCCAGAGTGGACACAGCAACTGCGAGCAAAGATCGGTGCAGTCATGGTGTCTTTTCTGCTACACACAGCACGTATCAGCATGACCAAGAAGGGTAAGTCTGGCTTCATTCATCGGCAAGAGGCTCCTGCTTTCTTTCATTCTTACCAATACTCAAAAGGTCAGCGTCTCGGTGTCATCAAGCTTAACGATCAGCTCATGCAACGTCTCTCTTCTGAACCTCTGCGTGGCAGTATCTACCCGCGCCAGCTTCCAATGCTGACGCCACCAAGACCCTGGTACTCTTACGATTCCGGTGGCTATCTCTGCACACGTACATTTGCAATGCGTGCCAAGAACTCGCCAGAGCAAATCAGATATCTCAAATCTGCTTCTGAGCGTGGTCACTTAGACAATGTCTTGTCGGCACTTGACATTCTCGGCAAAACACCTTGGAGCATCAATGAGCAAGTCTTCAAGTGTGCGTTGCAAGCTTGGAACTCTGGTCATGGTGTTGCCGATATACCGCCTGCGGAGCTTGACATCAACCTACCTCCTCCGCCACCAGCAGATGCAGATCCGACGGAGAAGTTCGTCTACAAAGAACGTTGCAAGGAGATCACCACCCTGTTGCGCAATTGTGCAAGTATGCGCAGTGACATCAACTACAAGCTCGAGATTGCTCGAGCATTCTTGCACGACACCATGTATTTTCCGCATTCGCTTGACTTTCGTGGGCGTGCGTATCCCATCCCTCCTCACTTCAACCATCTCGGCAATGATTTGTGTCGTGGACTATTGCTGTTTGGTACTGCCAAAGAGCTTGGTCCCAGTGGCTTGCGTTGGCTCAAAATTCACTTTGCAAACCATTGCGGGCATGACAAGGCTAGCTTTGACGAGCGCGAAGCGTTTGCAGACGAGTCGCTCGAGAAAATCTTCGAAGCGGCGGACCATCCTATGGACGGTACACAATGGTGGCTAGAAGCAGACAAGCCATGGCAGTGCCTGGCAGCGTGTTTTGAGCTCACCAAAGCGTTGCGTTCAGGAAACCCCGAAAAGTACAAATGTGCGTTGCCTGTGCATCAAGACGGTACCTGTAATGGATTGCAACATTATGCGGCCCTAGGTGGCGATTTGTCGGGTGCAAAGCAAGTGAATCTCGAGCCAAGCGACAGGCCGCAAGACGTGTATCGCGGTGTCGCTGATTTGGTCAACATTCAAGTCAACATTGACGCTGCCGCAGGGGAGCCACGCGCAAAAAAGCTACAGGGACACATTTCGCGCAAAGTTGTCAAGCAGACTGTCATGACCAACGTGTATGGCGTGACTTTTATCGGCGCCCGTCTCCAGATTGAAAATCAGCTCAAGGACCTCAAGATTGAAGGGGCTGAAGATGAAGTATGGGATTTGGCAAACTACCTCGTCAAGAAGGTCTTCAAGGCTCTCAACAATCTCTTTACTGGTGCACACGAAATCCAGGACTGGCTCAAGCACGCTGCCATGATTGTGACGCGCTCGGTGCACAAAGATGCGTTGCTTAATGCGGTGCCCGACACCATGTCCGCAGTGATTTGGACCACTCCGCTCGATCTACCCGTGGTGCAGCCTTACCGCAAGGAAGTTCGACGCCAAATCATGACAAACTTGCAGACCGTTTTTATTTCTGATCCGTCAGATGCAGCAGAAGTGAACTCGCGCAAGCAAGCTGCTGCTTTCCCACCCAACTTTATCCACTCTCTCGATGCTACACATATGCTCATGTCTGCGCTCGTCTGTCAGGAAGAAGACGTCACTTTTGCAGCTGTGCATGACTCTTACTGGACGCACGCCGCGGATACTGACAAAATGAATGTAATTCTCAGGGACGCCTTCATCAAATTGCACTCGCAAGACATCATGGGCGATCTGCACTCTGAGTTCAAGCAGCGGTACAGCAATCACTTTTTGCCCGTGCCATCAATTCAAAAGTTCTCGCAAGCGTATGCATTCTGCATGAAGCCTGAACATCTCGAATCCGGCAAAGTTGTCATGCTACCGGGACAGAAAGGTGTTGTTGTGCAGGATCACGATCTGGCCATCGAGGTGCTGCGATACGGTGCTCGTGCAGGCGCAGTCAACCCAGAGAGTATTGATCTCTCGAGCCATGCACGAAACACGCAGACACTCGCCGAGCGCATGAAGACGCGCGAGTATCTTGAGGAGTTGGACAAGACGTCGGCCGAATCGGAGGCTCAGCAGGAGGAAGAGACGGCTGTTGGTGCAGATGTTCAGGAGGCTCCATCGAAGCCGAAGAGAGAGGCAAAGTCGAAGCGATTGGCGACGTGGGCTGTCTGGGTGCCCATCTCGTTCCCGCCACTACCCAAGAAGGGTGACTTCGATGTGACGAAGCTGAAGCAGAGCAAGTACTTCTTTTCATAGATTATGGGACTATCTTGATTGATGTGAAATGGAACTTTTCATGCTTTGCTCCTCATGATGCATATGCCGAAGATATGGGTGGGTCCATGGGCGACTCAGCGCAGGTCCATGACCTACGATTGCAATTTTTGACGACACCTGCTAAATGCACGGCGCCATGGACTCGTCTGCAAGCGCTTGTAGCTTACATGTAGTCCTAATGTGCTCGCTTCCTCAAGTATTTACAGAGCATCATCAGAAGGCCCTCATTTTACGGTGGTGACATTGAGAAACATCGAGTTGCGGCTGCTCTGGAGCATGAGCAAGTGAAGTAGGGTGCATTACGCAGTGGAAAAGTTCAATGGGCAGACAGCCTGCAATAGGCTTCTGCAGCAGACAGAGCCGATTATCTAGAGAATCGTTGCTATCAGCAATCTACCTAGACCTACAAGTCTCCTCCTCGCAGCGCAAACAAGTACTTGACTACTTGGCCCAAAACTGCTGCTGCTGTTGCGAAGGGGGACTGCCCAATCTCAACTTTGAGGAGCTGGCATTCGCATATCCTGCATTGCCGTTGCTTGCATGTGTACCGCTTCCAGGACTACCACCAGGTTCTTTCTTGCTTTGCTTTTTGGAAGAAGTCTTCTTTTCCTTGTCCGATGACCAGAGTCTCGACCGCATACCAGGGTTCTTCTTGAGCATGCCATCTAGCTTGAAACTCGCCTCTGAGCCATTATCATCGTCAATCGTCTCTTGCGCTTGTCCGTGGTGCGGCACACCGATCACCAACGGCTCGTCTTCGCCACTATCAGAGCCAACTCTGCTCAGCAATGGCGACTTGTGAGGCGAAGTAACAGCAGGCTTGCTGTGGCGAGGGAAGGAAAAGATAGGTTGCCGCTCATGGCGAGGCGACAAGTCAAACCCGGGCGACGTCAAGGATGCTGTGCTTGGCGTACGATTCAGTGACCGAGAGAGAATGGCCGCAACCCTGGTGTCATACACTGCAGCAGGCGCTGCTTCTGTTCCTGCATCCGACACGGATGTCGGTGTCCGTTCAAAGTCATTGTCTTCCGTGAAGAAGACATCCAGGCTGTGCAAGGCCGATACCATGTCGCCTAAGGATGACTCGCCGCCATCCACAGAGAGCATGGTTTCGCTTCTTTGACTTGGCGCATGATAGGCATAGTCATCCATATGGAACTGTACCGCATCTCCCAACTCGTCAGACGCCACGGAAGTCGAGCAAGTGTAAAACACTGCATGTACATTAGTTCGCGTCCGCGCAGCCGTGACAGCAGGTAGTGGTATAGCCCAACCAGAGTCGTCGGGTATGCCAAAGAGCGTCGCCGTCTTTTCATACTCCTTGCGAATTGTTCGATTGCCGAGACTCATGCGCAAAACCTGTCTGTCTTTGGGTCCATCAGAAATGGAAATGGCCTTGTCGAGCACTTCGAGTGCTGCTTGCGCATAATCAGTTTGAAGCAGTCTCAACAACGGCGAGATGAGGTCTGCACCCACACCAGCAAACTCCGCGCGATGCGTGTCGACAAATGGCAGCAAAGTCTTCAGAACGTCCATTGTGCAAGTCTTGACCCAGGCCGTTTTGTTGGACAAAAGACCGAGTAGGAAAATGAGGACTGGCGCTTCCATCTGCGGGAAGAACTGCTCTCTGATGATAGACACCATCTGTCTAGAAAGGTCGTCCGTGTTGCGAAAACGCTTTTTTGCAAACGAGTCAAAGATGCGCGAGCAAGCCTCAAAGCCCTGCGACGCTGCAAGACGGGACAATGTCTCTGCTGCTCGGACATCACTGAGGGCAATGTTGCTAGTGCCGAGTGCGTGCATAAATGACGGGACATTGGCGAGGATGCCAAACAGCAACCGGCTATCGCCGCCGACAAGCTCGCTCGGACCAAATGCAAGAAGTCTATTGAGCAACGCCAATGTCGACGGCATACAATTTGCAGATCGGAGACCTTTGAGCAAAGATGAAAAGAGTCCTTCAAACGCGCCCTCCCACTTTGGTGGCAGATTGGAAATGAAAAACGCGGCATTCTCTGGCAAGTTGAGATCAATCTTGGACATGAAGACTTGAAGCATTGATTGAGCCTGCACGAATTCTTGCTCGTGGATGCTGTCGAGACAAGCAACAGTTGACCAGAAGATTTGCGGATGCTGGATGAGCTCATCGGCTGGTAGTCGATCCACAAGCTGCCCCAGAGTTTGTAGGATCTCCATGGCGAAGATTTGAATCTCGCTTGATGTATCAGAAACTGTATTTGACAAACGAGCCAGCATATCAGCGAGCATCGTCTGATTCATGGACGAAGATACGCATCGGAAGACTTGAAACGATCGGCAGGCCATGTGCCGAACAGGACACGATGTTGCCCACGTCAAAGCAGCCTTACCAAGCTCATTGCCCAGATCTGGGATGGTCTCCTCGTACATTGACAAGATGTCGTTGACGAGCTTGGTCATATATGGTGGTACTTTGCTTGCATTGCCTTCTTTGAAAGTCAGCTCATCATAGTGCCAGAACGACTTGATGTCGCGTGTGCGCAGCGCAGCGAGCTTTTCGCGTGCTGAGCGCGTAGTCTCAGTCTCAGGTCTGCCTTCTACACAGACGTTGAATGTGAGATACAGAAGCATCTCGCGAGCTTGATCTTGCACGACCGGGATGTAGTGGTCGAGCAAAAGCAAGACAATGACCAAAAGCAGCGGCACTTCTGCAAGCACTTCAGGTGACGGGAGGACCAGCAAATCGACCATGTAGATAAGCGCGAGTTGGCCGAGCGAGAAAACAATGTGCTTTTGTTTTGCTTCAAAGATGCTGTCGAGGTTGGCAACGTATGCAAAGCGTTCTTCATCCATCGATGGCTTGGGAGATTCTCTGAGTTGCGGAATCATGGATCGCGGCTGCAGAAATTTGAGGAATGCTTCCATGAGCTTGTTACCGGCAGGTGATCGCGATAAATAGACAACCACTTGCTTTCCACAATTGACAAAGAGCGGGTCGCGACGAGATACACTCTGGGCAATCGTAAAGTCGAGAATGGCCTTGACATTGCCTGGGTAGGATCCAGACACAAGCGCTGTCCAAAGTCCTTCAACCTCATTGAGCAGTGTGCCACGGAAGCGCAGCGTAATTTCAAATAGATTGACAAGCACCATGTAACTTGCTGCATTGAGATGCTCACCATTGATGTCGAGTTGAAGCTCAATAGATTGAATCCAAGGGAGCAAAATAGCAACCACATCGCGCTGCAGCGTTGTATCGACCAGCCTAAAGAACTTGCAGCACTCAGAAAAGATGAGATTTTTCTGATCTGAATGCTCCTTTGCCAACTGCGCCGCCAGCAGGTACTGTCCGCGCTTGTACACAACTGGATTGAGGTTGACGACCATGGCGGAAAAGTTGTCAACACAACTCGAACCATAGAATTGTAGCTCAATGGTGCGCAGCAGGTTGAGAGCGCGAGACCTGACTGCAGTCTCCTTATCACCAGCCTTGAGCAAACAGATGGCCAGCATCTGTGAACAACTGCAAGGATTGGCAGTCTGGGTGGTCAAAACATCCGACACAACCGTAAAGTAGCTCTGAGCGGCTTTGCCATCCAAATCATGGGTGTAGCATTGATGAACGGCCTCTTCATACAAAAGTCTGTAGTCGTGATTGAATGTCAGCAGATTTGACAAGGCGCGACGGCCGATCTTATGCAGACGCTCGGACGAGCTGCTGAAGATTGCCGCGATCCAGGAGAATAGGTCATCAATCTCAAAAGACATCGTAGTCTTGCGCACACCAGCAGCGTCGACGGTCTGTGCAAGAGGTCCTTCACACAGCGTCGCCATTGCCTCGAGTGAAGCGAGCTCTACGTTGCGCTTCTCAATTTCCATAGAAGCAGTCAGAGCGCCTCGATCACGTACATCGCGGTAGAGGTCCATGATGGACTTTCGCATGATGTCTTCTCGCCCGCGCGATACACTTTCGAGAGGGCCGTGGTTGCACCACTCTTCCACAAGACGGAAGCAAGATACTCGTCCTTCGAACGGCAGCCATCGGGAGGGGTCTGGCGTGTGCAAGAGACCTTTCCAGATTGCCTCGAGCAGTCCGCAAAAGTAGCGACGCAAGCGTTGATACTCCCATTCTACCTGAATCTCATCATCACTCAAGAATGACTTGATATCTCGCAAGTAATTGAGAAGCGTCTCCATGATCCAGTCGTTTTGCAAGACTTCTTTCCGGTCAAGGAAATGTGAGGTCAGCTCGAGAATATGTGTGACTTCTGTGCGTAACCTGTCGGTTTTCTTGAGGTCCCGAGCTCCATTCAACTTGTTCATGTCGCTGCGTGTTGCATTGCTAAGCGTTCGCATCATGGGCTGCAAATCTTCGAGTAGCGTCTTGAAGAGATTGATGTTGATGCAACCCAACGCAGTGACGATGGCCTCTCGGATTGCTGTCGAGTCAACAGTCAGCAGTGGAAGCACGATCTGGAAGACAGAGCGCGCGGATGTGATGCGTTCAAATGTGGCCACAGGAACAGAGCGTTTCCTACCATGGCGCAAGACGTGCGTGGGTAGTTGCTCATCAGTCAGCGTCAAAGTTGAGCAGGCCATGATCAGGAAAAGCTTCCATTGCTCTACCATGCTTTCAGGCGAGTCTGCATGACGCGAGCTCACTTTGGGTGCAACCTCAAATGGCGAAGATATAGGTAGACGCTCGATCGCATTGAGAATTTTGCCATGCATCTTGATTAGTCGATTGCAGATGACATTGCGAGAAAGGACGACCGTGATGGGGAACTGCTTGAAGCACACATCAATGAGCTTGGGAAAGACCTTGAACCAAATAGCAGCATCAACACCGCTGTCACTTTCTGCAATTTTGAGCAAACATTCTTGGGCGACTTCCTGCTTGACTTTTCCAATTCGGCTCTTTTCTGCGATTGACGCCTTTTCAACGATGGAGTCAAGAATTTGTGCCCCTTGCATGCGCAGAATATCAACAATGCGGGTGGCACCATCGTCTGGGATGGTTGCCTTTGATGTCTTGCGGAGGTGAGACTTATTTGCTTCAGCTTGCTCATCCATGACTCGGTCAAAGCGCGAGATGAGCCTGAGGATCTCGATTGCACAGGAGCGAATTCCCGGAGACTGATTGCAAAGAAAGAAGAAGCCATTCGCCTCAGTCTCTTCAATGACAGTCCAGATATTGATCATTTCAAGTTCTTCGCCTCGAGAAGACTCTGGTGGTCCATTGGATGCGACCGGCGACAACGGGGAAAGAGGCATATTGGGCGATGCACCTTCTCGCGCACGCTGGCTGATTCTGTCAATCCACGCAACAAGCAGCTCAATATAGATTTTGAGTCTTTCCTCAGTCCGAGATTCGCTCTGAGCATCCACTTTAAGCATAAATCTTGCATAATTGACTACAGTCGATTGCACTTTGGTCGTCTCTGCCAGTGCCTTGAGTGCCTTATATGCTGCAGCGCGAACGTGACTGTTGCCATGCGCAGTCGAGCGGCAAATGATCTCAATGGTTCGATTCGCCGGACTCTGTGCAATAAGACATCTCGGCAATGCAGTCAAGACGGCTGCCAGCAAATCATGGTAGAGATGCTTTTCCCGTGGAATACCATTGACGACTGCGATGTGCTCGCCATTCTGGAGTTGTAGCTTGTTGATGGGTGACAGTCGTTCATCAACAATGACATGCCCGCCGAAATGCTGATCGCAAAACGACGCAACGCGACACAAATACGCTGAAAATAGTGCGTGGAAGTCTCTGAGTAGGGGCGTATTGAGAGCTTGCGGTGCCATCTGCGTGCTCTCGGGAACAATGAGTGCTGCAGTTGACAAGTCCACTGGGAAGGATGGCTTGACGCCATCGCTCTCCAAATCTGCAAGGATCCAAAGGAATGTTCGAACAGCAATGCCAACGCGTTCGGGATTGAGAATATCGAGTTCTGGGCCGGTCCCATTCAGCTGATCACTACCGACCAGCGGCGTCATTATATTGAGAAGGGCAAAACTCTGATGCTTGACCGCAACGAATCGAATGGCTTGAATCAGTGGTTTGGTAGGCAGGTCAACCAGATGCTGCAGCCGTCGTGGCGGGAAGAGGAGTTTGAAGAGGGTGTCAATTTTGCGAGTGAACTGTGCTTGCTGTTCCGGACAGCGAAAGACAGCCACCCAAATGAGCTGTGCTAGACACTGAACGTATTCGTACCGACAGCTGCGGTCTTTGACTTTTGAGAAGTGTTGCTCGAGCAGCGAAAACCACCGCTCAAGAAAGACTTCACGCGGCGACACACAGAGAAGGGTGGATGTGAGTGGAAATGCTGCATTCCAGTAATGCTTCTTTTCGAGCATTTTGGCAGCGCGAGGGTAGAGTAGTTGAAGCGTTTCGACCCACGTAGGATAATTGACCTCTGCCGTGGTCACCTGTCATTAGCACTGTTTATTCAAAATGGTCTCTTACATCAGCGACCGGCAGTAACATGCGATGGAAAATGTCTGCATAAGCCTGCTTGACAGGAAAACCATGTGCATCGCAAAAGAAGCGTGCTAAACTTAAAAGAAATTCAGAAGAGTCCTCGAGCTTTTGTGAGGGATAGATGCTAATGTGTAGATGCTTCATGCCGTGGATAATCATCTCGACGCGAGCTTCGCGATCCTTTGAGAGGACACCGCGAGCATTCTTTTCCAAATCTGCGATGAAACGATCGGAGACGGAAGCAAAGCGAATAGAAGATAGGCAGCCGAGTAGTTCGGCGAAGAGATTCCAGTTTGCGAGTCGTAGAGGCGACGCTTGTATGGCTGATGGTTCGGCATTCTTGAGCTGGTTGAAGACAATCTCCTCGAGCTTCTCGCCAACCTCATCAACGAGCGATTCGGCATTGATTTGCTTGACAATTTCAATGAGCGATCGACACAGGATGAAGATAGACACGAGGCTCTTGCGGTCCAGCTGGGTTGCTGCATCGCGAGCAGGATCGTCTCGTTGCTGCATCGACGGAGACCGTGAAAACGACGGCCTGGTCGGCGGAGGTTCTGGCCTTCTTTGCATCGATGCATCATTCAATCCACCACTCACGGTACCAATACTGTGACTCGTTGTATGCGTAGGATGCGGCGAGTCGCTTTTGAGCTCTGCGCGAGACTTGCGCCAAAACATGACACTATCAATGACTGGCTTTGGATTTTGTCTAGCGATATAGCCCAAGCTCTTGAGCACCTTGTCGAATGCCGGGTCAACGCCAGGACCGAGTAGTCGCATAATGTCTGGCTCTGGGTCTGTTGGGCTTCCCAAGGTTGTATTGATTTTACGCTCAGCGATGCGCACAAACGAGGTGAAGACGACATGCAGTGCATAGGTATAGGGGCTCTTGTTTGTATCATCTGGATCGAATGCGCTACCCATGCGTTGACCTAGAGACGGCATTGGGCGATGTTTAGAAGAGGCCGTCGAAGATTGTCGCCCTTGCATGGCAGGCCTCGCTCCAAATGAGAACTGACGCCCACCAGAGCCAGATAGAAGCGACGGCCGGTCCCTGGCCGGACTGAGATGGCTCGGGCCGCCTGACATGATGTGTTGCAGCGTGTCGCGTTGTTGATATGGCTAAGCTGCGCGCTGAGTTTGGCAGCTCGCGAGCGGATGATGGCCTTGATGGATACAGCTAGGTGCAGAGCATACTTCCAGGAATAGAGTGACGATGCTAGAGCGAGATGCAGATGCTGGGCCCCGTCTGTGGAGGCTCTTGTCGGTTGTGTTGTCTGCTTTCTGATGCATCTCCTCTGCTCCTGGTCGCGCGTGGAAGACTCAACCGGACCACCCTCTCCCGCTCGTGTTCTCTGGTAGGTATGTTCATGGGATGCGCTATAGACGCTGGATGCTGCTATGGCGTTTGAAGATATATATCCTTCGCCTTGTACGAAGACAATCCGCTTGGAGACCGTCTAGATCTATTCGCATGTCTACTTGTACTTGATCGACGAATCTCGCTAGGAGAGTCCCACAAGAGTTCACGCAGTGGCCGGACAAGCAGGAAGACCGCGGCTCTCTCGGGAGTGCTATGTAGAGACATGAGATGGCTGCTGAAGCCTTGCGCCGACGACAGGCTTGGTGTCCGAGGATGCCGACTGAGCATGCAGCCTTTGTAGCTCTTGTACCTCAGCCATAAACACTGCGAAAGACTTGAATGCCAGTAAAGAGGATATGCATATAGGCCCTGAGTGTCTCCTTGTATCTGCTCTTCCTCCAACGTGTATCCAGCTTATTCCCCGGCTGTCCACTCCTGCTTACCTCATGCTGTCGCCTCAACACGGAGAGCGTCGGCAGAAGATCAAAAAAAAGGCAACACCATCACATAACAGCCCATCTGTCTCGCTCTTTCCTTGTCTCTTCATCCCTCTGTGCATCATGACAAAGGTCGATGTGAGCGACTTGCTCATCCTGCTCGGTGTTGCACTCGCAACAGCCGCCTACTTCACAAAGGGCAAGCTATGGGCCGTCGAACGGAAAGCGCCCGTCTTTGCATCAACCCTCGCAGCGGCTGGTCAAGCAGAGAAGACGCGCGATATCGTCAAGAAGATGCGCGAGTCTGTAAGTCATCTATTTGATTTGGTATGACCTGTATACTGACAATGCAGAACAAAAATGCCGTCGTTTTTTATGGTTCACAGACTGGTACTGCTGAAGACTATGCAAATAGGCTAGCGAAGGAAGGTCATGCAAAGTATGGACTGCAGACGATGACTGCTGACCTGGAGGATTACGAGTACGACTCGCTCGACAGCTTTCCCGAAGATGCCGTTGCTTTCTTTGTGCTGGCAACGTATGGCGAAGGCGAACCTACTGACAATGCTGTGCCGTTCTTTGACTTTATCAAAGACCCTGATTCGCAGTTTGCCTCAGGACAGTCGGCAGAGGAGACACCCTTGACGGCCATGAAGTATGTTGCCTTTGGACTCGGCAATAAGACCTACGAACACTACAATGCTGTTGTGAAGATCTGCGACGCTGCACTGAGTAAGCTGGGCGCTTGCGCACTCGCACCGTATGGCATGGGTGACGACGCGGATGGCACAATGGAGGAAGATTTCTTGTCATGGAAGGAGGAGATGTGGACGCAAGTCTCGCAAAAGATGGGTCTTGAAGCACGCGAGGTACAGTATGAGCCTGCGTTTGAGGTCACTGAAGACGATGAGCTCTCACGCGAGTCAGGGTCTGTCTTCCTGGGTGAGCCCAGCAAAAAGCACTTGACCAAGGCTGCAAAGCCCTTCAATGCCAACAATCCCTTTTTGGCACCGATTGCTACTTCTACAGAGCTCTTCACCGTCAAGGGTCGTAATTGTATGCATGTCGAGTTTGACTTGGCAGGATCTGGTGTCAAGTACAAGACGGGCGACCACCTCGCACTCTGGCCCAGCAACGCTGATCAGGAGGTTGAGCGACTCTTGCGTGTGACTGGACTCACCAGTAAGCGACACACAGTCATCCGCGTTCGTGCACTCGACTCGACCGCTAAAGTGCCCGTGCCGCAACCAACGACGTACGATGCAGCTATGCGATACTATCTCGAAATTTGCGGTCCAGTATCGCGTCAGTTCTTGAGCACGCTTGTACAGTTTGCACCAGATGAGAGCAGCAAGTCAGAGATGGCTTTGCTCAGCTCAGACAAGGATGCTTTCCATAAGAAGGTCTCAGTTCCGCACTTCAACCTGGCACAGCTGCTCGAGTCCATCACCAGCAAGACCTGGAATTTGCCCTTCTCTGTCATCTTGGAGGCCTTTGGCAAATTGCAGCCTCGCTACTACTCCATCTCTTCTTCCAGTCTCGTTTCTCCCAATAAAGTTTCTGTCACTGCCATTGTTGAGACAAAGTCGTTTCCCGGCCACAAGAATGTCCTGAATGGTGTCACGACCAACTACCTACTCGCTCTATCGCAACTCAAAAACAACGTCACAGATCCGCATCCATATGGCGTTGGGTATGATCTCGCTGGACCACGGGAAAAGTATAGCGGCGCCAAAATTCCCGCACATGTGCGACAAAGCAACTTTAGATTGCCTGCAGATCCAAGCGTGCCCATCTTGATGGTGGGACCTGGTACGGGTGTCGCGCCCTTTAGGGCATTCGTTGAAGAGCGTGCAAAACAAGCAGCAGAGGGTATGCAAGTGGGCAAGACGATGCTGTTTTATGGCTGTCGCAGCCGCAACGAGGACTTCCTGTATAAGGATACCTGGCCGCAGTACCAGCAAGCGTTGGGTGATGCATTTGATATGGATGTTGCCTTTTCACGGGAGGGCTCACAGAAGGTGTATGTGCAGCATCGTCTCAAGCAGCGTGCAGAGGAGGTGAAGCGGATCTTGGTGGAGGGCAAGGGGAATGTGTACGTCTGTGGTGATGCGTCACACATGGCACGCGATGTAAACAATGCACTGGTGGAGATTCTGGGTGATTCTGCGGTACAGGCTCTGCGGACACAGACCAAGTACTTTGAGGATGTCTGGTAGCTGGTAGAACTAGAATATATATCCAGAGTAGCACTCGCTTGACAGACCAGTCACTTGCCATCTGAATTAATTTGGGCAGTTTCAGACAGTCACGAAGCCGTTTCACTTGAGACTAGGCCTTCTCTTCTAATAAGTCGCTCTTGCTGCCTATTGACATGCTATGGCCGCTACTCATGATTGACGGCTGACTACTGCTCGCTGCCTTGCCTGCCTCTCGCCACCGTCTGCGCTTTGACCGCTGCTGAGAGACGGCTGGAGGGATACGACATGGAGCATGTGAATGGTTGACTCAGCATCAGACAAAAGGCCCGCCGCTTGCACAACACCGTATGCTCTGGTGGCATCGGCCATGCTGATCTGGTCATCGAGGAGGAACATGCTCTTGGCTCGCGTGCGTCCGAGGCAGCTCTTTCTCGTGTCCAGTTTGCTCATCTCAATCTGGCCGAGGACATTGAGGGACTGATCAGGAGTTCGCAGTCTCGATCTTCAATGACGAAAGGCCCCGGAGGCAGCGAAACGAGGCTGTCTTCTTGAGCCTGAGAAGAAGAGGGCCTCGGTCGAGCAGGTATAAGACCTGGACGCTGCTGCTCTCTCTGCTTCGTCTGCAGGTTCCTTCTTGTCCTCTATCTTCCTCAATCCTACTCCAACAGAGCTTATTCTTCGTTTATCTCCCTACATTCATCCGTCTTAAGGGGAAGAGTCTCAGGCAGTATCGAGGGCCCTTGTCTACGCTTTCGTTGAGTATACTCCCTCGCAAGAGCACGCTTGCTTCACCACCCCCCGAGAGATCCTGCTCTATTCTAAAAAGTCCTCCTAGCAACTCAAGGCAACCTCCTGGACCGTTCTGACCCGCATTGTCCGTGTGGCTGTCTCCTACGTCGGCGACACCCCTTACTTTTGGGCATTGCTCTCAACAAAAAGGGCCCGCAAGGTTCTTCGTCCTCGTCTGCTAGGCCAAGTGCTCTTCTTCCTGCAGCTCTAGCATCCATTCACGTCTTCGAGGATCGTAGAACCTATCTCGGTATCCTTCTCTAGAGCAGGGCTCGTACTCGCAGCACAACAAACGGCCTCGTTCCCCGTCTCGGCCCATTCACGGGCACTCCAGGTACGTTTCTCTCCTGTCTGTTAGGTCCAGTCTGGGGCCTGCATGTCTTCCTCCCGCATCACATGGCTGACCTTCCTTTTGTAGTGCATCTCCAGTCGTCCGTGGGAGACGCCTGTACGACAACCGACATGTCTGCAGCTACAGGTCGAGGACCAGACACGGACAAGAACAACCCGGCAACAGAGCATGGTTATGCACCAGCAAAGAGCAAGCCAGCCGCCACCAGCAAGACGATGGAGACACAGCCGGGCTCAATGGCGACGCATCCAACGGAACTTGATACCAAGCCGCAGCAGCAAGCACAACAACAACAACAGCAGCAGCACCAGTCGTATCAGCAAGGCCCTGCATCCAATGTCCAGTGGTCGACCTTTCCCGGTAGCGTCAATGTGCAAGCTGCCAATGGGTATTCAGGCCAGAGCATGCCGTCTTCAGCAGGATACGTTGCTTCACCCATGTACAGTCCCTACGGCCAACCCATGCTCGATGCATCTACTGGCGCCCTGTACCGAACGGATCCATCGGCTTCCGCTGGTGGTGGCTATCCATCCAACCAAGGCTACATGAGTGGTCTGTCTACCTCACCAGCAACGTACTATGGCTTCCCTACCATGCATCCCTATGCCTTCTTCAACTATGGCGCTCCTGCTGCCGCTGTCGCTGCTGCTGCCGCTGCGGCAGCTGCTTCCTCGCATGGACCTGGCCAAGGTTACCTTATGAATCGACGTAATACGTGGGTTCCACCCTCGCAGTATCTTCAGCAACAGCAACAACAAGGCTACCTGCAACCAAATCTGGCGAATGTCCCCACGACTGGTGAAAATAAGGGATCTTGGCGCAGTACGACCGGTCCAACAGAAGCTGACAAGCCTGCTGCCGCTACTGGTGGTGGTGGTAGTGGTGGTCGACCTCTCAAGCATCAAGCTAGTGCCTCTGCATTGACCAATACAATGAACTGCCCCTTTACGGACCCATACACGGCGTCGCTCGCTACGCAACAGACAACAGCCCTTGCACTTGCCAAAGTTGCGCAAGAAGCAGCAGCTCAGCAGTCTGCCAAGTATGGTAGTTCCATCTCCAATACCTCATCACCCATGTTTCCCTCATCGCCTGGATTACCTTCATTTGGCCATGCAACGGCACAAGACCAATTGCCACCTGAAGTCTTGATGGTGTTGCAGAATGGACCACCCGTTCCACCACCCGTTCCAAGTCTCTTTGCTGCTCCGAATGTTGAAGAAGCGTTGGACAGTAGCTTGCAGAATCCCAATCGCACGACAAATGTGTATATTCGTGGTTTACCACCCGACACAACGGATGCGTCACTCCTTGAGATTTGTGAACGTTTTGGACCCATCTCATCGAGTAAAGCGATTTTGGATGCTGCAACGGATACGTGCAAAGGGTTTGGCTTTGCTTGCTTTGTGCATGAGTATGATGCGCAGACGTGTATCTCTGCATTGACGCATGTCGGGTACCAAGTGTCGTTTGCCAAGGAATCCTTCAGTGTGCGTCTCAAGAACCTGCAGGACCCGAGTTCAACGAATCTGTACCTGAGCAACTTGCCACTCAACATGAAGGAGGAAGATCTCGAGGACTTGTTTGAGCCGTACAAGATTGATTCTTGCCGTATCTTGCGTGATGTCAATGGTGTCTCTCGCGGTGTTGGATTCGCACGCATGGATAGTCGCCAAGGTGCAGAGGAAATTATTGCCAAGTTTGATGGGAAATCCATCTCTGGTGAGGGGAGTAGTGGATTACCCTTACAGGTCCGCTTTGCTGATTCACCCTCACAAAAGCGATTGAAGGGACAAACGCAGCGTCGTCGACAGTGGCGTGCTCGAGAATATAACATCTTGACGGGTCGTGCTGGATTTGAGGAGATGAGTGGGTATGTCTTTCCTGGCGCTGCTGGTGCTGCTGCGGCTGGTGGTAGTACGACTATGGCTACGACTGGTGAGGGTCTTGCTGCGTATGGAACGGATGGCGATGCAGGTGGCAGGCAGTATGGGTATGAAACTACAGGAGATGCTGCTGCTGCTACTACTACTACAACTGGTACTGTCACTGGTACGAGTTTGCACCTGCAGCAAGATGCTGAACCGAGGACACTGCCAGACAAAGACATTGAGAGGAGCGCGAAGGCTGCTGACCAAGCTGACTTGTGTGCAGGTGTGGATGGAGGTGGTGTGAAGCAGAGTGGTGGCGGTGGGGATGCTGAGGAAGGGAAGCAGGAGCAGGGCAAGGGCGGTGGTGTGTGTGCTGGTGAGATTGAGGGACTGGCAGTTGGTCTGCAGGAGCTGAGTGCGTGAGTGTGCTGTCTATCTATGCTATGGCTGTGCATTGCTATCTGTGTCTAAGCTCTCTCTTCTCTCTTCTCTTCTCTCTTCTCTCTCTCTTCTCTTCTTTTCTCTTCTTTTCTCTCTCTCCATTTCCTTTGATATCTGCAATCCCATTTCCTTTGATTTCTGCAATCCTATTTCCTTTGATTTCTGCAACTCCATTTCTCTCACGCTAATTTTTTATCCCGACGACGAATGCAACACTGCACAGCGAGCATCCTCTCTCCTTCTCTCTCCTCTCCTCTTCTCTCTTTCCCTCCATAGACCTCTCATCCGTATCAATCTCATCCCTCTACACAACTCACAGAGCACGGTCAACTTCATCTGTTGAACTTTGTCCATCACTGTGACCTCCATCTTGCCTAGACAATGGACCCAGATGCACGACGAGGCAGTATGTCTCCCGCAAGCCCGCATGTCAATCCACAGGCCTCATTTCCTGCTAGTCCACGCATCAATCAGCAACAGGCCGCTTTCCCCTTAGTCCCAGCACCGGCCGTCATGCCAAACTCAACCGTCCTGGCAGCATCGCACCCACGACACACCATCCCACCACCTCAACGTCTCACCGATCCTCATCCACCTGTCAGTGTTGCTGCATCCGCTGATGCTCAACCAAAAATCATCACACTCGACTTGAAGGATGGGTCCGCCTACCAGGGTTATAGCTTTGGTGCAGACAAGAGCGTTGCAGGTGAATTGGTCTTCCAAACAGGTATGGTTGGCTATCCTGAATCCATCACAGATCCATCCTACAGGTTCGTATTCTTCTGTTACTGGTTCGCATAAATTGACACTTTTAGGGGCCAAATCCTGGTCATCACCTTCCCGCTCGTTGGTAATTACGGTGTTCCCTCGCGTCAGACACTGGATGCGCTCGTCTCTGAACTGCCAGCACACTTTGAATCCATCGACATTCATGTCGCTGGTTTGATTGTGGGTACTTACTCCTTCGACTATTCCCATTACCTCGCAGAGAGTAGTCTTGCCGATTGGCTCAAAGAAAAGGGTATTCCTGCCATGTACGGCGTTGATACGCGTGCATTGACAAAAAAAATCCGTAATCAAGGCTCCATGCTCGGTAAAATGCTCATGGCCAACAAGTCTGGGGTCTTTGCATCGCAGCAAGGCAATTGGCGACACGAATTTGCCGAGCTAGAGTGGTCAGACCCAAACACGCGCAACCTCGTTCCTGAAGTATCCATCAAGAAAGCAGCATTGTACAAGCCTGCACCGGAGCATGCACTCCTGACCAGCGCTGGTAGACCCTTGCGTGTGCTGTGTGTGGATGTGGGTATGAAGGCCAACCAAATTCGATGCTTCGTCAAACGTGGTATTGAAATGAAGGTCGTCCCGTACAATTGCGACTTTACCAAGGAGACGGAGTACGATGGTCTCTTCATCTCCAACGGTCCCGGTGACCCTGCACAACTCACTGATATCGTTGAACGACTCAAACAAGTCATTGCTGCTAAGAAGACACCCATCTTCGGTATTTGTCTTGGTCATCAACTGCTCTCGCGCGCTGCCGGTGCGCAAACCACAAAAATGAAGTTTGGTAATCGTGGTCACAACATCCCTTGCACCAGTCGTATCTCTGGTAAATGCTACATTACCTCGCAAAATCACGGATACGCCGTCGACCCAACCACCTTGCAGGGAGAATGGAAGGAACTCTTCTACAATGCCAATGACCTCTCCAACGAAGGTGTCTACCATGCTTCCCTGCCGTACTTTTCAGTACAATTTCACCCAGAATCAACGCCTGGCCCGCGCGATACGGAGTTTATGTTTGATGTCTTTATTGATGTTGTCAAGCGATCTGCCGATGCTGGAACGCTACAAGCTGTTCAATGGCCAGGCGGTACCCTTGAAGCCAACAAAGCTGCTCACCCACGCGTACACCCAAAGAAAGTGCTTGTTCTAGGATCCGGTGGTTTATCAATTGGTCAGGCTGGTGAATTTGATTACTCTGGTTCACAGGCCATCAAGGCACTCAAGGAAGAAGGCATCTACACAATCTTAATCAACCCAAACATTGCCACTATTCAAACCTCCAAAGGATTGGCTGATAAGGTTTACTTCCTACCCGTCAACCCAGACTTTGTCCGTAAAGTCATCAAATATGAGCGTCCCGATGCCATCTACGTCACATTCGGTGGTCAAACGGCTTTATCTGTTGGTATTGCTCTCAAGGATGAATTCGAGGGACTCGGTGTCAAAGTCCTCGGTACACCCATTGATACTGTCATCACAACGGAAGACAGGGAACTCTTTGCACGCAGCATGGAGCAAATTGGTGAAAAGTGTGCCGTGTCTGCTTCTGCAACAACAGTGCAAGAAGCTGTTGAAGCAGTCAAGACGATTGGATATCCAGTCATTGTGCGTGCTGCGTATGCACTTGGTGGTTTAGGTTCTGGCTTTGCGGACAATGAGCAACAACTTGTTGATTTGTGTAAAGTGGCCTTTGCTGCATCCCCGCAAGTATTGGTGGAGAAGAGTATGAAGGGTTGGAAGGAGATTGAGTATGAGGTTGTTCGGGATTGCAATGACAACTGCATCACCGTCTGCAATATGGAGAACTTTGACCCCCTCGGTATCCATACCGGTGACTCCATTGTTGTTGCACCCTCACAAACACTCTCCGATGAGGACTACAATATGCTTCGAACAACGGCAGTCAATGTCATCCGTCACCTCGGTGTTGTGGGGGAGTGCAATATTCAGTATGCGCTCAACCCCTTTTCGCGCGAGTACTGCATCATTGAGGTGAATGCGCGTCTTTCGCGTTCATCTGCACTCGCTTCCAAAGCAACCGGTTACCCGCTCGCCTTTATCGCTGCAAAGCTTGGTCTCAATATTCCACTCAATGAAATCAAAAACAGCGTCACGAAGGAAACTTGCGCGTGCTTTGAGCCGTCATTGGATTACGTCGTTGTGAAGATTCCACGATGGGATTTAAAGAAATTCACGCGTGTCAGCACACTCCTCAGTTCCTCCATGAAGTCCGTTGGTGAAGTCATGAGTATCGGACGTACATTCGAAGAAGCCATTCAAAAGGCCATTCGAGCCATCGACTACTCAAACTTGGGTTTCAATGAAACAGATGCTCTCATGTCTATCGACTCGGAGCTCCAAACACCCAGTGACCAGCGTCTCTTTGCCATTGCCAATGCCATGCACCAAGGTTACTCGGTCGACAAGATTTGGCAAATGACAAAGATTGACAAGTGGTTCCTCACCCGACTCCATGGTCTCATGACAATGGAGAAGGAGATTCAAAATTACACAGCAGCAGATTTGAGCATGACCTTGCTGCGTAGCGCAAAACAAGTCGGGTTCTCCGATAGGCAAATTGCCAAATTTGTGGGATCGAGCGAATTCGCTATCCGTCGTATGCGTGTCGAGACGGGCATCACGCCTTTTGTCAAGCAGATCGATACGGTTGCTGCTGAATTTCCAGCATACACCAATTACCTCTACATGACATACAATGCTGTCGAGCATGATTTGACCTTTGACGACCATGGCATCATGGTACTGGGTTCAGGCGTGTACCGAATTGGTTCGTCTGTCGAGTTCGACTGGTGCGCCGTCACTGCTGTCCGCACACTTCGCAAAAAGGGTGTCAAGACCATCATGGTCAACTACAACCCGGAAACAGTCTCTACCGATTACGACGAAGCGGATCGTCTCTACTTTGAAAATATCACCATGGAAACAGTCTTGGACATTTACGACGCAGAGCGCTCTGGTGGTGTGGTCATTTCCATGGGTGGTCAAACGCCAAACAATATTGCCCTTGAGCTTCACCGTCAAAATGTCAAGATTCTCGGTACCTCGCCAGAAATGATTGATACGGCAGAAAACCGCTACAAATTCAGTCGTATGCTGGACCGTATTGGTGTTGATCAGCCGACCTGGTCTGAGCTCACGAGTATCGACGAAGCAGATGCGTTCTGTGCCAAAGTGGGCTTCCCGGTCCTGGTTCGACCTTCTTATGTACTTTCCGGCGCTGCCATGAATACAGTCTACTCACAAGATGACTTGTCCAACTTTTTAAAGCAAGCTGCGGAAGTCTCTCGCGAGTACCCAGTCGTCATTACAAAGTACATCGAGAATGCCAAGGAGATTGAGATGGATGCAGTGGCAGTGGACGGAAAGATGGTCATGCATTGCATTTCTGAGCATGTTGAGAATGCCGGTGTCCACTCTGGTGATGCCACACTCATCCAGCCACCTCAAGATCTCGACCCAGAGACCGTTCGTCGTATTGAGATTGCTACGGCCAAGATTGGAAAGGCCCTCAATGTCACTGGTCCCTTCAACATTCAATTCATTGCCAAGGACAACGACATCAAGGTCATTGAGTGCAATGTTCGTGCTGCCAGATCATTCCCCTTTGTGTCCAAGGTTGTCGGTGTCAACTTGATTGAAATGGCAACACTCGCCATCCTCGGCTTCCCAGTCACGCCGTACCCGGAGGTCAAGATCCCCAAAAATTATGTGGGCATCAAAGTACCACAATTCAGTTTCAGCCGATTGTCTGGCGCTGATCCTGTGTTGGGTGTTGAAATGGCCTCTACAGGTGAAGTGGCATGCTTTGGCGAAAATAAGTACGAGGCGTACCTCAAGGCGCTGGTCTCTTCAGGCATTCGCTTGCCGAAGAAGAACATCTTGTTGTCGATTGGCGGATACAAGGAAAAAATGGAATTGCTGCCATCCGTACAAAAGCTGCACAAGATGGGATTCAAGATTTTTGCTACTGCCGGTACTGCAGACTTTATTCAAGAGCACGGCATCCCCGTCAAGTATCTCGAGGCACTCTCTGATGAACAATCTGAGCAAAAGAACGAGTACTCGCTCACACACCACTTGGCCAACAACCTCATCGACATGTACGTCAACTTGCCCTCGGCAAACCGTTTCCGTCGCCCAGCAAATTACATGTCTAGCGGTTACCGCAGTCGTCGTCTTGCAGTGGACTACTCAATTCCTATCATCACCAACATCAAGTGTGCCAAGCTCATGATTGAAGGCCTTGTGCGACGCATCCCAATGGAGATCACTGCGCTCGATGCACAGACCAGCTCAGAGACAATTGTCTTGCCATCGCTTGTCAATGTATCTGCTTTCGTTGCCAACATCACAGACCCTGCTTCCGAGGACTTTGCCAAGGTGAGCGAAGCTTCTGCTGCTGCAGGTTTCGGTATGATTCGCGTCATGCCCAATGGCGTGACCGGTGCTATTAGCGATGCAGCCACGCTTGCTGCCGTCTGTGCACAAGCTACTGAGGTTGCACATTGCGACTTCAACATTGCAGTGGGCGCTACCGCTGACAATGCTCAATCGCTCGGCGATGTCATGTCTGAGACTGGCAGTTTGTTTGTGCCCTTTAACAATTTCTCTGGCAATGTCAACAAGGTCACGGCTGTTGCCTCTCACTTTGGTGCATGGCCTGACTCGAAGCCTGTTGTGACGGATGCGAAATCGACAGATCTGGCGTCCATTCTGCTGCTGGCTTCGTTGCACAACCGACGCGTCCATGTGACGAATATCACGACTCAAGATGATATTGCACTCATTGCACTCGCCAAGGAGCGTGATCTCAAGGTTTCTTGCGATGTTGCCGTCTATGCGCTCTTCCTGTCTCAAGCTGATTTGCCAGAGGCGAAATGTCTGCCCACGCAACAAGACCAGCAAGCGCTTTGGGACCACTTGGCCGCCATTGACTGCTTCTCCGTCGGCAGCTTGCCGCTTCAAGTTGCCAAGTCTTGTGGAAAGGAAGTGGCGGCAGACTTTGGTATTGCCGAGACTTTGCCACTCCTCTTCTCAGCTGTGGATGAGGGACGTCTGACTGTTGATGATATCATTGCCAGATTGCACGACGATCCAAAACGCATCTTCAAGCTGCACGACCAAGCTAATTCACTTGTGGAGGTTGCTTCTGGACGTGCTGCAACAGCTCAAGGCCATTGGTCGCCATTCGGCAGCAAGCGATTGAGCACGGTCGTACATCGTGTCACACTTGCCGGCAGAACAGTGGCTCTGGATGGTGTTAAGACTGACCGGTACAAGGGCGAGAACAAGTCGATTGACCGACCCACCTCGTCGCGCGGGGCTTCTGTCATGTCTCCTGTCATGCGACCTCGTCATGGTACAATGACTACACACACGGCCGAACAGCTTTTGCTTTCGCCTGGTGGCAACCGTTCCTTGCAAGACTCTGCGTTCCCTGCGCAAGTACAGCTCATTCCGGACCAGAACTTGGCCACGCTTGTACGCAACACGCCCTTCTCGCGCCGCCATGTACTTTCTGTCAACCAATTCACACGGTCCGACTTGCATACATTGTTTACGGTTGCGTCTGAAATGCGGGTGGCTGTTGAGCGCGAAGGTGTCCTTGATTTGCTCAAGGGTAAAGTGCTGACGACCATGTTCTTTGAGCCGTCGACACGTACGAGTGCTTCCTTCGATACGGCGATGCAACGACTTGGTGGTCGTGTTGTCGCTATCACTGCAAGTGCCTCTAGTGTCAATAAGGGCGAGACTCTTGCCGACACTGTGCGTACACTCTCGTCGTATGGAGATGCGATTGTCTTGCGGCATCCATCAGAGGACTCTGCAGAGGTGGCTGCCAACTTCTCGTCAGTGCCCATCATCAATGGTGGCAATGGTACAAAGGAACACCCAACACAGGCGTTCCTCGACCTATATACCATTCGTGAGGAACTCGGCACTGTCAATGGCTTGACTGTGACGTTTGTGGGTGACTTGCTCAATGGCCGTACAGTGCACTCCTTGTCGAAGCTGCTACGCTTCTACGGCGTCAAAATCAACTTTGTCTCACCGCCACAATTGAGGCTGCCTGATTCTGTTAAGCAGGAGCTGCTGCAAGCCAACGTACGCTTTGAGGAGCACGAGACTTTGACGGATGTGATTGCTGAGACGGACGTGCTGTACGTGACACGGGTGCAGGAAGAACGCTTCACAGACAAGGCGGAGTACCTGCGGCTCAAGGACTTCTACGTGGTCAACAATGCCGTCTTGGCACGGGCGAAGAAGCAGATGATCATCATGCACCCACTCCCTCGCAACAACGAAATTGCACCCGAGGTGGACTTTGACCCGCGTGCGGTGTATCTCTCGCGACAGATGCGGTACGGCATGTTTATTCGCATGGCCTTGCTTGCATGCTGCCTGGCATAGACTGCTCCTTTGATGTTTTCGCTTTCAAAATGGCGTGTAGGGACATAATAGACTTCTACGAAAATGGATCCACCGTTGTAATAATTTCTGCTGCCCTTCCTTCTCATTGCCTGTTCATGCTGTCATGCTTATACGCCACCGCCTGATCGTTCGACGCTGTTTGTCAGTATAGCGCTACTTGTTTGCGTGCATACCCTTTGAGGGAGAGGTCACCCTCTGCTGCTGCAATGGTGTCTGTGCTTCGACGAGATTGATTCGCTGGTGATGCTTTGCTGTCTGTGTTGGGTGTCCTTCTACACGAGTCAGCATATGTCCTGGAGTCTCCATTGAGGTTGGTCGTACGAGTAGGAGTATCCGATGGCTACCGCGCCTAGTGCGATTCCCTGGAAGGTGTTAGTTCATTGAGCTTTGCTACGCTAGATACTACTGACTGCAAAGACTGCTGCTCTCGACGACATCTCTTCTTCTCTAGTACGCTGCTCCAGTAGGCTCTCCAGTGACAAGTGATGCCAATCCCACCCTTTCTTGCTGCTGCTCCACACTCCACGTGACTCGCTCGCTGACGACATCGAAAACCCATCTGAGAGACCACTACGCTATACACCGTGATAGATAGACTAGGCACCTCTAGCTGCCATGAGCCTAGACAAGACTGTCAAATATGACAGGCAGCTGCGCCTTTGGGCTGCGAACGGTCAGGCAGCTCTAGAGAACGCCAGAATTGCACTTGTCGGCGGTAAAGCTGCTGGTGCTGAAACGCTCAAGAATCTCGTCTTGCCGGGTATCGGCAGCTTCACTGTACTAGATCATCGTGCTGTCACGCCTCAAGATGCCGGCTGCAATTTCTTTGTGACAATGGATGATGTTGGCAGACCGCGTGCTCAAGTCGTTGCAGGCCTTCTGCAAGAGCTCAATGCAGATGTACAAGGCACACATCGGTCAGTGAATGTTACTGCTGAGCTGACAAAGACGCCAGACTACTTTGTAAATGACTTTGACCTGGTCATTGTAGCTCAGCTCGACCCTACAAGCTTGCGCATACTTGCGTCTAGTCTCTGGCAGGCCAACATTCCGCTGGTCGTCGTTAATAGTATCGGCTTCATGGGTATCCTACGGATAGCGGTGCCTGAGCATTGTATTGTCGAAACGCATCCCGACGCTATCGTTGATTTGCGTCTCGATGTTCCCTGGCCTGAACTCTCCGCTTTTGCTTCTTCCATGGACCTACAAGCAATGGACAACAATGAACACACGCACGTTCCATATATCGCTCTCTTGCTTCGATACCTAGAAGAGTGGAAAGATACGCACAATGGCCTCGTACCCAGCAACTTTGACGAAAAGGATGCCTTCAAAAAGCTCATTCGCTCGGGAATGCGTAATGTGGATGAAGACAACTTTGATGAAGCTGTGGCTAATGTCTGGCGCGCATGCGGCAAAACCCATATCCCTTCAGACATCCACAAATTGTTTGACGACGACGCCTGCGTACACCTGACGGCAACATCTAATGACTTTTGGCTCATGACGCGCGCCGTGTCAGACTTCACAAAAGCAGAAGGAAACGGTTTGCTGCCACTTGCTGGAATTGTACCAGACATGAAGTCAGATACCACACGTTTCATTCAATTACAAATGTTGTACCGCGCAAAAGCGAGTCAGGACGTTGCGGCGGTCCGTACACACCTTGAGCGACATTGCAAAGAGCTTGGGCGAAATGTTCCGTCGCAAGCGGACCTGGAGACCTTTTGCAAACACGCTGCATACCTCAAGGTCATTCGCTATCGTTCAATTGAGCAAGAATTCGATCGACCCAAAAGAAATTTGTGGGACGAAGAGTCTTTGCTGGCTTGGTACGTGGCACATGCTGCAGCTCAATCGTTCGAGTCAACATACGGTCGGGTCCCCGGCTCAGACATGGCTGACCACGATGATCACGAGGCACTATATGAACTAGCTTGCAAGCATCCTTTGGTCAGTGATCAGTCGAGCGACTGGCTTCGCAAGGTCTGTCACGAGTATGCACGCTGCGGCGGAGGCACACTACACAATATCGCCTCATTTATGGGTGGCCTTGCATCACAAGAGGTCATCAAGCTCTTGACGCGACAATACATTCCAGTCAACAACACCTGCATCTTTGACGGCATCTCCAGTACATCGCAAGTCTTTGAGCTATAGCATAGACTACACATTTGATGAAGCATTCGCCTCTGCCATAATGGCAACACTAGCCGATGCGCCAATTCGTGAAGCGCCTGCATCCACCATGGCTTGTGCATCCTTGAAGGTACGAATACCACCACTCGCCTTGACGCCCATCTCTTTGCCCACTTCCTCACGCATAAGTTTGGTGTCTGCTACCGTTGCACCTGACTTTGAGAAACCTGTGGAGGTCTTGACAAACGCCGCGCCTGCCTTCTTGCAAAGCTTGCACGCTGTCCGTTTTTGCTCATCCGTCAGCAAGCATGTCTCGAGGATGACTTTGACTGGTATATTTCCTGCTGCTTGGACAACTGCGTGGATGTCTTTCTCGACGTGCTCGACCTCTCCGTCTTTCAGGGCTCCAACGTCAATGACCATGTCAATCTCTTTGGCACCCTGTTGAATAGCCAGTTTTGTCTCAAACACTTTTGCCTCAGTCAAGCAAGCACCGAGCGGAAAGCCCACAACGGCAATTGGGAGGACATTGCTGTTGGCTAGTTTCTTACTGACAAGCGGTAGCCAGCGCGTATTGACGCAGACTGTGGCTGTCTCGAGGGCGAGTGCTTCATCACAAATCTTTTCCACTTCAGCTTTAGTAGCGTCAGGCTTGAGTATAGTATGATCGATGAGTCTATTCATTTGAGCTTGTAGTAGGAGAGCTAGTAGAGATGGTCAATTGTAGAGAATAGTCTGCTCATGGTCGACTTCGGGTTAAGCCGAAACAGTCACAAGTATCTTCAGATTGCACTAGACCGTCTCACAACTTCCTGCTCTATCAAGCCACCAATGCCTCAGCAACGCTCGAAGATCTTGTAAAGTTCTGGCAAATGAGCGATTTGAACAACCCAACGGTTCTTGGCCATCTTGCGCGTCCCAATCAGTCTACGCTTCATGGCAGGAAATAAAACTTGCTCGATTTGACGCTCGGCAGCAGCTTCCCTTGGATCAGCTGAAATAGGAGAGTGTGTAGTTTCTGCTGGCGATGTGTCGTGCTTCGCTGCGGATACAATCACTTCTGGGATGTAAAACAACGCCAATTCGGTCAAGAAGCCCTCGAAGCAGTCTTTCTCCACGGTCCACTCAATGTGCGTTGCAATACGCAGGATGAAGTTGGGAAGTTTAGATAATGCAGGTGTGTAACCCTTCATCAGCATGGGCAATGTCGCGAGCAAGCCATCCTGTGTGATCTCAAAGCTGAAGTACTCTTCGAGCATCTCTCGTCTACTGAGCAGAAGCGCCGCCATGGCATCAATTCTTTCGTCGGTAATCGGCTCAAACTTTGCCTGCTCCAGCTCTCGTTTGTGCTCATAATTTTGAACCGCAATCTGAAGCAAGTCTTTGATGCTGAGGGGCGGATTCAACTTGATGGTGCCAAAGTTGCCAAATTCCGTCAAACCAATTTGGTAGAAGAGCTCAGAAGAGACAGCTCCATAGTCGACCAAGTAGAGTTTTGTGAGATGCTGGATTGCAGCGAGACGGCGTTCCAGATCGACCACACCAACAAAGACGTGCTCCGTGAAGATGGCGGTTAAATCTTCATGCAACTCGTCGCGTACTTCGCCACGGAGCTGCTTGACGCTCGCCAATCGTATATGTGTCCGCTCTCGCCCAACAAGTTTCTCTTGTGGTGCTTGCTGTCCGTCTGCTTTTCTGGTTGGTTCAAGCAAATTTGTAATCTTTTGTGTGCGTGAATCTACGCGCATCAAGGTTGCTGGATTGACCAAATTGCGACGCAGCTTTTCAGAAGAGATGGCAGCATCGAGGGGAGCGCCTGGCAACAACGTCTGTGTGTAAAAGGTTCTGGAAGAGTCGACTTCCATCAGTCGCTTGGCTATGGCATCGCAGATGATGTCTGTGATGTTGTCTTCGTCGAGGATGTTGACTTCGCGCTTTGTTGGGTGTACATTGACATCGATCCGTGCAGGATCAATCTGGATGGACAAGTAGACGAAAGGGTGCTTGTCTTTCGGTAGATGAATGGCGTACAACGCTTCAACTTGTCGCCTGATGTTGGTCGACTCGACTGAGCGGTCTGTGGTTAGTAGCTGTAAGCGTATCAGAACACTTGCTGTTGACAAAGAGAAGAAAGACAATTTTCTTGACACCGTAATTGGCATTCGTCACGAGCCCCTTTGCAGAAAACTTGTACTCATCATTGGTGAGATCCAAGGCAAGGAGCTCTGCAGCGATAGCAGGCCCATAAAGTTGACGAATGTTGTCCACTGTGGTGCTCTTGTTCATGGTAGAAACACTAGTTGTACTCTCTCCATGCCGTTTGCAGGAAAATGCAACGCCTTGACAGTGGATGGCATATCGATTGATGACATCGATAATCTTGGCGTACTCTTCGCTTGGCTTGGCCAAGGCGCGTTTGCGTGCAGGGACATTGTAGAACATGTCTTCCGCTGTGATTTGCGTGCCGCGCTTTCCAGCGACTGGCTGTGGTTCTGCCGATCCGCCTGGTTTATTGGGTATTAAGACGCCATCAGAGTAGTGCGCTTTGTATGCACATGGCGTGTGATCTGTCTTGGTCGTGACGGTAACGTGCGAGATGTGTGTGATGCTGGCAAGCGCCTCGCCTCGGAATCCATATGTGGCTATGGATGTGAGGTCGTTGAATTCACGTAGCTTGGAGGTCGTGAAACGCTCACACAGGATGGGCATGTCGTCGCGCTAATGTCAGCACCTCGCTACAAGCTTCAGCTGCACGTACATGAATGCCTGTGCCGTTATCTGTGATTTGTAGCATCTTAAGTCCTCCATCCTTGACAACGACATCAATGGACGTTGCCTGCGCATCGACTGCGTTCTCGAGGAGCTCCTTGAGCGCGTTGCAGGGTCTTTGGATGATTTCTCCAGCAGCGATGCGGTTCACGACGAGAGGGTCGAGCTTACGTATGGCAGGTACTGCCATGACGAGGGCAAGCGCATGCGCTCAGCAGTACTAGCAGAAGCAGAGCAGAGTCGTTCAGTAGAGGTCAAGAGCAGATGACACGAGCAGGTTACGCGAGCAAGTGAGCAGTCAGGCAGGTAAAGGGAGCAGTCCTGTAGCTTGAGCAGTTGAGCAGTTGAGCAGTTGTGTAGCCTTGTCCTTGTCCTCTTGAGCGACAAGAAAGAAACAAGAACAAGCAGCACAAGATCACCAACCCGCTCCCTTGCTCGCCATGGGACGGGCCAAAGGACGCAAGGGCAAAGTAGAGAGGCATAACCCCATCGCCGCAGCTGATGCCCCTCCCCGTGTCCATGCCGCTCGTAAAGCAGCTGCAAAGCCCTACCTTGCAAAACTTACTTCTACCGATGCAAAGGAGCGCGCAGAGTCAGTATCAGCCATTGGAGCTATGCTGCTGGAGGACAAAGACTTCAGGAAGCTATTGATCAAAGAGGATGCAATACGGTCGTTGCTGGACCGGCTGTCGGATGATGTCTTGGACGTACGTGTCGAAGCGAGTGGTGCTTTGCGCAATCTATGCCTGGACGATGATGCTGGCTACGATATGTGCACCATGCTCTACAAAATGAACATACTTACACTACTGAGCAAGCGTTTGGCCGATATGGATGGGATTTTAAGTGTGGATACAACCTCTACCGGCAAGCTCAATATGCGATTGTATGAAAATATCGTCGCCTTGCTGCTTGCATTTGCTGAGACGTCAGATACGATCATCAATGGCATCAACCAGGAGCTGAACTTGGTCGAGTACCTACCGAGAATGATGACTCGGCCTATGCCCAGGTCTGCACGAGTACTATCTGCGCAGTGCCTCATGACACTTACAGATGATAACGTTTTTGCTGTTTCGCGCATCGTTTCGGATGCGGCAATCCTAGCTATTCTCTTCAAACTGATTCATGACGAAGACTTGGCGATTGCAACCTTAGTCTGTGCGACGTTACAGAATGTGGCTGATCAAGGCACGATACCATCCCTAGTCGCTTCGCCGGCTAGCATCCAGGAAATTATACTAAAGACCTACTCGAAGGCTATCGCAGCAGCTGACTGGGAAAGAATACTTGACTTGGAGGCAGATCGACAGTCGGCGTTACTTGTCATTGTTGAAACTGCTCTCGAAGGACTTGCCAAGTTGGCTACTCCCGACGATGGTGAAGACGACGAGATGCGCATGGATGTGGATTCGCAGGTGGATGAAGCCCTGATGAAGCATCTTGTGTCACTTGTCAAGCCTATATCAAGATTGGCGACACCGCTAGAAGGCGCAACTGGTCCAGGGTACCCCGAGAAACTACAAAGCGTTCACCTGCTTGCACTCGATGCACTACACAACCTGGCATGGACTATTGTCTCAGCACCCGATGAAGCAAACCTTGCTGTCGCATGGCACTCCCAGGCCGGCGACTTGTGGCAATGGGCCTCTGCTGCGCTACCAAGATGGCTGCAACTCGGTGAAGAAATGGCCGATAGTGCATTCTCCTTATTATATGGCATTGCGAAAAGCCTGCGGGGCCTTGTCCCAGCGACCTTGCAAGACGTCAACAGTCTGATCAAGCTATACAATGCGACACTCAACGCAGCGGTCCAGACCAAGATTGTGGGTCTTGTTGGTTGCTTGGGTCAAGCACAGGGCAAGATTGATGTCAACAAGGCTGTCGGCACGTTTCTCGTGACGCTTGTTGCATCGTATCCACGGTCTGACGCAGAATGTGTACTTGAGGCACTCGATGCGTTGTTTGACATCTACGCCGACGCAGCATTCGACTATGATGAGCCAGTCTTCGTGCAGGGCGACTTTTGTACACACCTGGAACGCTGCGTACCACGCGTCAAGCAGCTGAAGGCGAGTCTCAATAAGCAACGCGCACCAGACTTATGGCACAAGGCGGATGAGACGATGGATAATTTGCTTGGTTTCATTGATTACAAGCGCAGCGAGCGTGCATAGCTACATGATATTTACACTTCTACGACAAATCATTCATCCTGTACATGATGAACTCCGTTTTTGCCAGTTTGTCGTAAAGGGCTTGAGCTGTCTTGTTGGTGTACTGCGTCGACCAGTACAGTCGTGCAGCTCCTTGTTGGTGGGCCGCTTCCTTGACTGCGAGAATCAAGGCCCGGCCAGCGCCTTTACCGCGGATTTCGGGGTTCACGTATAGATCGTTGAGATAACAGTACTGCTTGTCTGTCCAACTGGATGCATGGTATAGATAGTGCGTCAAGCCAATGACAACGCCTTCATCTACGGCAATGAAGCCAAACAAGTCGCCTGAGGGGTCGACCAGGCGACTGTAGGTATTGGTGTACTGTGCATCTGACAACTCTGCCTTGTAGAAAGTGATGTAGGCCTTGAACAGCGGCTGCCACGTCTCGAACGAGATGCTGTCCTTTGTGAGCTGGAGAATCTGCATCCGCTGCTTATACTACGTGCTATGTCTCTCTGTCTGGTTGTAGTCGCTTGATGGAGATCTTATCTTATCAAGACTTCAGATGGACGGAGCCGGCGTGATCCAAGGCAGAAGCAGAGTGTAGCAGCACATCAGAAGCCAAGGTTGTTCCACTTGTGAGAGAACTTCTCGTGCTTCAGCAGCTCAAACTTGCGGCTGCGGCTGAAGGGCACACGCGCTTCAACCAGGCCACGCTTCAGCATGCTCTGATACCGGTCGGTGAAGTTATTGGACGCTGGCTTCAGTGTTCTGAGAGACTCGGCCAACTCATCTGATAGCTGCACATCCACCTGAGCAGCTGGCATCGCATGCCGACCAAACTTGCGTTTACGCAATTGCCCTTCCACGATTTGCTTGTGTTGAAGGAGGGCAGCTTTGTCTGCAGCGGCAGTCTCAGCATCACGCGCAAGTGCATCCAGTGAAGCAATTGCCTTTCTCTCTGCCTTTCGTAGACGGATGGCTGCTTCCACTTCGAGCTGTCGCAGCCGGCGCGCTTCTTTATTGCGCTGCGCAGTTGTTTTTGGCTGTGCTCGTGTCGGGACCGACCGGGCTTCTTCTGCGACGGACTCGCCTTCACTGTCTTCGGCAGTCTCTTGTAAAGGCAAGAAACGCTCATCAACGGCTTGTGCTGCTCTGCTTTTGATGCTTGCTTTTTCATTTGCTTGTTGCCTCTCCAGCTCAATCTTTGCCTTGCGTTCGAGTAACGCTGTCCACGCTTCAATCGGCGGATTGTATGACTGGCCTGGATCCGGCGTCTCGATGGCAGACACGGCTGAGCCATCTGCCATGAGGGTTGTTGGCGCCATTCTGAGTGTGACAGGAGCCTTCTTGGCCCGTATAGGCGCGACCCACTCGCTCGTTGCTTCCTCCTGCTGCGCATCCCATACATTATACACCTGGTCTGCCGTCTGTGTCTTGACGGAAGCAGCAGCCGTTGCCCCTGCTTTTGCCTCTCCACTGCGCATGGCAATCTTCTTCAACCGTGCTAATTCAGACGGCGGCAACGGGCCCTTCTTCTTCTTGTGTACAATCCCGTCTCCCAGCTTACTCGTCTTGTGCGCGAGATTGCCGACAGGCGCAATCGCAGACCGTTGCGCCAGTATCTCATCCGTCTTGAGTGGTTTCGCAAGTCGCTCACGGCGCTTGATACTGTTGTCGCCTTTGACATCCACACTAAAGAGCGCTGCATCTGACTGCTCTGCAACAATCCAACCTGCCCGTTTCGCCTCTCGTAGCTGCTCGATCCTTTGCTCGACTGTGTCTAGATTGATATTTTTGCGCCATGCTTTCGGGCCCTTGCGAGATTTCTGCGAGGTCTTGCTTGATGTATGTACCGGAGCTTCTTCTGCTCGCCTGGTCGACTTGACATGGTTCCTGGAGGCCTTGGGCATGATCCTGCTGGTCTCTTGCTGCGGCTGTTGCTCCTGGTATGAAGGAAAAAATTAAAAAAGTTTGAAAATCTGCGGCGACGAGCAAGAGAGCAAGAGAGCAAGAGACTACACGGCGAATCTGAGAGACTGGCAGTGATGGACGGGCAAGGAACCATCCAGGGATACTACAATGCGGCGCCGACCGAGGCGACTATCCTCTGTTGCTCATGTGCAACGCCCATCGCCCCAAACCCAGCGGCGATGTGTATGAACTGCATCAAGATGAACACAGACATCACAGAGGGCATCCCGAGAGAGGGCGTCATCAACTTTTGCAGAGACTGTGAGCGTTATCTCTTGCCGCCTATGCAATGGGTGCGTGCTCAGCCAGAGTCTCGCGAGCTCCTTGCTTTGTGCTTGAAGAAGATTCGTGGCCTCAACAAGGTGCGTCTGATTGATGCCAAGTTTCGCTGGACAGAGCCGCATTCACGGCGTATCAAGGTCATCTTGACCATCCAAAAGGAGGCATTCACAAGTACAATCCTGCAGCAGACATTCGAGGTGGAATTCTCCGTGGGCTACCAGCAGTGTCCAGAGTGTGCAAAGACATTCACTCATCATACGTGGAAGGCCTGTGTCCAGATTCGCCAAAAGGTCTCTCACAAGCGTACATTCTTGTACCTCGAGCAGCTCATCCTTAAGCATCACGCACATAAGGATGCCATGTCCATCAAGGAGGTCAAAGATGGCCTCGATTTCTACTTCTCCAACAAGAACCAAGCGCTCAAGATGGTGGAGTTCCTTCACGCAGTCGTCCCAGTCAACAGCAGAACATCAGAAGAGCTCGTCTCGGCCGACCGCAAGAATGGAATCGCGAACTTCAAGTTTACCTTTTCCGTCGAGCTCGTTCCTATCTGTAAAGATGATTTGGTCTGTCTGCCCAAGGCAACAGCCAAGGCGCTCTCCAACATCTCTCAGCTTGTCCTTGCTTACAAGGTGAGCAATTCGGTACATTTCATCGACCCGCAGACACTACACACAGCCGATATGTCTACAGCAGCTTATTGGCGTAATCCTTTCAAGACTCTCGCTGATGTCAAGGACATGGTGGAATTTACTGTGCTCGATGTTGAAATCACTGGTCAAGTTCAAGGAAAGTATGCACTTGCCGATATTGAGGTCGTGCGTTCAAGTGGTACCGCGGACCAGACCTTCTTTGCGCGCTCGCATCTTGGTGCTATTCTGCAACCAGGTGACACGGTGATGGGCTTCCACCTTGCAGTGACAAACTCGAATGACACAATCTTTGATGAACTCCGAGCAGACGACATTCCAGATGTCATTCTCGTAAGGAAGTCCTACCAAAACCGTCGCAAGAAGAGCAAAGCCCGCAACTGGAAACTCAAGACGCTGAGTAAAGCAGCTGAAGAGGAAGACCCCAAGAAAGGAAAGAAGCAAGACCAAAGCAAGTTTGAGCGTGATTACGAGCAATTCTTGCAAGAGCTGGAAGAGGATGAAGAGCTCAGGCACACCGTCAACCTCTACAAGGACGAGCAAAAGAAGATTGCAGAGTCCGACAGCGAGATGGAAACGGATGATGAAGGTGATGAACTGCCAGAAATCGGCGTCGATGAGCTCTTGGATGAAATGGAGGAGATGAACATCCGCGATTAATATCTAGCCATACATGACATGCTCAGGAATCCTTTTAGTTGCATAGTCTCGAATCATGAGTAACTCGGGACAGTAACTGATGAGCCGACGAAACTCATGTCCGTTTTCGTGTTGCCACAGGCCGAGCCCTTGGCCAGACCCACGATGCACGCCCAATGGTCGCATCGCATCCTGTGCACCCCACGAAATGGAAAAGGTATTTTGGCTGCGATCCTCAGGCCAGCGAGCATCAGGAACAAGCATCTCGATACGACTGAGCGCCCACCAATCTTCCGCTTCGTGCGGCGTGCCATGATACTGACGCCAGTTGCTGTGCGTATTGTCCTGCCTGATAATGTCTGGTCGTCTGTCGTTGGTGATGCGCTGCATGCTGGATATCTTGCGCATACTCAAACCGCCGTTACCGCCGTGATGCCCATCATGTGTGCTCCAGGGACAAGGTGCACCAACAAAGTCATAGCCTAGCCAATCATCGACCGTTTGCTCTGATGCAGCGCACAGCATAGAGTCTGCCTGGAAGAAGAGCATCCACTCTGCTCGTGGGTCATGCGCGTGCCAGTACCAGGGCTTGGTCAGGAAGCGCGAGAGATGTTCGCCACTACTGACGTCGACCCAGTCGGGCAAGATTGTTAAGTTGAGTCTGCCACTGGCAACGGCTCTGGAGAGTGTAGCACTCGACAACATTTGATCTTTTGCTTCAGGTGATGTCCATACAACAAAGGGCCAATCTTCAGGCACGTTGGCAAGCCAGTGAGAGAGGAATGGAACCAAAATTGGGAGTGGACGAGTCTCAATGAGGCTCGCGACTTTGGTCATGTTGAGAGAGACCTTGCCAACCGTCACAGATACTGCTGCAGGCGACGCAATGTCTGCGGACGGACGACGTCCTGAGGCTGCATACAGGACGCACAAGATGCCGGCGAGGGCGATAAAGCATTCCAGAAAGGGCGGTATGTTGTCTTGCTTGTTCCCGTCGTCCTTCGAGAGGTGTGTGCTCAAGACAATGATGCCCAGTAAAAGCAGACAAAAGGACCAGGGCTGAAGTGGAACTTGCATGACAACAGCATCAAGCAGGTCTACCACAACATGACAGGCTAGACCGTACAGAAGGACGGCCAGCGCTCCTTCATCAATACAAGTCATGAGAGCACTACTCACCAGGATGAGAATCCATGGAAGAACTGCAAGAGCACGAAGATTGAACTGCCAAGATGCGTCAAACCAGCTGAAGCCTGCTAGTGTCGCGCTCAAGCATGCTAGAACAGGCAAGCTGTCATGCAGCTGTGGCTTTGAACTCGTTATATGCTGGATTCCTAATGCCGTTAAGCCGGCGACGACGGGCAGAGCCGCAGTGATGAAGATGTCGTTTGTGGAGGATGGAAAGAAGGCGAGGCGATCCCAGGCTTGCACGTACTGGAGCAAACATGCAAGAATGACCAAAGCGATGATTCGAACTCTGTTGGAATCTTGTAGTAACACTAGGCCGATGATAGTAAGGCCTCCAGCTAAGATACTGGCATGTACTTGAATTGGCGAGGAAAACGCTGGGAGCAGTAGACATAGCGATGCCAGTAGTGACACAAGGCACGAGACACCGGCGATAGGCAATATCGAGGTAGCATGTGGCTTAGCTACTAGCCAAACGATTAAAAAGATGAGAAGCGTCGTAGGCCAAAGAACAAGAGTCAAGCCAGGAATGTCGACAAGCTTCTTGTTTTGCAGATGTAAAACTCGCTCAGAGGCGAGCAGCCAGCTTGTGTAACTAGAGAGAAAGAGTGACCGCCAGGGTATACTCTGAGAAGTAGCGGCTCGCCAGCACTTGCCAGCGAGCGGCCTCAAATTCATTTACAGAAGGATGCTTATGTAGAATGGGGACGTGCAAGTGTACGTGTACTCACCCTCAAGTTCGCACTGACCAGATGGAAAGCAGAGTGCGTGCTGCATTAGAAAATAGATGAAGCGCTACTACAGACTATCAAGGCGTAGACTCCAACGCATCTTGTGCCTCTTCGACCAGTGTCTCCCAATCGCACCGTAGGATGACATACATCTCGACAGCTGACACGAGAAACAAGGCAACACTTAACCCAATCCATATACCTGTGAGACCCAAAGAAGTCTTGAATGCGAGGGCAAGACCAATAGGTAATCCAACAAGGTAATAAGATGGGATGTTGACAATGGCGCCAATGCGCTGCTTACCCATGCCACGAAGCACACCGCCAGCGACTGCACCCATCGTGTCAAAGATGACAAAGAGAGACATGAGCGGCAAGACTTCAGCAACGAGCGCCACGGTACGCTTGTCACTTGTGAAAAGCAGACCAATATAGTGCCGTGCCAAGAACAAACCCACGGAAAAGAAGAGTGCCAAGGCAGCACCGAATAGCAGACCTGTTCGGCAAGCTATTCTGGCTGGTCCAGGCAGGTTTGCACCAATCAGGTTGCCACTGCGTGTCGATACTGCAACACTCAATGCAAACGGAGTCTGAAATACTAAACTTGCGGTGGTCGTCAAGATGGATTGAGCCGCAAGGGGTCGTTGGCCAAGGCTGCCTGCGATGATGGAAGTTGCCTCGAAAATGGCCCACTCAGAGACAATCATGATAGTGCCTGGCAAGGCTAGACGGAGCATAGGTCCCCATCCTGTCAATGCAGCCTTTGAAAAGCCCGCCCATGCTTGACGGCCATCGATGAAGCGAATATACAGCAGCATGAGTATCGCTTGTAGCCAGTATGTAAGCACAACAGCTGTCGGAGCGCCCAAGAAGCCAAAACCCAAGGTTTTGTGCCAGACAAGGACATAGTTAAGAATGATATTGATGGGTGCAGTGATGCACAGCACGTACGTCGCTGCTGACATCAGTCCCTGCGCCTGCATAAACCGCTTGAGTGTCTCAAAGAGTGCGAATGGGGTCATCCCGAAAGCAAAGACTCGCATGTAGCGACCGGCAAGTTTTGAGATTTGCGGATCTTGTCGCAGGACGAGCAGCATGGGCTCGACGTTGAGCCAGATGGCAATAATTGGTATGTGGAGCACGATAAGGAACAGCAGGCAGCGCTGGACATGTACACCAATGAGTTTCGGCTTACCAGCTCCGTACGCTTGAGAGCATAGGGTATCTAGAGCTGTAATGATGCCTTGGAAGACACTAAATCCTGTGATTGCAGCAAACATGGTTGAGAGCGCACTCGCGCCGAGCTCTTTAGTGCCGAGGTGCCCGAGCGAGAAGACGGTCGAGAATTGCTCAGATGACTGTAGTAGAAACGTGAGGATGAGCGGCGCTGAGAATTTGATCAGGACACGGGTCTCGTGGCTGTAGGAAGAGGTGATGCTGCCATCGTGAACAGCTTTGTCCCAGGTTTCATCTAGCGGTCGTTGGAGAAGCGAGTCATGTTCACTAGGTTCATGCTCAGTTTCTTCCTCTATAGCGCCATACGTTCGACGTGGTTGGTGATGCTCTCTAAGCAATTCGCGCTCTTCCTGCTCCAGGTCTTCCACCTCTTCTCTTTGGAGATATGATTTTGGCGCTGGACTAGTAGCGAGCAGCGTTGATCTAGCATACCCCGAGGAAGCTACGAAGGACGGCCGCCGATAGCTAGCGGCAAGCGCGTGGTCTTCTGGTTTGTGGCGCGCGGAAATATCGCTACCGCGGGACGACCGTGGTGGTTTTGGGATAGACTGCGAATCGGCCTTTCTACTACTGTCCATGCCTCGGATATACGGTGCGGCCAGGAGCGACAAGACGCTTGGCTGCAACAAGGATGATGCTCAGCGCGTGGTTGTTGGACAGATGAATTGTTGGTCATAAAATAGAAATCTAATTCTTGCAACGATGAAAATACTCGCACAGAAAAAGACATACAAGAAGGGAAGCAGTCTCAAGCCGGACAGGACGGAGATCTAGTTGACGACGCGTAGCACGCTATTGGCCGATGACATGAATTCAGAGCGATTGAATACCTTGTAAGTCGTTGCATCCAGGGACTTGCACAGCTGGCGCGTCCAAATATCCACATCTGCCATCGGTGTCGGTGGCGCGGGCTCATAGATTGGGATGGGCGGACGTGACTTGCTCGTGCGTGGCATACTGTTGAATATCTTTGTTGGCTTGGGCTTGACTGGCGTCATGGCCGTCTATCATTAGCGTTGGCCCTCTGAAGATAAGACTTGCCTGATGCTGAAAGGTACTGCGACGCTGCGGTAGGCTGCGTGACAGACTACGCGACATGAATGAGCGTGCGCGATCTAGCACAGATGAGTCTGTCTCTGCGCGCTTGTTGGCTGGACGCTGCTCCGTCTTCCCATCCTGCGGTATACTGTCTTCTGGCATGGTATGCCTCTTTGTTACCTGCAGCGTCGATGGCCTGCGCTTGAGACGAAAGGAGAAGTTTGCACGCAAGCTGGTGACGGAGTTTGTACGCGATGCTGTCGGTGTCAGCCTACTTGGCGATGTCTCTGCCGTGTCTCCCCTGTCAAAGAGGGTACCGAGGGTGATGGTGGTTGCAGCAGATGTCTCCGACGAGTCATTAGATACGTCGCCAGCTTGCTCTTCTTGCTCGTGGTCGTCTTCTGTCTCTCCATCTCTGTCAGCTTCATGCTCGATGCCGTCGTCTGAGATGAGGGAGAGACGTTTGCGCTGCTTTGACCTTGCGAGGAAGCGGATGGAGCTGGAGAGGTTGTTCATGCCAAAGCTAGAGCATGTGTCAGCTTGTGTCTTGAGCAGCAGCTTGCGTGGACGTGCATGTTCTTGATGGACTTGACGCTGGCTTCTGAGTGCGACTTGATGGAGGCGGCGGATGACGCAGACATGGTAGCGACTGACTATGCGACTATGCTAGGAGGGTAGTGTAGAGAGTACAGCGCAGGTAGGACAGAGTATCAGAGAGTACAAGAGCGTACAAGAGAGCAGGTTGAGTGCGGGGAGTCTGATACGATGGAGTGTCGCATCATCAAACAGCGTCTGTGCGTTCAATCATCGAGGAGCCTGAGTATGGGATGGGGTGTCTGAGTATGTTTGATGTCTATGCGCTGTCTATCTATGGATTGATGTCGATGGACATGGACGAGGGCAGTGGATGGATGGATGCCGAGGACATGGACACCACGGGAGGGAAGCTTCGAAGGGACGAGACTGTGGACGGAGGCTGCTACACTCAGAGTCGATAGTCATGCGCTGTCTCATCTATTCAACTGCTCTTCTATCCACTCCACTCGGGCAACACTTCCTTCTTGCCCAGTGCCATGGGAACGATACCAGAGACATGCACCTCAGGCCCATACACCTTCATGGGCAGGTCCAGCTGACCAGCCGCCGCCTTGATGGACCGCAGACCCTCCGGGAAGTTGGGTCCAGCACGCCTCACCCAGATCTGCACCTTGTGTGTGTGGAAGGCTGTTGCATAGTCCTTGAGCGCACGGATGATGCCCTTGAAGGTCGAGGCGACATTGGTGAAGTTGGCGATACCACCGCCAATGAACAGGATCTTGCCGTCCGGGTGAGGGTTGCCGCGGGTCATCAAGTCAAACACCGTCTTGGCGTACTCGTATGTCTGCGTCTCTGAGGGAGCACCGGAGTACTCGCCGTAGTTGGCAAGGTCGTCTGAGAAGCCATTCGCTGCAATGGCATCCGCATACACGACAGAGGCACCACCACCAGCGACCAGTGTCCAGATGCGGCCTTCGCTATTGAGAATGGTCAACTTCAAGGAAGCCCCCGTCTTGGCATCCAGGTCGGCGATGTACTGCTCCTCCTTGGACAGCTCACGACCGAAGGGTGCAGGGAACTCCATTGGAGGACCGTGGTCGGCAGATACTTTTGCAGAGGGCGCTGCAGCATAGCCCAGGTTGGCAGGAGCACGCGCAACAGCCCACTTGGTGCCAGCCTCAAACTCGGCAGTCTGGTCGAGCTTGGCAGCGAGGTCGAGGTAGTGCACAGAGGCGCCTTGCTCATCAGGGACCACGACGAGCGGGTTGATTTCGAGGTAGGTGAACTGGCACTCAACATACACGGCATACAAGCGCGAGATGAAGTCAATTAAGACATCGTGCACACCTGCTGGCACTTTGGCAAGCAGCTTCTCTGCAATTGTTTCGCGCGAAGGGTACTGTGAGAGGTCAACGGGGATGAGCAGCTTTTCTGCCTTTTCATCGACATCACCAACATCCACGCCACCTTCGTGAGTGAACAAAATCCAGTCGCCCTCACGGACACTCATGATGTTGATGTAGTACTCTGTCTCTGCTGGGTGAGGCACGAACGGCTCGACGAGGAAAGTGCGCAGGTAGCCAGAGACGTGCTCGACCTGTTGTTTCTTTCCTGCACGCTCTTCAATCCACTTGCGAGCATCGGCCCAGTCTGCATTCAGCTTGAGCAGGCCGGCCTTGCCTCTGCGCTTGATGAGCTGGTCTGGCTTTGCGACGAGTTTGATTTCCTTGAGCCAGGCAAACTTGTTTTCCGCAGCATCGAGGACACCTTGGATGTGGCTGCTGTAGTCGTTTGGATGCTCCTCTGGCACATCAAACTCAATCTGACAGAGCCTGGTAGCGCCTACTTTGGACTCTGTCTTGTAGGGAGTCTGTGAAACTGGCTGAGCACGGCCCAGCCAGTAGGCGAGGATGGCCTTTCCGTCTCCTTCTCGGATGGGTTTCTGTGAATATTAGCTGATGCTCTGACACCTCTAGGGATCCCTACAGCAGACATGAGTAGATGGTGCTGTGTGAGTCTTGTCGCGTTTTTGGGTGTTGAGTTTTTATTTCACGAGCGAATACAGTGAGACTGAGTGCGTGCGCCTGCTCCTCTGTCTGCGACTGGTTCTGCTGCCTGCTGCTGCTGCCCGTTGAGGAGTCTCAGGCCACCGAATCGCATCACAAAATTCGCGACTTCCCAACAAAAAAGTATCCAAGCAGCAGCAGCACCAACAGACTGCCTGCTCTACCAAAGACTACCATCCGCACGTCTTCATCATGGCAGCATCAAAGACCCAGCATGGACTCGGCGAGCTATTCACAGACCAGACACGCGCATTCGTCTATGGCCTCCAGCCCGTATAGCCCCCATTTCATCTGCATAAAACTGACCCATCCAGAAAGCCGTTCAAGGCATGCTCGACTTTGATTTCGTGGCGGGCCGCAAGCAGCCATCTGTCTCTGCCATCATCTACCCCTTTGGCGGGCAGTTCGTCTCCAAAATGTACTGGGGTACGCAGGAAACATTGATTCCAGTCTACCAGACCGTCAAGCTTGCCGTGGAGAAGCACCCAGAGACCTACGTGGTCGTCAACTTTGCCTCTTCTCGCTCAGTCTATGCCTCGACCCTCGATCTCCTCGAGCACCCGCAAATCACGGCCATTGCCATCATTGCTGAAGGCGTCCCTGAACGACGCGCCCGTGAAATTCTCTTCAAGGGACAGCAAAAGAATGTCACCATCATTGGCCCAGCAACGGTCGGCGGTATCAAACCAGGATGCTTTAAGATTGGCAACACGGGCGGTATGATGGATAACATTGTCGCTTCAAAGCTCTACCGACCAGGATCCGTGGGCTACGTCTCCAAGTCTGGTGGCATGTCCAACGAGCTCAACAACATCATTAGTCAAACAACAGATGGTGTCTATGAAGGTGTCGCTATTGGTGGTGACCGATACCCCTCCACCACATTCATCGACCACTTGCTCCGTTACGAGGCAGAGCCCTCCTGCAAGATCCTCGTCTTGCTCGGTGAAGTCGGCGGTACTGAAGAGTACAAGGTCATTGAAGCCATCAAATCTGGTCAAATTAAGAAGCCTGTCGTTGCTTGGGCCATCGGTACTTGCGCCAGTATGTTCAAGACGGATGTGCAGTTCGGTCACGCCGGGTCTTTCGCCAACTCTCAGCTCGAGACGGCTGTTGCCAAGAACGCAGCAATGAAGGAAGCCGGTATTCATGTCCCAGACACCTTTGAAGACTTGCCAGAAACCCTCAAGAAGGTGTACGACGCCATGGTGGCCAAGGGTGACATTACACCCAAACCAGAGCAAGCACCACCCAAGATTCCTATGGACTATGCTTGGGCACAGGAGCTCGGCCTCATCCGCAAGCCAGCCAGCTTCATCTCCACCATCTCAGACGACCGTGGCCAGGAACTCGTGTATGCCGGTATGAATGTCTCGGATGTCTTCAAGGAGGATATCGGCGTTGGTGGTGTCATGTCACTGCTCTGGTTCAAGCGTCGCTTGCCACCGTATGCCGCCAAGTTCCTCGAGCTTGTGCTCATGTTGACTGCCGATCACGGACCTGCCGTGTCGGGTGCCATGAACTGTATCATCACCACTCGTGCCGGCAAGGACCTCATCTCCTCGCTCGTGTCTGGTTTGCTGACGATTGGTACGCGATTCGGTGGTGCCCTGGACGGTGCAGCTGAGGAATTCACAAAGGCCTTCGACAAGGGCTGGTCTGCTCGTGACTTTGTCGACACTATGCGCAAGGAGAACAAGCTCATTCCAGGTATTGGCCACAAGGTCAAGTCTCGCCAGAACCCAGACTTGCGTGTTGAGCTCGTCAAGGAGTATGCACACAAGAACTTCCCCTCGACACAGCTGCTCGACTATGCGCTTGCAGTGGAGACCGTCACCACCAGCAAGAAGGACAACCTCATCCTCAACGTCGATGGCGCTGTTGCCGTGTGCTTTGTTGATTTGCTGCGAAACTGCGGTGCCTTTAGCACAGAAGAGGCAGAAGACTACCTCAAGATGGGTGCTCTTAACGGTCTCTTTATTCTTGGTCGATCCATTGGTTTGATGGGCCACCACTTTGACCAGAAGCGACTTAGGACACCTTTGTACAGGCACCCATGGGACGACATCTCGTACCTCGTCTCTTCGGCTGCGGCAAGCCCGAGTGCGCGCACCCTCGTATCGCAGGACAAGTAGACTTTTGTAGTAACTGTGTGCAATCTCGTCTTTTGTCAGTGTCTCTCCTGAATGGCTTTGCTTAGTTATCTTACAGGATGTGCTTGCATGCTGAAGTGGTCATTGCTACGATGTCGTAGAAATTTCAGCGGCAAATTTGACTTGAAGTCCACCATCCTCTCTGCATTAGGTCTGCAACTCCCGACACCGCTCCTACTTGCCTCATCCAATTGGCTGTACGTCCTTCGCTAGTCGCAACAATGAAGAGGTACGTCGCATGGTGGATCGTGGTAAGGCATGTTTTACTGGTATGTTTTTGCATATGCATATGCATTTGCACTCCCTCGGCCAACCCACAACCTCAACCTCCATCCTCATCCCAACCTCCACCAGCAGAATTTTCCGATTGGTGCCAGCAAATCTCATTCGACCTGGCGGCAGTCATCGACCGCCTTGAGTCGGACGAGACTGAGGACTGTGAGAGCTCCTGCAAGGCGGTCTTCGAAGAATACTACAAAGAACTCAAACCCACGCCAGACCAATGCCAGTACATCGACACGCGCGTTAAAATCGACCTCCTGATGTACAACTTCCGTTCCTGGGTGCTCGATCCCTTGTGTATGACTCTTGCTGAGCGTATGCAATTCTTCCAGCAATACCCAGCCAGTGTCTGTCAAATGAGTCGTCAGTGCGGATGCCGCTTCAGCATCCTTCTGCGTCGGGTGTTGATCCAATTTGATCAGTTTGGCGTCAATTCATGTGAACTGGATCGAATACACTACCGTTTCATGCGTGTATCCCAAATGGTATCGTGGTTGGCCGATGTCTCCAAAGTCGTGAGAGGGCCGGTAAGATGCGCTATCAACTCGATCTGGAGGCCCGAGAAGGATCCGGATCTGAGTCCGTATCTCTCCGGGCCGTACATGTCGTTGTCTTACAGAGATTACATCTATCTCGGTGGGCTTCAGAATCAGCCGAATGCTCATGGCAATGTCGCAGTGGATGAGCAACGTTTGACGGAGGAAATCGTTCAAGCATATGAAGAATGGCGGCAATCAGAAAGAGCGTCTGATACGGCTCGTACAGATGCTCGAGGTCCTCATCGCTTTCTGTAGACAGAGCTAGTGAATGAACACTTGCTAGCCTTTCAAAAGAACAAACTAAGCCATCCGTTAACTAGAGCACACTCAGCACATGAGACAGATGATTAAAATACACCGTCTGGCGATCTGAATGATGTAGTGGGCCAAGGATTGATGCCCCGGCGCAGCTGTGCAGCTATCCCGCGCTGCGCACTCTTGTCAGTGGTCTTGACATTCGCTAGGTTCCTCGAGATTTAATGGGAGTGCGCTATGTTGTCGTCACAAATCTCGCTCTTCGTGGTGGACGCGGCATCTTGAGCGAGGGTACCATGTTCTACGACTGCCAGTGGACGTCACCCAACATGAGGCTGGCGAGGCATCTGAATCTTGCCAGGCCCGTGTCAGTCCGTGACGACCTGGCCAAAACCCGTAGTTGTTTTAAGCTGTTGTTAGTATCTAGGCTTTCGCAGAGCTTCACTTCACTTTTCAGTCTTTTCACTGATGGCAATCCTTGTAAATGCGGTATGGAGGTCTAGTCGATGGCTAGCGTGGCTCTAAATTCCTGCCAGCGCGGACAGCTGGTGTTACTGAAAGCTGTGGGTTCACTAAGTGACGGCGTGCGTGGAGCAAAGATGCTACAGCCCAGAAGATCTCCTGCAACCAAGTGGGCGCAAATCCGGCACTTGGTGTCATCATCTTTGTCAACGTCGAATACGACGATGTCTGGTCGCAACAGCACCTTCATTGTGACAACACTGGCTCTGCAAGCAGCCCAGAATCCAGGCGGGCAGAGTTCAAATTGACTGTGGTCGGGAACTTGAGGTGCATCCATCGCTCGGTTGCCTCACACTCAAATTCCCGACCACAGACCAATTGAACACAGGACAACGCCGTATTGCCCCGTTCGCCACACAACTTTTACATCTGGAAGAAGAACAAGTTCAACAATCTGAGGTGGTCGTCGAGGTTGAACTCTGCCCGCCTGGATTCTGGGCTGCTTGCAGAGCCAGTGTTGTCACAATGAAGGTGCTGTTGCGACCAGACATCATCGAATTCGATGTTGACAAAGATGACGGCGGCGATGCGGTCAACAAAAGTCCAAAAGTCATTGCTGTGAGCAACCGTGGAGGGTCGGCCTCAGCCTTGCTACAAACGGTCATGGGCGGCTCAGCGACGCTTTCGCTCGACATGGTGCCCTCAACATTCGTGAGCGAAGACGCACTCAATTGAACTAGTGTTTGCTGTTGTGGAGCGATCTTCTGGTCTGGAAAGCTGGTTGTATAAGCCTTGATCAGTGACAGCAACAGTCTGATTTGACGGTGGTCGCTGAGTGCAATCATTGTCGCCACCTGTCAACAGCTCTTGTCCAGTGAATCGAACAATGCCAAGCCGTCGGACGTCAATAAGCAGACACCAAGAGGCAGTCTCTCCTGATCATAGTCCTTCATGTCGAGAAGACATTTGCAGTGAGATATCTCATTGAGTTATCCAGTTTTTACAGCATTTGTCCGGGATAGTAGGCGCTTCACAAACGGCGCAGCATACCCTGAGCAAGAGCAAGAGCATGCGCATGAGTAAGAGTACATGTAGTACTGAGTGCAAGTATCGATCGAGTGATGTAATGGCGAAGGCTCAAACTCCAAAATCTCCACGAAAATTTACTCAGCAGCAGGCGGAGACTTGCACCAAGAAACCCTCGAGAGTCCAGCTCAAGTCCATGCCGTCTCCGGGCTCCCTGCAGCGTACAAGAAGCCTCTGCAGTGTGTCAGGCTCTTTGGCGAAATCTCCCGCGCGCTGTCTTTTCCAGGGCTACTCAACAAGCGTAGCACAGCGTCGGGAAAATGTCCAGGCTGTGTCGCCGACTCCAACGGCCACGGCCCCAGTGCCCCTAGAAAAGGGCCAATTGAGCAAGGCGAGCTATGTTCAGGCAATGTGGTTCCAGGATACAAGGAAGCAACCGTCAAGAGGTATGGACCAAGTCAAACACATCATTCTATGCTGACAAACCAGAGGAAATCTCGCGTAGTATCGAGGCACTGATTGATGAAGCACCGGAGCAGGCGGAGGAGCACGAGGAGGGCACACAGCCGGTGTCTCTGCTTGTGGGCGAAATCAAGGAGAGTGCAAGGCATGACACTTCAAATCAGCTCGTGCATGCAGTGCAGCTTTGCAGCTACCTTGCGCCACGCACACTCGTCAGTGGCCTCGGGATCCGCTATCATCCTTCAGATTTGAGGGGAAAGCGCTGTGTTGTTGTCACTAACGTCCCTCTGCGGGATGGACGCGGCATCCTGAGTGAGGGCATCATGCTCTGCGACAGTCAGGGAGCTCTACTGTCTCCGCCTCATGATGCCAAGATTGGAGCGCGCCTCAAGGTCACCGGGAAGAAATCGGTGCTCAAACAACTCGAGCTCAGCAATCAAGGATACGCCGTGTGCACGAGCACACTTGCGATGGATGAATGATGAATGTTGTCAAGTTTTGTAATGTCGTTTATGTTATGGCCATCTCCAGCACAGTCTTTCCTAGCAAGCACAATCTGATTCCTGCGTCTTCGATGTACTTGGATTGATCTTGACCTCCGTCACTGCTTGTTAGCTTGGAGATTGAAGCAAGGATGAGCATACTCGGTGCTGGCTCAGCGGCCGTGTCCATGCCAGGCAAAGCAAGCGCAATCTTGCGAAATAGCGTCTTGACATTCTGGCCTGCTTTCGCTGAGGTCTCAATGAAGAGCGTATTGTGCTCCTTGGCACGCTTCTCGCCCTCCTCCAGCGTCACTTGCCGCTTCTCCTGCAAATCCGTCTTGTTGCCTACAAGCACCAAAATGACATCGTCGCCCCGCTCCGCACGTACGTCCTCCACCCATTTCTGCGTATTGAGAAAGCTGGCTCTGTTCGTCACGTCGTACACAACAACGGCGACACTCGAGTCGCGGATATAGGACGGAATTAGGGAGCGAAAGCGCTCCTGACCTGCCGTATCCCACAGCTGCATACGTACAACCTTGTCATCTAGATGCAGCGTCTTTGAGAGGAAATCAATGCCAATGGTCGCTTGGTAGGCCGTGTCAAACGAGTCATACATAAAGCGGGTGATGAGGGATGTCTTGCCAACACTCTGCTCGCCCAGAAAGACGAGCTTGAACTTGCGCAAGGGCACAGCATATGTATCTGCCATTGGCCCTTGCAGATCTGTAGAGGCCGTTGGTCTCTGAGCTGCTGCAAAGAAGCGCGACACGGACTTGTCGGGTGTGGTGGATTGTGGTGTCGTGGCAACAAGTCAAAAAGGCGACGACGAGCAGCAACAAGGCGAGAAAGCAAGGGGCATCATGAGGCTACACAGCTACGGGAGAGTGGCAAGTCACATCTCGTCCTCTGTGATGGCAGATTCGTCCTGCCACATCGATAATGGACTTGTAGGGACAACAGGCCGTTCAGCAGGCACAACACCACCCAACCGCTGAATTTCCGATTCTTCACGTTAGCCATGTTTCATTTCACTCTCAAGAAGGTATACCCAGCACTCGTACGCGCTCATTCCGTCGGTCCAGTTCTGAGCGAAGCATGCCAATGTACTCAATAGATTTGCGCAGCACGACACCCTTGTTGGGCTTGGCCGCAGGTACCGTGTTGCCGCCAACGGGAGAGGCCTGTGGAGGTGGGCTGTGTGTCTGAGGCGCTGCTGTCCCTAGCATGGTAGCTGGCACGATATGCGACAGTTCTTGGATCGACTCGTTGATGTTGTCACGCCGGCGTCGTTCCACTGCTGTTAGTCTGCACTCATAAAAGCACTGCAACGGACCTGCATTGTGTGAGTAGCGTCGCATGGCCTTCTTATCCGACACGGGTGCTTTGTCCTTGCCAAGAGATGATCTGGCCAAATGGCGTGACAAGGGCGAAGGATCTGCCATGAACGAGGGCGACTCCAGGCCTGACCACGCGGGACTCGCAGCATGGGGAATCGGCATGGTCCCATAACTGCCCGATGCCTGCACTGGGAAGCTTTGGGAAGTATGCGCTGCTGCCATACTAGTCGATTGCGCGGGAAGCGCTGTCGCCTTCTCCTGAGTGTGTGCGCCTTCTTGCACCTGAGCTGGTCTGACTGCACTTTCAAAGACTTGCGGGTATGGCGATGCTCCAGCCCAGCCTAGCGACTCTGCAAGCTCCAAATCGCTGAATTGCGGTCCGCCAAAGGGCTGGTACGCGTAGTGGTCGTAGTTGTGTGCATCCTCCTGCTTGACTTGCCTGAATGTATCCAATGCAGGCGCGCTGTGCTGCACAAATTGCGCGTGGCTATTCATGATGCCTGGCCCGCTGCTTGAGCCTATGCGCGCGCTTGGCCGTGCTCTCCCCTATGCGTCCTTGGGTAGATGCTGTCAGTTGTCGGCCTTGTTGCCTTTTGTCCCGCTTTCCCCAGATTTCAGACGGCGAGATGGAACAGTAACTACATATATAGTACAATTGAGCCTGATGGACTGACTAACAGTTGACTATGACAAGGCAGAGAGAGGCCTGCTACGGCAGAGACAGCGCAATGGCAAGGTCTAGTTGATCCTGGTACGACATGCCCGAAATGTCAGCATCCTCTGCAGCCTCAAGCTCATCCTCCGCAGCTGTCCGTTCCTCCAATGCCAAAGACCGCCGCATCGCTTCATCCAGCTCGCCATCTTGCTCGCTCAGCATGCGTGTATAGGCCAGCAGCTCCTCTTCAGTCAGCTCAGTAGACAAGTCACCAGCAAGTCGCAGCAGTCGTCTGTGCTCGCGATTCGCTTCTTCCTGCGTCTCGCCCAAGTGTTGCAGCTCTTGCTGAATGGCTGTAGACACACTCGCACGGTCTTGTGAAAGCTTCTGTCTTAATGGCTTGCGCTTACCATGTCCCTTGACCGGTTGCGAAGGCGCAAAGTTGAAGGCAATAATCTCGTATCGAAGGTCCAACAGGCCACGGGGCTCGTGGGGGTGCAGGTGGATAGATCGCACCACAGGTGCACCGTCCCACCGGTCATCGCGGTCAAATCGTCTGGTCATGCGCTTGTTGAGGGGACGCAGCGCCCGACCGCTTACAATATCAATCAGACTTGCTGACCCATCCTTGTGCCCGACGGCAATCACAGTCTTGCTTATGGCCAACGAGGTAATGTCCGCCCCGTCGCGGACTTCTACTTTGCGGGAGAGGCAAGGAGTAGATGGGTCAGCCAAATTGTAGACGTCAATCACGCCACCAAAAGCAGCAATTGCCATCCAACGATTGGGTCCTGGAGGTCCAAGAGCGCGAGCAGCGATGTCTTGCCTAGTCGTCCTCGTGCACTGAATGGGTTGGCCCCAAAATTCTACAATACAAACCTCGACAGTACCGGGTAGGAGTACGCACGGGGGATCAAAGGATACCACAAATGGCTCGGTGAGACTGTAGGGAGCTGGCCATGCCCAGTCGTCAATCAATTGCCGGGAAGCAACATTGAAGTGAGTGAAGGCGCACATAGCATGCGTATTCGGCCTGAATAACAACGCACATGTGATGACACTGTCGCCATCGAGCTCAAAGCTGAGCACGTTGGAGCGCGGGAGTCGCAGGGTGCCATTGCAATGGCCGCTTGGAACATCCCAAACCTTGAGATATCTATCCTCATCCAAAGTCACTGCGCGGCTGCCACTTGATGCGCACCTGACAATTCTTGCATTATGCCGGTCTTGGCAGACTTGAAGCTGCCAGTGACGAGAGGCATTGAGTATCATCATAGCGACTCTTCCGTCAGTGAAACAGTAGAGAAAGGAGCCTTGTGATGTTTCCAACGTGGAAATCAGGCATAGATAATGAGACTCCCATTCTGGGAGGAGCTTGTCTCTCGCAGCGATCTTACCAGTGGCCGTGTTGGCAATCACGCCATGGCTAGAGTCAATGCTGGCAAAGATTGCTCGTTCTCGCTCGAAATCATAGCGTATAGTATCAGAATTGATCTCACCGATTCTGGGATTGATGACGAATACGTTGCCTTGGCCGCGGTGGAAGTCTCTGATGGCCTGCGTCCTGCGGAGCGATTCGATCCGCCAGGATGGATGTATTCTGGGGATGATTCCATGCGAGATGGCAGACCTACAGACCAAGGCATCACGCCAGACAGATTCATCAATGAGCTCGTTTAGAAAGCGGCAAGTTGAGCGGGTACTGTCGAGGGCATAGGGGTCGAGGTGCCGTAGTATTTTGAGCAGTACTTCATGAGGGAGCTGGTCCATGCAGAGCCCACTTGGTTATATGATAGGAGCTGTGTGTAGCTGTTCGTCTGCCTCTCGACTGCTCTCCAGACCGCTCTCCAAGCACTCTCCAGCTTCCGGCCTCTGTCAGCAGCTGTTTCTCGTGGTGTCGCAGCAGAAATCTCCAAGAGACGACGACGACGACGACGACGAGACAAACAAGCAACCAGGCAGACGCAGACAGAAGCAGCCATGGCAAACTCCAACGTGCGCTTCTCCGTCACGGATGACGACGACGAAGAGCCAAGCCAAGACCCCGTGGAGGTTGAGAAGCTCCGTAATATGCACCTGCAGAATCCTCTCGGACAGCAAACCCCGCAGCCGACACCAAGCTTGTCGGGCCCTAGCAGCGCCAGCGTCAGCAGGTCCACCTCGCAGCAGCAAGATCATGCCGCCCTTGCAGCAGCAACAGGTAGCAGACGCTCTTCCCGAGCAGACATCTTCCACGGCTCGCACTCCCGCATCCACTCGCCAGACATCTCGCCGCCGAGTACACCGCGCAATGACCCAAGTATGCCCGCTCTCCTGCTCGGAGATCAGATACTAATCGTTTAGATGATCCTTATCGGCGCTCGGCGCGTGTACCTCAGTCAAAGTCGCTCGCAGACATTGCTCCACAATTCATCTTCCAGAAGCACACAGCATCGACACACTCGTCGCATACACATCTCAAGGACTTCTTCAACAACCATCACGAGAAGGTTGACAAAGGCCACAAGTCTCACTCGGGCTTTGATCTCGGCCGCTTCTTCAGACACGGTGGCAAGCGCAGCGGTACATCGACGCCTACAGGATCCACGTCTTCTGTCTACATGCCAGAGTTTGACTCAAAAGTCCCCAAAAAGGTCAAGGGCGACAATCACGACGGCTTGCATCAAAAATACGGCAAGGCCGGCAAGCTGCTTGGTGCGGGTGCGGGTGGTTCTGTGCGCATCATGAAGCGCATCTCGGATGGCCAGCTCTTTGCCGTCAAGGAGTTTCGCGAACGCGGCACAACAGAAACGCTCAAGGAGTACAACAAGAAGGTGACGGCCGAATTCTGCGTGGCTAGTGCAATGCATCATCCGAACGTCATTGAAACACTCGAGGTGCTCAAGGAAAATGCGAAATGGTACCAAGTCATGGAGTTTGCGCCCTTTGATATGTTTGCCATTGTCATGACGGGCAAGATGTCGCGGCCAGAGATTTTCTGTTGTTTCAAGCAGCTTCTGCGCGGCGTAGAGTACTTGCACGGCATGGGTTTGGCGCATCGCGATCTCAAGCTCGACAATTTGGTTGTGGACGAGCACGGTATTGTCAAGATTATTGACTTTGGCAGCGCGATTGTCTTCAAGTATCCATTTGAAGAAGAGATCCACGAAGCAACGGGCATCGTGGGCTCTGACCCGTACCTCTCACCCGAGACATGCACCAACATACGCTATTCCCCTGAGCCGGCGGACATCTGGTCGTGCGCCGTCATCTTTTGTTGCATGTGCCTTCGCCGTTTCCCCTGGAAGTCTCCGCGGCTATCAGACAACTCGTACAAGTCGTTTGCCATGGCTGACCCGCTATCTGAGGAAAAGTGCAAGCCAGAAGTGCTGCGTCTTGCACCGACGGAGCAGCAGGTACCGGCGTCGAGCGGCAACCCACAGCCCATCATCCGTGGTCCCTGGCGGCTGTTGCGCCTGCTACCAAAGGAGTCGCGCTCAGTCATCAAGGGGATGCTTGAACTTGACCCGGAGAAGCGGTTCTCCATGCACGACATTGTATTGGACGACTGGATCCAGGCTGTCGAGATGTGCTACGCGGACAAGCATACTAATACGTTCTACAAGAGCAGCAGCCACTCGCACCATCTCATTGGCCACGAGACGCAGAAGAAGTAGCTGCGCCGACTGGCAGGTTTTGCTTAGACATGTTCGTACTTGATGCTTCTTTGTACTTGCTTGGTCTGTGTCTTCTGTCCAGATTGATGGGCTAATATCTACTATTGCTGATATACATATATGTATGAATGGCTGCCCCCAATTTCGCGTTCAGAGCGACGGCGACCCAACAACACAAACCACACTCCATCAGACGCGCCATGGCAGCCGCAGCATCGCCAGCCTCGCACAAGAAGGCAGCCGAGGGATCTGCCTTCACCGCAGTCAACAATAGTCCAGCCAAGGCAGACGTGTCTGACGACGCGCTCAAGCGGAAGAGACAGTCGAGCCCCTCGAGCCACAAGACAACGCCGCGTGCCAAGAAAAAGGCCAAGGCAGAGCAGGGATGGCAGCCGCCCAAGCATCTCGACTCTTGGGAAGGACTGGCCGAGATCACTGCCGTCACAAACAATGAATGGGGACGGCTCCAGTTTGCCCTTCTTTGGAATGGCGGACAGACATCGATGCATCCTGCAACGCTCGTCAACGTCAAGATGCCACAGACAGTGATCAGGTACGTGCCATGACTTGCGACACAAAAGACTAATTCTCAGCTACTACGAGAGCAATCTTGTGCTTGAAGGCTCGCAAGAGGCCGAGCAAGCTGAGCTATCCGGCCAAGACGATGACCAGGACTCAATTCCCGAGGTGATGCAGTCGGACGATGAGGAGGAGGAGGAGGCCCCGTCGAAGAGAGCTCACACATCATCATCAAAGACAAAGAGACGCGAGTCCGCATCACAGAAAACGCCAGCTGTCAAGCCATCACCGGCAACAACCGCCAAAAGCTCACCAAGTAAAGCAGCTTCTTCAGCAAAGGGGACGCCAACCAAAGGTAAGGCGCGCACCAAGCCAAAGGTCAAGGAATCCTACTGGGAAATCGAAGACATTGTCGACGATCGAATCCGTAATGGCAAAAAGCAATATCGCGTCCGTTGGGTGGGCTACTCGGCCAGGCACGATACCTGGGTCCCAGAAGAGCATTCCTTGGAAGACTGCCCTGAAGCCGTGCAAGAGTACCTTGAGAGGAAGGCCGAAGAAGCAGCAGCTGCCAAGGAAAACGCCGAGGCAGCCGGGCGCGAGGAATTTTCTGAAGTAGGAGATGAAGAAGCATAGCAAGCTAGCGTACTTCTTGATCATCTTGGCGGGGTGGCTAATGGCCTGCTTCATGATCGATACTCTTTAGCTCTGGATCAGAACGAAACTTGTGATTTCTACGTGCTCTCTCTGTTAATGATACCACCAAGTGATTCAACGATGAGTGCAGGATTCCTTCTTCTATTGGTCTTCATCTGTTGGTACATGTTGTAGAAGAGGTCGTGGATGAGCTGTGATGTCGACCGCCTGCTTTGGCAGAGTGCACGCGACTACGCATGGCCTAATCACAGGTTATAGTGACACACTTGTCACTGCTTGAGAATCTTGACTGTGTCTTTGCGCCAGGTGTATTCCAGACCAGAGTAGATGGTCGTTGAAGCGACCAAGTACTCGTAGAGACTGAGTGGAAGGGCAATGTCAAACGGCAACACCGGCTGAACCATGTACGCGCCAACCAGCACAAGCTGCAGGCCCGTGTTGATCTTGGATACCGAGGTAGGATGCACAGATGCAGAAGGCAGACTGAAATCCCAGAAACGTGTAAAAGTGCGAGGCGGCGGTAGTGAAATCCAGCGCCAGTATAGGGCGGAAATGCCAAGGGCAAAGTCTCGCCCAAGGATAATGACGGCCATGAGCAGTGGCATATTGCCTGCATAGGCAAGTGTACTGACGAGTGTCGTCATGAGTAGCTTGTCGGCCAAGGGATCTATTATGGATCCAACAACAGTGCCCATGTTGTACTTGCGCGCAAGATGACCGTCCACGAGATCTGTCATGCCAGCAAAAGCCAACAAAGCAAGCGCCTCCTTGTGCCGCGCCTGAATGAAGAGGTAAGAGATGCCCGGCGTCATGAGGATGCGCGACACGGTCAGCACATTGGGAATTGTGTAGATATTTTCATGCGCGGGACCCGGTTTCTTTGTGTTTTGAGAAGCAAGCTGGCGTCTATATGGCAGCTGCGAGCCTAGGGAAGAATACGAGAGACTAGCTGCCAAAGTCCTGGAGCACCTGAGGCGGAGCATGGGGCGCAATGAACAGTTGGTCCGAACTTGGTCGTTGTGCTCGCTGAGTTCTGCACTTGAGCAAAGCAAATCAGACTAGAACTAGCGGCAGCAATGCTGCAGGCGACCCGGACAAGCCTCAACGTAATGATGCGCGAGCAGGAGGGGAGGAGTGCCTGTGATGAGGACAGGTTTTGAGGGGAGATGTAGGTAATCAGAATGGAAATTGTCAACTAAGGAACAAGACAGCAGAAGGCTGTCTTCTTATGTCTACCAGGTTCGAGCAAGAAAGCGGATGGCGATGGTGTAGGCGGAGCCCGCAGGAGCCGAATCTTAGCAAGAGAACAGATAATGAAGAGGAGAAGCGAGATTGCATGAGCCCAGTCGAGATGTCCGAGCTGCAGGATAAGGAAGAGGCAGAACAAGGGACGACGTGGTGAACGTTGTCGACAATCCGACTGCATCAGACTTTTAGTCTGTCTCCCTTGCTTGAACTCGACGAGCAGCGTGCTTCTACATCCCGAGCGGCGGAGTCTCTTCAATCAAGTCGTTGCACGGAGTGATCTTGTGTGCGAGCCACGGTTTGCCGGTAGCCTTCGACAGTAGGCTAAGCCGCAGATGGTGATGATTTGAGCATTGCTCGGGAGTTGCAAGCGGGCGTCAATGTGTCAACATGATGCTTGACTAGACCAACGGTGCGCATATGCATGCAGTCATTGTGGAACGACTGGGCTTGGAGGTGACTAAACAGAGCAGGGCGAGTCCAAGTCGAAGGCACTAGACAACAGAATAGGTAGATGGAGATAATCCTACCAAAGTACAAAGTTGGTGATGGCAGAACAAGGCAGCAGAAGGCTGTCTTTTCATCTGCATCGACTAGAGGTAGAACCCAAAAAACAGTAAGACAAGAAACAGGGCCAAAGTCCCAAAGACTGTGGGCGACGTCTAGCCAGACGCGCCACGAGACAAAGAGATGTCTCAGATATGCCAGGCGAGGGCGAGAGACTTGAGCCAGAAGAAAGCAAGCAACTGTTGAAGATGCTCAACGTGTTCTTCCATGAGCTAGACGAGGAAGTCTGTATCGGTCGCTGTGGTTGTGCACAGAAGAAGAGCCACGAGATGTATCCAGGGGTTTCAGGTGGTGAGACAGAATAGAACTCTGAACAGTCAGTCCGTGACACATTGTGCTTGAGTGAGATATAGAAAGAGCTCGACAGCGAAAGCTGCAATGTGGTCGGTATGTTGCATTCACAGTGAGGTGAGGGTAAAGTTGAGCCCCGTGGTGTATGTCATATCACTGTGTAGTATTCGAACGGTAGGGCGCAGGGCATTGAGGAAATAGATGGTGTATACGGCAACAATTTGCTGTTGAGACTGTCATGCTGATGGACGATGAGTCGAGTCTTCGACTGCAAGACAAGCACTGTCTGTAAAACAAATGTAAGATTGATAGATATACTGCTTATGAAGGGGCGGAGGGCTATAAGGCTTGCACACTCGTTACATGAACCTTGTTGGGGGATACTCCTCGGGTGTAGCGTCCGATGCTATTTGAATCATCAACCCATGTGTAGCATCGCTTGGCCAATGGATCACATTCGTGTACTTTTGGAAGAAGGCCATTTCGACCTCATCATACTGATCGGGGGCTTGAGTCAACTCAGATGGTCTGGCAAAACCACGACCCATACATTCGGCTGCAAAGGCGTCAAATTTCTCGTAATGAACCTGAATTTGATCAAAATACCTCATCTTGGCCGCATCTTCCATTTCGGCGCCAGAGAATGCGTTCAAATGGTAAGGGTCAATGCCCGACGGGGCAGTGCTCCGAATCCACCCGTCAGTTTGAAATTGATCAGCGAATTGTTTGGGTTTGCAGCGCACCTGATCATCAAGGAAATGCTCTATCAAGACGCCAATCTCGCTCTTGCACATCTTTAGGTAGAGATGGACATCGGGTTTGGTGTAATCAGGCGGATCACGGTCCTTCGGATTGACGCGGTCGAGACTCCGGTAAAATGGTTCTTCTTCAGGCATGGTGATCCCGCCTATTCTGTGACAGTGATACCCGCCAGCCGAGGTGGAACATTCTGACTGGATCGTTGGCT